AACTCCTCCAATTGTTGTCGTCGGTGCTGTTGGCTACATTGAAACTCCTCATGGACCACGCGCTTTGGTCAATGTATGGGCACAACATTTGTCTGAAGAATGCCGTCGTCGCTTCTACAAGAATTGGTAAGTAACTTTATTTAATTTATTTAGATTTGAACTCATTTCTTCTCGTTTCTAGGTATTCATGCAAGAAGAAGGCTTTCACTAAAGCCAGCAAGAAATGGACCGATGATTTGGGCAAGAAATCCATCGAAGATAATTTCAACAAGATGATTCGTTACTGCAAAGTCGTTCGAATCTTGGTTCATTCTCAAGTAAGTGAATTTAATTTTAATTACTATTCGACATCACCTGATCCGAACTGCGTAGTTGATGGCTTCGGCTGTTTTCTATGCGGATTGGATCGAAACTCTGGGGGCCGACGATGATTTTTCAATTCATAGGTTGATCCTCAATGTCGTACATGAATTATGTTAACTCGTAAGCATGATATATTCCTTCGCTCTTGTAAAGTTTCTCCTGGAACTGTGATTACATGAGACGACCATATCAAGCACAAACACAATTATCAAGCACAAAAATCTTCAACATTCAACTAATTTCATTTTTTTATTTTCATTATGAAGATTCGTTTGATCAAGCAAGGACAAAAGAAGGCCCACATTATGGAAATCCAACTTAACGGTGGAACCATCGAAGACAAAGTGAAATGGGTGAAAGAACACTTGGAAAAGACAATTCCAGTGTCTCAAGTCTTTGCTCAAGATGAAATGGTTGATTGTGTTGCTGTCACCAAGGGTAAAGGATTCAAGGGTGTCACAAGCCGTTGGCACACAAAGAAACTTCCTCGTAAGACTCACAAAGGTTTGCGTAAAGTTGCTTGTATTGGAGCTTGGCATCCATCTCGTGTCGCCTTTACTGTTGCTCGTGCTGGTCAGAAGGGTTATCATCATCGTACCGAGATCAACAAGAAGATTTACCGCATCGGTGCTGGCATCCATACCAAGGATGGAAAGGTGAGGAATTCAATCATTTTTTTCTTTTTAATAACTTTTTCAATGATGAAAACTTTGATAACGAGCCGAAAATTATTATAAACGTTAATCGAAAGATACCGACGTGGTTACTAAATGATAGGACTGATTTATGCTTTTTCTCAAACATTTTCATCGAAATTTCTTGAAATTTGATTTTATAATTTCTTTCTTTTCTTTTTTGAAGATTGTCAAGAACAATGCATCGACCCAATATGACATCACTGATAAGTCGATCACTCCAATGGGAGGTTTCCCATTCTATGGTGAAGTCAACAATGATTTCTTGATGATCAAAGGATGTTGCATTGGAGCTAAGAAGCGTATCATTACATTGAGAAAGTCCTTGTTGGTGCACACTAAACGTTCAGCTTTGGAAACTATCAACTTGAAGTTCATCGATACCAGCTCGAAATTGGGACATGGACGATTCCAAACATCCGGTGACAAGAGCACTTTCATGGGAGCTCTTNAAGATAAAATTTATTTGTTTATTATTTTATTATTTATGTTGATTTTCTTTCAGTGGATATAATCGTGAATAGTCGTTTTTCATGTGTTTTAATGAACTTACAAATAGTTTAAGCTGAAATTTTCTAGATCTCTTTAATTAAATTTTATTGCTTTTAAAAGTTAAATAATTCTTGAACTGCTTCAATTTGCTTTGCATACGAATTATTTAAATGACAATGTGACGTTTGCTTTACTGTTAGCAGGGATTGTACCAATATGAAATAAAAAAGTTATAAGAAAAGTCTGAAAAAAAGTAAAATTCAACAATTTTATTCGTCATATTAGAATCTAAATGTTTATTTCATTTGCCTTTTAAATGTTATCATTGTGATCATTAGATTTTGATCATTTTTTTGAAAGAATTAAAAGATTTTAGTTTTTATGAGAGAAACAAACAAAAACAAGTTTTTTAAATTTGCAAATTCTTCCACATTGTGATTGTTTTTTGTGAATCTTGTGCCTTTGAAAATGGACTTTTTCCATAACTATCAATGTAAAGAGAGATTGAGTTGAAAGACTTTTAATGGTTCATATCCAAGACCGCCTGAAAGTTAGCGACCAAAACCAGCGACTAAAAAACATGCGAATTCGCATGTTTTTGAATGAAAATTGGGTTATTCGTTGCGAATCGCAAAAATAACCCAACTTTCCTCAATAATTAACCCGAAAATTGGAAAAATGAAGAAAATTGGGTTATTTTCTACCGCCGGTAAAAAACTGGTGTAAAATTGGGTTAAATAGTTACAGGTACAGAACAAAGAGGGCGTTTAACCCAATTATTTTGCATGATTAACTCAATTTTCTACTAACCCAACTATATTGCGAATAATCCAATTATCTTGCATGAGTAACCCAATTTTCTACTAACCCAATTATCTTGCATGATTAACCCAATTTTCAACTAACCCAATTATCTTGCATGATTAACCCAATTTTCAACTAACTCAATTATCTTCCATGACAATATCTTGATTGTAAACAATAATTTCTTCATCTCGATCTGTAGTTGCAATACAAATTTCGTAGTCATCGCAGCACTCTTCTTGTTCTTCATAGTTATCGTCAAGTTATTCGATAAATGTCTCATTTTCGTTTTGACTTTGATGTTCCTCATCGTTGAAATTTTCTTCAACCTCTGTTGCTGAGTTATTTATATCAACCTTCTTGCTCTTCTAGTTCTGTCACAAAAGTTTCTTGTGGCGTATTCTCGCATTCATCGTAGTTTTCATAAGAATAACTTACACTATCCTCGTGTAATTCTTCTTCTGATTTTGTCATTTCATTTGCTTCTTGTAGTGATTCAAGTTCATATTCTTCGTTGTCTTCTAGTTCAAAGTATATTTCGTCTTCTTGTGGCGTTTCAGGTTTTATGTTATCTTTAATCTGAGAAACTTCACTGTTAAAGCCTAAAAGTTTATTTAAACGTTTTTGGTTTTCATTCAAGCCATTTCTTTAAAAAAGAGTTAAGCTCAGTCACTAAAATGAATTATATAACACAATGTCGCGGGGCCTTAAACTATGATCTTTCGACACTAATTGTCGAAGTTTTCTTATCATTCTTTCTACCTAGACGCTTAAGTGAATAAATTTGTTTATAAAGCTTATCATTTATTATTAAGTAGGTATTAGGTAAGTTTTAAATTTGCACCAACAGCAAACTTACTTCGAGTAGTTTGATAAAGTAGTTTGTATTTAAATCGAATGTTAACGTAAAACAATCAAAAGAATTCTCAGAAAAGCGATATTTTTAATAACTGAATGTTAAAGCGAAGAACTTTTCAGTTTTATTCAGAACACTGAACATTTACCATTATATTTGATTTCATACAAATTAGGAAATAAATTTTCACTTCTAATTCTCCTTAAAAGCTTTCTTCTTTTATGTTCTTCAAACAGGTGGTTAAGAGAATTTCTATATTTAGTTTTTGTTACTGACAATGCAATTTAATTTCATTCTAACACTTTTACTGAGTACCAACATGTCTTTTTAATATTTCGTGAAACCGACAACAATGAGATGAGTTGTTAACACTTAAATAGGGTTTAAAACGTTTTTAATTGAGTATTGCGGTTTTCTTCCATCTTTTAATTATTTAAATTATATTTATGTGTAAATGGATAAATTTCTTTAGCGGTGAGGGTGGTTTTAAAATTTAAATATCTTCATCACGAAAAGAAGGAAAAAAAATTCAAAAGAAAAAACGGATGAAGATTAAAAACCGGAAATAAACACTTTGTTGCTTAAACATTGTAAGTTGAATGAAAAGGGGCGCTTGTAATGTAATCAAGTAAGTCAAATGTAAATGAACTTTGATTGATTTTAATTTCAGTTTAAAATGTCTCAAAAAGTTTGTTCTCAACCAAATTCCCACTTGACATAAAACTTTGGTAGATGGTAATTAATTTCATAGGAACAACCCGCTTACTTTCAACCCGCTTGCTTGCTTAGGCTTGCCTTTTTTTTACCGTTAGCTTGCTTGCTTAGCTTGCCTTGTTAGTTTTTTTTCGGCTTGTTTTCTCGGCTTGCCTAGGCCTCCAGAATATTTCAGCTTGCTTCTTCGGCTTCCTTTGGTGAGCTGGCTTGTCTTGTCCCGTGAGTCTGCATTGTCCCCACTTCCACTTGTGACGTCACTTTTTTCGACCCCATTTNACAAGGGGAAAAGGATTCAGGGGTGTCAAAAGCCGTTGGCACACAAAGAAACTTCCTCGTAAGACTCACAAAGGATTGCGTAAAGTTGCTTGTATTGGAGCTTGGCATCCATCTCGTGTCGCCTTTACTGTTGCTCGTGCTGGTCAGAAGGGTTATCATCATCGTACCGAGATCAACAAGAAGATTTACCGCATCGGTGCTGGCATCCATACCAAGGATGGAAAGGTGAGGAATTCAATCATTTTTTTCTTTTTAATAACTTTTTCAATGATGAAAACTTTGATAACGAGCCGAAAATTATTATAAACGTTAATCGAAAGATACCGACGTGGTTACTAAATGATAGGACTGATTTATGCTTTTTCTCAAACATTTTCATCGAAATTTCTTGAAATTTGATTTTATAATTTCTTTCTTTTCTTTTTTGAAGATTGTCAAGAACAATGCATCGACCCAATATGACATCACTGATAAGTCGATCACTCCAATGGGAGGTTTCCCATTCTATGGTGAAGTCAACAATGATTTCTTGATGATCAAAGGATGTTGCATTGGAGCTAAGAAGCGCATCATTACATTGAGAAAGTCCTTGTTGGTGCACACTAAACGTTCAGCTTTGGAAACTATCAACTTGAAGTTCATCGATACCAGCTCGAAATTGGGACATGGACGATTCCAAACATCAGGTGACAAGAGCACTTTCATGGGAGCTCTTAAGAAAGATCGCATTCGTGAAGAGAAAGCACAAGCTGCCGCTGCTGCTGCTAAGAAGTAAAACAATTCTCAACATGGAGAAAGAAAAATAATGAAAATTTGTTCTTGAAACAATAAAATGAAAGAATAAAATTCATTTGAATAAGATAAAATTTATTTGTTTATTATTTTATTATTTATGTTGAATTTATTTCAGTGGATATAATCGTGAATATTCGTTTCATGTGGCATTTTTGGCATGCTGAAAAATCCTACGCAAAAATACCAAGCAAAGCCAATCATCAATCTTGAACTGAATTTCTTCACTTTCTTCAATGACTTTTTCATTATTGTTTCCTGTTCAGAAGAACAATAACAATTCTTTGTCAATTTTATTTTCTGCAATTTGCGTGGGTGCCTAAAATAACACAACATTAATAATACGAAAATTTAAGCTTCGATTTGAACTTCTACCTTAAAAAACTTTGAATATTTAAAACTTTACTTCACTCCAGAATGAGAACTAAACATCAACTGTGTAAGATGAATAAATAGCTTAATTGAATGAGTCTTATTCATAGATAAGATAAAGTAGAGTCTCATATCTTATCAGAGAGAAGTCTAAGACCTTTGTGATAGTTGAGTTGTGAAATTGTTACTGCTTATATGTATTTAGTTAAGATGCAACATCACTACATAAATTATTTGTGAGTTCAAAGGTCAGAAACATTCACGTTCTCACGATATTTAAATAATTTTAAAGTGTACACAATCCAGGGACTGACACTTATATTTAATACATTTAATCATCGTGCACTTATTTGAAATTAATCGTGCAATTAATGACTTCCTCAAACAAGCTACAAACATGTTTAAAGCATTAACACTTTAAAATCGATAAAAATAATTTTGTCATGAAATTGAACAACTTGTTAATTCACATTATTTCTTCTCCGTTTTAATTTAGCAATGAAAATTTCCAACATCAAAACAATAAAACTAATGAAAAGACCAATAATGAGCAACTGAAAAACTCCTTGCATTTGATCAAAATTGAGGGCTAATTCTCTTGATTCGTGTCTGTTTTTCAAATACTCCACGTCTGTAAACTTTTTCACCCACATATTTATAAATCCGCCACTTATCAAATTTTGAAGTACGCGATCGATCGAAGCTTGATACATAGAAAATTTGTTCATATAGATAACAATATTGTACAGCAAAATGTCATCATTAGCCCGATTGAAATATTTATTTGGTGAAGCACGAATGTTTCTGTAGGCCAAATTTTCTTCTGGAATCATCACGGCTCCTTTAAATTTTGAATCTGTTAAATTATTAATCATTCGATCATAAACTTCCTCATCATCTATAAAAGTTGTTCGACCAAGGATAGTTGGAGTATCATTTAACAGAGTTTTTACATGAGACATTGCATAAAATTTAAAGTCATTTTTAAGAAGTTCTTGAGTGGAACTCATATGATGATTTCTCAAATCACCTTGCAAAAAATAAAATAAACCTCCCGTGTATGAGTTACTCATAATAAAACAATAAAAAATGAACATAATTAAAATTGTTCTTGCAAAATTTCGAGTGGGAAGTTTGCTTAAACCTCCACCCAAAATGATCTTCACAACATTTAATTTCGGAGTTTTAATGTTTTTCCCAAACATAAAATCTTGAATCCTTTTGGGACAAAAATTAATAATTTCAATGATCAAAAGAGCCAAAATAAAAATAATTAAAAAACAAATCCACACTGCTGATTGAAACGGTTTTGTAAGCTTCTCAAAAGGTGTAAAAGAATCTCCAGGAGGAACAGCCCAAATTGCTTTGGAAGTGTAGTAAATTTTACTTGAAGTCATAAACTTTTCTCTTTTGGGATGATAAACGAAGAAGCCAAGAGTTAAATCTACTTTATTGGACATCACAATTTCCATAGCACCTGTAAATTTAATGATTAAATTAAATTAATTTTATATGTTAAGAATTCGTCAAAAGTTTCACCTGATGCTGATCCATTATCGTAAAGAAATCCCCGCTTTTCCTCCACCAATGTTATTTTAGGCGTGAAATTCATTTTCTCAGACAAAACATTTAAAAGAGTTCCTTCAATTCCATCTAAAGTCAGTTCGTCATTTCCATCTTTCTTTATTATCATAAATGGTTCATAACTGAAAGTTGCCACATTCAATGGACATCCTTTCATGTGAAAGTTTTTATGTTGAAAGTAATTTTTGACAATCCATTTATCAACGCTGATGTCATATCGACCAGTCAATCCGAATTCAGATTTACAATCTGCTGAACGTGCCAATTTCATGAATGGGAAAATCGTGGAGGTTTCTACCACACCAAGTTTATCATAATTGATCATATATTCAACATTAACAATATTAACACCCCAGAAATGTTTCGATAATGTGCTCATCCCTCCAAATGTCTCATATCCAAAAGGTTTCAGAAACACAATGAGAAAGAAACTGCTGGAATCATAATTCCAATGTCGAAGTGTTTTAGCAAATGCGTTGATCGTGACAATCGATTGAACAAATACAATGTTGAATTTCCTTCCAAGTTTGTCATATTCTTTTGGGAGAATTGGTTTTGAATAATCTTCCAATTGAACGACAAATTTTCCATGAAAATTACACAAAATATTGCGAAGATAAATTTCAACGTCATCTTTTGATGATTTTGGATCAAAATAAAAAATGTTTAATCCGCGATATCGTTGATGAATTTCCATGACATCGGAAACTAATTTTATTAGAGGTTGAGTTATTGGTAAAGAATGTTCAGAAGGCTCAAGATGATTGAAAGCTTCAGCAGTACCAAAGATTAACTGAAGCACAAAAATGAACAAAAATTTATTCCACATTGAAAATTATCAACTGAATCTACTTGACAGACGTAAAAGACTGAAAAGTTTAACACTTTGTTTGAGAATAGTTATTAATTGAAGTTTAGCTACATTTATGTGGTTTTCGTCAATATTTAGTTGATAGAAACATTAAAATGAATCACGCAATTTTATGCAATTTATGATTCTCTTAAACAAAACATAACTTATAATATTTAAATTTGTAAATATAAAACTACTACATGTTTGTCGAAACTCTCAGCATATCTGACTACATTCATTCATAAAGACAACTGCCGACCCGGTGTGCATATTTATCATTGTATAAATAAATTTTAACACATGGCAATGTTGATGATAAACAGAAATCGTAATGATTGTGCCGTAGTTTGATCATTGAAGGTCACACACGCACACAAGAATTATGATAAAAAAAGCGAAGCTACTCACATTTATTTTCAATCTGCAAATGCGAGAGTGAACTCAGTACATGTTTGAACTTCGAGAGTTTTCAATCGCGAATTTTTATACCAAGATGAAGTTCTTAAATTTGTTGACTATCTTTACTTTATTTTTGGTTCAAAGTGAATGTTCGAAGATTCTTGTGACATATCCATCGATAAGTAAATCGCATATTATGCCATTACAATCATTGGCTGTGGAATTAGCAAGCAGAGGCCATGACATAACATTTTTCAGTCCTTATCCTCTCAATAAACAAGTAAAAAATATTCGTGATATCAAAATCCCATTCGACGAAGCAGATAAAGAGTTTTTGAATGAAGTTACGGGAAATCCCAAAGCTGCAAACATTTTTAATATGATTACGAAAATGAATTCTCTACTTTTTCGTACTTCAAATGACACGCTGCAGATGCCGGAGATGAGAAAATTGATGAAGGAAGAGAAGTTTGATCTCTTGATTGTCGGTTATGTCATGAGTGAATCTATGTTTGGACTTGCTGATCACTTTAAATGTCCGAGTATTCTCTTTAGTCCGGCATCAACTTTTTCGCTAATTAACCAAGCAGTTGGTAATCCCTTGGCTGTTTCTGGTACACCGCATATGATGAGTGCAGTTAAGAAAATGGATTTTGTTGGTCGTCTTAAAACATTTCTAGTGACTGGAATAGAATTGGTTGTCACGAAATATTTCAAATACAAATCTAAACAAGTTTATGAGTAAGAACATTTTCATTTTTGTTTATTAATTAAAGTGACTTTTATGTTTTTAGTTTTAATTTCCCAGCTGATCGCTATCGTTCTCTTGATGAATCTTTAAAAAATATTTCCTTAGTTATATTAAACTACCACTTCAGTTCGGGAGTTGTTCGACCTTATCTACCCAACATGATAGAAGCAGGTCCGCTTCAAGTCAAACCAAAACCTTCACCTTTGCCAAACGTAAATGATTTTCTTAATTTCATTTCTTAATACTTAATTTTCTCTTTCACTTCTTCCAAAGGATCTTAGGAACTTCCTTGATGGAGCAAAAGACGGTGCAATTCTTTTCAGCTTAGGATCAAATGCCAAAAGCACTTATTTGCCCAAAAACGTGTTACAAACTTTACTTAAAGTTTTCTCACAATTGAAGCAAAGAGTTGTGATGAAATGGGAATCTGAGAGTTTAGATGGAAAGCCTGATAATGTTTTTATTAGTAAATGGTTGCCACAAGATGATGTTCTCGCACATCCAAATACAAAAATATTTATTTCCCATTGTGGTCTTGGAGGAGTTATCGAAGCGAAGTATCATGGCGTTCCCATCATTGGATTGTCTCTATTTGGAGGTAACACGCAAAGTTCTTTTTAAATTTTTAATTCTCCATTTCAATATTTTATCTAGACCAACATGCAAATGCTGATAATATTGTTAAAGACGGATGGGGAATAAAACTTGACATCAGCAACTTCCAAGAAAAAGATTTTAAAAACTCTTTGAGTGAAATTCTCAATAATCCAAAGTAAGAAAACTTTTCACTCACTCTAAGTATGAAATCTTTTCATGAATAGTTTTTTTCTTATTCAGATATTCCCAGACTGTTAAAAGATTGTCAAAACTTATCCAAGATCGTCCAATGAATGCTTTAGAGACTGCCACTTTCTGGGTTGAATACGTTCTTAGACATCATGGAGCTCCACACATGCATTACCCTGGAGCTGATCTTAACTTCTTCCAATACAATTCTTTTGATGTCATTCTATTTCTTATTGCTTTAGTTTACATTTTCATGAAATTTGTGAAGTTTATTTGTGTCAAAATGTGTTGTGGTGGTAGCAGAAAGACAAAGAAACAAAAGATAAATTAACAGCAGAAATCGGACTCAAGATAAGTTATTTTTTGAAATGAAAAACTGTAAAATGATGTCATGTAAATAAAATTAGATAGTTTATCAAATTTCAGTAATTATGAAAATTTATTACTTTAATCTTCAAAGTAATTCTTAAGAACATTAAGCTTTGCGATGTAGTTTACATCTGTGGATTCCTTTCCGTTATGTTTAAAGCTTTTTAAGAAGGTCACATAATCATCAGGTAAGCCCGACTCAACTGCACCATTAACAATAACATTTAAGTAAGTTTTTGAAGGTTGTCGTTCGTAAGGACGTACTTGCGGGTATAATGTTGTAAGTGGATTATGAGTCAGAACATAGACAAGACATGAAACTTTGCCATCATCAGTTAAAATATCTTTCCGGATAGATTTGTATGTACCATTGTCAACACCTTCTTGTGTATCAAGAATACTTTTTTCATCTTCGTTAATTTTCCAAATAGCTCCATACGCTACCGATCCATGACTTTCAACAAGTGTCGCTGTTGTCCCATTCCAAATTGATGAGAAATTATTTTCATAAGCATTTGCATCTGCAAAATCGATTTTATAATCGTTTATGATTCCCACACCAACACGTTCAGGACTTTGTAGTGAAATCTACCGTTGAATAAGACACCTGAATTATATTTCATAATTACTCTAAATAATAATAATACCTTCATTTTATTTTTAAATAAATTACTTGCGTAGCCGAAATAGTAAAATTGTCCCATTCTTGATAATATTTTAAATGAACGTCTTCTTTAACCACCTATTTACGTCTGACTAAGAAATCGCTTTTTGCATTTATTATCAGCATTTTTTGTAAAAAAATCATATTATAGGTATTTCTGTTGATAAAAACAAAGATATTTTGATATCATGTTTTGCTTATTCATTCATTGATTTTTCTTCAAATAAAAGTATCAACAGAATTATCATCTTCTATTCAATATGAACTTGTATTAAAAAAAGAGATTCTTTATGGAATGTAATATAATTTAATTCTTTTAATATTTGTGATTCATGGCTCCGTTTACGAGATATCCAATGAAAAGGAGTTCATTCGCATTTTTTCGCGTTTTTCAATTGAAAAACAAATGAACTATGGATTAAATTAATCTGGATTAAAGAAGATTAGATTAAATACCTTTTAAAAAAATTTACTCGGTAGTCCAATTTTCAATGTGGAATGACACAACCTATCATTCAGTAGAAACTCAGATCAAGATCAACAGAACAATATGATATTTCAGCTGAAAACAGATTGCAATTAAACTTTTCCTATTTCTTATTACTGTTCTAATAACGTGAAGAGGAAATAAAGCTACCTAATTAAAGCAAAAAATATCTGGATTCTAAACTTTTATTCAGTGAAAAAGATTTGACACAGTCCAAAGTTCAAGATAAGGTAAACATTTAGATCAAAGTTCATCGAACATATTCTCATTCCGATGGCATTGAAGTTGATTCGATTTTCTGTTAGTTGTGCTTTAGTTGCTCGAAAAATATTTCATAGATACCCAAACTTTAATTATCATTTCACAAAGTTCAAGGTACGAACTAAAACGAACGAATGAATGAATTCATTCATAAATAACATTAATTTATTTTTTTCTTTGTCTTCAATAGAGTTCACAACCACTATTAATATCATTTCTTGGGATTCAATTTGGTAAAAAAGACGGAGAAAATAAAGACAAAAGTTCAATTCATACAATGACTGATCTCAAAGTTCAACTTGAAAAAGCCGATCAGCTGGTCGAGGATAACAAATATCAAGACGCTGTCGATTTTCTAAAAACCCTCGATGTGTCAAATCCCGAAGTATCACGGAGGCTAGGAAGAGCGCTATTTAAACTGTCGGGAAGTGAATCCAATAATGCTAACAAAGCTCAAATGATTCGTGATGGTTACAAATTCGTCTCAGAATCGTTGGAGAAAGATGATACCAACTTTGCAACGCATAAATGGTATGCAATTCTACTCGATGCCAAATCTAACTTAGATGGAATTAAAGAACGCATAACACAACTGGAGAATGTGAAGAAACATATGATGCGAGCAATCGAATTAAATCCAGAAGATCCAACAAGTCGCTACATTCTCGGTGAGTTTGCGTTTGGTTTGGCTGACCTTCCATGGTATCAGAGAAAAATTGTTTCAACTATTTTCGCAACACCACCCAGTGGAACATACGAAGAAGCTTTGGAAAGCTTTCTTAAAGCCGAATCACTCGAAGCTGATTTTTATTCCATGAATAAACTGATGATTGGCAAATGTTATTACCAACTTAAGAATATGGAAAAAGCCAAAGAATATTTGACGAAAGCTGTCAACATTCCAGTTCAAAATGAAGATGACAGAAAGTGCAAAAGTGAAGCAGAATCACTTTTAAAGAAAGTGAAATAATAATTGTAACTAATTATTAAAAGCCATGACGATAGCGTTTGCTACCTAGTCAGAATAATTAAAAATTATTTGATCGAATTTTCTTTTTTTTTCAATTTTGTAATTGTAGAAAAATAATTGAATAAATTTTTTTTGATACGCACATGAAAAAGTATTTTAAGATTTAATATCGACGCACTTTCTGAATGTTGTCTGCAGAAATTTACCTTTTTTTGGGCTATGTATTAATGAAGAAACCTGTTTCAGAATCTTTTTGTTTGCTCTCCGTCTCTTTCATCTTTCGGATAAGATGTTTGTTTCTCTTGTGTTGCCCAATCTCAAGCCCAATCTTTGTTTCTCTTTAAAATCTATACAATATCTGAAGATATTCTTGGACAACACAAATTTCCGTTCCATTCGTCTCACGTGTATTTGTGTTTAGAATCTCAGTTTCATCATCAAACGAGAGTAAAAAAGTTCTTTTTGAGACATTCTTGTGACTAACGTTACAAAGAGAAGAACATTTTTATAAGCAACAATTTTTCTAACAAAAGAATAATTAAAGTGGTGTAAATGAAACAGTTTCAATATTGCAATCAATATCAAAGTGTTGTTGATAATTCAACGAAATAAGAAAGTGAAAAATATATTTGATATCTTTCAGAATAAATTCAAGCAATATCTAAGATATTTGAAAAGAAAACCAGATTCTTCTCCATTGTCTTCAGTCTTGTCCTGAGTTTTGTCTTCAACGTTCCATACATAATTAATTTCTTTTTATGATTCTCCATTCTTTCGCTCCTTTTTCGATGCTGTTGAGTGGATGGTTTTAACATTTCGAGACTCATAAATATTTCGTAAAAAATAAGTTATGTGAATTTGGAGTGCTTTGGAAAGAAAGAAAGAATGCAGAATTTCTGGTGGAATCGAATTATTTATTATCATCAAATCGTTGAATTAATGAATGAGTAAAGAAAATTGACGTTAATTTCTGCTTGAAGTTTGTAATAACACATTTTTGTTGCTCGAATATTGTTGAAGTTTGCAACAACATTAAAACAAAGAACAAATTGTCACGCAACTTGCTTATGGATTAAAAAGCTAAAATGGGAACGAAAATTCCAGCAGATCGAATTTATCACAGTGATAAAGTACTTGCTGGTGTACCACAACTTCTCGATGATTTTCACAAGTTGATTGATGATCAAGAATCAGGTAAGAAAGGTTTTATTGTAGTTTAAAGAATTTATTTGATAATTTCTCTTTTTTAGCTGATGTTGTGTTTCTTTTGGGACGTGAAGAAGAACGAATTTACGCTCATCGTTTAATTCTTATGACAAGATGTAAAAGTTTTCAAGTATCGCCGGGTGCTTCAGGTATTTAATGAAATCTTTCAATAACATTCATAAAATGAAATTCGATTTGTAGCATCAAAAATGCGAAGTGAAATTTGTCGGATTCCCGGATCAACTGTTCTTCCATCACCTGCTGGAACTCCAACATTAATTCGTCTACCACATATACGACATGAAGACTTTCGACAGTTCATAACTTATGTCTACACGGCAAAAATTATTCTTCACGATTCAAAAGTCTTCCAAATCATGAACATCGCACACGATCTTGGATTGACCGACCTCAAGACAGCTTGTCAAGATCATGTCATTGCGACAATGTCAGTTGGAAACGCTTGCACATTCTTGACGTCAGCAATGGAAATTCAGGAAAAGATCGGAGGAAAATGCGCAGATTCATTCGTTGATCGATGCATCGCTTACATTGGTGAACATGCCAATGAATGTGTGAAATCTAGCGGATTTTTGAACCTTTCAAAAGAAGCCATCATCAAAATTATATCTTCGGATTTTGTAAATGATTTTTAATTTCTAAACATTTCATGAAACTTATTCAATGAATTGATTTCAGTTGTGCCTTGAAGAAGAAAATGTTTTCCGAGCTGTTCTCGAATGGAGTAAAAATCAAGCTGGTGTTACGCAACCGTTAGCTCATTGGAACGATGAAGAACGACAAAGAGTGTGCAAATATCTTTCACCAATCATTCATCACGTTCGAATTCTTCTTATTGACAGTCAAGTCTTCGCTGAAGAAATTGAACCAACTGGTGCAGTGCCAATGGAATTAGTTTTGGAAAGATACAGATTTGCAGCACTTCAATCGAATCAGAAACAAGGAATTCAAAATATTCCGCCACCACCACTTCCATCAAGCTCATCAGATGCGGACAAGCGATTACAGCCACGATTGTCACTCAATCTTTATCCAGGTTCGAATATTTTGCGCAATGATAAAATGCATTTGCAAGCAACTTTAAATGGATTCTTTGGTAATCCAAAGCAAACTTGGCGATTGGTTTATCGAGCTTCGATTCATGGATTTACAGCGGCAGCTTTTCATCGGCATTGCGATGGAATTGCTCCATTAATGGTCATTGCTTTGGTAATATTTTGATTCCAATAAATTATTAATACAAGTTAAAGCATAAAAAATATTTTCTAGGGAAATCGTGGCGAGATCAGTGGCGGCTTTACTGATGTTGCTTTTACAAAAACTAATCGCAAAGGTGGTTACATTCAATCGGAAAGAGCTTTTCTTTTCGCTCTCAGCTCACCTCAACCAAACTTTCAAATTGCAAAGTTTGATATTGTTAAAAAGCCTTACAGTATTTGTTATCATAAAGATTGTGGTCCAATTTTTGGTGCCGGTGCCGATCTCTTAATTGCCAATAGTTGTAACACTAACATGGATTCCTATTCAAACTTACCACATTCATATGATGGAGCGAATGCAAACTACACATCACTCTTCGGTGATTATAATTTCACAATTCCAGACTATGAAGTTTTCACTTTGGGATGACCAATCAAAATTAAGTAATTAATTTCATTTTTCTTTCAATAAAAACTCCTTTTTGAGATTCTTTATTTCAATATTTTTGAACATTATTTTTACTTTCAATTTCCGTACTGAACCAATAGTTAAAATCTAATCTTAAGAGAAGTTGTGCTAATGGTTGTGCACTTGTTTGAAGACTTGACAATAATTTAAGAAGAGACGAAACTTGTTCTGAGAAAGTATCTTCGAATATGTAAAAAGTTTGTCTGTCAATTTCGCACATTGGATTCGAAACGATGTAAGTAAATGCAGTGAATTCGTCGGTAAGACAAAGAATCTTATCAAGGATATCGAAAACTGGATTAGTTGTTGATGTTGACATATTTCCGATCACAGATCGTGTCATTGGTTGGGCTGACTCTAGTAGAAAACAATGACCGAGAATGTTAGCTTGAAAGCAGCTATGAGCGCGTTGAATTTGTTCAAAATCTTTTGTCTCACGAAGTTTATCCATCATGATACTAAATTGGCTTTCAAGAACATCAGCTTGAAGATAATATTGAAGATTATCAACGATGAACATTAATTTGTTTCTGAACTGTAGAAGTTCGCTGCTTCTCTCGATTTTCTCTTCACGATGATGACACCAAACCAAATGAAGATCGTGTTGAGTCTTTTTAATTCTTATTAGGAACCGAAACAATTCATTATAATGTTCAAGAACTTTTGGTGAGAAGAGTAAATGAAGTGGCCATTTGATCTTGTATCGAAGAAAAACTGAATCAAAGAAATTTGTTGCTTCAAGGATGATCGATTGGCCATTTTCATCCTTGCTTTTGTCGTTATTTTTGATGACTTCAAAATAAAAAAGTTCAGTCTCATCGATGATGTTGACACTCGTAGCTGCCAATTGAAATGCTTGGTTTATAGCACGAGCATTATCATCACCAAGATTTTTCGATTTCAAAGGTTTCAATGCTTTGATGAACTCATAGAAAAGCTCACCACGACCAAGCAAATAAAAATCTTTGATAAGTTTTAATTGTTTCACGAGATCCGCTTCTATGACTGTAATATCACTTAAATGCTCCGTGACACACAACTTTATCTCATCTACAATCTTCTCAAATGTTAGAACTGTAAGTTTATCAATATCTTGAAGAATGTGAAACTTTCCAAACAATATTTGCTCTCGATCACCCCACACTGTATGCTTTTCAGGTGCATCAATAAACTCAGAAGATTCTGCCGGCATATTTTTCTCTGTTTCTCTTGCATCTGAGTTGAACATAAGAACCGTTTGTCCTATGAAAAGAACTTTTTCTGCCCATGATTTTGGAAAGTAAATGGGAAGCATTTCATAATTTATTTCGTAATGCCACAAATCAAGATTAATACTCGGTTCGGATGAATGGAAAGTTGTTGCTGAATATTGTGTATTCAACGTTGGATGTTTATCATGATTTTCTTCGATGTGGCAAATGAAGAACTCTCCATAAATATCAACGAACTTTCCATACATTACCCATTGACAAAGTTGTTGAATGAACACCATGTAAACCGATTTTTGAATACTAACAAACAATATTAAGGGTATTATGAAATATATTAATAGAAAATAAAAGATTCACTCACATTTGAACAAATTTCATGATGGAACTGTCACCATGCATCGCATGATCTTGAAGATATTGCAGAATTTGACATCCAAAGAGACGTTGAGATTTTAATCCATTTATGAATCGAATTGCGAATTCAAAAAGAGGACGAAACTTTTCAAGTTCGTGAAAAATAAACATCAGACTGAGTGTAGGCTTTCGAAGGAATTTCTTTTCAAGATCCATGACAGTATCATTGTAGAATTCCATTGCATCTTCTAATCCGTTAGCGAAGGCTTGAAGATAAAATCCGGGAGGAAGAGGATTTGCTTCGATTTCAAGGGTAATGCGTGAGTTCTCATTTGCACATGTACTATACTGAGAAATAAATTTCTTTATTTCTCGGTAAAAGTTTGATATCTTGCTGATATCTTTTAATGTTTTCATTTCAGCAGGATGAATAAAGTTTGATGAAATTTCCAAAGTCTAATAAAAAATGAATCAGAAAAGTATTATATTTTCTTTAAAGTTTTACATACCATTAAATCTTTTATGACTTTTGATTCTTTATCGGAAAGAAGAGATAGAATTATATCGTGAATCATGTTTTATCGCTTGAATAAGATTAAAAAACAGCTAAACTTAACAGCGGCTAAAATTGTAAACAATGGTACTGTTCAGAAACAAATGTTCGTTAAATTTCGTTCAGTAAAACTCACACTACTTCACAATGTTTTTTTTTAAAGTGTGAGTGATAAATTTCGGCAAATTTTGGAGCACGTTTAGTGTTTAATTTAAATTAAAATTAACTCCAGCTTTTAAAAAAATGGATACAGTGACTACAAAAATAATATCAAAAGACATTCTGGATCCATTCGAAGTAATCACTGAGGAAGCTTTATATGATCTTATTCTTCAACATTTAAGTGGTAAAGAAATTATAGAGTTATCAACGGTGAGTCACCGGTATGATGAAGTGATTTCGAAAAGTAGACACTGTCTCGATAAAATCTCTTTGGTTATTGATGAGGAAACAACGAAATCAGATTTTTATGATCACCAAAGAGAATATCGTCATTTGAGAGTAAACAAAGCTTTTCATATTCCGGATACTTACAAAAGCTCAAAGGTTAAAAATCAAAAGCTTGTTGAGATTTTGAGAAGCTTTTCCTCTTCTTTGATTTCTATAGAAATTAAAACACTTTTAACACAGAGTAATGATGTTTTGGATGTAACATTCGATAAACTGGATGACCTTAAGATTATGGGCTTAAACAAATTTATTGTTAATTGTTTTACAACAGCTCCGGTGCTTAAAAGTTTATCAATTATGTTCACAATGATGTCACATGATGAACTTATTAAATTTATTGGTAAATTTTCAACCATAGAACATCTTCAGTTTAAATATAGCATTTTTGATCGTCTTTTTGTTGAAGATATCTCTGAAAAATTAAAGTTGAGCCTCAAATCTCTCATCGTGCAGAAAGCCTCCGAAGGCAGAACAATAATTGATGAGAATTTCGAGATATTCTTGAAAACTCAAATGAGGACCTTAGAGGATATTGAATTTCATGATGTCGCAGATGCAGAAACTCTCAATTTCATCTTTAAAGAATTAAGAATGAAAAAGTTAACAGTAAACAGGATTGATGAACCAAACCAGCTTAATCCAAGAATGAATGCTCATATCACCGAACTTGTCATTAAAAGTGATTCAAAATGTTCATCTCTGATTTTGGCATCACCCAACTTGCATAAATTACATGTTCAAAGAATGAATAAAAGTTTATTAGAATTTTTATGTCGAAACCCTAATTTAAGAACAGTCACGTTCTGCCAGAAAGAAGATGACATTGAAACAATTGAAGAACTTTATCGAAGTTTGTCTAATGATTCAGCAAATATCTATAATGAAGCTATTCAATTTATTCAAACTTGAAATTATGATTTATGTGTTTTCTTTTAATTCCCTTACTAGAAAACTTGTTACAGCACGCACATTAATAAATGTTTCATCAAAATTAATAAATTTCTTAGGTTTTTTTAAAAATCTGGTTGTAAGATTGTCATTGAAATTTTGATTTAATTATTTGGTTAAAGATTTTCACTATAAGAATTAGATAGAAAAAAATAAATATTCTTTCCTGATAATAAAAAAAGTTATTTATAAGTTTAATTTTTTTTACGAGGTTTTAATTTACTTTGAACAGTAGATCAGTTCTTCAATCATCACTTGGTTAATTTAATTATTTCATTCCTACCCAACTGCTGGAACTGTGCAATAACTCCATCGAGTAAAGAGAATTCCCTTAATTCTGCCTTAAAATCATTCATAGTTTCGAAGAGAACAGCCCGAAATTGTGGAAGAAGTGAATGATCCAATGCTGGAAACATGTGATGCAAGAGATGATTCCCAAAATGTGTTAGAGTCATGAAGATATTAGAATTGGCTTCTTTTCTATCAATCACAGCACTTATTTGATAAATCCCAAAATCAAGCTCCTTGAATTCATCCCCTTCATGAACAATTGTTTTTCCATGGTGACCAGCATTGATTGAAATCGAATTAAACATAAGACTTCCAGCAAATGATATCCAATTCCAATGATAGAACAATCTTAAGAAATTTTTTCCTGATATTGTGCTATCACCACCAAAAAATAACATCGATAGAGGAAGAATTCCTACCAGAAAATCATGCCACACAATTCTATCACTTTTCGAAAATATGAAACCACCAATTCTGTTCAATAAAAAATCAATTAGGTAAGTTATAAATTTTCAATTTTTATCTTTAAACAATAACTTGCCTTGCAATAATAACTCTCCAAAATAGAAATCCACATAAAAAAGGAGCTATTAAATAAGATTTTAAAATATCAAATTTAGTTTTATGATGAATTGGAAGCCATCGGAATCCTGGCTCGTACCCTGATATTTCCAAATCATTCAATGTATTAGGATACAAGTGATGCGACTGTGATTAAGAAAAATGTTGCTTAAAATTCGTAATGGACTTTGCGTAATTTGAAAGCTTACAAATGCATGGAAAACTCTCCATTCCCTCATATCTACTCCAATTAAGACAGATAAATACATTCTCCAATTATTTCTTTGATGAATGAAGTTATGAGCTGTTCCCATAAGAGTTACACAACTAAGAGGCGCGAGAAATCCGAGGATGATCTTTATGCTTTGAAGTTCTCTCACTCTTACGAACATAAGCGATGTGAAAAAGAACAGAAAAAGATTTAAATCGGAAATTATCTTGGATTTCCACAAAGGGCTTTTGTCCATTTTCTCATAAACTTTTGCAGCACGACGTTTCAGAGTCCGATAAAAACCATCATCTTTGAAGGTAAATTTGTAGTTACGTGGTAAATTTGCTTCCTTAACATAATATTTTTTTAACATTTTTGATGCTTTTTCTGTCAAATGATATGCTTCAAAAGCTTCCGTGATATCTAAGCCCTTGAATATTTATTAGTTAATATGTGAATTAAACCAATATAAAGTATGATTTTATATTTTATTGATCGAATTTACATACCTTAGTGAGAGTTAACCACTCTCGTCCACCAGGATGTGCAGCTACAAACTTTTCTAAATCGTACAATTTATCATGAACTCGCCATAATCCTTCGGCATTATCATCTATTTGCCTTCCTTCTATCCATTTCCAAGTGCCATTAACGAAATCATCACGATATGTTGGATATTTTTTAAGAATTGTTGTATGTTTATTTTGACTATCTTCAGACATTTTCACTATTTTTGAAGAAAGTTAAACTTCGAAGGCTTTTTTTTGTCTCAGCGAATAATCTAAACACAATTTAATAAAAAAAAATCAAGGATCTTCCAAGATTCATAGTCGGAAATTTTTATTTTGTTATTTGAACTTTTTTATTCATTATTCATAATATTTCATTAATAATCATCTAATTTATTTTTGCTTTAACTTATTCAAAAAAAGAAAACCACTCACAGCTGTTTAATTAAAATCACACGAAATTCAATCAGACAACATTCAAATCTTGCGAAAAGTTTTCAACTGAGAGAAAAATTGACGCGTGTTGAATTATATATCTTTGAGACAATGTGGCTGATCATCTTCGTTGTGAAAAACCTGTTTTTGAAAACTGAGTAGGTCTAAACTGATGTTAGTTTCAAAGCTTTTCTCCGTCTTTTCACAAGTGTAAACTGATCTCAGAATTTAATTAAATAATTTAAATAATTTAAAGAGATCGATGCTTCGGCTTTGCGTATATATTTATATTTTATAAATATACCCAAACGTGCACTCTACAACTTAAATATTTTAGTCAATAAGACAAAGTCACATGCAGAAACCCTAAGAAAATATTAAAAATAAAGTTTAACAAATAAAATTTTCATTAATGGTTCAACTTAAGTTCAAAGAAATAAAGACAAATTATCAAAAGAATTTCAATGACTTCTTATTAAGTTATTGAAATTAAATTTTCAGGTGTTTGTTGTAAATGCTGAAATGAAGATGTGCAATCACAGAAGATGAAGAAGATGAAGAAAAATAATACTAACACAAATGTCCTTTGATTCGATCACGCTAACAGATTTGAGGTTTAAAAATATATGAAAACTGATCAATTGTTAAGAAGAAATTAAAGCTTTTTGCTAAATTAACTAAACATTTTATCATGACATAAAAGTTTTCCAACTTCAGGAAATATTTTGATATTGTTTACTCACGATGATATACAAAATTTAAAGATATTGAATTTTGTCAAAAACTTGTTTCAAACATTTAGGTAGATATTCATTTTAAACTAAAACAAATGCGAATCAAATTTGAAAATATATTGTGGACATGATTAATACATGCAAGCTTATGATGACAGCATATTTATTCAATTTCCAAGGAAAATAGTTTCCAGTTGTTGGATATACTAACAGTAGGTTTTTGATGTTCAGAGAGGAAACACCACAATTCAGAAGAAAAATTAAAAAGTTCATAAGGATGCTTACTGAAGAGCAGGATAAAAAGAAAGCTTTGGCTGATTATACGCCTACGAAAGTGGAAAGTGTTTTCAGAAAACATCGTCAAGAGACATTGAATTTGAACGGTTGGGGATATACAGACAGCATTTTTCTTTATGACAAAGGGAAATTAATTTTCACAGGAAACAGGTAAATTTTAATTAATTAGAGTTAACTAAATGATTGTCAAATTTCATGAAATTTCTGAAATATTTTTTAATAAGCACAAATTCTAAATATATACATAATACGCATTGAAAAAAAGGATTTCGAACCAGCTTCGAAAATTTCTTTCTAAATGAAATTTAAACCTGTTTCTTTAAAAAATATTCAGGTATCCAATTTGCAATATTCCATTCAACAAAGCACGATCAAAACTTTTAGAATTGTACAAGTCGGATGTGGCCAAATATAAGCCATACGTCAATCCTGTTCACAAAGAAAGTGATTATCCACCAAAAGTTGAAAATCTCGAATTTTGTAAGGAATTATCAGACGCAAAAATCGAATTTTCATTGGATTTTGAAGATCGTTTCTTAAGATGTCGTGGACAAGCCACAAGAGAATTTTATATTTTACGTTTTGGAAAATTCAAGCGAATCCCTGATATTGTTGTTTGGCCGAAATGTCACGAAGATGTCGAAATTGTTGTGAAGCTTGCCAACAAATATCTGTCAGTTATAATTCCATATGGTGGTGGAACAAACATAACTTTGTCCGTGACCTACACGAAGAGAGACAGTGGAAGATTCTTCATTTCACTTGACACATCGCAGATGAATCGAATTCTTTGGATTGATCGAGTAAGCATGCTTGCATGCATTGAATCAGGAATTGCTGGAAAAGATATGGAAGACGCCTTACAAGCAAAAGGATTAACTGTCGGCCATGAACCAGATTCACTCGAATTCTCAACACTCGGTGGGTGGGTTGCTACAAGATCATCAGGAATGAAGCAACAGACTTATGGAAATATTGAAGATATTGTCACTAAAATTAGCCTCGTAACAAGTGTTGGCACTTTAGAGAAAAACTTCCTCGTTCCACGGGCTTCAATCGGTCCTGATTATGATCATGTTATTATGGGTTCAGAAGGAACTCTTGGTGTCATAACGAACGTTATTGTCAAGGTTCATCCAAAGCCACCAGTTCGAAGATGCGGCAGCATTATGTTCCCCGACTTCCAATCAGGCGTTAATTTTATGTATGAAGTTTCAAAATTTCGTACTAAACCATCAAGTTTAAGGCTTGTTGACAACGATCATTTTCAACTTGGACAAGCTTTACAACAAAATAAAAGCATTTTTGGTGAAATTGTAGATCAATTTAAAAAGTTTGGAGCTTCGTTCTTCTTGCGTTATGACATGGAAAAGGTTTCACTTGCAACATATTTGTATGAAGGTGAGAAGGAAGATGCTGACATGATTGAAGATAAAATTAAAGACACTGCTTGGAAGTTCTGGGGAATAGTTGCAGGTCAAAAATATGGTGAACGAGCTTATTTGATGACTTACACGATATGTTACATTAGGGTAAGATTGATCAGAATTCTGTTGAATACTTTCAAAGATATTCTAATTTTTTTTTCAATTTTCTTAAGGATATGTTCTTCGATATGGGATTCCTTCTGGATTCAATTGAACCTTCCGTTTGTTGGTCTAAATGTTGGCAAATGATTCAATCAATTCAAAGAGCATGGGATGAAGAGTTAGAAAGAAGAAAACTCTTTAACATGCTTGCTATTCGTATATCACAAATTTATAACGATGGAGTTTGTGTTTACCTTTATTACGGTATTGGACCGACAACTGAAAAAGATCAACTTGAAACATTTGAAGAATTAACCACAATCATTAGAGATGTAATTAAAGTTAGTGGTGGTTCACTCTCACATCATCATGGCATTGGAAAGAAAAGTTCACATGGATATGTTGACGCTGTGTCAAGAGTTGGCACTGACATGTTCCACTCTATAAAAAAGCGACTCGACCCAAACAATGTCTTTGATGCTGGCAATTTAGTTGAAGATAAAACTGGTGCGAAATTGTAAAATCAAATTTGAGTTACTTATGTAGGAAAATATTTTATGGATATGTATATAACATTTAAATAAGAAAATAAATTTTGAGTGAATCTTCTAAAAGATCAGCTTTACAAGCTTGTTAGAATTAACATTGAAAATCAAAGTCCTTGAAAAATGTTATTTAGATTGCCTTTAAGATGACAATTCAAATTTTGGAATACTTTTTAGCACAGATTTAAATTTGCATTTCATATGAGTTTTGTTTACGTAATATTTTGGATGAAAGACGTAGACAGAGTTTCGCTTCGCCATGCTGCATCACTTTTCACTTTCATTCCGTTATCGTAACTCGACCAAAATTTAAATATTTTTGATCATATCGAAGTTGTTTATTGTAAAACTTGTTTTCAAAATTTTATTTTCTTTAAGGGAATCTTCACCTGTTGTCGTCAACAAAAGCTTGTTTTTATTTTTTTCTTCCAAAATTTAAAAGATGAACCAGTTTTCAAACACACATTCGTTTGTTTTATATTAGGAAGATCGACGAGAAATGGCAATATGTGTGAGATTTATCATCAACTAGTTTGAGAAATTTTCATTTCTGACGGCGAGACTGAGTCAGCTATTTAAATATCGTTAATGACCTCTTGTGAATATTTTTATTATTTATAAGATCGACGTAAGAACATTACATGTTTGGAATATCTGAGAAATTCCTCAATATGAAAGTATGAAAATCATGTAATAATTTTTTTATGTTTTAAAAATTTATGCTTTGAATTCAGAAAATGTTTCTCGTTACCTTGACGACTCACAGAAATTGCTAGAAATTATTTGTATTTGCAGGGAAATATGCTGGATTTGAAAACAAATGAACGTTCAATAGTATTAATTCATTCCTAGCAACCAATTTTTATTACTTTAACAACTTTCATTATAATTCTATTTGATACAAATTCATCCTTGTTGTAAAATATTTCGGAAATTTAAGATACTTAGATGTCAAGTTTAAATGGAATTAAGAAAACTGTGACCGTGAAGATTGAACTCCCTGAAAACAGTGAAAATGTCTTAGCAGTAAACTTTCCACACTCATTTAATATTGAACAATTGAAGGAAGATATTTCGAAAAAGTTTAAGATTTCTGGTAAACACTTGATTATATTGCAAGGCGATGAAACACTGAACGATGATGATAAATTGTGTCATCTGGACCTGAATCATTTTGGAATTATTGAGATAAAATTGAGGCTGACTGAAGATGCCATAAGTGAAGATATAAAGTTAGACACAAGCGTTTACTACACAAGTTTCACTCTTCCGGATATTATTACTGTTCACGTTCCGATAGAGACTGAAGACGGTGAAACAATCATACGGGACCTTGTTGTTGAAATTGAAAACAAATCGATTAAAAAACCTTTTCTTGGTGGATATATTCATAAGAAAACAAGTAAGATTTAGTATTTATAAAGTAATTTTTTTACTTTAATTAAGCTAATGCGATTACAGAGATTGAGTATCATCATGCATTTACACAAACCGGACCCTCTACGGAACAAATACAGAAGGTTAAAGATAAAAGGTTATGCCGAGAAACTCAAACGGTTGATTTACGTCGCATTGCCATTGTAATTTTAATGACACTTTTAATTAATAAATTTATTATTGACATTCTTTGTATTTCCTACTTAGGACACAAACAACGATCGCTCAACACAATATTTTGGGGAAGCGAATGAACTTTTGTATTTGAAATCTTCTGATGATATTGAAGTAGAAACTCATAATTTCGAAACCTTTGAAGAGTCAGAGAAGCGTAAAGACATCTTAGGGAAGGTTCTTATTATTCAGAGAAATTTTCGTCGTTACCGCTTGCAATGTTGTATTAAGTCGTGTGCAGCTGAATATCGTCGATTAATGACAATTAAAAAGAAGAAAGAAGAGAGAATTAAACAAGAATATATCAACTCATATAAGAAGACAGGAAATTTCCCCCGAACAAAAAAAGATTTTGACATGTTGTTTGCGCAAATATCTTCATGGAAAGAAAGCGAAGTAAGTTCATTGTGACTGTAAAAAGTATGGAATAAATTTTTTAAAATTATTTTTTTTGAAAGACTCGAAGAATTACGCAAGATTTCACAGGGCCAGGAAGAATCGTAGAAATTCAAATTTTGTTAGAAAAAGAAATTCAACTTTTGAATGGAATTGAGAAGCGACGATGTGAAATTCAAAAAGAAATGGAAATTGTCAAACAAGATCGTTTGTTGCAGAAACATAGCGAAACTGTCAAATGGATCGGATATAAAGGTGAGTATGAAGATGACAGAAGAAACAATTTTTAATCAAATATTCATAATAAAGACGCATTAATTGAGATGGATACTTTGCGGAGTCAACGAGCCAGAAAATTAGCCGAATACTTCAAGCAACTTCGTCACTCAACCGAAAACATTCAAGATCGTTTGATGTTGATGAACAACATCAGTGAAGCATTAATGGATGAGAATTCAAATCGGATAATTGAGTTGGAAAATTTATTTCAACGAGAACGTGAGTTGTTATCGTGCAAATTGAGTGATGATGCACTTGAAATTTTACGACGACGGCAACTTGTTGTGTTCATGGATGTCATCAAGGATGAAGAACGAAACAAACGAGAGAGTAAAATTTTTGTTACTTGTAATGCTTGTAAATTTCCTGTTAAATTTAACATATTTTTTTAGAACCGATTTGTAGAGTTTGTGAACGATGTAAGACAGTTCAACCAATGGCGAACTTTGTGATGCATTCACGACAGAAAGATTATGACTTATGTCGTAAATGTTCAAGCTTGAAAGCGTCGAAAACTGATTTGAGTGTTTATCGAGCAATTCTGCGTGGAATTAGAAGAGATGAACGAAGACGTGGTGCTTTGACTTCTCTTGCTTTTATTATTCAAGAAACTGATATCAAAAAAATTATTGAAAATATCTGGCATGGAATTTCTATTTTGAGTCAGTGCGATGTTACTTCAGATTTAAGACTTCCAAGATGGAATGTAGAAGAAGAATGGTCACCATGGAACTGTGTATGTTTAACCGACAGTGAATCTCGCATTCACACAGTTTGTATCGATTTAGAGAAGATTTATGGTGATAAGATCATAAAAGATTGTTTAAGAAAACATTCACTGGCAAAGTCAACATTCAGACATTTAAAAAAAATTGACTCATCTTTCGATGACCCAAGTAATGACAGTAAAGTTGTGCAAACATAAAATTGTAAATTTGCAAAGTCGTCTCTCAATAAACCAGAACAACCAAAGAACAATTAAAAATGTTATCTTTAACTTAATCACTCAATTGATTGAAACAGTTTATTACACAAAAATAATTCCTGATAAGATAAAATGAAATGATAAGATTAGGAGAGTAACAATTAAAGGAATTTTGATGAAAGCGATATTAAAATAATTTTATTCATGAAATATTTATAAGAAGCTGCAATAATCTTGCAGAGCCCACGTGAACCTAAAAACGTGATAATTTGAGAAACATTTTGTTCAACAACAGATTTTCTACTTTATCGTAAGATTATCAGAAAACGATATTTACACAAATGCTTATCGTAGTCATAATTGACATTAATGAAGTATGTGCAAAGAATGATATAAATTACACATGAAATCATTTTTTTATCCATTTATAAGTTGTTCGTTACTTGGACAACACTTCTAGTGATTTTCATTCTTTCGCGTTAGTTAAACTTAACAAGTTCATGTGATAAAGTGAATTAAATACTTTCAACGAAATGCCACCGAAACCAAAGAAGGAAAATTTGGATGATTTAAAGCAAGAACTTAATGTGGACTTTCATAAAATTAAGATTAAGGACTTGTATAAAAGATATGAAACTCATCCCGAAAATGTAAGAAAAAGTTGGCAATGAAAAACATTTTTAAATATTATTTTGTGATTATTAAAAAATTATTAAGGGTTTGACACATGCGAAAGCAAAACAAAATTTAGCTCGAGATGGACCTAACGCCTTAACACCACCAAAGCAAACTCCCGAATGGGTGAAATTTTGTAAAAATCTCTTCGGTGGTTTTGCACTTTTACTTTGGATTGGAGCGATTTTGTGTTTTGTTGCTTACGGTATCCAAGCAAGTACAGTTGAAGAGCCAGCAGATGATAATTTGTATTTGGGTATTGTCCTTTCTGCTGTCGTTATTGTCACAGGAGTATTTTCTTATTATCAGGTTCTTGTTATAAATTGTTTGACAATTAAATCATTTCCTTAATTTTCATGTTATTATTCAGGAATCGAGAAGTTCAAAAATCATGGAATCATTCAAGAACATGGTGCCACAATTTGCAACAGTGATTCGTGAAGGTGAAAAGATTACTTTACGAGCTGAAGAACTCGTGATAGGCGATATTGTTGAAGTGAAGTTTGGTGATCGCATTCCGGCTGATATTAGAATAATCGAATCTAGAAGTTTTAAGGTGAATTCAATTTGTTATTTTCCACAGATGTTAATTGATGTTTTCAATACGTAACATCAATTCAACGTAAAATAGTTTACATTATGCTTATCTACGCAAGTATTTAACACTTGATGACTAAACTATCTTCCCTCAAGGTCGATAACTCATCGTTGACAGGCGAATCAGAGCCACAATCACGTGGACCTGACTTTTCAAATGAAAATCCACTCGAGACGAGGAATTTAGCATTCTTTTCAACTAATGCAGTAGAAGGTACAGCTAAAGGTGTTGTTGTGTCATGTGGTGATCATACAGTCATGGGACGTATTGCTGGTTTGGCTTCGGGATTGACATCTGGTGACACGCCAATTGCCAAAGAAATTCAACATTTCATTCATATCATTACTGGCGTGGCAGTGTTTTTGGGAATAACTTTCTTTATAATTGCAATTTCACTCGATTATCATTGGTTGGACGCTGTTATCTTTCTTATCGGAATAATTGTTGCCAATGTGCCTGAAGGTTTATTAGCTACAGTTACAGTTTGTTTGACTTTAACTGCAAAACGTATGGCATCAAAGAATTGTTTAGTGAAGAACTTAGAAGCCGTCGAGACACTCGGATCAACGTCAACAATTTGTTCAGATAAGACAGGAACTCTAACACAAAATCGAATGACTGTAGCGCATATGTGGTTTGATAATAACATCATTGAAACTGATACAACAGAAGATCAATCTGGCTTTCAATATGATCATTCAAGTGTAAGTTTCAAAGCATTGTCGCGTATTGCGACTTTATGTAATCGTGCTGAGTTTAAAAGTGGACAAGAAAGAATTTCAGTTATGAAACGTGAAGTTATGGGAGATGCTTCTGAAGCTGCACTTTTAAAATGTATGGAATTGGCACTCGGTGACGTGATGAAAATTCGAAGTCGTAATAAGAAAGTCTGCGAAATTCCATTCAATTCTACAAATAAATTTCAAGTTTCAATTCATGAAACTGAAGAATTGAAAGATCCTCGTTACTTGTTGGTAATGAAAGGCGCACCAGAAAGAATACTTGAACGTTGTAGTACAATTATAATGCAAGGTGTAGAAATTCCATTGGATGACGCAATGAAAGATGCATTTAACGATGCTTACCTTGAACTTGGTGGACTTGGTGAACGTGTCTTAGGATTCTGTGACTTTATGCTTCCATCTGACAAATTTCCAATTGGATATGAATTTAATCCAGACGATCCTAACTTCCCATTAGATAAACTTCGATTTGTTGGTTTGATTTCAATGATTGATCCACCTCGTGCAGCTGTTCCTGATGCTGTTGCCAAGTGTCGTTCAGCTGGTATCAAAGTTATTATGGTTACTGGTGATCATCCTATAACAGCAAAAGCAATCGCAAAATCTGTTGGAATTATTTCAGAAGGAAATGAAACAATTGATGATATTGCACAAAGATTAAATATTCCAGTATCAGAAGTAAATCCACGTAGAGCGAAAGCTGCTGTTGTTCATGGAGGTGAATTGAGAGAATTATCTCAAGATCAACTTGATGAGCTTCTGCGTAATCATAGGGAAATTGTCTTTGCAAGAACTTCACCACAACAAAAGTTAATTATTGTTGAAGGATGTCAACGATTAGGAGCGATTGTTGCTGTGACCGGTGATGGTGTGAACGATTCTCCAGCGCTAAAGAAAGCTGACATTGGTGTTGCTATGGGAATTGCTGGTTCTGATGTTTCTAAACAAGTAAAAAGTGAAATTTATTTATCGAGATGATCAAATGAAATATTTCTTTCATTAGGCAGCTGACATGATTCTCTTAGATGATAATTTCTCTTCAATCGTGACTGGCGTTGAAGAAGGCCGCTTGATTTTCGATAACTTAAAAAAATCAATCGCTTATACACTCACATCAAACATTCCTGAGATCTCACCGTTCTTGGCCTTCATCATCTGTGACATTCCTTTGCCTTTGGGTACCGTCACGATTTTGTGTATCGATCTTGGAACTGATATGGTGAGTGTTCTTTAACTAATCAATTTCTAGTCTAATAGTCTGTCTACAAAACTTTATCAAACACTTCATATCTAGTTCAATGTTTTATTAATTAAACAAACTATCTAAATGATAAACACGATACTCATTGACATTTTGTGACGAAAGATTATTAAGTTCAAGTTTAATATTTATATAAAAATATTTTAATATTGATCGATGGAACTAATTCTAAACTTCTCAATTGAGTTTTCTGACTTGATCAGATGCATTCATGTTGAATAACATTCTTAAGAATAATTCTTTCGTGACGCCCGCATTTTTTAAGGTTCCAGCCATCTCATTAGCTTATGAAGCAGCAGAATCTGACATCATGAAGAGACAACCAAGAAATCCCTACAATGATAAATTAGTGAATGAAAGGTTGAGTGAAATGTTTTAAATTTATTTAAGAATATTATCATCAATAACTTCATTTAATTAAATTTTTGATAGATTGATTTCAATGGCCTATGGACAAATTGGAATGATTCAAGCAGCAGCAGGTTTTTTTGTTTACTTCGTCATCATGGCAGAGAATGGATTTTTACCGAAGAAATTGTTTGGCATTCGGAAGCAATGGGACTCTAAAGCAATCAACGATTTAGAAGATTCTTATGGACAAGAATGGGTAACGATTATACATGAAATTCTGCATCTATCAATCAAACAAATAAATTTTATTCTTCACAGACTTTTAAAGATCGAAAGACGTTAGAGTACACATGTCATACAGCTTTCTTCATATCAATTGTCATTGTTCAATGGGCTGATCTTATTATTTGCAAAACTCGTCGCAATTCTATTTTTCAACAAGGAATGAAAAATTGGGCACTGAATTTTGGTCTTATTTTTGAAACTATTTTAGCAGCTTTTCTGTCATATACTCCTGGAATGGATAAAGGTCTTCGAATGTATCCATTAAAGTAAGACAGCTTTAATGTTAATATATTGGATAACAATTTGATACAAAATTTTCTTTAGATTTGTTTGGTGGCTTCCAGCAATTCCTTTCAGTGCTTCAATTTTCATTTACGATGAATCTCGTCGATTCATTTTGAGATGCAATCCAGGCGGATGGTTGGAGAGAGAAACGTACTATTAAAATGACGAAGATATTTAATTTTAGAAGTTTGAATACAAAATTAGTCATTGCGATATCAACATGAATAAATTTATAAGTTTGAAAAGAATGAAGATTGATTTCTTGCTGTTTAATTTCATTAAAAATTACTTGATAACGTAGATTGCAATGCTTAAATATAAAACGTGTTTTCAAATTGACTTTATCATGAAGAAATTTAACAAAACTTAATCTTGTTGAATTCTGATGTTCAAATCAATTTTACGCCAATTAGTAAATTTGTAAAACACAAGCATGAATACATAATTCAAGACATAACGAATAGCATAGCTACAAAAATGTTAAAATATTTTTCAATTAATGCCTTAGATAATAAAAAGATAGAATAATCATCATTTTTAATAGATATCTAAATTCCAGTAATATTTTGTTTTCAGGTATCAAAGACTTAAATTTCAAGTTGATGGTTAACTATTTTTTAACCAGCTTAAGATGTCTTTAAACAGCAATCATTCAGGTAAATTCTATTAGCGCTCATTAACGGTGTTAAGATTAACACTAGATGAAAATCTGTTTATCTAATCTTATACAACATAACTTCAGTGTGTCGCATTAACAACTTTCACATAGCGACGTATAAATTTAGAATATCTGCACTTACATATCTTGTTTAACATCTTTATCTGTTTTAAAATATTTTTCGCATTAAAATATTTTTAAGTGAAAGAAGACATAAAGTTCATGAGTATATTTGATTCACTTTCTTTTATCTTGATTTAATCTTATTTTTGAATCGGAAAGAATTCTTTGGTTCTAGTTTTAATGAATATCATAGAAGTTAATTTAGCGAAACTTCTCTCATATAAAATTGAATCATTATGACACGTTTATGTCGGATTATTATTAGCTTACAACTTTTTAATTTCTTCATCCAACAGTTGTTGCATACAAGCTTAACGAATTGTTTGATCAAAATACGAGTTAATGTAGCATTATCTTGTCATAGTGAAGATTAATGTTGTATTCATGCACTATTTCTATTTACACAAGTTGTGCTTTTGCTATGACAAATGCATGAGATACGACGTGATGTTTACAACAATGATTTAAAACTTAATTAAATATCTATACTAGGATTGTAGATTTTTATCTTTTGTTACATATTTATAACATATGAGAAAAACATGAATAGTGCAATTGTGAACAACTTCATTCCTTTTAACATTTAAATCAGTTTTATGTAAAGTTAATTAAGCGTGTTCACAATAATGGAGTAGAAAAGAATCAGAAATTTTCTTCTGTAAATTTTTTTTAACATTGGAAAACGGAGCAAAAGCTTATTATTCAACACAAGATATCATCTCTTCATCTAACGCATTGAGACTCAAAAGATTAAAGCAAAATGAAATTTCATCCAGAGAAGATATTTTCATTCTCATTTCTTTTAACTTATACGACGATTCTCAAACCTTTCTTAGCATAATTTTCGCTCTTTCTTTCTTTTCTTGTCAGAACTGTTCATTGCGCCACCGATCATCGAAGAGATCACACGTGAATTTTCAAGCATTAAAAGGTAGATTTTAAATGGTTTAATTCAATAAATACTTTTGTGAGTTAAGTTTTTTCAGTCAATTTTAAAATATTTTAAAGTAAAACTAAGAACAATTTATTCTTGTTGGAAATAAATTGTCTTTATTATTTCAATAAGATGCAAATGCAATGTAAAATGTGAATTTATGTTGAAAACTGTCTGACAAGCATTTGCGACAACTGCTTTTTCAACGGTGAATAAAAGAATGTAAATGAAAGTGATCGACATGACAGAAATATAATCAAAGAAGTTGCAGGGCGAACAAGAAAAACTGCAATAAAACAATCATTTTGCCCATGTAAGGATGAATCGAAAGTGAAACTTAAAGATCTCGATTCATCTAGGAGTGGCTCAAACATTCCTGCAGTCATCAATTTTATTTAAAAGAAGCCGATAGTGAATAACTTGATGTTTAGAATATTTAATATATCATTGAAGAGAAATAAAGCAGCTGTGTTAGCAACCACGGGGTTAACCGCAAGCGTGATGAATTAAAACACATTTCATAAATATGAATTAAAAAAATCTCTCCAAGGCGATCGTTAAGGAAATCTTTAAAAGCTGAATCTTCTTTAGCTTTTTATTCAAATGTTTGTCATAAAAACATGACCTTAATTAGTCAATTAAACCTATGCAAAATGTACAGCTTTCAAATTTAATTAAAGAAATTGAGAATCTTCGCGCTAAAAAATTTCTAATAAATTTTCTTCTGTTTTTGTTAGCAAATAAATCTTAGAGAAATTAAACTTTTTGTAGTCTCCAGAATGGTAATCGTAAACATATCTATGTTGTGTCTGCGTAACGATAAAAACCTTCCATATGTGAGCTATGAAATATACGCTCATTCATTAAAATGCTCTTGTTCAAAAATTAATTGTTCATCTTTCATATAAAAATGATCGTAAATGGAAACTTGTTATGGATTAAAAAATTGAATAAGAAAAGGTGAATGAAAGAAGATTTTTCTAACATTTCTTTTGCTTTTGTCTGATTTCAGATCGAGAGAGTGAGAAAAACAGTTGAAAAGACTTGCGATGGACAAATTGCTATTATCATTGTCTTTCATCGTGCTATTAGCTTCATTGACAGTTAATTCAGCACCGATGTCGATGGCAGGCTCTAAATTGATATCGACAATTGACCAGCGGCATCCAAAGCTCTCCGATCTTCACTCGCAAAGGCAATTCAATGAGAAAGATCAAAGCATTCAAATGCAGAAGCTCAATCAACTTCATAAACAAATGAATAAATACGACAATGAAGAGGTTGAAGCGAATGATGATAGCAAAAGCGAAGATGTTGATAGTGATGATGACAATCAACAACGACGACTCTTTATCAATCGACGATACGATGACTTGTTGGGCGAAATTCGAATGCGTCAGAATAAAATGATTGGATTCCGTCCATTCAGTGCACTTCCATTCGGTTACTCAGCATATTCTGCACCAGTTTATTATCCACCAGAGTTCTACGATGATTTCTTGTCATATTATGGAGGCTATGACAATGACGGAGTTGATGACGACGAAGAAATCATGTCTCGACAGAATCCGGGCAATCGAAGAAGACCAGCGAATGGAAACTACAAGAATTCTCCAATTTATTATATTCGACTGCCACCCACACCATACATGTTTGTACCGGGACTCGGATACATTTCTCAGCCTCCAACTTACACGCCAATGGCGCCAGTTCCTCAACCAATCGCTCCATTCTATAATCTTCCATTAGATTTCATTTCAAATGGAAAACCAACGAACATTTATCAATGGGGAAGTCCGTCGAATCCTTTTGCACCGCCACAACCGCAGTTCGTTCCACAGCAACCGCAATTCAGCGCTTATCCATCATATCAAAGACCACAAAGACCTTACAACACTCAACGACCCGTCAACCCTTTCATTCAAGAGTCGAAAGTCACAAACCTCAAAGGACCTTTCTTGTTTAATGGACGACCAGAAGAAATCTTCCTTCTTCAAAATACTTTCAATCCACTTTATACTGATCCAAGATTCTCTTCTCCATTTTATTGACGATTGTCATGCTAAGTTAAATTTCTGAAGTACTTAAAGTCACGTCAGGATAAAGCATTGTATTAAAAAAAGAAAAAAAATGCGAGTGCAACATGATGAAATTGTTTTAAATCAGCTTCGTAAGCATGATAATTTCAAGATGTCCACTCTTTGAATACTGACATTAACTACGTTTAAACATAATTGTGGCAATTCAAATTAATTTAAGACTCTTAATGATAAAATTGGAATTGTTTACTTAAATAAACTATCTAAATTATTTTTTTCTTATTTAAAAGAATCAACCTTTCGTTTTCATTTCAACTCTTTTTATTTTTCTTAATCATTCTCGACGGAGAATCTGAGAAATTTAATTGCAGGTTGACGTTTATAACGAGTCTGAAAGATGATTTCTTACTGTTTAACGATTTTATGAACATCTTTCATATTTAGCTTCAATTCAAACGTATCTAATTAAAAAGATTCTTACAATCTTTTCTATAAAAGTTTCAACTTTTATTCAAAGCTTCCAAGTAATCAAAGATCAACATTCTTGGTAAACATCAGCATAGTAAAAGAATGGTTATTTCCTTTATTTGCAAAGTTATTTAATTATATATAAATATCTACATAAAAATATGCTAAATAGTACGTACATCGCATCAAACTTTTCATAGAATTTCTTTCCCTTTTCTGACAAATAATGAGGTTGTTGAAATTTTGCTTGACAGACATCCGACATTTAATTAAATTTAATAGATTTTGATTTTTCGTTATTTGTTTATTTCAGTTTTATTCACTTATTTATAACATTTGATGTCTTTAGTTCTGACTAGCAATCTTAATGAAGGCGAGGTTGCGTTTCGTTGTCAAAATCAATTCTCGTCATTGTCACGCTACAGCAATTCTCAATTCAATTTGCGAATAGTTTTGCTTTCAAGCTTTCTCATGAACATAATAATTTATATCGGAGAAAATTCTTATTCAAACATTACGTAGAGTCACTCATTGATGTTTCTAATGAGTTTTAATGAACATTTTATAATCACACATTGTAGAAAACTGCGAAGAAATTACTGTTAAACTATCAAGCTACATTGTCAAGATCGTCAAACGTGGGTTGGTTCGTTAAGAACTTAATCATGTTGCCGATCTACTCGAATGTGTTTATGAAGTTATCTAATAATCTAAAAATGATGAAATATTCATGAATTAGAAATTGTTTAATTTATTAGAAATAATTAGAAAAGTAATAAAATGAAGCGGGCAGGTAAGTAAATCCACAACCTTTAACAACTCTGATGTATGTTTGTCTTTTAAAAATCTCGTTACGCAGCATCAAGTCAACAGCATCTATATTTGACGTCTTGATGATTCGATATTTTTATGCCTTAATGATAAAACGACTCTATTAAATCATTAAATTTAGATTACTTTTGCTGTTTACTTCTGTTAGTTGTTTCATTAACAGCCTTTTTTTATATCCTTCACTGTTCCCTTCAATGAAGATTCTTTCATGAGTGCTTGCACACTAATGTTTAATAATTCCTGTAATTAAATTATCGCTTTCCACTTGAAAACATTCTTAGAAATCTTCGATAGCTTTAGCAAGTTTAAACATTCTTCCGATCTTTTTTGCTTCCTTGATATCTTGTTAACAACTAAAAAAACACGAGAGAAAAAGTTTCAAAGCACGAGCTCGTGGCTACGAAAATGTAAGAATTTGAAGAACAACAATTCAAACAAGCAATTAAAGTTAAAGAAAAACAGTTGATCTATGTTGCGTGCTAAATAAATCATTTTCAGCGAGATTAAGAAACGATGATTTGGACGGAGAATATGAAGCAAACAGATTACTTTATTGTGTAGCGAACCGTTTTTTAATGAGATTTCGCACTATTTAGCAATTCAAATTTTTACTTTTATTTGTACACATTTCAAGATGAAATCAATGAAGACAGATTAGATAAAGCGAGCGGCAATCAAGTTCTAATTCTACTTTGCTTTTCGTTTTTCACTCACTTGCGAAAGAACAGTTCTCAACGGGAGATCAGATTACTGAGCTTTCTTAAGTCGTTACACTTATCATCGGGCATATCTTTTGCGCAAATTAGTTTTATTGGTTTATGAAAGCCTTCTCAATGCTATCTCACACGCTTCAATTTCTTTTTTATTCATTTTATTCCACCTTCTCGCCACTTTGCTTCCACTTGACGACAAGTGAAGTTAATAGCGTAGAAACAAATTTGCTCTAAGTGTTGACCGTTAATTTGTTGATTGTCTTATCACTTTATCAAAATGCAAATGCGTGTGATTTCATCCACTTAAGTTTAAAAGGAAGCATCAAAGGAAATTTCTATCGATTACATTTACATTCTTGATGTAATTAAAATGGGAAGAGACGTTGTCATCTCATTTCAAGTTTAGTCACGTTAATTTTTTTCTTTCTTCACATTGAAATTAATTTTTTAAAGTGGAATGTATTCAACACTTTAAAAAATAAATAAAAAACACCAGTAATTAAAACTTCTTGTAGGGTAAATAAAACGACGTGGTAAGAAGGAAAACAAATAAAAAACTTTACAATTACATCTGAAGCACCTGGAGGCGGAGAATCGAAACCAAGAGCGCTTAAACTTTTTGCTATCTTTGCTGAGGGTCTTAACGTGTCAAAGAATTAATCGAATCATGAATCGCACGATGTAATAGCAAAAAAATTACAGCAATTTGTCAGGCAGCATTAAAAGATATTTAAAGGAAAAAAGAAAAGAAAAGAAAAAAAAACGAAGCGTGATATCTTAAGATCATTAAAACCAATCATTTTACCATAAAAAGATTTCGGAATTTCTTTTTAAAAGCGCAATTTCGTGAAGAATAGAGAAAAACTATCAAGAAATCATTCCGCGGAAATATAACGAAAGGGAGATTGAGAAAAAAAATTGAAAGTCATCGAACGGCCTTGAGTTGAAGAGAAAAAATCTTCTCGCTCATTACGCAACAGGCGCTTCTTACGGCGACATAAACCTGATCGAAGAAGGCAACAACATAAAGTAAAATTGACGTTAAGCAGCTAATTAGAGTTCTTTGTTTTATTGTGTAACAGCTATCATAAAGAAAATGCATTTTTAGCGGTTTTACTTGATCGTGGAACTTTATCCATAAATTATACAGTGCATAATACAATAGAGAATTAAGATTGACTTTAAAAGATTAATTATTATTATTTGAAAACAAGAACTTTTATATTAAAATTGTGATTCTTGCGGGTATCATCTTTGAAAGGTAAGAAATAATCTATTTTGTTAAGTCGATAATTTCACCGTTGAATTGAAGTCAATTAAGATTGAACTTTTTTTTATGTAATGAAATGGTCAGTTGCCAACTAAATAATGTGGTCTGGACTATTATTATACATCTAATCCATTTTAATTACGCAAATATGTTTCTTCAAGTGAAATCAAGTTTATAAATATTAAAAAAATTGCAAGGAAGTTCATAAGAAGCAACGTTTAGTGTAGCGAAGTTCTTCAAAGCAAAATTTTTCTTTATTTTTCAGCAGAAAATTTTTCCATGAAAACTTTAAAAGAAATTCTTAAAAAAATCCAAAGTTTTTATATGAATAAAACATACATCTCAATTGCAATTTAAACAAATATTTAATGCTCAATATTTTCCATGGTTTATTAATTTTCACTAGAGCGATGCTTATTACGGGTGTTTCCATTTATTTGCGGAATTATAATTTGTACCTACGTGAATTTCTTGCGAAAAGTATTCTTTAAAGAACCACAAGAACCGTTTTGACCGCAACATTATGAAGAATAATCTGATAAACATTGTTGAATCATTGACCGTGCGATCATCGAGCGTATCATTCATAAGTTTTGATACCCTTAATTTATGAAGATCTAATTAAATTGTTTTTTACGAGCAGTTAAACACTATTGGCAACTTTTTTGCTGCTTACATTTTTATAAAAAAAAATTGCGCATTTAATCTTCTTTAAAAAATTCTCACGATAACTGTTTGTTTCTTCCTTTTATTACTTATAGCACTACTTGAATATTGCAATTTTTTAGCTGTCTTTAAGTTTTTGGAAGTTTTTTTTATTAACTTTTTTGATGAATAGGAATCTTGTTTACGAAGTCAATCAACTTGTTTAATTAAACAGGAAAAAAATTACTCGCGATGCTTTTCAGTCTTTTTAATTATGAGACTCGAAATCCAAATTAAGAATTTTTTTATTACAGTGAAAACTCGATGAACTGATTGTTCTAAGGTGATAAAAAATATTAGTCGAAGAATAAAACATGAGATACGATCCTGAATATCCTGATTATGTCACATGATTCTCTCACGTATCAACTACTCAAATAATTTCATTAATCATAATATGATTTACCTTTAGAAATAAATTTAAATATTATTAAACTTCTATTCAAGATTCTAATTTTCATCATGATTTATCTTACATCTCATTTCGTTACCGAGAATGGATTTGCAGCAACAACTAATCTTTTTTTTTACTAAATATATCAAGAAACAACAAGTGGAAAATTCTTTTCCAATTTTATAGCAATCAACGCCTTCTAAAGAAGTTGTTTGCTACAATGGAATTTTTCTCTAATATGAAAAGTTAGTTTGCATACACATTTTCTTATTCATTACTCATAAAACCCTGTGGCCTTTAAACTGGTAACGTACAAACAATTTAATCTGCAAACATTTCAAGTGAAAGGCAATAAATTTAGAACAAAATAATGAATACAACGTGAAAAATACTTTTAAACTGTTTTTATTTAATTTTTATCATGAGAAATTAAATTAAGAAGATTATCTAATAAAAATTATTCATAAATCTTGGATTAGTGTAAAGTGGATTGAAAGTATTTTGAAGAAGGAAGATTTCTTCGGGTCGTCCATTAAACAAGAAAGGTCCTTTGAGGTTTGTGACTTTCGACTCTTGAATGAAAGGGTTGACGGGTCGTTGAGTGTTGTAAGGTCTTTGTGGTCTTTGATNTTAGATAGTTTATTTAAGTAAACAATTCCAATTTTATCATTAAGAGTCTTAAATTAATTTAAATTGCCACAATTATGTTTAAACGTAGTTAATGTCAGTATTCAAAGAGTGGACATCTTGAAATTATCATGCTTACGAAGCTGATTTAAAACAATTTCATCATGTTGCACTCGCATTTTTTTTCTTTTTTTAATACAATGCTTTATCCTGACGTGACTTTAAGTACTTCAGAAATTTAACTTAGCATGACAATCGTCAATAAAATGGAGAAGAGAATCTTGGATCAGAATAAAGTGGATTGAAAGTATTTTGAAGAAGGAAGATTTCTTCGGGTCGTCCATTAAACAAGAAAGGTCCTTTGAGGTTTGTGACTTTCGACTCTTGAATGAAAGGGTTGACGGGTCGTTGAGTGTTGTAAGGTCTTTGTGGTCTTTGATATGATGGATAAGCGCTGAATTGCGGTTGCTGTGGAACGAACTGCGGTTGTGGCGGTGCAAAAGGATTCGACGGACTTCCCCATTGATAAATGTTCGTTGGTTTTCCATTTGAAATGAAATCTAATGGAAGATTATAGAATGGAGCGATTGGTTGAGGAACTGGCGCCATTGGCGTGTAAGTTGGAGGTTGGGAAATGTATCCGAGTCCCGGTACAAACATGTATGGTGTGGGTGGCAGTCGAATATAATAAATTGGAGAATTCTTGTAATTTCCATTCGCTGGTCTTCTTCGATTGCCCGGATTCTGTCGAGACATGATTTCTTCGTCGTCATCAACTCCGTCATTGTCATAGCCTCCATAATATGACAAGAAATCATCGTAGAACTCTGGTGGATAATAAACTGGTGCAGAATATGCTGAGTAACCGAATGGAAGTGCACTGAATGGACGGAATCCAATCATTTTATTCTGACGCATTCGAATTTCGCCCAACAAATCATCGTATCGTCGATTGATAAAGAGTCGTCGTTGTTGATTGTCATCATCACCATCAACATCTTCGCTTTTGCTATCATCATTCGCTTCAACCTCTTCATTGTCGTATTTATTCATTTGTTTATGAAGTTGATTGAGCTTCTGCATTTGAATGCTTTGATCTTTCTCATTGAATTGCCTTTGCGAGTGAAGATCGGAGAGCTTTGGATGCCGCTGGTCAATTGTCGATATCAATTTAGAGCCTGCCATCGACATCGGTGCTGAATTAACTGTCAATGAAGCTAATAGCACGATGAAAGACAATGATAATAGCAATTTGTCCATCGCAAGTCTTTTCAGTTCTCTTTCTATGTCTGTAAGAAGATAAAATGAAAAGAAATGAAGTGAAAGGAATTTTTTAAAATGATCAGAATTGTTCAATTCACATCTTCGGTCGTAATCGCAGCACTTGTTAACTTGGTAGTGAGAAATATAAATAGAAAATTTAACAGCGCAAGGTGATCTTAAACATAACGAAGCAATTTAAAAGAGACGATGTATTTGTTCATTTTTTTATCTCCGCTTGTCGTATAAATTGTAAGTGTTCTCGTGTCTACTTTGACATTTTAGGAGACAAAACTTAAATAGTTGGAAATAATCTCAATATTTCAGCAACTTAACAAGTCATTTCCAGACGTAAACTTACAAGAATATTAAAACAAAGGTCAATGAATTGTTGCGAATGTTTGCCGAAGTCTTCAAAGGCGCCTAAAAAAGCTATTAAAAGTTTTCAAGTCGATCGTTCCGCAAAAAAAGCGTAGAAAAAATCATTCTACGTTCATTTTATTAATCGTTTCTTCCTCTTTTGAATGGTAAGAGATTGATTTGAAGAAAATCAATCTCACATTTGAAGAGAGTTTGAAAGCTTTTCAAATGTTTGTTTTATCGCAAATATTTAATGATTCTCACGCCGGGAAGCACACGAGCACAATTTAAAAGGCAGTTAAACGGTTGCTTTACTTATACTGACCTGAATTCATAAATTTTGATATTAAAGCAAAAAATTCGGCTAAAAGTTCTGAATATTTATTTTAAATAATAGTGTTCAAAAATAACATAATCGCGTAGTTAAATGTTTCACATGGAATCAATATCGATGTAATCAGGCCAAAATTTGTTCTCTTTTTTGAAAAAAAAAGCTTTCGCAAATAATCTTAATTGAGACTCATTAAACTTTACGACACTCATTAATTTGCAACCGCTGCGGTAGTTTCAGGCAACTTAAATAAATAAAAGAAAAAAAAGAGTTTAAAGAAGAGTTGAAGAACGAGAAACAACTCAATAATGCTCGATCACCTTTGTCCACCTTTGTGATAGCGAAAAATTCAAGAAGCTCACATTTGACTTAATTGCTTTTCAACTTGCATTAAATGATCAACATCCGCACTGCTTTACGAAAAAGATTTAATTCCCTTTATGCTATTTATACACGATGGCAAATACGTTGTTTCAAAATCTTTTACAATTCTCTTAGCTGCGAAATTCCTTGCATGAGTTTCACTTCTAGATCATCCATAAATGGGGAAAATAATTGTTTTTTTTCTTTCATTTCATTTTATGCTCATCTTATGCCAACTATTTTTATCATCGATATATTTCACATGCTTCAAGTTACACTCGTGAATTCCACAAAATATTTATCGTTTTCGTTTAACATCAGCATTGTATAATTCGCCATCATTTTGGCCTTGTCTCGTTATTGATATCTTCCTGAACTATGAATTTTCTTTGAACTCAAGAACTAAAGACTTTAATGCAAGAATAAATGACGAACCCAGGATCGAGAGATTAAACTTTTTTAATTAATGTAAATTATACATCTCACATATCACATAATAAAACTTACATTTCCAAGCCCTTACTGGATTAATGAGGGTTCAAGTGATTTATTTTCTTTAATAAATTTTGCGGTCTCAAGCTTGTTCAACTATAGAATGAAATATTAATTCTTTTAACAGTTTTTGTAACTACGTCTGATCAATGCAACGACTATCAGCACTATGAATACAATTTTTTGATGATAAAAAGAGAACAGATTTGAAGAAAATAGTTTGAGAGTCTTATAAGTCGAAAGAAGAGGACAAACCAAATATAAGTTGAGCTTTCTGAGAGCATGTCGATTCTCTTCTGATGGCTTTGAGAGCAACTCTTTCATTTCTTAAATATCTATCTAGTTATAGATTTTCGTGTCTAATACATTGTTTGCTTTCAAATCTTAATAGATTCTTGCTAATTCACTTAATAATTATATATGCAAATTATGCAGCAACATTATGCAGTTCGTTTTATTAACATGCATAGATTTATCGTTCTCGTGTTGAATCACAATTCTCATACATTTTTTTATTAACAATTACATTTGTTATCATAAGGAAAATCACAAAAAAATCTGCTTTTTTAACTGGATACAAGCTTTCATTTATAATAAATTATTATTTGTAGGATGCAAGTAGGCAGTTGTAATAACTTAATTTTAAATAACTTCATTACTTTAACTTCACGTGAGAACTTTATTGCCTTACACATGATGGTGTGGTCAAAATTGAAATCGATGAATCTTTCAAAGTGAAATATTGAGCAAAATTATAGCTGTTTCAGAATTAGATTAATATTCAAGTCACAGAAGAACTTTGTGTGCGAGTTAAAGAATGTTTTCTGTTTTCATAAAGAAATTTAAACGTTGAATGCCATTAGTATTTCGTTCAACAATTATTTATGAAATTATTTAGACAACGGTAAATGATTGTGTGAATTTCTACTTGATTTTAAATGCCAAACATTTCAGTTTAGAATAAAAAATATTCACAAATCAGCTTTCGATTATATTGGAACTTATTAAAGACTTATTCTTATTGAAATTCCTTTTTAAATCCACTAGAATGAAATGTTAACATGCAAATTTCTAGTCATTCCTTTTCAGTTTCATTATTTGTTGTTCATTTTCAGAAAATTACTTCATGTTCAATTACAGAAAACATTTGTTGATGGTAATTGGTATCGTCCCATGTTGGTCATTGATTTATTTCTTCTTATACCAATTAATCATATGTATGCTGTATTGCTCCGAGTTCTTTTTGTAATTGAAGTTTTTCGATTTCATCGGAGAAAATAAACATGATCGCGAATTTAATTTTGATGTATGTCAGAATGCGTATAAAGTCTTAACGACTTCCGATATTCGTTCTACTTATTCGAACCTTTATCATGTTCATTTGTAATCTAATGAAACTTAATTTATTGTGCGTTTTGTAAAACGTTTAATTGAAAAACCTTGACCATTCATAATGTTAAACTGTTCAATATTAACAACTTAATGATAGAGAAAAGTAATGAAAAATGATGAAAGGTGAACCCCGTACAGGTAACCTGTTTACCAATTATTGCACACGCAACTAAGGTCGACGAGAATCCTACCAGAATAATTGCATGATGATATGTTCTCGATATTCTGTGTGAACAATTTTGAATCAAACTTCACGCTTTTTCATTAAATGAAGATACAGCACAATTAAAATAAGATGTCAAGTAATGTCCTGAAGAAGGTTTGGAACTGTTGTTAATGAGAATAGCGTGAAGGTAAAAACTGTTTCTCTTAGTAGATTAACAAAGCATATAAATACGAAGAATAAGAAAATTTTTAATTAGATTCTCTGATCTTTTTTGATATCATTTGGAATGGCAGCTTATGGAAATGAGATTTCGCACTATTTGTTAACGACGAAATATTAAAAATTGAAGTTTTAACACATTCAAAATTAATTGAAAGTTAACATCATTTATCATTATTTTTAATTATAATTACGAAAAGTTCCATTGGCAAAGAACTTCATGCGTAATAAAGTTTTAATTTCATGTTTCTCAATCTAAAGAATTTGCAACTGTTTTGCGGCAAATATGTACAAGTTTAAGACTTAAGTTTTGCGTGAAATGTTCTTGAAAGAACAGTTTTGTCTGGTTTTGTTTGCTACTTCAAAAGAAATTAAAATTTCTTTTTTTATTCATTCTGACCAAAAGATCATTGAGCGTATCGCAAACAAATTAAAATGCTTATTGAATTAATTTTTTACAACAAATTAAACAATATCATCAGAAGTTCTACAGAGATTAATGCTCGACAGGTTTATGTGAAAAATCTTCTTATTGAAATTTTATCAAAAATTGAAATAAAGAATAATCAGGCAATTAGTGAAGTCATACGAGTGCCATTGATATTTATCTACAACATATAAATATATTCAATGTTTCATAACTAATCATCGATCAATGATTTGAAAATATCTAAGCTCCCGTTACAACATAAAATGTTAGTTTGACATGTGATAATGACTTGTTCATTATCTAATCATTAAAATAATGATTTGAAGACATTCCAAGAAAGTAATATGTGAAGCGAAGCAGTAATTTAAATTAATAATGGTGTGAATTTTACACCTTTAAAATTATTTCTTTGAAGATCTTATCACATTTTTAACTCAAGTCTGGAACCTTTATTAAATTGGCATAAATCACCATATGTATTTGTTCAGATTCGTAACTAATCTTAGTATTTAAATAAATTGTGTTTGAAAACGCATAAAATCACTGGAATGTTAATTTAATAGAAAATGTAATGGTTGAGTCCCGGTACAAACATGTAAATATGGTGTGGGTGGCAGTCGAATATAATAAATTGGGGAATTCTTGTAATTTCCATTCGTTGGTCTTCTTCGATTGCTTGGATTCTGTCGAGACATGATTTCTTCATCGTTGTTGATTGTCATCATCACTATCAACATCTTCGCTTTTGCTATCATCATTCGCTTCAACCTCTTCATTGTCGTATTTATTCATTTGTTTATGAAGTTGATTGAGCTTCTGCATTTGAATGCTTTGATCTTTCTCATTGAATTGCCTTTGCGAGTGAAGATCGGAGAGCTTTGGATGCCGCTGGTCAATTGTCGATATCAATTTAGAGCCTGCCATCGACATCGGTGCTGAATTAACTGTCAATGAAGCTAATAGCACGATGAAAGACAATGATAACAGCAATTTGTCTTGGTAGGTCTTTTTAAAATGTTTCATTTCCTTCTTTTGCATGCGAATTTAGAAGGTAAACGACTGTATTGGAATTAAGAGAAGTCATTATTAGTTTCCTTGTGATTTATGAGTCATATCGTAGTTTTTAAGTTATAAATGTTTTCAGTTGTCGAATAATTCGAGTTAATCTTAGGATTAACTTAATTAAGTACTAAATTATGTTTCAACGGTACAACTTAAATTAACTTCTGTTTTTGAAAACATTCATTCAAACACATTCAATTTTCATGTTTGTATTGTCACATGTGGCGTTGAAGCCAACAGCTGATTAAAATAAATAATTCTGTTACATTAACAGTTGTTCTTATTCCTATCTATTTGAACCTTTGTTTGTTGATTCAAATACCTAAATGAAGTTTGGAAGAACATCATGTTCATATCTGATGCCACATTCTCTATACAGTTTCAGAGAAGTAAAGTAAAGTTTCCCGATGTTATCCATTGAAAAAGAATTAAAAAAATTGAATTTACAAAAAGTTTGAATATCTGTGTTTGAAAAGGTTTGAGAGCCAGTCTTATAATTTTCCAGTGTTCCTGAAACTTTATTTTAATATATTTATTCATATTCATAATTTCAAGTTAGTGTCAAAACGATTCAGAATAATTTTCATTTATTTATTTAATATTGAATTGAAAATTTCATATTAAGTTGTCAGTTACAATACTACACAATTATTTTTAATTTTTGTTTAGCGACCTAATTAATGCTTCGAGATACTGAACTCTCTTAAGAACTTTATCACTTATACTGAATTCGGTATAAGGTACACTTAAAACGTGATAGCCTGCTAAAGTTAACAGTCGCGCGTTTAGTGAAGTGATGCCATTAAGGTGGAAATGAGGTCCATGACATGCATCCTTGTAGTCGTGCATCATTATAGCAACTCTATGGAAGAGAATTAAATGATTAAATGATAAGAAAGGTTTTCTCTTATTTTTCTCACTTTTTAGCATCTTTTGTGTCTTTTTCAACGGGAGTTCCTTTGTCGTTCACATAGATTTCAGCATCTGTTTGTAAGAAAATAATAAATAAATACCTAATAAATTGTCAAAAAAAATTCTTTACTGACCAATAACAAATCCCATGTTGGTATCTCGATTAAGAGTCAATAATCCTTCAGGTACAAGACTTCTGATTGCATCCTGCATACCATTGACGATAACTTGCTTTTCTTTATTGTAAACCAAAGGAACATTATAAATTTCCTTATGTTTCTCTCGTGATAACATTGATCCTTTGTAAGTTGGTATAAACTTCACATTAGCGTTGATGTTTAAAAGCTTCATTTTCACTGCTGCATGTAGTTCCCTATCGACACTTGATCTTGTAAGTTTATCAATAAAATCTTGTTGAAGCACGTGACTTAAAAGATCTTCTGAAGAAATATTTAGAGCCAATAAACTCCAAACGTAACTCAAATAATCTGAAGGATTCTTGAAATCCAATGGTGTCAATGATTCCACGAGTTTGGTCTTCAAAGACTCTTCCATGTTAGGAGGCATGTAATTAAGCAATCCTAGACTAAAAAACATTGCTGTAATGTCTTGTGGCCGGCATATTTCATGGGTCTTGACAATCCAGTCACAAAGAATATCGAGAACTAAAGTATCGCGATATTTAAGGAAACCAAGACTGCTTATGATGGATCCAATAACTGATGACCTTTCTACTGGTAATTTCAAGTTCTCTTGAATGTCATTTCCAAGCTTTGTTAACAAAACTGTGTCTAGGAAATTTAGAATGGACATAGAGTAGAGAACGTCAGCACATTGCTTGATATCCAATTGTTGACTGCAACTGCTTATGTTATTTGCAAGTGCATGTAGTAAAGGCGTGCTGCGTTTTTTCTTTATAGCTAAGTTCTTCATAACTTTCACCATTTGGGGCAGTGAAATACTTGCAACAAGCTTTGCTGCTTCATCATCTCCAGTCACGCCCAAAACAACATTCAAATCGTCAGTCCTGAAGCTGGAGATTTTGTTCAAAGCACGATCGTTGTTGTTAGTATTCATATTTGCACTGACTGCATTTTTTATATTTAAAGTTCTTCCCAACATTCTGCAGAGTTTCGTGAAGCGTGGATCGTTTTCGAATTCAGAAACTTTTGTTCGATTTATTGTGCTCCATTCGGCTAAGATCGAAACAATCTAAAATGTAATGTTTATAAATGTTAACATTTATAAATAAAAAGTTAGGGAATGTTTACTTTAAGAGCATGTTTCCTGTTGAGGTCGCTTCGGTTATCTGCAATGCTCAATAATCCATTGACTGTATTTGCTTTCGAAATTACATTATCAATGTGAATTTTCTGATTTTTGTTTATTCTTTCTGATACATTCGGTTGATCAGGCTCGTTTAGAGTCGCAAATACCGCAGCAACAGTAGGATCTAAAACAAAAATTTATTATTGTTTTTGTATCCTACAGAATATTATTCAATTTTCACTTACTTTTTATTTGCTTTACTTCTTTCTCAGGTTTCTGATTATCAACGGAATCTTTTTTATCTGCCAAAACAGATGTAGATGCAAATATTTTCCTGCTTGCACCGAAATTCTTTACAAAACTACTTAAAGTTGCATATCGACTTAAATTGAACATTTCTCCTGCAAAAGGTTAACATTTTGGATTAGATAATTTTGTAAACAATGCTGTTAATCGATGATAACACTAAATTTTATGAATTGTGAGGAAATATTAAATATATTTTCAACAAATTAAATGCTTATACCAACTTGTTGTATCTTTCTTAATCGCCTAAAATTAATTAAAGAAGTATTTTTTCAATTTAAGAAAATTTTGCACGGGTGAGAGTGTTCAATGAGAAATGCACTGTTCGTTTATTTTAAGTTCATTGGGTTCGTTCAGGAAAAATAGAAAATTTTGACACCACATGTAGAACTGTAACTATTCCATAGTTTATAACGAAATATCAATTAGGATTATAATAAGCATTGAAATGATTTTTATGATCTGCAATAAAATAAACAATTTAAAAACATGTTAACATTTTCACCACAAATTTGTTACAAAACTTTATGAACGTTCCTGACTGAATATTTCAATAGTGTTAGTGCGTGAAAGATTTCTTTTGACTAAAAATTAAGAATTTCTTTTAACTATTTTAATGGATACCAGAAAGCTTAATAAATAATAAATCAGTGAAGAAATACTGCTAAAAGTCGAGTATATTCGATAAACAATCAAAATTAAGTGCAAAACAATAGATTAGAAGTTAAAATAGTTATCAGACATGAGTTTTCTTTTGTAAGTGATTTTGAATACTTTCTTTGTTAAATTAATTAAATTAAGCTCCAGATTACTAATCAAATGGTTTTTAAAAAGATTCAAGGTGATGTCGTGGCTTACAAACACAATGCCTCGCTTATGATTTATTTGTCTTGTTTACACAAAGATCAAATTTTCTCTTCCAAATATAAAAAGATCCATTTTCGGGTTTAAAAAAAATTAACAAAGTGTCTGAAAAGAAAAAGAAAAATTATTCCGTAATTTTCTCTATTTCCGGAAAAACAAACACTGAACACATTTTTGTAGAAAGTTCTTGAAATATTTTTTTAATATTCTATCACCTTGATGTTAATTATGATTTAGCCCAGAAATAAATTGTAAATAATTTCCGTTGCTGATTCCATTCCGAGATTTGTTTAATAGAGACTACAGTTAGAAAAACAATTAAGCTCGTTGTCGGTCTGTCTTATAGAGAACAATAGTGCGTGAACGATATTCGAACCGTGAAACATCTTTCTCCATCATGAATATTAATTCAAAGTTTTTCTTTGCATTTCCTTGAAATATTCAACAGTAATCGATCGAATAAAACCTTCAAACCTAAAAAGAACATCCCAGAAGGTACACATCAGTATGATTTAATGAAACATGCTGCTGCAACCTTGGGGTCTGGAAATTTAAGGAATGCTGTGCAACTTCCAGAGGGTGAAGATCCTAATGAGTGGATAGCTGTCAACAGTAAGTATATTTGTGTGAATTATTATTACTAAGTTAGTCAACATAAAAAAGAAGAAAACATTTTGAGATTTCTACTAAATTTCTTATCTCGTTTCTTTCCTTTTTAGCTGTAGATTTTTTTAACCAAATAAACATGCTGTATGGCACAATAACAGAATTCTGTACTGAAGACTCGTGTAGTATTATGTCAGCGGGTCCAAAATATGAATATCATTGGGCTGATGGTCAAACTGTCAAAAAACCTATTAAATGTAGTGCACCAAAGTACATTGATTATCTGATGACGTGGGTGCAAGATCAACTTGATGATGAGACTTTATTTCCATCAAAAATTGGTGTTCCGTTTCCTAAAAACTTTCAGACGATCGCGAAAACAATTTTAAAACGATTGTTTCGTGTGTATGCTCATATTTATCATCAGCATTTTCCTGAAGTTGTTCGATTAGGTGAAGAGGCTCATTTGAATACATCGTTCAAGCATTTCATCTTCTTCGTACAGGAATTTCAACTTATTGATCGTCGTGAGTTAGCACCTTTGCAAGAACTGATTGATAAACTGACGGCAAAAGGCTAGCCCGAACCGAACCTTGAATTACTGCCAATGGCTAGCTTTTAGGGCATTTAGTATTTATCCTTTCAATAACAGTAAATTGTCATTGACTTCATCGCGTCCAATATGCATTCGCACTGCATCATTATATCTTAAGTTCATCAATGATAATATTTTTGTGTGAAACTATTTAAAAATCGATGAATTATAACAATGAAATTGTGATAAGAAAGAATACAACATTAAATGATTTGAATGTTCCAGAACAAATTAGACAGTTACGAAATCTGACACTTAAAATATTGAACTTCAAATTTGAATCCTGGAAACGTCACACACTTTAATAATTTTTTTTTCGTTTCTGCTACTCAAAACTGCACGAATCAGATAGAAAATCTTGCTTTAAGAATATTAAAATTATGTTAAGAATTTATGTTGAATGAAAATACAGGCAGGATAAACATTACATGACTATTAAGCACACAAAAATATATTTTTGATATCTAATTAAAGACTTTATAGAGCACTTTAATTTAGAACACAAAAAGAGAATTGAAGAATTAATAACAAAAATAAAAGTGATTTAGGAATGTTAATTAATCGAAAAAAAAGAATGTCATCGAGCTTAATTGGAAACACATTAAATTTCAAATTATTTCAGGAAAATTCAATTTATAAAACTCGAAATTCTTATTTGCTTTTAATTTTCTTGTAAATAAATTATTTTTAAAGGAAAACAATTCATAACATTTTGATCGAAATATTTGACCTTGAATGAATGCTATAATTAGGAAATTATGGAAAATGAAGAAGAAATATTTTTACACAAATTCATTCATGATAATAAGAATTGTGTTGCGAGTAATTGTGATGAGTAATGAGAAGTGTGAGAAAAAGAGTATGAATTGAATTAAATTCACTTTGAAATGGAGTATGAAAACGCTCACAGTACGATGTAATAATGAAAATTATAAAATCATTTTACAAATCTGATTACTTCCATGAAACATTTCCTTCCACGATTAATTTAATTAACCCTTCATTTCCTCTTAATACATTTTTATGAAATACTCCAATTATCAAAATTACATTGCTCACAAAGAACTAAGTTTCATTCAAGACTTTTCGTCTACACTTCTCTTATCACATAAAAACAACTACTCGAAATAAACGTAAAAGTGATTGCAAAATTTTACGCATTAAGTAAAAAATGATGAATTTGACGATGAAAATTAAAAATTATTCAAATCATTTGAAAATCAATTCGTATTTGATATGAATAAAAAGGATGTCTTTATAAGTTTCCACAATAATATTTCCTAAATAAGTAAGCTTAAATGAAATTAACTTTTTTATTTTGTAAATATTTCTTTTATTTTTTAATTTTGAAAGTACAATAAAAGTATATGAAATCATCAGCTTCAATGAGTAATAAGAAATGTTTCAAGTGGATTGTTAGACGGCTTTGTTAATTATTAAATTAAGCTTTTGTACTTTTCATCTTCTTGGAACCATTGATAATTCTTTTCAAGCAGTTGCTTCCAATGTGATGCGAGTATTGAGTATGAATCAACATTTCCACCAAGCTCCTTTGGTAAATTATCAGAAGCTTTGTAGTTGGGCTTTCCCCTAGTAACTGACACTCGTTCCTTCATTTTCGCACTCATGAATGAACGGAAAATATCGAGCACAACATTTATACCTAGATTGGCATTGATGAACTCTAATTTTTGGATTCTTAACGGGTAAGAATCCCATGAGTTAACAGCACGTTTAATTAGCATCGGAGTCATTTGAAGTGCATGTCCAAATGCAATTCCTTGCATATCTTCAATAAATAAATAATTTTCACATTTCATTCTTTATGATAAAATTTCAAGCTTACCAAAGATTGCACGAATGCCATAGACAGAAATTGATTCATCGATCGATACGAGATAGTCAAGAATCATTCGTCCAACTTTGAACACATCATTTTGTTTATGATTTGATGGACTGTGAGCTGCAGTGCGGATAATCACAATTTGTCTATTTTCAGCATCTTTTTCTCGCAATGGAAGAAACACGCCGATTGATAAAAGCTCAGATATTTCCGGTAGAAAAGGATCACGTTGTACAAACCATTCATCTCGTTCAGCTCGTTGCTTGTAAAAACTGTGCCAATGAAAGCATTAAGATCATTATCAATGCGTACAAAAAGCATTCGTCAAAAACGGGATTTCATTTTGATTAGATTTCAACAATCAAAATGTTTTTTTGTTTCTCTTTATCTAAGGCTTTAAATTGCGTGATTGATTGCGTCGGTTTCGTCTCAAGAATTAATGAATGAATTGAGAAATAATAATTTAAATTCAGAACTTTTAAGACAGAGATAGTTGATAGGTTAATAGCCAAGATTGCAACAAATGTAAGATATGAAAGTGCTTCTAATTTAAAGTGTCAATGTCAATAACATCTTATCGATGCGGCACAAAGAAACTTTTTTTTTCGTCTAAAATAATCGTTATCAACAATCAATAATTCAAAGTCCTCAAATGTATTTCATGACAAAATGTTTCAAGTTCGAACAACTTACTTCCTAATTCGGTTTTTTGTTTGTTCCACATCAAATTTGCAACTTCTTAGGAAGAATAAAATAAATCTTTCATCGTTATGTGCGTTAATCTCTGGAAAATCTTTCAGAAACTTTTGAATCTCTAATACTGAGCTTTTTGCAATGTCTTCACTTTCCCCTAAATTCTCAAGCGCGAACTGTTTTGCTTCATTATTTAAAGATGATTGATACATGATCTAACTAAATAAATATCACTCGTCAATTATAATAAAATGAAAATAATGAAAATCGAAATAATTCTCGTATTTTTCATGTGCGACTCTTTCAACAGCTGATTACAACTGAGAATGAATTCAGCGAAATAAACAAGTTGCAAGCTACTTCAATACATCAGCAAGTTATTCTTTCTCGCTTCTTCTTACATGCAAACGCTATCGAAAATGTAGAAATGTTTCGTTAGCAAAGTAAATGTCGAATAGTGAAGAATGGACATGACCTTGGATACAAAACAGCGAATATTTTCATTTCTTATTGCCACTTTTACTTCAATTCACTTTATGAATTTTAATTTTCATTTCTCGCACCCACAATTTGTTGATGTGTGGTAAACGTTATCAAATTATAAATTTGTATTCAATGTGAATAGATTTATTACGTATCATTTAGTTAACATGCATGCAATGATTATGCATTGAAGTTGCAGCAATTTTGGGTGTTTTTGGGGGAAGCTTTCGAGTCGTAGGTGGAACTGATTTTATTTAATTATTAATATTGTCAACTCAGTTCTGATTAAACACTTCATCAATCCGATTGGATTTTGATTAGATAAATAAATCATAATTAAATTTATTACAACGATGCATTTCTCTGTGATTATAATTTCTTTATTCTGTGTTAATACTTTCGCACAGCAACGAAATATTGATCATCGCATCAGCCGATTGAAAGGAAATATTTTTCAAAACTTAACCGGTCATCAAGAATTTGAAAATCACATTGTGACGAGTCAACTGGACAACTCACCATTAATCAGAATGTTTTACCGTGGTGTACGTGAGATGTATAGTAGATTATTGCCAGAAACTGGCGAACGACATAACAATGAGAGATTCCAGATAAAAGTTCCAACTTCAGTTCAATTTCCTTGTCGTGTGAAAGGTTTTAGAAGCAAAAAAATTCCGAAGAGTGTTCATCAGTTGCGCCCGGGAGGTAAAAGTTTCTCTATATGCTACATAACTAAGTGGAGAGTTTATTTTAAATATAACTAAGCATTTATGTTTTTATAAGATATTGATGTGATAGCTGCTGTAGGTGATTCATTAACATCCGCCACAGCTGCAAACTCCGTGGGTCTCTGGGAAGTTTTAGTAGAGAATCGTGGATTGAGTTGGTGTATCGGTGGGCAAGGAAATTGGCGAACTCATCTAACGCTTCCAAACATTCTCAAAGAATTTAATCCAAAACTCTTTGGATATTCATTATCGGATGCTTACAATGTTCATCAGTCAGCACAATTTAACACAGCTGAAAATATTGCAACGACTTCAGATATGCCGTATAATAGCAGAAAATTAATGGAACGCATGAAACTTGACCCGAGGTAATAATAAATGAGCGAGCATAATATTGACTCGTAATGATCTCACTTTATATGTATGTATGAGATATTTTCACTTAATTGTGATTTGAATTCCTTTCTTGCACCAACGATTTAGAGTTGATATGAAACAACATTGGAAACTTCTCACATTTATGATTGGAGGTTTGTTGATGATAAATTTATGCAATGAATAAAAGCGAGATGAAACTTTTCTTTCAGGAAATGACTTTTGTAGTGACATTTGTTATCAGAAAAATGCAAGTCAATGGATTAATAACGTCCAAGAAAAGAGTTTAATTCAAAGTTTGCGATATTTACGCGACACTTCGCCAAGGTAAGGGAGAAAATATTAAATTAATGTTTCTTTCTTTCATTTTATTCACAACACTTAAATTGAAATTTTCTCATCATTAAGCAGCAATTTGATTTGAAAAATTACTTCGCTTAAAAGTAAATTTGCATAATTTCTTAATCATAGGACTATTGTTAATTTGGTGCCATCACCGTTGATCTCACTGTCGTTTTCAATGGACAAAATCAACACACCTTGGACTTGCTACTTGTCACGTCCCGTCGAGTGTTCTTGTATCTTTGGACAAAAGTTCTCAAGGGATCGCGAGCTTTTCAGAACACTTGAGAGAAGATTCGTTCAGATTATGGAGCGTGTAAGTTTCATGTCAGAACTTCACACAAATGACTTCACTGTCGTTTATCAGCCTTTCTTCAAAGACGCGAGCGTGTTCTATAGAAATGATAGAAATCCAGATTTATCAATAATGGCAATTGATTGTGTTCATTTGAGTCAGAAAGGACATGCAGTAAGTGCTAACGGTATCTGGAATAACATGATGGAACCGGTTGGTAAGAAGAGCATGGGATTACCTCATCTTTTTGAAGAATTCAACTGCCCGACACTCCAGAATCCGTATATTTACACAAATTACAACAGTTAAAGCTTGGAACTAACCCGGATTTCTTGACATTGTCAATCTCATCTTATTTGAAGTATCAAAGGAAAAGCATCAAGAAATTCTGTCACAAACTTAAATTTTCGAAATTCTTCTGAAGTCACCAAAAAATAATTCAAATTTTGAGTTTCTCATAAAGAAATCCCAAAATGTACAATAAATTAAATGAGTTCAGAAATTAAAATGAATAATAAAAGTAAATCTGACGTGCCATTCATATAAATGACTCTTTTAAAAAAATATTTAATTGTTTCTTGCAATCTCATACAAAACATGATGTTAGAACACGGATCTTGTTTAACTCTTTAGAATGTTTGCAAATCGTCACGAATCGTTCATAAATCAATCATAAAAAAAGCTGACAAAAATATGTTTCAACATCTAAGAAACATTTTGAATTTTAAAGTGAGTCAGCAAAAGCCAAATCATCAAACTTTGGAGTGAAATGTTTTAAAACTTAAACAGCAATTATTATGGATGGTTGCACAACAGACCAAATCCGAGTAAGTTTAATGTTTTAAGGTGAGAATGTTAAAGATATTTCGAAGATAGTCACACAAAAAAAATCTTAAAATATTGTGTAACGTCTTTTACCCATCTGCGATTGATGATTGAAAGCATTAAGTGACACAACACTTACACAATTCACAGAAACTTTCCATCAAAACATCCATTAAAAGCTACGTGAAGAAGTCACTCAAAAATAACAAGATAACATTTTTAAGTTTTTAAATTTCTTTTATTTTTCACATAAAAAAAAACATAATTGCCATTCAGGAAAGGTGAATGGTTGATGACCAGATTATTTACAAAGTGTGGTGACGATGTTGTTGCTTGCTTTTGTTAAATTTACGTTGTTACGTTTTTCTAACAAAATAAATTAATTAAGACGCGTTGGAATTATTTTCTCTCTCTAAGTTTCTCTCTCGTTAGATATAAAGCTTAATTAGGGTTTTTTCTTTTGTTTTCTTCTTTCTGTCTTATGTCAAGTAATTGCGGCCGACGTATTATTTAATGGGGAACACCGTATGAGCTTGAGGGTCTTGATGGGGCGCCATATGAGCTTGATGGAGCGCCATATGATGAGCTTGGAATTGAGATAGATGGAGCTCCGTATGAGGCTGATGGGGCGCCATATGAGACTGATGGAGCGTATCCGTGTCCAATTGAAGCTTCGTGTTTCAAGTATTCAGCAACTTGGTGTCCTTGCACAACATGTCCCAATTCAATTCCAACAACACGTCCAGAACTGTATCCAGGAACTCCATAGCTTGAAGATGGAACGCCATAGCTGGAAGATGGGGCACCATAGCTTGATGAGATTCCACCACCATGTCCGCCTCCGAATCCACCTCCAAATCCACCGCCGCCATTCAAGTTTTCTTGTTGCAATAAGATTTCTTTGATTTTGTACAACAATTGTTGATCGATGTATTGGCCTTCAGATGATTGATGACCAATGGAAACTTGTTGGTATCCAGATCCTCCTGAGCTGAATCCCCCTCCGAATCCACCTCCTGAGTATCCACCACCTCCGGAGTATCCACCGCCTCCTGAGTATCCACCGCCTCCTGAGTATCCACCACCTGGTTATGAGAAAATTATTAATAAAAGCTTCAAAAGGTTGAAATTCAATGAAATTTACCTCCGGAGAATCCACCGAACGATGATCTATGTCCGCCACCGAAAGATGGTCGTCTATATGAGTAGCCACTTGGTGGTTCAGCAATAACGCTTGAAGCGAGAGCCACAAAAAGTATCTAATTTAAAATGAAAATATAAAAGATTATTAAAACTCTTCATAATAAATATTGCGCAACAAATTGCATGAAAGTTGCCAAAAAAAAATTTGCAAATAAAATCAACTGTTTTCAATAATATCATCGCCCGCAAAAAATATTTTCATAACGTTTTTTCGCCTAATTTTATTTCGCTCGACGAGATGAAAGTAAAAGTTTCGATGCTTCACGTACAAAATGAATTACTTTTTCCCAATAGTCAAAAATGCGAAGCTACACCCGGAATTCATTTCATCAATTAACATTTAATGAAGATAACTTTGTAAAGCAGTGAAATGTATGATAATCTCGATGTGAAGTATGTCGTGAGATTACATCATAAGAGCTTTGCTTTCGTCAAGTTCAATTGAGTGGAAAATTGGACAACAATGTTGACTAACAAAACGATTGCTGAGGGATTAAAAAGAAATTTAAATGTGTTAAATGAATGAATCTTCAAAGTGAAGATGTGGTTCGGATGAAAGATAATTTTTCGAAAGTTGGTGCTAAACGAGATGTGCAATTAATGTACATGATCATTAATAAAAATGATGCTTGACAATGCATCTTATGATAGTTTGCTTTGTCCACTAATGAAAGTGAAAGATTTTCTTTTTCATCTTCGTTTATAAATATAAATATAATTAAATATTTTTATTTACAAACACGGAACAATCATCAGCATAACCATTCGATCCTTTCATATTCTTCATCACCCAATGGCAATGACGAGGGTCGCAATTTATTTTAGTAAATCATTTTTGACGATTTATTATTTTACTTTTTATTAAAAGTGAAATTTAACGTCAAGCATTTAATTTTCTGAATGTCGATGCGAAACTTCCATCATTTAAAATAAAATAAAACTGAAAAATATCGTTACAATCGCAACGGGAAGTTCATCGGACTTTTCACGATGTTTTGTGTGCTTCTCACAGATCGCGACAATATGTTTTGACAATGAATCAATAATTTATTGAAAATTTATTCTGTCGTTTATCTTTCTTTTCACTGCAAATCGTTGACATGAAAATTTCGTTCGTAGTCAATAAATTAAAAGGCTTTCAGATATTTAAATCTTTAGCGCATGATTTATGACTTAAGTTTGATAACATTTTATAAACCAATTTAATCCTTTTAGTGACACGAATAATTCCGTGATAACTTAAATTGGATTATTTGTTCATCATCATCATCATCAGAGTAGGGAGTGCACGACTGTACACTAAAGCGATTAAGAATACAGGAATATAAATTCCAACTTGTTTCGCTCCCTTTGTCTCATCACCTGAATGATGAAGGTTCCACTTTCAGTAGCGTTCCACAGGATTGTATATTCCTGAATACTCTTCATTGTTCATATTTGACAAATTTATATTTTTTTTATCAAATCTGATACAAAGAGACATTTCAGTTTATTATATCCTAGTGAAAAATTCCACTTTTAAATGAAACAGGGGCGAAGTATCTAAACTTCTGAAAACCTCAGCCCAAGTGACCACCACCGAGAATGGAACCAGGATCGTACCGATTAGTGAATCGATACGAATTCCGATACAAATCCGATGGCACTGACACTTAGGCCAATGAAGCAAATTTGCCCCTCTGGATTATTTGTTCTTTATTAACACTTTTCACTATCATCTCGGTAGCTTCTCTTAAACTTTTTAAACTTCACAAAAAGATCCTCGAAATCTCCAAAATTTCATGAACTTACCACACCAAACTTGTTCATGTTACTTGCGATGTTCTTAATCCGAGCTATGAAATACAATTGATGCCTAACATCGCATCGTCATCTGCTTTTTATACCAACATGCTATTTTTTTTTTTTTCGCGCTTCAGCTCAAAGCTTCGCTCTCTAGCAACTCGCTAACGTAGGAAAAAAATTGCTTAAAATATTTCTCGCACAGCTTGGATCGGCCTTTTTTTTCAGCAAATCTCAACAGACGCTTATAGTCGGTACAACAACAAGAGGGTTCCGTTGCTTAACAAAAGTTACTTCTTCTTACGTTTTCCATTATTTTGGTGTACGATGTGATACAAACAACAACGGGAGAAAAGAATGACAACAACAATAAAGCATTTGAAAGAGAAGAAAGAGCGAGGCATGGTCATCAAGAGTTGCGTTTCTTACATATTTCTTATTTTCGGTAAATACTCGTATTTCTTCAATAATAATAACTTTTTTTCCACAGTGGGGCCAGCCGTAAAATTCTCCATTCACTTTCAAGATCAGTATTAAAACCGACAGTTGCTGTAAATCTGGTTTCGGTTAATTGCATTATTGGATGCATCGAAGATTGCGACGAGATGGAAAGTTAAGAAGTTGTTGAGATTGGCAAAATATTAATTAAATTAAGACACTTTTCGTGAAAGGAATCAGTTACGAAAGAATCTTTTTAAGTTATAAAAACATTCTAGTTGGCCTTATTAAACATGAATGAACAACTTTTGGTTGGTAAGAAAAAGAAAAGTTAATCATTACTTCTTTATGAAAGCAGATTAAATGCAGAGTGAACTACTGGAATAAATCTCATTAAGATTACATAACTGAAGCACATTCCTTATCTTAATTAAGTATATTTACTTCCAAATCTCATTATCTTCACGTATCCGTTGAAATCTCTTTGTCTGGCTTTTTTTCTTTTTTTTATTTACGTAAAAAAGATTTCAATGATGCTTCAGATTATCATCAACTTCATCTCACTTTCCTTCTTTGTTGAGATAGCAATAAATTTGAAATCGTTTGAATTTCCAATGTTCGAAATCGAAATTGATGCGCGATGTTTTAAATAATAAAGATATAAGAAGAAAAAGAAGAATATTTGCGCTAAGAAGGTGGAGGATTTTATAATGACATTACAAACCGGTAAGATTCACGTTGAATCATCAGTTGTCGTTGAGAAACAAGTCGGGAAACAAGAGTAAACTTTCGAATAAAACGGTGACTTTTTATTTCATGCTGATTTTTCTAAACTGTCTCAAAATAATTCACATTTCCAATCATTTAAAGATGTTGTTTACCAGCGTGAAGAAGAAATTTTGACGGCAGGTCTTGCCCATCCGGATGATTTTGACGGTGCGTTTAATGAAAAGCTTGGAGCTGACACATATGATGAGCTGGGTTGAATGTATACGGAAGGTTGTTGCCATGCAATTGGTTTTGATTGTGCAACCCATCCAGAATTTTGTGAGCTATATCCGGAATGGCTGGAAGCGTAACGGTCAAGTCCAAGATACTGTGCAACTTGATGACTTTGTCTGAGATGATCATAATCAATTCCGACGACTTTCGATGATGTCCAACCAGACCAATGGCTGGGTGGGCCGTATGTTGATTGTGGAACTCCATATGAATGTGATGGAGCAGCGTAGACTTGTTGTTGTCTTCCTGAATTCTCGTGTTGAATTAAAATTCCACTGATTTTGTTCAACAAGTTTGAATCTAAATGAAGACCTTCGGATGTTTGATGTCCAACTGATTGTTCAATGTAATCAGTTCCTTGTGAAATGAGAGCAATAGATGGTTGGTAGGAATATCCCGATGAAAGATGTGGTAATCCATAAGAAGAACTCAATGCTGGTGGTTCAGCAAATGTGCTGGTTGCCAAAGCTACAACAAATGCCTGCGAAAATGAAAAGTAAATTTTGTCTTACAATTTTAGTCACAAAATTATTGTGCCGACAAATTCATCGAATCTTTGAATTGATCTTTCAATGGAATTATAATTGCAAATGTTTCATTTTCTTTTCTCAAAAGTATCACAATGTCCTTAAAATTGCACTTTCTTTTATATCCAAAAAAGATAAAAAATCTTTTCTTATTTCCAAAGTTCATGTTTTTGTGAAACTTTCAACTTTTCACTCTCGATTTCACTCACCACATAAAAATTCATTTTTCTTCTTCAGGGTATGTAATCCACAGAACAATGATCAACTTATTTCCGACGGTGACGCACAATTGATCCGAAATGCAAGTGTCATCGATGCTTTTATACCGGCCGAATGCAATTTTTGTGCATCAGGAGCTCTCTTTCTTTCACTTGACGATATTGCAACAATTTGAATGATCATGCAAGCTCATTACATCCACGACTTTATCGAAAGTAAAAAAAATATTCTCCTTGTGCATTTCTTTTGACTGTTACGTATGCACACTAGACCTGTTGAGAAAAAGTGGATCGGACTGGAATGAGAGCGAGAGATGAAATGCAACTTGCTTTTTTTACATAAATAAGAAGATTTCGAATGCAATTTCGTGATGAAATTTAAAATGCTGTTAATTGAGTTATGAATTCATATCAATTTAATTCCTTTGGTTAATGAACTTTAACTTCTAATCGCGTTTAACTGACGTTTGTTGACATTGAAGTACAATTTCCCGGTATGAGGGTGAAATTCATTAATCGAATACTTTGCAAAGGTTAAAAGATTATTGAATTTGTCATCAAATAAATGTTGCCGACGAATCTGAAAGTCATTTAAATTTATTTAAAAAATTAATATTATTAAGTGACTTGCAGATTTTTTTAACTTTCAATCAAAAGTGAAGTTCAATCAACAGGAATATGTTGCAATATTTATCTCAGGTAGGTAAATAAAAGACGACGGTGAGAAAACAATTAAAACCTGTTTAAATTTGCAAAAATGTTAGCAGGGAAAGAAAAAGTCAAAAGACAATTAATTTGTCAAGGTTGGATGTTTGTTTTGTTGTGAGATTAATATGAAAGCTGATTAATTAGCATGTCTTTGTTTGTTTTAATGTGAACTTATTATGTGAATGAAACGCTTGAGAAAACATTTAAATATATGTCAAAAGATGTTGCAGTTCATTTAAATATTCATTGGTCTATTTTTGGCGAATGTCTCATTTATTCTTCTCGTCTCACGTAACAATCGGTGATTATAAAATAAAAATAAATCCCCATTATCATAGATATTGGAGTTTTAAAAAGAAACATAACAAAACAAAGCAAAAAATCAATTTACAAAGCAATTCCCCATTGCCGTTTTCTTTTCACTTTGGATTTTTGTCGGTTCAACTGTAAGTAAGTAAGTATGTGGTTTCTTAAATGGATCTGACGGCGCATAATTTCTTCACAGATGATTCAAACTTAATACGACTCTTCTTTCCCTTCTCCAAATTTTATAACGACGCCACGAAACATTTAATTAATCACAATATGTGGCATTTTGATTTCGATGCTATGAAGATAAACTTCATGCAATTCAATTCATAGATTCGGTCATTTGCCCATCTTCATGATTGCATAAGTGAAATTACTACTTTTTTTCAATTGTCGGCTCTTTTCACGCAACGTTTCTTCAACGCTATCGCAGTTTTTGAACCGTCAATGTCGCAAATCTTGCAAAGTCTAAGTGAATTCAAAGCATGTTTTCTCCTGCCCCGAAAATCAAATGCTTGAACTGCGTCGAATATAATTGCCTGTGCTGAACGTGAACTACATTTTAGCCATGATAATTATAAGCTGTAGCTCTAAAGAAGACAAGAAACAGCACAAAACTTGCGAGATGCTCATGAAAAGCAAAACAATGGTGATTTAATTTTTCGGGAAAAAAAATAAGCGATCCATGTGATGATCATCTTTACAAAACATCAAGCTTGACTGCGGAGAAAGATTTTTGTTTTGTCGGCGAGTTTTTATTTTTAACTTCTTTTGGGTGATTTCTACGATAAATTATGCAGATCTCGTTTTCATCTTCACGTCAAGAGTCTTGAGATGGCGTGGAATAATTTAATTACGATTGTGTTCAACGTTCGCAAATAGTCTTTGGGCAATCCATGACTGATGTACTCGTCTAATGTTAATTTTAAATCATATTTAAGATATTTGAGATTAAAAGTCATACATAAATAAATATCTAGATGAATTAGTGTAATAGAGGAGAACGAGAGACATTGACAAGGACGTTTGAAGCTTTCGCGCTCTTCCAATGCGTGCGTGATTCCCCGTCTTCCAAAATTGCTTTGCACAGAGATTATGTAACAAACAGCATGAAAAAAAACAGCCAAAAAATTATTACATCAACTTGCCTGTTCGTTTAACATCTTAGGGCAGTGGTGGACGAAATATGAATTTTCTTTTGTACAAAAGCATATATTTTGGGAGATGGTAATTTGATTTCAATTATGCGTAGTCATCAATGATGATTTGCATGGAATTTTCAGCTACAAAAGTCGATTGATTGAGTCGTATATGTAAACTTTATGTCGCCTATCTATCAATGTTGAGTTGAAGTAACAAAAGTTTATTGAACTTCTTAATGAATCTTTCTTTGATGATGTTTAACTTTCAACTTAAAGGCGTTTCTTCGGTCATTTACATTTACTTTTTTTTATGAACTCTGATGTTGCTCAAGAATTAGATAAGTTACATTACTAATATATCTCTGATTGATTTGCAATTAAAATTGATCTTTAATGTTTTACGAAAAAGCCTGAATGAAAGTTAATTTTTAATTCTGTTATTAAATAATAACTTTTTTTTCACAGATGAGTAAGCAAGTTTTAATCGAAAGGAAAAGATATAAAATGATCATAAAAACAATGTTTCTGTTGCTCATTCTCATCGAGATGCTACACTTTCACTCATGTTCTTCTTTTTCTTCCACATTCTCGGACGTTCACTGAAATTGAAAGTAGACTCAAGACTTTAAAATTATCGTCTTCCTTATGTTTCTTCTCATTTCATTTCTTGTTTCATGAGCGTGTAATCGAATTATGTCAAGATCTGTAGAGGGAGAGTCATTGCAAATGAAAAGGATTCAACAAATATCAACTGAAACTAATCCCCGTACATTACCATCTTCGTAAATTGAATCTCATCGCAATTAAGGCACTAATTGAATTGCACAACAATAATAAAAAGTGAAGTATTAATAATCATTAATCCCTGATCGCAATGAATCGTCAAAATGAAATTTAAATAACAATAAAATCGTGAACTTCTTGACAGTTTTTATTTTCTCAACGGCAAACAGTTGAATCGAGTTTCTTTCATTTTTGATGTGGAACATTTCTGTTTTGATTCGAGAGATTATTTTTTTCCTTTAAGACAGACATAAGCTTTCATAGTGATTTTCAGGCGGTGGCACATTTGATGCTCATAAATATCTCAAAATGAATTATTATGGAGTGAAAGAAAAAAAAGTATCTTAAGTTGAAGTTTAAAACTTGAGCAATCGAGTGTTTGAAGATTGAAAACTGAAGAGTGATAATTTACATTCTCACTTTAGATTTCGTTTGAATGGATCAGCCAACGATCGATTGCAACATATCAGTTTTTTTGAGCTTTTAATCAATCAATCAAACAAGACGCAACATTATGAAATTTTGATGTGTAAAGAAATCTTCTCATGATGCTCGCATCACATTCATCAGTAATGAAAGTTGTCCTAACAATGGACATTAAAGACATCTTAATGGATAAGTGATGATCTTCTTCAACTTCTTGACATAATAACAACAATAAGTGGTTCCACTGTATCTCTTTCACTCACTCTCGAATGTCCATCTCTCTCATGTGCTAAACAATCGCGTGCTTTTATTACCATTAATCGGAAACTCATCACACAACAAGACAAAACAAAAAGTAAAAGAAATAAAAAAAGACGTTGTGATGTAAATCAACGAAAATTTCTTTACTGGCGATGATGATTACTTTTGAATGGTTTGATGAAAGACGATAAAACAACAGTACATTTTAAGTACATATTCATTTAATTGGTACAATAGACACTCGACTATTTTAAATGTGGAAGTTGGATCGGAATTTTCAAGTGTTGTCAGTAGTCACGATGAAAAACTTTTGATCGAAATTCACAAGTTGTATTTTTCGCAATCATTAGAAGATGCGGCTTCTCTTTGACATTTGATGAAGTGAAGTACGTCTCTGAACCTACGACGGGATTTGAAGAACACTTGAAAGCGAAACATTTCTACCATTAATGACAATTCACATTCAAAAACTTGCATGACTTGGTGGCGTATAATTATTCGATGTTATGCAGTACTTCAATACTTCTTTTCTATTGAACACCAAGTCATCACGAAATTAACTTTCTCTAACTCATTTACAAATGGATAAATGCTTGAAGAATGCGTAAAAATTGAAGATTGAGGTTTGGATCGAAGGACAGCAAGTAAGGCCACTTGAACTAATTCCATACATCAATGGACATCACATCAACAGTAGCCAAAAACTACTTTGTCGGTTAAATATTTATACATAGATTACAGTCACTTCGCACCGTTGCGTTATTATGCAAATATTTGCGAAATTTTATTTTCCCCTATTAACTTCCACCCATGTAAGTAAACATTTTTTAGCCATAACTTGCTAATGAATTGTTTAATTCAATTCATTGCACCATCGCCAAAATAATTTGATTTACAATTAAAATACTATTAAATAGTTGAATCGGGGAAAAAAAATTAATTTTCTTTGCTTTTACTTCGTTAATAAATGCTTTGTCGGTCAGTGAAGCAACCAAGTTGATATCAAGGAGAAGAAGAATTTAAGACTTTCATGTGGATTAAACGATGTTGGAATGGATTGAATAAATATGAATGAGATGTGTGAATAATTTCAAAAAAAAATAAATTAAAATGTATGAATTCAAGGCCTTGCAAGGCTTCCAAAGTGGTCAAGAAAACTCGTGGAAATTTTTCAAAGCTCACGAATAAAAATCCATTCCAAACCAGCATCGATCATTCATAAATATTTCCTTCCTCTTGTTTCTGGTTTTCTTCTTTCATTTTTATTAATATTTCAACGAGTGCATCGAACAAATTGTTTCTCATTAACGGAAGTTGATTAAAGTGTAAGAGAAAAAATGATGAAATTATCTTTCAATTTTTATTTTGGATTGTAAAGATTTCCATTTACCTTCTATAGATAAATATGATTTATTGATGGTTTGCCATATTTTGTCAATTCATTTGTGAAAAAGAAGAAAATTAAATTTAGTTTTTCTGTTTTATTAATGAGCTTCGAGTTGAAATTAACAAAAGTCATATTTTCACTGTTGTTGTTCATAGATTTGAATGTAAGCTTCAGTGAGTGTAATCATTTGTGGTAAAATTGATGTAACATGTAAATCCTGCATCTCGTACCACTGATTTGTAGCTTTATGAAGAATATGAGCTCGATAAGTGCCTTTACCTGGCTCACCATCATGAACAATATTTGCAATCAAATTGTAATGTGTTTGCTTGTTAACTTCTTTGTTTTTTGCTGTCAAAATATCACCAAAGTCCACATTTCTAGAGAAAGAAAAAATTTTATATTATAAAACTAAAACTTATGAATCAAAATCTTACTTGACAGGAAAGTTGACAATTGTTGGATTCTTATCAACGAAAAAAGTATTTTTTGTGAATCTTTTGATGTAAAGAATGACAAATTTTGGTAATTTTGTGATCTCAAATCTCTTCATGAAGTTATCTTTGTACGATTTATATTCTTTCTCGCTGACGCCATTAAACTTTGATAAAAGTTGATAAAGATTAACTTGAGGAATAATATTTTCTCTGAACTCATCAATGAAAAGCGGGGGTGGTGGGAGATCGCAATTAAGATAAAGAAAGTTGGTTGTCTCGACTTTCTCTTGGTATTCATCAGTAGCTAGAAGAAGATCCTTTTGAACATCATCGCAGTCAGCTGGAGGAATTTTTCTCGTATAAACTTTCATTTCACCTAAAAATGATTTGTTGATGACACTTGAGTTTGGATTTTTATTTCCTCGCATTTGTCGATGAAGTTCGTGTAGAAACCATGTTAGAAAGTCAATAGGATCGCCTTGTTCTATGATCTGGAATCTTTTATTGCTCCAAAGCACCACAGCTTGAAGCATCTCATGAGGTGAAACGTGAGCTTTGAAATTGCGAGGATTCCAAAGTTTCCTCATCAGTTCACCAAATCGTTGGACAAGAGTGAAGGGAGAATCGCCAGCTGGTCGTTTAATTTTCGCATAGTTTGATTCCATTAAGAAGAAATTTCTGATTGGTTTAACATGTGAAAGAGCTTGAAGAATTACGTTGCAATAGTCATTTGCTTTGATGTTGTTGAGACCAACAATTCCAGGATGATAAAGAGTTCCTTCTAAAGTCCTCGACGTTTTTGTTTTCTCAGAATCATCTAGAATTCTTATATCTGATGCAGTGAATGTTGGATTCAAAACGTATTTGATGTCCTGGATTTTGAATAAATAATTTCATTAAATTTCAAGTAATATTAAACTAAAGAAACGACTTACATCTAACGACGAATCAATAATTTCATAATTATCAGGGAGACAGTAGAATCGTAAACTTGACAGATTAAGAAACACATGATGGTATTCAGCAACTGAATGCGTATAGGCGTGAGTGTTTGAACCTCTTCCTTGAAAATATTTACCACAAACCAGACAAGCATAAACATTTATTCTTGTAAGAGAAACAGAACACAATTTCTCAAAATCGAAATCAAGAACATTTCGATTTATTGTATCGAGGTAAGGACATTGTTTAATATTTATTTTTGGAGCCTGAACTTCTGTTTCCGAATCATCATCTTCATCTTTTATTTCAATTTTTCGTTTTAATCCATTTTCATGTCGTTTATTGTCTTCCTCAACTTCGGCCATTTTATTCTTACAAAGAAGATAATTATCTTCAAACTTGCTAAACTAAGAACTTTATTTATAGCTGAGTTTAATTGATTTTTACTGAAATTAATCGTTTGAAATCGCCGATTGTGTTTACAAAACCTGAAAGCACTTTTTATGTTAAGCAAGCTTCAATTATTCACTAACTTGAATATCACTTTTCAATGAACATGCAAAAGTTAGTCCTACTCGATGTACGTAAGGTTGAAAATTGAAAATCTAAACATAATTTTGAATATTTTTCACGTGCTGATGTTTACATTTTTTAAACTTATTCAAAATTGAAATTGAGAGATTAATTAAATAAAATTAATATAATGAAACGAAAAGTAAATGATGTAGGAGATAGTGAAGATGTGGATGAAGATGAAAAAGTGTCAAAAAAGTTAAAAGCAGAAGGTGAGAGAAACTTTTTTCAATTTTGTCGTAAATAACTAATTTTAATGATTATTTATGTTTTAAAAAGATTCTGAAGAAGAAATAGATGACAATGAGGAATCTTTATTTGATGCAGATTTTGATATCAAAAAATTTCGACAGAATTTAAAAGCAGGAAACTTTTATGATGGTAAACTATTGATTTCGTAGATTTGATTAAAAATTTTATAACATTAAATTTTTTTAAGACCTCAAGCTCTTCATCAAACAAGCGTCGAAGAATGCTGACATTATTAGAGCGTTTGCAGATTCTGGAATAAAAGCACTAGAGATTGCTGAAGTCATTAAAAACAATGAGGAATCAAATCTCGAAGTTATTTCAAATCTTTACAACGTGCTTCGAAGTCTGATCTCTCACATTAAAAATGATGATAATCAAAGATTGGACCCAACAGTACAAGCATTAAAATTTCTTGTAAATAAGAATAAGATATCAATCGGAAAGATGTTGTCATCCTCCAAAACATCTGACAAAGTTCTGATGTTAAAAATTCTCAGCATTGCGACATCATTGGATACTGAAATCGGACGAGACATTCTCAAAAACATCGACATCTTTGGAAAGTCTTCTGAAAAAGATGATTTTTCTATTTTTGAAGACAAAAAAAGTAAAAAAGTTGCATACGAAGAATCCGTCCGACTTGCTTTTGTTCATTTTATTCTTGGATTTTTACTTCACGAGAAAGACGTGATCTTGAGGAAGAAAATTCTACAGAAAAGATCACTTTTTGAATTCTTCCTTCGTGATTTGTATAAAGATAATTATGAGACTATAAAGAGTGTTATCACATGCTTGACAAAAAATGTTCTCATCTCACAAGCATTTAGTAAGCCTGAAAAGTTGAAGATCTTCACAGATAACGCAATCAAATCGATTTTAAAGCTTTATATGTGGAAAAGTGACGATGACAGTGAAAAGTCGAGTGTTTTGAATATTACTCATCAGTTTCTTTTACTTCTGCTTACCAGCAAAAAACATGGAATTGTCTTCAAGGCTCTTAGTGAAAAGCGACAAAATTTACGACAACTTCAAGTTCTAAATCTTTTCAAGAATGTTTGGAACAACGAATATCCGTCAATGCTTATGATTGAGATAATAAAGTCATGTCCTGATTTAATGCAAAACCTTCTGAATCGACTTGTGATGGGACTTCAACCGCAAGTTTCTACAAATTGGTTTATGTGTGTGAACTTTACGACAGAGTTAATTAAAGTTATGGAACCTTCATTGATGATCAACTCGTTTGCAATGCTTGAACCAAAAAAGATATCAAGTAACATTATAAAACTGTCAATCTCACAATTTATTCTTCAAAATGTCAGTGAAACTGCTTTGATTCAAATTGGAAATGTTGAGATGAGAGAAGCATCATTGAAGCTGCTTCACGTCATGCTTGATCGTTGCTGCAAATATTTAAACGAAGTGAAGAAGATTCAAACACTGAAGGATTTCGAAAAGCATCGAATAAAGTTTGACATTATTAATCACATTTTCACGTTTTATCCACACATTGACATAATTTTGAATTCACTTTATCGAAGTATCAATTTCTCGACGAAACAAACTTCAGATGAGAATGTTGGGAAATTAGTGAAGTCACAACTTAAACACACACTTGAAATCTTATTGTTGATCATCAAATATTTTCCATCGATTATTGAGAAGATTCCAAACGTCATCAATTTTCTTGAAGTGCTTCGTCCAATCTACGAGTATCAACTGTCGGCATCTGCTGACGTCGATAAGAATGAAGATTTAGAAATAGAAATGAAAGTTGTGAAAGTTATTTTATCACTTCAACCGAGCATTTTAGCAATCGAGTCGGAAATGTTTCAAAGAATTTTTCTTGTCTTAATTCAAGTTTATTGCTTCAGTAGCAACGATGAATTCAGAAAGGAATCAAAAATTTTATTATCAGGAATTCTTCACAATTCAATGATTTTAAATACGGAATCGAGTCTTGAATTGAATGTTTGGCTGGAAACTTTTAAATGTGTTAAAAAAGGAATTTTGAAGGAATCAGCAACGACATTTGTAAAAGTTTTACGATCATTGAAGAATTCGGAGAATGAAAACTTAAAGTGGGAACATCAGGAAGTGATGATTTGTGATTTTGAATTGCTAAAAATGATTGACGACGAAGAGGAAGCTGACGAAAGCGACACAAGTGAAGAACTGAGTTTAATTCTACCAGCTTTACTCAACATGAAATCAAGCAAAACTAATCGAATTATCGATTTTATTGAAATCGCTTTTGTGCTTTTGTACCATTCATATCCCCAATATCGAAAATCTTTTATGAAGCTACTCGAGGACAAACAAAACGAAATCAATACACAAATTCTCAGCTACATTAGGAAACAATCGTTAAAAGATTTCGGTGGCACTCTTGAAGCTTACACTGAACTTGTTTATAGAAAATTTCAACTTGCAATCATCAATGATGAGTTTGTTGAAATGAATGATGTTAAAGACATTCAAGAACTTGAAATGTTGATTATCCAATCAATTTTCTGCGCATTTAAATTGGAAAAGTCTGGCAAATTAACAAATGAAAAAGTTCAACTTCTAACAAATTACATACAAAAGTTTTTCACAAACATCATGGAAAGTGAGAAGAACGATTCAAATTTGATTTTCTCGATGGATATCTTCGAGAAGATTCAACCAGAAGACATTGAGAAGAAAGCAAATAAAATCAGCGACTTAACAATGGCGCAACCATCAGTAAATCTCGTCAAACACATTTTCAAACATCAAACTATGTTGTTAAATAAATTCACAATTTCTCAACCAGATCAATTGACAATCTTCATTGGCGAACTTAGTGAGATTATGAAATCAACAAATGAATTTGAGACGAGTTCGAAAGGATATCGAATAAAAATTGTTTCTGAATTGAAAGAAATGTTGTCAACTGAAAGTTTGATTAAAGATGAAGTGTTTGACATCATTGAGAAGTTTTCACTCGACGATGTCAATTGTGTCGACATTTTAAGTGTTTTGTTGATGAAGAAAATGAAGAATATAAAGGAAATGCATGTGAAGTTAGTTACAATACTGATGAGGAGATTGACATGCTTAAAGACGTTGCCACTTACAAAGAAAGTAATTGAAAAGCTGGAAGTTTTCTACATCGAAGCAGCATCAAACACAGCAATTGACTTGAGTGCACTTGAAGACACTCTACTTGATTACTTCACAGAATTTTGTCACAACATTGGAGATTTAAGTGTAAATATGTTCAAATTAGCATTCAGAGAAGATCAAACAGCAACAAAATCTTTCGTTAAACTTTTCAAAATGATTTTCACTCGCAATCATCATTGGAATAAAATTTTCATTAAAGATGTGATGAAAATGAAGAAGGAATTGATGTATCCATTATTGAGTGTGGCTTTGAAGAAGGAGTTAATGAAAGTTGATCAATGTAAGCCAATTTATCAAGAATTCAAGTCGGGAATAATCAAAGCAATTGAAAAGCCCAACAAAGCCGCGCAAATTTATCGTGAAAATATTTTAACTTCGCTTAAATTAATTGAATTGTCGATGCCATTAAATGAATGTCAAGATCTTGCAATGAAAAAGTTTAAATTTGACGCATCAGAAGTTTATCAAGTTAAGATGCTTCATGGAATTTTCACGAAAGCTTTCAAAGCGAATAATGATGGAAAAATTTTCATTAATTTTATTAATCATTGGCTGAATTTGTTTGTTCTGTCGTTGAACAACAATTCAGGAATTAACGAAGAATATTTGGAAGTTCTTAGCGATTGGATGAAGATCATCAAGCCATTACCTTCAAATCTTCCTGATGTCGATGTCAACATGAAAACTTGGGAAACTTTCATTAAAATGTGCTTGAAGCATGGATTGAAATCATGCGAAGGCTCAAAGATGTTGATGTTACTTGGTCAAGTGATAAGAAGCATCAATGTAACAGCTGATGAAGTGACGACAATTTTTGACATGATTTTAACACATTCAAACTTCTTCAATGTTGTTTTCAATTTCAAAGTTTCTGGTCGTGTTTTGAAGACGAATTTATTCTTTCTTCTGAATGTTTTGGTGCAAAGGAATCCGTCAGTGGCACATGAGAAGCACATTCCAATTCTTTTGTCAGCATATCAAGCGACGATGTCATCATCAGATCAATTAATTCTTAATTTACTTCGTTTTTATGAGTTAAGATGTGGAATTGATTTCTTTGATTTTCGTCCGTTTTTGTTTGGACCGACAGCTTTGTCACACTTCACATCAAACGATGAACAAGAAATGATGCTAATGAAGAAAACTGTTGATGACATGAATGGAATGTTTGTGAAAGTTTTGGACTTATTCGAGAAATCAATGATCGAAAGCACGCTAAACAAATTTCCAATTAAACGAAAACTTGCTGGCGTTCCAAGTGATGAACTTGAAGGAATTTTAAAAGAAGAAGTTGATGATTGTGATGCTGTTTACGATCCTGGTTACTTTCTTCCTCTCTTTGAAATGATTTTATCATCGAGCAACTTTATTTTCATCTCGTCAGCAAAGAAGAATAATTTGATGTCGTTAATCTTCCCAGCATTGTCATGTGAAGATGAAAACATGCGACTTCTTGCTGCTCACATTCTACTGAAATGTCGTGAGTGCAATGAAAATAAAAAGTGAGTAATTTTTGTTAATTTTCCTTAATTTCCCGAAAGTTAAAATTCTGAACAATTTTTTAATTAAAATTTCTTTTCACAGAGGTACAAAAGAACTTTGGATTCGCTTCTATGATTCGATCCAACAAGGCTTTAGTGAGATTCAAGAAGGGACTGGAAACGATGATAAAGCGAAAGAAAAACATTTTCCACGTGCTGCTTCGATATCGACGCAACTTCTATCTGAGTTTGTGAATATTTTACCGAATTCACTTCATAACGCTTACAACATTGCGTCGAATTATTTTGTTGTTCGAGAGAAATTTGAATTCAATCGAATTCCAGAACTTTTCGTGATGTTTTACAGTTATGATGTCCATCAGGAAGAACATCGAATGTTCTTGTTAAATGCGATCTACAATGGCATTAAAGACGATTTAGATGTCAAGCTTATAAACAACACGCCTTTGATTAAAATTCTTCTTTCATGCTCCCGATGTTCATTGTCAAATCGGAAAATTGATTTGATGATTTTGAAGATTTTTGATCGAATCGTAACGAAAACATCGAAAACTGCATTTTTGTTGCAAAAATTTGGGCTTGGAGTTTGGCTATTTGAAGTTGCAGTTAAAGTTGAAGCTTTTGAATATGAGATGATTGAAGCTATTTTAAATCTGATTAACAATTGCGTCAAAACGATGTCAATGAAGGATAAAGTTAATTTCTGTCGATTGTTTATTTCACTTCTTTGTATGCTTCCAAAGTTCACAAAGTCAAAACTTTCAGCTGAAGGTTTTCTGAACTTTTTAAAAGTTATGAACATAAAAGGAAATTTTAAACACGAAGTTACTAAAGAACATCATGAAATGATTAAAGCATTATTTGAAGTTTTCCTTTCGGAACAACAAATGAAATTCATTAACTATCTCGACAATCGTCCTGAATCATGTTCGTTCCTTGAATCTTCAGACGACTACTGCAAATCATTTTCAACAGAACTTGACAGCAACACAAAATCAATTCTCTTAGAAGGTCGACAATACTTGATTAATTATCATAAAAATTAGTAGTAACGAGAACATTTTTTATTTAAATTTGCTTTATCAATTTAGCGATTTAGAATTTATTTTCATTCTTTTCAATTTTCATTTATGTTTTCTTTTTTAATTGTCCTAAGATTAAGAAGAGACGACATACAAATTTGAAATAAAAGGAGTCACATTTTGCGTTTTCCTTAAAAGTTTTGCGTTTTCATGAAAGAATTTTGTGTGTGTGTGTTTGTGGAATATTTCAGGAAGAGTTTCTGAACTCGGTCATTGAAAGTTTTAAAGTTTCTCTTTTCTACAAGCTCCAATTTTTAATTTCTTTCTAGCCTAATGTGGTTCTGAAATAATTTATCACATGCAATAAACCGAATATCACAACCCTGAAGAAACTTTAATTGATTCGAAAGCTTCAACCAGCAGAAGCTTTTTCTCTTTCGTATTCATCTTTCACTAAATTCTGCTTAGAAAAGCTTTTGAAGCAATTTAACTTCCGACTTTCGTTCACCATTTTCCTTCAATATTCCATGCTCAGAAGTGAGCATTTCCATCTTCGATAAGAGTCAAGTGGGAGGGCGGCAAGGGTTTCACTTTCATAATCGATTCTAAAAAATTTTAACAATCATTTCATATTAATATCAATGTTATCTTAAGATTTATGGCGAGTTTTTTTAATTAGAAATGGAATATAAAAAACTTTTTAAAAGAAATTTTCATTCACAACTCATTTTTTCTAATTATTTTCTTGGAACTATTAAGCCACCCTCAACATTATTATTTAATCATCACGTTACAACTTACGACTTGTAAGTTTTGATAATTTAGAGCTCAAAAAATTGTAGTATGGTTCACGTTTTCTTTTGAAGAATTCAATGAATAACTAAGAAATTTAAGCAAATTTTTTGTTGGCTTTTTGAGCATTTTTTTAATGTACATGCGATTAAAGCAATAAGAAAATTCGTTTCATCGACGATATCGTTTTTTTTCTCTTAAATATGAAATAAGACGAGTTTAAAATTAAATTGGGACAGAAGATTGGGAAAGAGATTAAATCTACTGGAATTGTTCATAATCATTTAAATATTATTTGAAGTTTTCTTATTTTTCTCCTTCCTTCAAAGCTACAAATTGTTTGTTTGGTTTGGTTTTTTCTTCAGAATTTAAGCCACTTCAATTATAAGAAATAACATGTGGAAAAATCTTTTATTTTGTTATGTTACGAGTCGTAATTGTGGAAGAATATTTGAAAAGTTATCCACTGTTTATTCTATTATCAAAGAGAGTTTAGACATCAGTTTCAATGCCCACAGTTATGGAGTTTTTCTGTCGGTAGTTTTGGCTGTTGGAACTGAATATTTTTTGATCTTTATAAGCGCCTAAAAATGGCACAATGTGTGTCTGATCACTGATGATTCCAGGAGATGAATCAAGCGAATCCACGTCAGATGGTGACTTTGAATATGGTGGATCAAGTCCTTGTTGAACTGTTGAAATAAATAATTATTAAAATGAAACAAGAAAGTCAAGAATATCCACCTAAAGCACCAGGAAGATAAGGACAACTTGTCACGTGATTAAAATTTTGGCTTTGCATTTCTTCTTGATCAGTTTCGAGGTGGTAGAAATAGTTAAAATTACTAACAATGACAGGCACGGGAAGAGAAATTGTTAATACGCCAGCAATTGCACATAGTGAGCCAACAATTTTCCCCCAAACACCGATTGGTGTCATGTCACCATAACCGACTGTCGTCTGTAGTAATAAAAAAAAAGAAAATTTTAGTAAAAGAAAGAGAACTGCAAGGCAATTCAAAGTAACTCACCATTGTTACAACAGCCCACCAGAAAGAATCTGGAATTGACTTAAATAATGAACTATCACTCCCTGCTTCAGCAAAGTACACAGCTGACGAGAACAGCACAACACCTAAGGAAATGAAGTCAGATGAATGTAAATTGACATTCGAAAAGAAAGTAAAACTTACCGATGAATAGGAAAAATATCAGCAAACCTAATTCGCGCATCGATGCCTTCAGAGTTCGTCCGAGAATCTGAAGACCTTTGGAATGTCTTGATAGTTTAAATATCCTAAAAACTCGTACCAACCGAATAACGCGAAGAATGGCAAGTGACATCGCTTGATTTGTCAGTTTTTCTTGCGCACTCACTGGTGCTAGTGGCAAGTACATCAAATCTTCTTCTTCGGCCACAACCGTTGCTAATGTGATGAAGTACGGAATGATGGCAATGATATCGATTATGTTCATCATGTCACTGAAGAAGCTTAGCTTATTGGGACACGAGATAAGTCTGAAAGCGAAGCAAGATTATAATCTGCGGAAGCCAAAAGTGATCAGAAATTTCATTTATTTGTTCAAACCTCACGATGAACTCAAATGTAAACCACACGATGCAAACCGTTTCGATCATGAAAAACGGATCACCCAAGTCGGGCACTTCATCTTCCTCTATTTTAGTTGTTTTAATTGTTGTGCTAAAAATCTGTTTCACATTTTTTTATTAATTTATTTAGTTACAGTTTAAAGAAAATTTAAGAAATTTGTGATGACTTTTTAGACAATTCAACTTGCTTACCTTGTAATGTTTAAATTTGGGCAATGTTTCAAGGCAGAAGATAACAATTGACGTAAGAATGACAAATACGCTAATTATTGCAACCATTCGAGCTGCTGAAGAACTGTCGGGATGTTCAAACAGAAGCCAAACTTTACGTTGAAGTTCATTCTCTGGAAGTGGACGCTCTTCTTCCTTTATAAAACCTTCATCCTCTCTGCGGAAAAAGAGAGCCTATGAAAGATCTTACATCAGAAGACTACATGATGATTGGTTTACGTGTGACTCATTCCGTGCATTTCACAGACATCGAAAGCATTCAAAGTTTTTGTTTAATATTGACTAATGAAGATTTTTAACTTTTATGTAATTTTATGTTTATGAGATTAAGTTGGTGTTAAATGAGAGGGAAAATCTATCATGAAATTTAATTAAAACAATCAGAAATTTAATGAACTTCAAGCTTATTTTGTCACACATTTTAATTTCAAGATAATTCAAAAATTACCAAACTTCTATGATGTGAATGATAATCAAATCAATATCAACAAGAAACATTTCCGAATGCATTCATTGCGTGAAATGCACTGAAAGACTCATCAGATGGTTGTGAACATTATTGCTAAATCTACAATAGGACCTCTAAGATCCAAATCCTACAATGATAAGAGAAAATAGAAAAAAAAACGCAACAACAACAACATCAACACGCACGCACGCTCACACATCCTACAAAGAAATAGATTAGCGTGCAGTCTAGGAAGAAGAAATTTACCTGAATTTATTTATTGCTTGTTCACCTAATTCGTAAAATGTAATTTCTTCGCTAAAAACATCTAAAGGAACATTAACCGGCCTCCTTAATCGGCCACCTTTTATTTTTCAAAGTGATACCAAGAATGATATAAAAGAACATCACGTAATTGAAAAGAAAGAAAAAAGAAGAAAGGAAAACGAGAACTAAAGATTTCTGAATCTTTGTGAGGGCAAGAGAAAGAATCGAAAACTTTTCCTAAGCTAATCTATAGATAAACAAAGAGTTGAACATCAAGACTCACCACTTTGATAATAATATAAAATAGCGTCAAAACTCGGACGGTTGCGATCGAAGAAATATTCATTCCGAAGCGGATCAAAGTACCTGATACGACGGGCGGGATCGCCCAAGAGTGTGTCGGGAAACTGATTCAAGGCTCTCAATTGTGTTTCAAATTTCAAGCCGCTGACCTTCAAAAAGCAGTCAAAAAGTTGTAAAATTATAATCAAACAAAGGTAAACTTACATTTATAACAATACGTTCGCAAAAGTTATGATCATGTGGTATTGGCTCGAACTGCGGAACTTCTCTTTTCTTTGAATCGGTACCGTCGTCATCTTGACTGCTAAATTTTGGTAAAGATCTGAAAATATGCATGAAAAAATCTTTAAAATTCATAACATAAAATTAAGTTGAGTGGAAGATTTAATAATTTTGATTCTCTTTCTCCATTTGTACTCTTCAATTAAGATATCTAAATAAGTTTGAGCTTTATTAAAAGCTTTGACCTGGTGTCAAAAGAAATTTCTGTTTTGATTTTCAAATTTGAATATTTCATGATTTTTTTACCACTTCGATGTTTGATTAGATTGCGGGAGATTTTAAATGCTGAATTGTTAAACTGAAAGTTCAAATTCATTACCAGATATTTAAACAATTAGAAGAAAATAGAAAATTTAAATTTAAGTCTTTAATCATTCATGGAATTATTTCAGAATGTTTTGCGGTGAATTTTCAATGGCTTTGGATTGTGAGTGAAATGTACAATTTGGGACGTTTAACGCTTGGCAGTGTGCTGCGCCGACCAATATTGCACAATGTCATCAAGTTCCCATGTAACTTCCTTATTTTCATATCGCCTCAAATCGCAAACTCGATTTATTTCTGCATGTTTAAAATCAGAACAAGCAAGCGTATTCGCCAACATAATAAATTGAAAAGCTTCGGAAATTAATGTAAAAGTGGATTTAAAAACTTTACTGCAAATGAAATGCGACCTTCCGATTAGCTCATGAATTCGATTTTTACGTTTATAAACTTCCAAATCATTTTATTGAATTTTTTAATAAATAGTTTTTAATCCGTCTCAGATTTTCCGATGTCATGTTTTAACAAGCAATTAGAATGACAGCAATTAATTACAGCTTGAATACCTCTCAAGTTTCAACTATTTCAACCTATATAAAATATTTTCTCATACATGGCTGCTTCTATTTTTCCTTTCCATTGATTATCAATTGCTTTTGTTCAGCAAAAAATATAATTGTGAGATTATTGGTTATTTGATTACATACGAATATATTTTTAGCTTTGAAACAAAAAACGATATCGAGTCTATTAAAATAACAAATAACGTTAGAGGTTTGTTAGAAAAACAAACAAAGAGTGGTTGGAACGATTTTAGAGAGCAAAAAAAACTTTTTGCAAATCCCAATGAAAGTTTCTTAGATTATGTTGAAAGATTTCAAATTCGATTAAAAGTTTTTTTAGGTCATCTCATCATAAAGAAATGGAGGAATAAGTTCAGTAAAAGTGAATTAATAATTTGTCACAAAACTTACTGATAATCACACTCATCGATGTTATTGAAATAATAACTTACGATAAATGTTCGCAATAATTTTTCTTATTTAGTTCAACGCTAAATCATCGCTTTTAATTGTCAAGCTCTATCCATGATTATGCATTTGCTTCGAAAAGCTTTCAAGCTTTTATTTTCTCTCCAATTAAAAGAATATCTCTAAGAGAAATATTCTCGCTCATTATTCATTACATTTATCAACTGTTTTAATATACTGTCAAAGTGCAAATGAATTTCAAACAATTTTGTGTGAAGCTTTTCATAATAATTGAAAAATTATCCTTATGTGTGTGTCTCTTCCCTACATTCAACTATTTAGCTTGATTTTTATTCTCTCTTGTACATGTCAGTGTGTACAATGCATTTTGATATCAATTATTGAGGAAGGTCGTGAAAAGTGCAAGTTCGTGGCTTGTGGGAGAATTTTCAATTGTTTTCTATTTTTCATTACTAAGAAATATTTTTCAAATTGAACTGAATTTGCCATGAATCTTGAGAAGATTAAATAAAATGACGAATTAAGTTTTCTTTTAAAGTTGAATAATAACAGGCAATCATCGTATGAATCTTTAATTAAGATTTTCTTTTTTCAATATCATATTCAAGTAGAAAAATAGATCTAAATAGAATCGGGAAAAAAACGCAGACATAAAAGTTGAAAGAGGCGAAAATTAAGGCTAAATATTGAGCGCTACTTTTTGGCAGCGCAAATGAAACCAAAAAATTCTTTTAAGCATGTTTTCTGCTTAGATGGAATCATTTTCAAAACATTTTTAGGATGGCAGCGAAGCACGTCAGGATGAATTCTCTGTACCATCGTTGATGCCTTCTTGTCTTTTTCTTGCATCCCGATGAAGAAAAATCAATAAAAGTGTTCCGCATGAGAGGAAAATGTTCAGCAAAGAGAAAATGCTTTTTCTTCCTTTCTCGTTTTCGCTCTGAAATTTCTCACGTCAGTGGACCATCTGCATTTTAATTAATTTTAGTTTATATTCTTCCCGATACGAAGAACCTTTTAAAACGCACTTATTATGATGACTTAGGAGATATAAAAATAATTGTAAACATTTTTTAGATCACTTACAAATTGTCATTCTCCTCCATGGTCTCATAGTAATCCATCACACTCAAATAATCTAATCCCAGTGTTTGATTATAACATGCACAACATTGACACCATTTCTTATGATGCATGATCCAGCGATCATTTTGATCATCTTTCTTTCTTTAGATTCTATTTAAATACTTTTTTTTTCCTCTTCACGTAATTTGCTCTCTAATGTCACAACACGAGTTTGTTGTGGGAGTAGCACCAGAAAAAAAGAAACTTTACACACTCATACACACGCGACGATTAAAATGGCAGGGCGGAAAATTAATTAAGTCCTAACTAGCATTTAAACTATTAAGTGCACTTTCATTCAACACGGAACACAAATGAGATGACGTTTCCAAGTGCGACTGAAAATAAATAAAAAAATCTGACTTTGCTCTTCTATCTGTTCTGGTTTTTTTGCCTTTGAGAAAACCGAAAAGAAAAAATCTTAAAACTGCGAAACTCTTTCATCGAATGAAACGAGAAAAATATTTTTCTTTTTTGGGAGGATTTTATGTTGCTGCGAGTATAAACCGAGAGCTTTTCTTCTTTAATGTGTTTTTTTATTCGGGTTCTCGAAAAATATCCTTTTTGCCAAACTTTTCACTAGTAGTAGTTGATCGCCCGTTTCATTGTTCTTTTTTCGTTCTTATTTGAAGAGTTTTATGAAATTTTCAATGGCATTTTCTTTTAATTATTAAAGACTTGAAGTTCACTTAAGCTTTCAAAGCTTTCAATGAAGCTTTTATGACATCCTTAAGAAGATTAAAGCACCACACATTTGAAGTTAATTCTGTTTGAAAATATTTCTTCTTTGGAGAGTGAACCAATCCATTTCACAAACTTAACTTAAATTCTCAGCATAATCACATGAGTGTTACAAACAAGCTCGGTTGTTAATGAGAGATATCATGGAAAAACATTGCACATGCATAGTTTATTTCGTAGATACTGAAATGCAATGCATCGGTCCTACATAGATATATTTTTACTCTTCTCTACAACACTTTCCAACGTAGCAAAGCACAAAGCCGAACGAAACATTCTCAAAGATATTTATTTTCATGTATCGTACATTCGTGCCCAGTTCGTTCGTGATTTTCTTCCACATGAAAATGGAAAAACGTCCGAGAGAGACATTTCTCTCTGTTTCTGAATCTGACATAGAATTACAAGCAAATTATGCTCAAAAATATTCTCAGCACGAGATGCTGCCGAAATCCGAAACATGTGCACGATTGTGAGAGACATGTTGACGCAGTGGAATATTCTTGGAAAAATCAGAAATGAAAAATCGATTAAGAAATTCTTTTAATAATTTAAAATTTTATTAAAGTATAATTTTTTTGTTGCTTTTACCACAAGAAAAATATTCAATTTCAAAGTTTCGTGACATTCTCATTTATACAAATAAAATTGAAATTGGGAGAAAGAAATTTAACTCAGTTCAAATCCAACACCACTTTGAATGGCATATAACAGCTTTTCACGTAATTGACTCTCATCCGTGTATTCTGGAAGCTTCAGAAGATTTAAACAAGTCGAAGCTGTCACCAGACGATTTAAATCGTCGCCACTATTCTGAATTGAAAATGGTGGATCGAGATCTTTGAAGCCAAGAAGCGGTGGTCGCGAACAACTCGTCACAAATTTTAAAAGTTGTCGTCGTTGATCATCATCAAATGTTCGCACAACTTTCCAAAACATTTTCACAGTTTTATGGTCAGAATTGTAATCACCACCATATCTCGTATGATTCATTAAATCGTCAACATCGACAGGAATTTCCGCACCAGAAATAAGAACTTGCAATTCCTTGGTGTTGAACATGTAAAGCCATGAGATTGGCAAGACATTTGTCAAACCTTGCCGGAAAGCTTGACATTGTTCCCTAATCTGACGATTCAGTTTAAAATCAGCCATCATCTGAATGTATTCAATCCAATTACTTGAATTAACAGTAATGTTTGCACCATCAGGTTTCAATTCCACTACTCTTGTGTCACCAAGATCATCACAAACGACAGTAAAATCTAATCCAAGATCTTTAAAATCGTTCTCGTCATAGCTTTTTAGTTTCATTAAGTTTTTATGCATGTCGGGGTCTAATGACGTTAACTGATGAATGTCAATGATATTTGATTGACGTCCAGCAAGTTTCGAAAGGAAGAACTCAGCCAATGGAAGCTCAACCAAAAGATTTTCAAACAATGCTTTACCTAACATTCGACCAATGAAGTAATAATGACGCTGGTAGTTCTCCTGAATTACGCTGGCACTTGGATTTGGGTACAACATGTTGTCCTTTGTCAAAATAAAGAATCCTCGATTAGGATCAAAAGCGCTTTTAATTAATTCGCTTAAAAATTCACGAAATATTCCACCACCATCAATTCCAGCCTCTTCAAGTTGATGTTCATTAATCATTTGAACACGAAATCGTGTACGAAGACTTGGTTCATTCTCTGGCGATAATTTGTCGAAAGCGTCTTCATAAAGATGCGTTCGACGAACTGTCAGATGGGTTTGTGGGCCTTGCAAGAATCCTTGCATTTCTCCTGAGAATGATAAAAGAAATTTTTATGTTAAAAATTAAATTTTGAATTCGCAAATGCATTCAGAAACCTCACCTTGACTTCTCAACTTCTCAGCAGCTAATAAACCTTGCAACACTTCAAAACGTTTGTTAAATGGAACAACAAATGGAATCTCTTTAAGAATTGTTATTGATCTGATTTGTTTTGTTGACATTGGTGGGCCTTCTTCAAGATTCTTTCTTGTAAAATCACGAATTGGTTGGAAAGGTTTGGGACCTCGTCTTCGACTTGAAAAATGTAAGTCATTCGGCCGATCTAATGGTATATTTAAAGTCGGTGCAATCCAATTGTCAGATGGACAAAAATTACAACGCAAGTCACGTGTATGAAGTTGACGAAGAAGCGACACACAAACTTTCAATAATTGCGACCAAATGATTTTCTCTTGATTCATTCTGTTGACTGTATCATCAGAATCATTAAAAATATTCCTGTAATGATCTTTCAATGCTGATCGTGTCTCTGGGAATGCAAGTTCAACAAGACCAATCGCAATTTCTTTCAAAGCCAGCGACATGTGAATGATGTCTTTGATATGAAATGGCATCACTTTGTTCTCGATCGGTTCAATGTCGCAATCAATTCCCATTGATTCATTAGCTTCAAAGGTACAATAGAAGAATTCACCATCATGAAGTGTCGAGAGAAGTCGACCAAAAAGTGCACAAAATGTTGCAAGAATTGGAACCACGAATGAACTTTCTGATGGTGCTGAAAGTTAAAATTTATTTATGAAATTGTAATCAAATTTCTCAAACTTATTTTCTTACGAATTTGAATTCCTTTCGAAAGAATGCTTATTAAAACTTGATTCTTTTGTGTTTTGGTTGTTAAAAGTGTGTACCAAAGTGTCCTTATGAATTCCGGCTTAAACGCCAACATGTCTAAAAGTCTGTAAATGAAAGAAATAAATTAGAAATCTCTGAAATTTTCATTTCCTTTTGTTGACGTTACCTGTATTCATTGATTGCTGAACGATTATAAATCATCAAACTGTGAGCTACTTGACACAAACTATGCACAACTTCAGGTTTATAGAGGAGACCGTCAATGTTCTTGACAATTTTTCCAACACGATTTTGTTCATTAATCATGACAATAATGTCAGAGAGAATCAGACGTTCACATTGTGGTTGCATTTCTTCATCACCATCAACTGAATCGTCGTCAGAGTCTGATAAATCTTGAACAACATCATCGTCATCGAAATTAAAACCAGAATATTGATTAGGTTTTGGTAATCGACTGATGTTTCCTATCATTGCTTCAATCACAACAAGGTAAAGTGACAAACAATTTTGATTGATAACGTCACTGAGAAACATTGCATCAAGTTTGAGAAGTGAATAAAGTAGAAAACCGTTGAACTTTACGTGTTTATGCTCTTGGATAATTTGACGATGATTATCATTTTCAGGTGATGTCAAATCGATCGATTGGTTTCTACATAATTTCTCAGTGTGTATGTCATGTAAGAAACGAATAAGTTTAATAAATGGGAAGTCAGGTTTTGATCCGAGAGAAGGAACTATGAAATTGCTGATTGTGTTTGAGAAATCTTTGGTAAGAATCTCACTTGTGAATGAAGATAGAACTTTTGAATCGAAAGTAGGATCAGCACTGAACGTTTTAACAAGTTTTAATGGTCGTTCAATCATCTCGAGAAGCATGCGAGCGATTTCGTTATGAGGTCGCGTTGTGACTTCGTCGTAGGTATTTTCCGGGATTTTATTCTCGAGCATTTTTCTTACATTTGTGAAGTAACTTTTATCAATTAAGAAAGAGAAGAGACGCTTAAGAAATATCACCACAGTTTGATCATTTGATTTCACAGGATTATTCCACATAATTAACTCGAAGGATGTGAAAATTTCGATAATTCTCAGTGGAATGGCGATTGATGAAGATGATGAGAAAATTTGTCTGACACAAAGAACTAAGAGCTTTTGAATCCTGAAGCGCCATTGAAGTTTTATCAGCTCATCATTAGACTGCAGAAGGATCGTGAAGAGTTCTTGAAGATTCTTAATAATAAACTGGCAGATGAAAATCTAAAAAATATAAAGAAAAGTTATTTTAACAAAGTTTCATTGTATAAAATTATTTATTCTAACTTACAAGTTTATCAGCGTCTTCCAGCTCATAATAATACAGTAATCGCTTCAGTAAAAACTCAAGATCATCAAAATTTTTAAGCCCCTTTACTTTCAGGTAGTCCTCGTAACTTGTTCTTTCTTTCTGTTTTATAAGTTGTCTTATATGAAAGCTCCTAAAACGAAATTCATACACAATGATGATGCAATTTTCAATGATGACGATTATAATTCACTTGCCTATAACACGATTGAATTTTTAAAGAATTTTCCTCTTTTTTTCGAATCTCTTCGCGTTTCTTTCGTTCGATTTGAGCTTTTTTTATGAGCGTTTGTCGATCTGTTTCCACTGACGATCCACCAAGATTCTGTATTGGCGATCTCTTAAAAGATCCATCAAAATGAAACATTTCTAAAAAAAATTAAAGTGAAATTGTTTTTTTTTGCATAGATTAATGAGTGCTGGTGTTTAAAAAGTGATTCACAGTAAAATCTCGAATCTATTGAAATTTCTACCAACTATTATTAACACTTGATGAATCAGAAAGAATTGATTATTTTAAAAAGTTTTATTTTCAGTTTTTTTTCTTGTATGTTCCTTAACTTATGAAGTGAGATAAAATGGAGCAATCAAGAATTACAGATTCTATGAAATCATAACAAAGAAGCAAATCTTTAGATTAAAAATTGTTGTGAACCTTGTGTAAAAGTAGAAAGATGTTTATAACTTACGTATTCTGTTCAAATATTCATTAAAAAATCTTTGACTGACAATTGTTTACAAATTACAGCTTAAATCTGTTTGAAAAGTTACTTTTGTATGGAAATGCGAAAAAATTACCTCCGGAGGGTGTCAAACTACTACCTCGATTAAAAAATCGTGTTAGTCTAACCCCGATTCCATATAAAAATTAATCCAAACAATTTTAATTTGGATTAAATTTAAACTCGCTTAAAGTGTAAACAAACAAGCATGGATTCGAAAGACTTTAAAATTAAAAAAGAGTTAAAAAGAAAAAAGCGTCAAGAAAAGTTGATAAAAGAAGCAGAACACTATGAAGCTGTGAAAAAAGCGAAAATTGTTCAAAAAGAACAAGAAAAAATTCAAAAGAACATAAAATATGTTTCCACAGTTTCAATTGCTATTTCTGGATCAATTCTTGATAATGCACAATCTCCTGAACTTAGAACATATCTGGCTGGACAAATAGCTAGAGCTGCGTGTATCTATAATATCGACGAGATTGTGATATTTGATGACCAACCTACCGGAAATGTAACAACAACGAGAATGCAAACATTAGAAACGACCGACGGAGTTAAAACTGCAAGAACCTGTTGTATTCAATTTGCTCGAATTCTCCAATACCTTGAATGTCCACAATATTTAAGAAAGTTCTTCTTCCCTCTTCATAACGATTTAAAGTTTTCTGGTCTTTTGAATCCTCTTGATTCTCAACATCATCTTCGTGCTACTTCTGAATTTATTTATCGTGAAGGAATCACGACAAACAAACCACATCCAAAAGGATCATTTGTAAATGTTGGACTTCTAAATGATGTGTTGGTCAACAAACAACTTGCAGAGAATCTTCGCGTAACAGTTAAGTTACCACCTAACACAGAACTGAAGTCAAAAAAATTAAGAGGAATTGTTGTGTCACCGTCAGAACCTCGTCGAGCTACAGGAATTTATTGGGGATACAATGTGAGAGTTGCCAATTCCATTTCACAAGTTTTCTCTCAATCGCCTTATCCTGAAGGCTACGATGTTACAATCGGCACAAGTGATAAAGGAGAAAATGTTCAAGAAGTTGAAACGAAGTCGGTAAAGTTTAATCATTTGTTGATAGTTTTTGGTGGACTTCTCGGATTGGAAAATGCTGTGGAAAATGATGACGAGTTGAATGTTGATGACCCAAGTTTACTTTTCGATCATTACTTTAATGTCGTTCCCCAACAAGGTAAACTCTTTGCTGTTCTGTAAAGTAATTTAAATGTTTATGATTCATAAAATGTTCATCCCACTAAAGGTTCAAGAACCATCAGAACAGAAGAAGCTGTGCTTATAACATTGTCAAGTTTAGCTGAAAAGATTGAGCCAATGAACGCCCCACCTGAATTCAAACTCAAGGACTTAATAGCACAAAGTGAAGATACTGGCAATGTTCAAACATTTCGAGAACCAATGAAAAGGAAAAATAAAATTCAAAAGAAGAAGAAAGAAATTTCTGATTGCTCCGGAGAATCTTCTGACAATAATTATTCTGCTAATGATAACGATATGAGTCGCTTTGATTAAACTTTTTAATTAAATAAATATTTGAAATAAAAACTAATTGTTTTCATTTTGCTTTGAAAGTTGAACAAGTTTCAAGAAATCATAAGGAGCGAAGTCGTTTTAAAGTTATTTGCCCATTTATCACAAAACTTTAATTCTTTTCTTTCATGAATTCAACTTGAACTGCTTTCCTGTTTTCCTTCATAAATCGGACTTTACGATTTTCATTACGTCATAAAATATATCTTACAAACAAATCTTGAAAGATATTAAACATCTTGTTATTACTTAAGATTTTCAGGAGTTTCTGTTTATCCATGAGAAATTTTCAACGTGTTCTTAACTTATTATAAAATGTTTATGTTTAATGTCGTCACAAGTGCGTTAACACAAAGAATGAGATGATTATTAAAATTATTATCAGATAATTTTTATGACATAGATAATTTCTTTAATAGTTTCTTGTTTCGTTAGCATGTGTTTGATGCAATTGAGCTAAACTTTAATTTAAAAATATAAAAGCAAAGAAAAGAACATGAAATAAGTTCATCCTTGTTAGAATGGTCAATAAAAACTATAAAATCAACGATTTTAACGAGTAAGAACAGCAATTGGGAAAAGTTTTTGAAGGTCTTTCGTATCGCAAAACTTTTGTTTCTTGCACAACTTTAACGATATTTTCTAGATACATAAAAGGAACTTTAATTCTGTTAGTGTTGGTTTCGATTCTGTTGAATTTGATTGGATTGGATAGCAACTTTAAAACAAAACAGCAAAAATCCAGAGAAAGGATATGTTTTACCTTGTGAAGTCATGGAATTTATTCAAAAAGCGTTTATTTGTTAATCATTAAAAATTTTGATTTGATTCAAACCTGAGAATTTTTTTACATACATATTCATGGTTTGTTTGGAAAAAGTTGTTTTGATTTCAAAGCCTTTAATGTAATTCACATACATGAATTTCATGATCGTTGACCGAAAATAAATTTAAGGCAATTTAAATCCACGATTCCAAAAATTTTCACAAACAGAAATGCTAAATATTTAGTGTCAGCGGCAGAAAATTTAATGAAGATATTATTAGATTTATTCTCGTTTTCTATATATGAATCTTCCATGCTATAACGAGAAATAAAATATGTTACGTCAATTAGCTTTATATATAAGTGTGTTGACATTAAAGCTATTTATCAACAGTTCAATGATGCACTTTGATCAGCCGTTAAAAGAATGTTTAATTAGTGTCTCTCATTCCAAGTAGAAATTTCCATAAGCTTTCAATTATGGTAATTTATAACACCAATTTTAATTAAATGAGTTTCAGAATTTTAGTTCATTGCAAGTGTAAATTTATTTAATAAATAACGTTTTAATAACTTGAACAATTTGTTGGTAAACTTAATAAATTAGTTGCAATCCCTAATTGGTCGCTATTTATATAAAACCTTTAATATTTATCTAAATGAACCTGCACTTATGTTATTGTCAGAAGTGCCTGAAATCTAATTTTATTTCAAATTTGTTTGTGATGATTTTCATGAAACGACAGGATAGTTAAAGAAATCAATTTAGGTAACATTTTTTATGAAATTAAATTTCATTTACATAATTCATGTGAAAATTGCGGTATGAAATAAGAAGATTTTGTAGAAAAATACGCTGATACTCGTGTGTTCATATTTAAGACACCTTGACAGATTGAACATCATCACAAAATTCCAAAATGATGAAAAGAAAAAGGTTAATTAAACATTTAGCCAAAACTCGATTTTATTTTCCACCAGCCTTCCTACGGTTCATGAATTTTCATAAACACACAAAAACATTTTCCAAAATGTTTTTATGACGTATGAATAAATTTAGGTTGAAATAATTTAACATATGTATTTATTTACGATGTTGGGGATTATGAATACGATTTAAATGGGGTAGAAATGAAAGCGATAGAAAATATCGAACCAAGTGATGTCCTTTTATGTTCTCAGATGCATGATAAACACGAGAAAACTTTTTACCTAAAGATTTATCATCTTTTTTAAGTTTGAATGAAGTGTACTTTAAAATATTCTGGAACAAGTTTCTCTTCCACATGACAGCTGTGAAATTAGCCGCAAACAACTGTGCTATGTAAATGTTTTTACATCAATGAAAAATAATGAAAAATTTAATATTTAAGAACTTCCACATCATGAAAGCATAATTTTCCAGATATATTTAGTATTAAATCAAGATAATTTCCGTAATTAACCAGAATTACAATTTTACATTCATCCTTTCATGAACATTACCGTTAATGTTCTAAGCCAGCCAACTTTCTTTCATGTTCACTCAAATAAATCAACACGCCTGTCATTTGTGATCTCAGAAGATTCACTCATTTGACGGTAACATACGCACATGTGAAGAGGATGGAGATAGAAATAAAAGAAGATTTTATTTCGCTCAGCGTATGCATGTTGGTGAACATTTCTCCATGGCAAAGGTGAAAGGGAGAAGAAGAAAATTCTTGTAGAGTGAGAGATGGATGATATAAAAAGCGTCTTTTTAGCTGATTCAACGTCCATTCGTGCTAATTAAGTTGGGGAAGCGTCAAGTGGATTAGTAAATATTTGGAGTGTGAGTGGGAGCAAATAAATAAACTATGGAATCAAAGTTGGAAAAGGTTCGAGAGTTTGCTACGTCAGAAAAGGCTTATCAACCCCCAAAAGAAGTCAATGCAAAAAACTCTGCTGACATTCAGGATTTAGATGAAATCAAATTACATGAACTCAGAGAGGTGAATTTTTGTGTTGAAAAACTAAAACGGCCATCAAAGACATTTATTTTCAGTGCTTCAATTTATTTGATTTAAATAACGACGGATTTATTGATGCAAATGATTTACGTGGAACATTCCAAACGATGGGAATGGAAGTTGACGATGAGACCATTCAAACTATGATGAAAGATGCGAGCCAACCGATGAATTTTGACAGTTTTGCGATGATGATGTGCTTTAAAACGATGGATTGTGAGCCAGAAATTGTTTTATTGGAAGCATTTTCGAAATGGGATGAGCGAATTCAAGGAGTTATTAGTTTAGAAAGGTGAGTTGAAACTTCAAGATGTTTGACACGCTTTTCTGTTTATTCATTAATATTTTCTTACTTAGAATTCTCACCAACATCACAAGCTATAACAAAGACCGATTAACAATTGAAGAAGCTAAGGAAGCGTTGGAAGATGCACCAACCGTTAACAAGCCAGGTTTTAAAGGTCTTCAAGGTCCAACAGATTGCTGGATTGATTATCTTCTGTGGATTGAAAAATTGGCAGGATTCCGCAAGCCAAATATGAGACAATATTTTGATACTTAAATTTTATTGTCTAATTTGAATGAAAATTGAATTTCCAGATCTTGATTCTTCGTCAAATTATTTCTTCTCTTTTCTTTCTTTTGAAATCCCTTCGAGATTAGCTTCATTTTTCGTATGGATTGTAATAGGGTTTGGATTCACTTGACTTGCTTTTAACAGTATTGATGAATAAATTAACGAATGGAAAGATATGACCAGAAGAATATGGCCCAGTCGTGAACTTTTTCGTAGTCCTTACTTGTTCCCTTCGAGAAATCTACAGATATTTATCTAATTTAATAAGAATTTCCATTAAAAACTTTTCCATTCATAAAAATAAATGTTCACGTTTAAAGAAAATTCTTCAACTTTCATCTGAACGAATTTTAAATTTCCATCCATAACTTGCGTTGTAAGAATTTTCTCGGGAAAAATCAGAAGAAAGGAAATTTTGCCACAGAATTTGCTTGAAATAATTGAGATCTTGAATATTTTCATTATCATCTTTTAACATTAATTTAGAGCGATGAATTGTTTCTTCGTAATTATAATTTTCAATTATTTCTTAATTGCAAAAGCAATTCACAATTCTTAACAGTTGTGTACGTATTTAGAATGTTAATAAATTTCAGGAAATGTTAAGCGACGATGTCACCTGACTTGAAAAACACTCTCGATCATTAAAAAAAACTGCAAAAGCTGCGTGAAATTGATTCTCTCTCATTAAATAAATTCTCGTCGATGCTGAAAGATTCTTGTGACACGTTTCGATGATATTTTCGATAAAAGTTATTTTTGTAATAAAGATGCAAAACTCATACACATTTCTTTACATTTTCCCACAAGTTTATTAGTTTTAAATTGTTAGATACATTGAAGCGTTCAACAAATTGCATTGGAGGTGAGAAATATGTTAGATATTGTGAATGTGCAGAGATGTGAATGTGAAAAACATTTCCAGCTTGAATCTCGATATTAAATAGAAGTAAATTATTTTTTTAGATATTTTCAAGTGTGGATACGTTTTTGTGACTGTTTTAAAGAAATTTCTAAAATGAAAGAAAACGTAAATTGTTTTTTATTAAGATTGCGTAGCTGAATAATCATAAATGGGCGAAAGAAAGGCAATATACGCGGGGGTGTATGAATAATGACAATTTCATGATGTTCAGAATATTAAAAATAGATTTTGGGTCTCCGAACTGCAGGGTAAGCTGTGAGAGTTGTGAAGTGTAACGTGATATGAATAACAAATTAGCCAAGCAGATCGTTATAATCCTAAAAAATTTGAATCAAAGGTACTTGAATACTTAAGAATAGCATTTCGATGCCCACACCTGATTCTCGGTTGCGGTTTAGTATAAACTTTAAATTCATCGAATTTATTCAGAAAAGTATCCAAAATTGGTTGTTCTAATATTCTATTCCGAATAAGCAGAAAAAATGTGAAGTTCCTCCATAAAAATTTGTAAACAAGAAAACATAAATTATAATAAATTTGATTTTTCAATGAATTTCCTTTCAGTTCCAATAAAAATAAATTTTTTGACATTGACATAATAAGCTTATCTGAAAATGAATGTTTTTCAACAAAAATTAAATATTTTATCAACTTTTCTTTCCACATGAATAAGATGTTGATGCATCAAAATTTTTTAATGAACATAGAATGAGAGAGAATTATATTTATTTCAATTAGATATTTCCTAACTTTTTACAAATTGGAGAATAAGAAATTTAATTAAGTACCAGCCTTTCTAAAGCTTTACTCTTAATTTGAACATAGAATGAAATTTGAAGATATTTAAGCATCTGACTGGAAAATATTTTTCAACGAAACATTTTCTTGCCCCTTAAAGTTATGCAATGTAAAGTTGTTTGTTTTGCCTAACCACAGGAGCTTTTCTTCAAACAAGCTGATTTTAGTTTAATTAAATAAATGTGATGAATAATTCCTTGACTCTATGCTTATCATTAGTTCATTTGATAAGATTATATCTTCAAATTTTGACCAGCCACACAAAGCCACGACATTATTTATTATTCTTCCAGTAAAGTTTCGAGTGTTGGTGAACATGCAGTTATCAAGAACAATTTTCCTATTTTCTTTTCTACTTTTATTGTCAGCTGAAGCAGAAGATGTCTCACCATTATTTGTTGGTGGAACTTATGCATTTCCGGGTGAATTTCCTTTTTTAACAAGTTTACAAATATTATCGTTTGGGACTGAAGCTCACTTTTGTGGGGGAGTTATTATCGACCCTCGATGGATATTAACAGTTAATAATCTTTAAAAAATGTCAACATAACATAAAAACAAATGGTTTAAATTCTAGACAGCAAATTGTATCATGAATTTGCCAATTTTTGGAACCCAACAAGCCTGGGCAGGAAGACATAATTTAGCGTTGCGTTCTGAAGCTGGTGAAGTTCGTGTAAGCTTTTCTAGAACGTTTATTCATCCAAGCTGGCGTCCATGGATGAACAATGATCCACACGATTTAGCTTTGGTATTGTTGACCAGCGGTTTACCATCATCCGCACGTATTCGTTCAATTCAATTGCCAGAGTTTAACCAGCCAATTCCAAACGGACCGTTAATCTACGCTGCTTGGGGTGGAATTGGTCTCGGTGCTACAATTTTACAGAAAGCTACTTTGTTTCCAATCTCTCTCACTGAATGTAGAGCAGCCATCAATAATTTAAATTTTAATGGAAACTTGTACAACGATACAAACTTTTGTACTGGTCCATTAACAGGTGTTTATTCAGCATGCACAGGTGAACATCACTAACAACTTTGTGGCTTAGTTTAATTAACTTTGAACAATTCACTATGTATCAGGTGGCTTTGGTTCTCCTTTGGTGCATGGAACATCTCCAAATGAAGTTCTAGTTGGCATTGCCTCTTGGGGAGTAACACCATGTGGAACTGTTGGCGCCCCTTCCATTGTTGTAACGAGAGTCAGCGCATATGTTGATTGGATAAAAGCGACAACAGGAATAGTTTAAAGATAAAGCTTTTGGGATTTCCCTGAAAAATAAATAAACGTTGACGGAGTTAAATACAAAGAGAACTTTTCGATTAAATTATTTTTATACACATGTACTTAACAATTGTTATCTTAAGATTGAAATAAGCTTCTGAACTTTGAGATAAGAATGTTCAACTATAAAAGTCTTAAACACTTCAAAAACGACTTGAGTATTTATTCTTGTGCGAAGTGGAATAATGAAGATTTTTATTGTGCTTTCGTTAGCGATTGCTGCAGCATTGGCAGCGCCTGCTGATTTGGATCGTGAAACTCGTGTCGTTGGTGGAGTAAACGCTTTTCCCGGTGAATTCCCATACATTGTGAGTGTCCAATGGGTGGTTTTGACTCTATCTACTCACGTCTGTGGAGGTTTCATCATCAGCCCCGTGTGGGTTATTTCAGCAGCTCATTGTCAGACAGAAATTCCAACTCTTGGACGTCTTGAAATGCTTGCTGGAAGACACAACATTGGAATTCAAGAAGCTTCAAGTCAAGTTAGAGGCATCTCTACTTTCATTCTTCATCCTGATTGGGCTCCTGGCGGTGTCGGACCTGATGACTTAGTTTTGTTCCTTTTGAATTCTCCTTTGACTTTCAATGACCGCGTTCGTGCTGTTCGTCTTCCCCAACCTAATGTCATTCCAACAGGGCCAGCTACTCTCGCTGGATGGGGATCAACAGGCTCACCGTTGCCACCAAATATCTTGCAAAAACTCACCAAACCTCTCATCACACTTGAACAATGCAGAAATGCAATTTTCAGTTTGAATCTGAACGGTGACCTTGTTGATGATACAAATGTTTGCACAGGTCCATTGACTGGTGGAGTTTCAGCATGTAGTGGTGACAGTGGTGGTCCACTTGTTCAAGGTGCTGCACCTAATGAAGTTGTCATTGGTGTTGTTTCATGGGGAATCACTCCATGTGGAAGTGTTGGTGCTCCAACTGGAGTTTACAAACGTGTCAGTGCCTACAATGCATGGATCCAACAAAACACTGGAATTGTTGCGTCATAAAAATCTTTTGAAAACTTTATCAGACAAAATAAATCAATTTAAAGCTTTTGATATTAAAATTTAATCAGAATGTTTTTGACTTGCTTTTATCGGTGTTAAAAATTGGAGATTTTGTGTATGAGATGACTTCAGATCTCCTTTAGTGCATGGAACATTTTCAAATGACGTTTCAGTTGGCATTATTCTTGGGAACTGGCAACATATGATAATCTGTAGTTACTCTTGGATAAAAGCTACAATAGGGAAAGCTAAATTTATCTACTAAATTATTTCTATGTTATCTTAAGCTGGGAATAATCTTCTGAACATTGCAGATAAGAATTTTCAAGTATAAAAGTCTTAAACATTTCAGGAATGAGTTGAATGTTTATTTTTGCACGAAGTGGAGAAATGAAGATTTTTATTGTGCTTTCGTTAGCGATTGCTGCAGCATTGGCAGCGCCTGCCGATTTGGATCGTGAAACTCGTGTCGTTGGAGGAGTTAACGCTTTTCCCGGTGAATTTCCATACATTGTGAGTGTTCAATGGGTGATTTTGACTTTATCGACTCACGTTTGTGGAGGTTCAATCATCAGCCCCGTGTGGGTTATTTCAGCAGCTCATTGTCAGACAGAAATTCCAACTCTTGGACGCCTCGATATACTTGCTGGAAGACACAACATTGGAATCGCAGAAGCTTCAAGTCAACTTAGAGGCATTTCAAATTCAATTGTCCATCCTGGTTGGGTTCCTGGTGGTGAAGTTGGGCCTGATGACGTAATTTTGTTCCTTTTGAATTCTCCTTTGACTTTCAACGATCGTGTTCGTTCTGTTCGTCTCCCTCAACCTGATGTAGTTCCAATAGGAATAGTTACTGTTGCTGGATGGGGATCAACAGGTGCACCGTTGCCACCAAATATCTTGCAAAAACTCACCAAACCTCTCATCACACTTCAAGAATGCAGAAATGCTATCATAAATTTGAACCTCGACGCTGAATTCCTTGACGATTCATTTATTTGCACAGGTCCATTGTCTGGTGGAGTTTCAGCATGTAGTGGTGACAGTGGCGGTCCACTTGTCCAAGGTGCTGCACCTAATGAAATTCTTGTTGGTGTTGTTTCATGGGCGTTCATTCCATGTGGAACTGTTGGTGCTCCAACTGGAGGCTATAAACGTGTCAGTGCCTACAATGCATGGATCCAACAAAACACTGGAATTGTTGCGTCATAAAACTCTTTTGAAAAGTTTTGAAAACAAAATAAATCAATATAAAGCTTCGATATTAAAATTCAATGAGAATATTCTCAGTTTTTTTCTGTCGGTGGTAAAAATTTGTGATTATGATAACTCTTATCACCTTAAAAATAATTCGCATTGACGATGATTGAGTTGAAAAGCAATTTGATTAAATTAAATTTTCAGCGAAGTAACAAATCTTTTCTTCTTTTGTTTTTGATAAAGAAGAAGTTTGAGAGCTTAAAAGTTCAAAAGAAAAGCTTGTTCTTACAGAAAAAGTTTAATTCCTTAGCAACAATCCACGAGAAAGCTTTGACGTAGCAACTTCTGTAATTTCCTTTTGCAGCATTTAAGTGATGATGAGCATTGCTATTATCTATTCAATAAGACATATTTTTTGGTTGTATCTGGTCGAGTTTAATCAAAAAAGTTGTGAGATGTTGACACATCAATAATCAAACAAAAAGCAATTTCAAGAGATTCGTATTCGAACCTTTATTAATATCGTCATAGTTTAATGAGAAATTTGATACATTTTCGTATGGAAGGCTGAACTGGCCGAGCCTAAGTCGAAAGCAGTCAAGGAAATGGACGATATTGCTTAGAATGCAAACACTGTTCATGTTTTCTATCTATAAAGCTAAAGCTTGCTTTTATTCATTTCACTTTATTGCTCGTATACGCTTGTCATAGCTAGAAAAGAAATTAATGGACTAAAAATGATATGCGAAAAAGTTTGCTTTGTTTTATTTGTGTGTGTCAAACATAAAATAAATGTCAACAATTTGAGCTATTCTATGTTGAATTTGTATCATGTTGCACAGAAAAAAAATTGAGAGAATACTCAAGTTAAAGTATTTATCATCGATTAGACAGAGAAAGAAACAGAAAGTAAATAAAACCACAAGCTATGGTAATCCATTTGGAAAGAAGAAGCGACTTTATTAGATTGAATACTGTTGATAAATGAAAGTTTTTGTAGTCGTTTGTGTTTTATTGTAGCATAAACATAAAGCTTGGGCAACAAACATTTCATCAAAACCATCTTATCATGCAAATTTCCTTATACATTTCGAGATAATTGGCTATAAATTTTAATTAATCTAAAAGCTAAAAGGAGTCGTAACTGATACCATTCTAACATTATGTTGTTATGTTTATAATGACCTTACCGAGACGAAATATTCAAAAAAGAATTTTCATACTGCCCGTAAATTGGTTCTTTGGAGAATTTAATTACAGTAAGTTAATGGCTTGAAAGATGCATTAAGATTTCTTCCGTTCCTTTTGTAAACATATTGAAGCATAAAAAATTAGGATTAAATGAATAATTACTTTAATGATTCGTTAAAAACTTCGTTAATGTTTGTGCATTAAATATTTGCATAAAAGTAATATTTGGACTTCATCAAGTCAGTAAAGTACGATTAATGATGATTATATTGTTGCATCTATTTTTGTTCCAAATCACTCCCACTCACGAAACGAGAAGCTTTAAAATATTTTCGAAAATAAATTTGTTCAATTTTTTTGCAATTACGTAGGTCGATGAGCACGTGAAATTATGTTGAAGCTTAAAAAGCCGCATTCATATAATATTAAGGCGGAAAACAATTCGAAAAGCTTTTATCCATTTCAATCAGCTAGAAAATTAAAATCCAATTACTCGTATGAAGATTTCTTTATGTCATCTGGCGTTGTTTGCTCAATGAATTCAGAAGTGTATGTGATTGAGATTGTTTGTGAGTGTGGAAACATCTGAATTAATAATCAATAAGTAATTGAATGTGCTGCTGCCTCTCAACGGTTCAAAATCAATCAAAATGTGATTTCGATGTAAATTGCAATGTAATGTGCTTTCACTTCAAGTGCGTGAGAAGCTGATTTGATTTTCTTCTTCTTTTTAAGCTATTGAAATCGATGAGACAATTTTTAGACATCAATATCTGTTACATTTTTCGTCATTCAAAGGAAAACTTAATTCCCTTTTTTTCTTTTTTATTTATTGAACTTTCTTACAATTCCAAATAGCAACGAGTTCCAAGTTTCAAAAGAAAAACACAAAAAATCGTGCTCACAGATGTTGAAAATTCATAAAACAGAACAAAATACACTCAGCTAAGTGGCCCCGACATCTGAAGATGTTTTAAACGTTATCGCTTTGATTTCTAAACATTGAAAATTGGGAAAATGATTAAATAAACAAAATTAATCATCTTCGTTAACTGCTACTGAGCTGATCTCATTTTCATCGCCTACGATATTTTCAACTTTGATTGAGTTCGATTGAACACGCGTTGGGAGATTGTTCATAAATATACTTTTCTGACTTCTTTTTTTTATATCAATTAAATTTTTTCTTTTGATTTCAATTTATTTATAGTGCTTTGTGTGGTTGTTTGGCTCGCCAGAACATAATCAAGTTGCCTAGCCTAGCGAATCAAAACCACCGTCTTTTATATATTTTTTTTAATTTATTGATTCTTTGAAGGGTTCCTCCACTCAGCCATTAATTCAGTTCCTAATTGAAATTAAGAACCATCATCAGTCAACGTTTGAAGTCGCTCGAAAAAATTTTCTTCTTCCTTTTCACATTTTTTAAATTTGGAGAAAGTCAATTTTTATTAAATTGAATCTATTAAAAAAGTTGAATAAAACGATAAATAACATGTATGTGAGAGCGGAAAATCCTTTCATAAAACACATAAATTTTTTTTTACAATATCTACATAAATTTGAAATTAAGTTGTCATGAATGTACACTTTTCTCGCATATATTCTTCAAGAAAATCATCTACCTAAGCGTAATTTCACGAGGGAGTGAGAACATTGAAGGAAAGCGGAAATGTTCGAATATTTTTTCGTCCGATGTACGAACGAACATTTGAATGACGTATGAGAAAAGGCAATATGATTAATTCAAAAAAATTCTTTTCCACATTTTCAATAAGATGCCTTTTGGGTGATTCTGTTGAAATTGCCAACACTTTTGAACGAGGCATTTTGTTGAGGAAGACTCTTAAAATGATTTGATTTGTTGGAATTCCATTACCATGGGAATGAAACAAGATCCTTCTTAATATTTCGCTAGACACACATGAAACTGACATATTCAGAACTGAAGAACCTGAGAAATAAATCCAATTCTTCTCGAACCACCTCTTAAGATCAAAAGATGTTCAAAGAATTAAAAATAAAGAATGTTTAAAGAAAGATTTCCATCCAATTATTTTTCTTCTTCAATGAAGCTTTTCCTCTCACATTGTGCGTTTATTTTTCAATCGTGACAAATAAAAGAAAAATGAAACTTCAATGTTAAGAGACTGGATTGAAGAAGCGCTTATCACTTGTGAACTCTCAGTGGAATTTACTTGAGAAACAGAAGAAAATAAAAGAATTAAAGATAAATTTTCTTTTTTAAGACTTCCCATTCTTTATTGTTTAAGTCTGTGAAAAGAATATCAAGATAAAAAGCTAATTGGAAAACTTGATAGTAACATGAAACAAAAACTCATTGAAAATGAGTAGAAATTTGTTCTTGACATTAAGATTGATACAAGAAATTCTTCAATTTCTTGCTGCAGTTAATTCAATTTTTCAAGAAGCTTTTTTTATTGCAATCTTCTCCATTTATTCCCATCAAATGGTTGAATGGTTGGAAGATGAATAATAGAAAAGCTTTCTAAGTGAATAAAGAAAAAATAGCGTGAAAATGCATTCATGGCATGAATTTAGCAATATTTATCGCATTGAACAAGAAATGCTCAACATAAATATTTTCATATCGAAGAATCCTCTCAAGTTCTTGAAATTTCATTCATCCACTTCAGCTAAATGTTAAGTGAACCTTGAAGTGAAAATAATGACTTCATTTAATTAAATACTTGAAGCTCATTTGCTTGATTTAGCGAGGTTTACCGAATCAATTGCTCTTAAGTTAAAAAGCGAAACAATCAAGTCTTGTGGGAAGATGAATAAAAAATCAAAAGAATTCCAAGAAAGCATGAAACCATCAGATTAAATTGAGGGATTTGAAATATCTCAGAGTCAGCCTTTTTTGCAAGAATATCGGAGAGACAAAGCGCTACTTAGTAATGATTACGTTTATGCTTTCTTTTGGTTACCAGAAAATGTTCGCATCTTGCGGAACGAACATCCAGAAATAGATTTTCAACGTCTTTTAAACAACTTCGTTTCATGCGAAAAATAAAATTCCCAATTCACTTGGCTCATTCTCTCATCTTTATCAGCTTTGGGTAGCAAGAACGATCAATTGAATTCACAAATTGAAAATTATGCATGAGAAATATTGGGAAGAGAAAATCTATAACAACATGAAAATAAGTAAAGTTTTGTATTCGTCTACTTCTTAAGTAGTCTTGGGACGTCTTGATGCAGAATGTCTCCAAAGACCGTTTAATTCACTTCCGACCTTTTTTCTTTTTCCATAACTCTCGTCTTTTGTCGACACAATAAAATTTTCGAAATGTATTCACGCAGTTGATCGAAACGAAGAAATCTTGAAATCTTGAAATGCGAAATAAAATTTACGATAATTCAAAACGCTCTCTTAACTTAAAGCAACAAAACGTGACACATTTGCTGACAACAATCTGTTTGCTGTTCTCCAGCGTTCTTTCTTCTCTCTTCTTGCTTTCTTTATTTATTCACAAAAAGTAATGTAACACAATCTGACGTTTTTGAACTTCTCACTCAACTATCGGGTGTTGAATAAATTTTTAAATAAACTTTCATTGTATTAAAAAACAATATATGAAACTTTTCTGTTGGGAAAATAAAGCTTTTGAAATTTCAACAAATAATATAAAGTGAGCGTGTGTGGAAGCTTTTCTTTTATTATTTTTATTTTGTCAACCGCTTTAGCCACCCTACAACCCATGAATGTATAAAAAAGGAAACTTTTCTACGTTTGCAAAGGAAAACATGCAAACAACTCGTGTAAATATAAAGAAAGATCTCATGGATAAGCTGCTACTTTTCCAAAAGCAGAAGTGTGGGTGATGTAACATATCGATAACTTTGTCTTATGTTGAATTTAATGTCTCGAAGGGGAAAACGATTTATGTACTATAGATTGATCGAACACAATGTTGATTGAATCTTCACTTTCATCAAGCGTGATGATAGAAAGAAAGAAGCTTTAAAGGAGAAATATTTCAGTTTATGAGGAAATTTTATGAAGTCTTTATAAAAGATTTATGAAGTGAAAGGCGATGATTGCATCGTCTCGAAAATGCCCAGGGCTACTCGCTCAATGAATTTCAATTTGTAATAAAAGAAAGAATCGTAAATCTTGTACAAATGATTCGACAGAGAGCTCGAAGGTCGGAAGAGGCAAATCAAATATTGTTCCATACATTAAAATAATAATAAAACTCGCTAATATGCAAATTAATCTCTTTACTCACTCAATTAGATTCATACAAATTGAATTATCATTCCTTATTAGGCTTACGAACAATAAATCAGCAACAATTTATAATGTTTATGAAGCTTTAACATGTTCTTCCATTTCCACGTGAAAATTGTCTGAGCTTGAGCGGAAAGAGAAAATTTATTGAGCAAGAGAGTTGCAACTTGATTAAACGTGAGAAAAGAGAAAATTGAGCGTTCGTTGTTTTCATTTGATAGCATGTTCATAAAATATATTCTTTCCTTTCATTCTTCACTTGAGAAAGGAATCGTACCGAGCTTAGTAGGAAAGAAAAAACAAGTTGTTGATGATGTGGAGTCAGTTGTCGTGTAGATGTTCGACCGTGCAGACTATCAAACTGAAAGCTCAAGCTCCAAGAACATTTCTTATGAGCAATTGGAAAAGTTCTTTAATGGACCTGACAGAAAAGAAATTAAATCAACTAGATTCATAAAAGAAATTAATTTTGAAGCTTTTCTTAATAATTATTTGAAAGAAAAAATGTTTAATGACTTATTGGTGTTAATTTTCTGACGGTTAGTTTTAAAGAATCTTATCTTGTGAACAAACTGAATCTGAGTAAAAGATAAAATTTGAAGAAAGAAGTTTTTTTAAAAAATATATAAAAACTTGTTCAAAGCTTATCATTTTTCGATAAAAAAACTACACAAAAGAACATCAAGTGCTGAAGTGATATTTATAAAGAAATTATTGAAAACAATTTTGTTTATTTAAAATCGGAGAAGAAAAAAAATTATCCAAAGGTTATCGATCGTAAATCCGCCTCTCAGCTTTAATGAAAATAAAAAAATAAATGAGTGTGCAAATATCTAATGATTGCAATTAAAATGTGATGAATAAAGAAAACAGTTCTCAATTTAAATATAAAATCGGATTAAAACATTGACGAAACTCACGGAGAGTGAATTGATTCAATTAAATATTTGACGTTTTTGTGAGGTAAACTTGAATGCTTAATAGTTCAATAATATTGAAGAGAATTATAAAATTTGCATAAAATGATCTGTTTGACTTCAATTAAATTCTTTTGTTGGCAATTTTATTACTTTTTTTGGTTTATGATGCAATAAAATTTCATTGAATTACCTTCGGTACTCGTTGAGAAGAAAAATATTCAATCAATTGTCCAAATGATGCATAAACAAACATTTTTCTTTATGGTTAAACATATTTAATGTGTGAATAAGTAAAACCCGTGGATTATTTATTATTGTTACTGGTCGTAACAGTCGGTGGTGCCCATGAAGGCAACGTTTTAAAATTTAAACATATACGTAAATTTTTCATCTTCACGTTGATTTGGAAATAAACATTTTTAAATATATTTAATGCCGGAAAATTAACCTTGAACTTACTCAAAGTTTTTTCTCTACTCTCATCCTTTTCACACTTTAACTAACAGTTGAGTAATTTATCAGTTTCAAAATGATTCGTTAAACTGTGTTAAAAGCATTTTCTTAAGATTTTTTAAATTTCATTAATTTTGTAAATATATTAATTAGCTTTCAATTGTTAACAAATGTCTAATTAAGAAAACGGTAAAATTGTGATAATTAAAAAATCACCAAAATTTTTTGAGAAAGAAAAAAGCTGTAAAAATTTTATGATTGATGTCAGTGGAAAAAAGATGTAAACAAATCGCGAATAAACATGAAAACTGATCACAAAGCAGTCTGTTGGAGATCGATTTCCTATATTTAGATTATATATTTAAACAATTTTTATTGCATCATATCTTTACTTAAAGGGTTTTAATGAATGGTAACGACAAGTGGAATATTACAAGAAAAAAATTTCAGTTTAACAACTACAAAAATTTTCAATTTCGCCTTTAGCGTGAATTTTTTTTTCAATTTTCATGTATAAGGTTTGAATACCTACTTATTTCATTTCAAATTAAGATATTGCCATCAGCTAGGTAGTCGTGGTATTAAATATCAATTCAATCATAAATTCCAATCTTTTTTTTTTAAAAGAGCTTCAAATATCTCTGAAGCTTCACTCTGGAGGTGAAGATCGTATTATCTGAGATAAAAATGTCGGCAATTCGTGGCTTTTTACAAGCTTCGAGGATTAAATTCTGTAAAAACAGAAACTCAGGAAAAAATTATCAAGTTTCAGGGTGAGAAATATCAATATCATTCATGACTAGAATTAAACTCTTGAAATAGGAACTTCAATTTCGTTCTGAATCGTTGATCGTATAATTAACTCTAACCATGTTATTTGCAATGCATATTTTTACGCAATTAAATAATCTGTGAGAGTTGTGTAAATTATATTACATAAGTAGAGTGTTGGACGAAGCCTGGAATTAATAGAGTGAGATTATTGTGGGAAAATGGCAAGGGGCGATCACGTATAGCATTTTTCTCATACCTGATTAACAATCCTCACAACTTTCGAAGGTAGGATTAAATGTAATCATAAAAGTGACATGTAAATACATTGCAGATTAATTAAGTGAAGAATTTTTATGATATGAGTCATTATCGATTATTGTGGAAAATAAATTCTTGAATGATTCGCAAAGTTTGAAAGCAAATAAATATCAATAAAGAAATTTTCGCTGTAGAACTGCGTCATAACTCAATGAAGAACATAAGCGAGAATCAATATGCTAGAACGCAAACTGTGTACCTACGATGTTTTGCGAACTTTACATGTCATAATAATCGTAAAAGAGGACAAAATTCCTCGAATTTTATCAGCATGTGTTAAAACGGTAGCTTTCAAAAACATTTCTAGCATCGTTGACATTTATAAGCATTCTAAACTAAACTTTCTTCTTTTACGACTTTTGACATATTTCGACATCTTATCGATCCCATAAGTAGGTCTGCAATGTTGACGTCGTGTAAGAGAAAATTGTGAATGCAAAAGTCAAAAATGTCAGTCTAAGCCTTATGTTGAATAATAAAGATGCGGCTATCATCGATATCAATAATTAAATACCAAGAAAAACTTGCTACACGTAATATTGAAATATTTTTGAATTTGTTGAAAACGATATTTGAAAGAAAAATTACGACACGAGCCGCAGGTATAAAAACTTAATGCATTAGTAGAAATTTAAGACAAGTGTTTGGAAACCCCAAACATAATTCATTCCAATTTTCTTTCATATTTAACGATATTAAAATTTCAATTGCCATCTTTTGGATTTCTTCTCAAGCTTCAGCTGACTTATGCAAAGAGATTATCCCTTTCTCAAAATTTCGACCCTCAACATAAATCTTTCCATCTTAAATAACTTTATCTTGATCACCGCTATAAATTGATAAATAATTTACGAGATGAAACATATACAATATCAAGTTGCCCCTTTCGGAATGTTTATTTAGAAAGAAAGCTTTCAAGAAATCATTTAAGGTTGTTTATATTGAAGAAGTTTCATAGGAAGCAATGAATAATTCAGAGTTTTTTCAAAAAATAGAAGAAACACTAAAAAGATTAGGCTAGTTGGTACTTATTCATTCAGAAATCGCTTTGAATGCTTTTTATTATTGATCAACATGTTGATATCTACCATACTTGAGCTCTTAGACTTCCAGAAGAATTTTCATATATTAAATATCTAATGGAATTCTAAAAACATGCACAGTTAGAACTGAAAATAATCTACGTGAAAGATATGAGTAGCATGTGGTGTGTTTGAAAACATTCCTGAAATTTCAACTTAGATATTTTAAATTGAAGAATGAATAACTTGGGTAACAGGCAAAAGTCTCCCGTAGTTCATGAAAATCCCAAATATACGATGAATTGCTCCCCATAGGCCCTGAAAATGTGTTATGGAATATTAAAGTGAGCCATCATGTACTGTAGGGTGAGAGGTTCGTTTGTTCTAAAATATATTTTGATTATTAATGTCGGTAACCTAATGTGTTCTCGTCCACAAATATCTACACCAATTTATTGACGCCAACCTTTCTTAATCTCCTTCCGAACACAATGAAATAGTTTAAATTGACTTTCTAAACATTTTTCGAATAAATTCGAAATGAAATTTCAATCATCTTGAGTAATGTAAATGGTTTCTCATCCGCATTGTTTACGTTGAATGTTGTAATTTTTTCTTTGATCTAGATTTATCGCAAATGTTTGACTCATTTATTAACTCAAAAAATCACTCAAAATCTTATTGACATTAGAGAAAGATAACATGAACATCCAGCCTTGGCACAATTTCTCAATTCTTTTATCCACAAATATTCACAAAAATAACATTTCTATTTTTTTTCTTATTTATTTACATCGCTGTGAAGAGTATAACAAAGCTAAACTTGCTCTGGGATATTTCGTACATCTCCCTAACATGTTTTAATCAACGTTCAAACGATTCGGTTTATATTCTTCCACTTTATTTGATTTGAGCCACAAACTTACTCAGAAGTTATTTCGTCTTTTATGTTGATTTATTTTAACAAAGTTTGTTGAAATTTTATTCAATTTCTGCTTCTACAACTTGTTGATTCTTATGTTTTTAATTCAGACAGTAAGCATCTCGCAAATTCATCTACTAAAAATGTTTCTTTAGTCCTTTTGTTAAATTTATTGCTTGAGTAAATAAATTTTTCTAAAGTTCACTTTCAAACTAAGCGACGAAGCGAGCAACTTCTGCTTGTATTTAATCCTCTTGTTTAGACTATTTACATGAATTGCGAGCTCTGTTTCAAGTTGAAAATTAAAAAAAGATTTAAATTCAGACGGTAATTTGTATCAAATTCTCAAAAACTCGTGGTGATTAATCTGTGGAAGGAAACAGGCAGATGAGCGTAGACAAATTAAGTGTAGATATTTAAATTCAACGACAAAGTTCAACGACATTTTTGACTCAATTAGGAAAATAAGAATGAGCTTTGAAATGACTGTGAGATTAATTTGAAAAAAAGAAAGCTCTAAAGATTATCCTCACACACAGTTATCAGCATTTGTTTTATCTTTGACGTTTTCTTACGAATTCTTTTAGAAAAATTACCGCCAAGGTGATTTCATCAAAATCTTTTTGTCATTGAAAGGAGCGGGAAAGGCAAATAAGAAAAAAGTTCGCTTCGGTTGTTTTTCGCAACCTTTTTCTGTTCAAAGGTTTTAAATTAATGCTCTCAAAGAGTCACAAACAAATGAATGAATGCGGAGAACACTAAACACATATTTGTATAAGTCGAAAGTTAAAAGAATTTCTTTTCATTTTATTTCAATCCAAAAATGTTTTATCACAGCTTCTAGTCTTAACATATTAATTACATGCCATGAGTGTAATTAATCTTAGGCGTTTTGTTCTTCACTTCGCATTTCTCGCGCGCTTAAAAACATAACCATAAGGAAAAACAGAGACTTTCATTCATCGTGATGCTTTTTGTGTTTAAGTGAATATTTTAAGAAAATTTCCATCATTTCAATTTTATGAGAATCATTTCAATTAAACCTTAATCACTTTTCTTACTTAACTTAACTTTTAACATTGACATACTTCAGGCAATTCTTGTAATGCTGGAATCTGATAGAAATCTTGGTAAGCGATTACAGCTTAATAGATTGACGTATTTTGATTCGTATGAAATGATAAATTGTTTATTTTCGTTTCAATAAAAGAAAAAACTTCCACTTTATGTAAAAGCATATAAATAAAACCATTAGAAATGGGAACCAATTGAATGTTTCATTGAAATTCTTTCCATTACAAACTCAGCATAAAAAACTTAGCATGCTTATGTTGTTAAAATTTATTGATCGAAAAGTTCTTGTGACATGTTATTTATGAAGCCATTTCAGTTTAAAGCATTTGAAATTGAAAAATATTTCTTTCTTATTTCAATGATTAAATTGAACTCGAATTAAGAAGTGGAAAGACGCTTTAGGCGCATAAGAAAGTAAATAAATACATAATGGGTAATTAATGAAAGACTGTCAAACTTTTTTGAGGAGATTATTTCAGTTTTTTTCATACATCTTTTATGCATCAATTCCCTTAAGGGATTTCAGAGAAAAATCCAATAATAATTTTCCTGATGAAATGTTTTGTTTGTAAGTGTTCCATTATTTCAATTAATTATTAGCGATGGAAGATAAAAATACAATTTGTACACGAAAATTGTTGCTTTTCATGGATAGAAATATTTATTGATAATTGTTTTCATAGCGCGATTCTTACATAAAAGAGATCGTGAAGTTATTTGTTTTCTGAGACGTGCTTAATACTCTCCATAAACTTTTACTTTCATTTAATTACCCGAGATTATTTTGTCGTAAACATTTGTGCCTTGCTGGGAAAAACTCTTAAACTTCATTAAATGCCTACAGTAAGACGCAAAATTCTTAACAAATGAAAGCAATTGACCAGGGATCAGAATAAATGATAAAGTAATAACTAGATAAACAAAGTTAAAGTAAATCATGTCGTTTCATGTCACGAATAGTAATGAAACTTTCATTTCATTTCGTAAAGGTAAATTATCTTGGTTTGATGTGATTTAGTGACACGTGAATGATGCCGTGGCATGTAGAAATATAAAATGAAACATTATCAGAATTAAGATATCCATTAAAATTAAGTCTGTTGATTAATACACAGCAATGCTGAGTGAAAATATCCAGAAGAAAATTCTTTATAGTTTGCAGCAAAATCTAGCGATAATAACAGTAAACCAACTGCTAAACTTAATTGAATAAAACTTTTGATAAGCTCATGATTATTACATGGAACACAATAGCTGGTAATTTTCCTTTTAATATCTATAACTTTTGCTTAATTTCAAAAGAGAACTTCTGTGGCAAACAAAAGCATGTACGTATTAATTCTGTTTGAAATATTTTCAATATCATGGAGAAAGTTTTTGAAGTAAACTTTATTAAGCAGACAATAAAAGATAACAAAAAAGATTCCACATTTTACAAGCTAACAAATGATGATAAAACAAAAAATAAAGTTGTAACACCAATTTCATAGTCTTTGGATGAAAAGCTCGTCCTTCAGATGAAATTTCATTTGATTTACTCATCCACTTGCCTTCATAATGTTGAGAAACAGAGTTTTATAGATCATTCAGAAGTAAATTTTATAACAGAAACTCGGGAGTTTTGGCTTAAAGCCCAAGATTTATCAAACTTTCTTCAGACTAATTGACAATAACAGATTCTTTTATTTCTGAAATGTTATAGCGAAATATTTCTTAACGAGCTACACAAACCTTCGATCCACTGAAACTCGAAAAACCACTTCAAGATTTTCTTGTAATTACAAACGAACTGCCTAAACCTTTTCTTTCGTTGAGGTAGGTACTTTGAATAGGAATTGGTAATTTTATTCATTTTTCACATGCAAACAGCTGTCTTTAGCTTCAAAGCATTTTCATGGCATATTTCCATTTTTCTTGAATTCAGAAGCTACGACGTCATTTGCATGTAAACACCATTAAACTTATTTCCATGTTCACTGGCGCATAAGCCAACTAAATTCTGCTTATGCTAGATGTGAATCCTTGTTATCCATGTCGAACAAATGCTTCTTTTTCCTGTTCTCTGTTTTGATTAATTAGCTAGACTTAATGTGATTTGTGGCTATCACAAATAGTTTTGTTTGTATATTCTTGATGCTAATGGCAAGTACTACAGTTCACTCTTTCAAATAAATCTTCAAAACTGTTTTGACGAGAAACTGGGATTTCATTTTAACAGTATGAAAAGAGTGAAAATATCAGAGCTGGAAACGTTTTTGAAAACATTAATGACAACTATTTCAGGATCCACGAATAAAAAGTTCTAAAAACTTCTGATTTGTGTCGTCGCTTCTTTCCCAACTCTGCGTTAATGTTTGCGAAATTAATGAAAGGAAGCGACAACCATAAATTTTTTGTATTCTTCCATTCTGACGGATACTTTCAATTTAAAATAAAATTTCATTTCGCATAAATGTTCGGATGGGTGTTGTTTAATGGCTCAAGGTAAAATGGAAGGAAAACATAAAGCAACAAAAAAAATCCTTTGTAGTATTAAGGCAAAGAGTGAAAATAGTTTGAAAACTTCCGCTTACCAGACAGCACTAATTTGTGGCAAAAGTGTACAAAACTATGCTTAAGGTTTTCATTCATGTTACAAATAGATACAAAAATATGTATAAAGAAAACTCGTAACTTAAAATTCCCAGCGCAATTGAAAAAGTTTCTCAGGACAAATTTATCGACCTTTTGAAGCTGATGAGAATATTTTAAAGGCTTTGAATTAAATTATATTCTTTGATAAATTATTTTTGTTTTGGATCGGATAATGTTTAAAAAAATAAATTCGATATTTATTGAAATTTGTTGGGTTTATGAATCTTTTTCTTTCAAAGAATAAAAACTTTGAAACATTTAAATATCGTATGACAAGAAATCAGACATCATAAAATAATTTAAAAGTAGTACAAGAAATTTTTTTCAATTCAATAACTTTTTTTACTACAACAAACTGTAATTAATCTCTGTAAATCCATCTTTTCTCAACGCAAATTGACTTTTCAAAGAGTGAGTCACGCTAAAACATTCTAATTTTATTATCATCGTAAAAAGTTTTGTCTTTACTTTTAAAAAGAAGTTAACATTAATAGGACAGCATTGTCAAGAACTCCCTCTTGGAAAAAGCCTCAAAACATTAGGAAAGAAAGATAGGAGAGATAAATGGTGTTTAATGTAGCATCTTCAATGATAAATCTACATGGACCATTCACTAATTATTTTTTTCCTCCTTTCTTCATCTCTTTAGATTTCATTGGAGAAAATTTTTTGAATGAGGAGCCAAAACGGTGGAAGAAAAGAAATAATAATTAATGAAACTTAACTTAGTAAGAGGATGAAATGAAAGCAGGAAAGTGGCTTGAATAGTGGAAACAGCTTGTGGTGGAATGTGATGATGAAATACTGCGTAGTTATTAAACAATAGTTGTTAGAGCATAAAAGTAGCATCAGAATGAAAACAAACTTTCTACGAACTTTCGATGAAAAGTTTTTGTGAAATTACAGAAAAGTGATATTTTTAGTGGAGTTATGTGTTCTCTACTCTAGTTAGGATATCAAAAGTAAACAAAATCTATATTTGGCTACAAATAAAATCAAATCAAAACGAGAAATATCATGACAAATCATATTTTTGCAACGGATGGTAATTCAGTGTTAAATGTAACCAACGGCTACGATGAAGTAAATGGATCATATTCTTATTATGACTTGAGCTCCACTGAGGCAGGTTATAACACGTCATGGAACGAAACGTAAGTATTTTTCCCTCCATTTCATGATATAAATTACAAAATGTTGTTCTGCTACATGCAAGATGAAAATTATTATGATTTATTTGTTTCATTTATCCAATTGGAGAGATGGCAGATTTCAAGCTTAGAAACATTTTCAAAATAAGAAAATAGAAAATAAGCTTTGAATCTTTTCTATTTGCTTACTGCAGTGCAAATTGCAAACACTTAGCTTGTAAGTTATAGCTGAGAACAAGAAGCTTCGCACTTTAATTTCTTTTTCCACTTTGCTTATGATATTTACAACATTTCGTGTAGCAAGAAAATTTGAAATTTTTTCATAACAAAGACAAGTGGAACTTCCACAACGTTTTTAAAAAGCAAATATGATGAGAAAAATCTGTTCTTAAGTGTCAATGTAATTTCTTTTATTGCCGTATATTTAATATCATGCGTCTCATAATGTCGCCCATGATAAAATAATATCATTCATTTAACTTTCTTACCTTTCCTGCTGTTGTTGAAGCTTCTTCTTGAAAGGAAATTTGATGTGTGTGTGTGTGAGTGACTCATTCGAGGAAAATCTCTTTTAAGTGTTTCAATTCAGTTTCCGAATTTCTTTTCTTTTCCTGACACGTATTAACTGACGATGAAGCGATAAACTTTTATCATTGAAGCATGTGACAAGCATGCTATGGATGTTCCACATATGTTAACCATCACCTCATTACTACAACGTGTAAAATAACAGATTTCCTTTTTTCTCTTCTTCCATCCTGAAATGTTTTTGTAGAAATAAGGAAGGAAATCTATAACAAAGAATCAATTTCAACTTCTCGCTTTCGCTTCAAAGCTATCGTTGCCTTTAGGCATAAAACAAAAAAAAATCTTTTCCTTCGTCTGTTCACTCATTGGGATACACCAAATATGCTTTTTCATTCTATAAATCGGAACTTTTTTAGTCCATGTCTCCATGACTTTCCAGAAGTAAAACCTTCATGGGGATATAAATTTGAATGACTCTGATATCTTAACTTTTCACATTTTATTCGCATTGTTATTCACAAAAGACATCGTCGGATGTTTATGAAAAATTCACGAAATTTATTTTTCATTTTCCTTCTCTACTTCTTATCAGAACCAAACGAACCTTTCTTACACAGATTTCACTCTCTTTTTTAAACAATTTTGAAGAGCTTAAAAAAAGAAAAGACTTGGAAAAAGAAAGAATTTTGTAATATAAATTATGCTCTTCAATTTGTCATCTTGCAAGACAAGTTCGTGTCTCTTATGATTTTTATGGCGTGTTCTCTGACAGGAAGAAAGGAAAAGATTAAAATAGAAATTCAAAGTCAAAAACTTTAACTAAAAAGTGTTCTATTTAAATTTTATTTATTACATAAAAGATGATCAAAACTTAATCTTAAATATTTGAAAGAAATGACAACTTCATTACAACTTTTTGATCAAGTTGTCGCATCTCAAAGTTGATGAATAATTCGTTTGTATGAAAATAAACAAAAATCATATTTTGTTGCATAATTTCCTTATTTATCACACAATAAAATTATGTTTCAGTCAGAAAAGGAAAACAAAGTTGTAGAAACGGAAATTTACACTGCAATGCTCGTGCTTCTTTCCATTTTTAATAGAAGAACTCTCCCCAAAGCTCATTTTAAATTTATCAATTTGTCTTGTCAGCTTTTCCTCTCTACACCCTTAGCATGTGGCAAACGATGAAATTATTCATGAAAATAAGTTTAAAGCAAATTTACTTAAATAAATTAGAATCCGGAGGTTGACAACATTAGTCCCTCCCCGATTTTTAGAGCATCCCGGATAATGTTGAATTTGTTCGCTTTAATTATCCTTTGTCTTCCAACTTCTTTATTAAACGTTTCATAGTGAAGTTTTGAATTAAACGGCTGCAAATGAATGACTAGATTGGTTAAATTTTTTAAGAAAATTTGAAAGTTAATGAAGTAATTTGGAAATCAATAAAGAATCTTGGTGAGACATTTAGGATGATGTGAAAAGTTTAAAAGAAATTAATTACTAAATGATTATTCAGTTGTTGCTGCAAAATTCCTTATTAAAGACCGCTTGAATAGCTTTAAATGATGAATTTCAAAGTAATTTTTGTTGTCTGTGGAGATAAAACCTGAAATTTAATATCAAAACATTTCATGAGTAAAAATAAAATTGAATCAATTTTGCCTTTTGATGTTTCTACTATAAAAAATGAAATACCATATGAAAGGTTATAAAAAACATTAATCAATCTATGCATACATCAAAAGCATAGAATATTGAAAATTCAAGTAATAACATTAAAATCAATCAACGGTAACAGAACCTTTCTCAGTGAAATTATTTTCCCCTTGATGCAAATTTATTTCTGATAAACTAAATTTTTATATTCATTGAATGCGTTTTAAAATCAGATGAAATGATTTATTGAGTGTCTAGCCGCAGTTTAAAAAGCCATTACACAATACGTTAAATTCGCTAGCAGTTGCAACATTTTTAAATTTCATTCTTTTACTCTCATCAAAGAGTTTTTCTCGAGAAATTTTCTTGTCATTTATAACAGCAGAAAATTTGAAATTTTCCATTACCAGGAGTTTAGATTGATACGTCAGACAGAAGACGTAATGACACGAGTTCAGCGGAAAAGGAACGAATTCTTCTTTCATGATTGATGATCCAATATTTTTATTTTGTTGTCGCTTTTTTCCTGCGAAAACAGCTTTATTGAGACTATTTCTCAGATTTTACATAATTGATGATATTTTCTTACCAGTTTTTTCTCTCATTTATTTTCACCTTCACAGACTCGACAAACCCCAGAATATCTTCATTCTTCCCGTATGGCGACAAGTATTGTGGAGCATTCTTTTTGCAGGAATGGTTGTGGTTGCAACAGTTGGCAATCTCGTTGTGATATGGATCGTGCTAGCACACAAACGGATGAGAACCGTTACGAACTATTTCATTGGTGAGCAAGTGATGTGAAAGATGCTTCGATGCTTATCGTAGATATCTTATTAATTTTTATTTCTTTTTCTCCATTACTCGTTTCAGTGAATCTATCGTTTGCCGATGCTATGGTTTCAACATTGAACACAACACTCAACTTTGTATACATGTTGAATTCTAATTGGCCTTTTGGAACTTTGTTCTGCAAAATATCACAATTCGTTGCTAGTCTTAGTATATGCGCTTCAGTATTCACGCTAATGGCAATTGCTATTGATAGGTAAATAATTCTCCGCATCACTAAATATCATAAGTCAATATTGATTCAATCTCGGCCTTCTTATAATATTTGTAAAGAAGCTCCTTTTAACATTTTCGTTATTTACACAACTTTAATTTTCATATTCAAATATCTGCGTCCTAAATCCATTACTGGCTATAAGAAAATTATATAATTTTGGTGGAAAGAATTTTTTCTTCTTTCAAATAATTTGATTTGATTACCATCGATGTGACAAAGATGGATAAAGCAGTTAATGTGAAGAATATTTAGAAAGGCGAAAAGAGAAACTGGCTTTTTGTTTCTTGGTTTCTGCAAGCAGTTAAGCTTATTAGAATAATTAATATGCTTTAAACAATTAAAAGCTTTTTCGGGTGAACTGGCAAAAGCGAGCAAATAAATGGCAATTAAAATTATGCTAAATTAAGAACCATGACGGAAAATCTATGAAGCCATGTTTAAAACGCTTAATCTTCTTTTAACATTTAATGCTTGACTACCACGGAGATTGTTACTGTTTCTCATCATCAACATTAGAATTGAATTCTTTATCAATATTTTGTTTTCAAAAATATTTTTCCTTTGTCTTTTAATTATTAAGAGAAAATTAATAACAATAGAAAACAGATTACTTTCATTTTGTGACATAATTTATGAAAAACTTAAACAGGGAATGAGAAATTGGGGAAATTGTAGCAAATCCTGAAATTGACGATAAATTTTCAAGCAGTTAAAAGTAAATTGAAAATTTAATATTTTATACAATGTAACTGTATGTTGGACTGCAATCCTTGCTTGAAATGTCACTGTTTGTCCTTTTAATGCCAAAATAAGAATCTTTTAATGTATAATGTGAGAATATTTCTGTTTTATGAACATATCTTTAATTCAGGGAATCACCAACATAACCCATTAACTGTCAGCGTCATAAATCAGCACTTAACATTTTATTTCTCCTTTCGAAAATTTTAGTGTCTATGATTCAACTTTTAAATGGAAAGAAAATCGATGAAATATCTTAAATAACAATTTCAAGAGCTACAAGCATTCCAATCGAAGAAGAATATACTTAAGCAACTATGTAGGGCTGTTGTAATATTCATTTTGCATCTAGTGTTTCAGAAATATTTGTCTAGCTTCAGCGAAGAGATCGAGATTGTTACTTATTTATTACTGGAATTTACACTGCTTAAACATAAAAATATTTTATTGCAACTCCTTTATATAGTTAAACATGATAGAAAATTTTCTGAAGCTTATCTGATGGAAGTTAGAATTAACAAGAGTTAGCTTCGAAATGTAATAAAAATATTTTCCTCGACAAAAACAACTTTTTTAAGTTCATTAAAATCGCTTCTTCAAAGAAGATTAAAATATTCTCATTAAGGATTGTTGACAATATTTTAAACGTTATCCATGCATAAACCTCAACTTAACATTGAGGTTTGACGGTTTGAATGATGTAACGAATATCCGTGAAATCAAATTAGAATACAAACACAGTAAAGCGAAAAATTTGAAATTAACAAGAAATATTATTTACTAAAAATCCATAAATCACGAACAATAATTAATTAAATCTAACATGAAAGGAAGGCGACTTGAATACTTCAATTGGAACTTTATAAAAAGCTGAAAATAGAAAAGTCTGTTAGTGTGTTTATTTTATTTCGATTAGTGACGGATAAGCAGACGCGGCACGTTAAATTTCAAATACAAACAAATTTTATGCCTCCATTGATTGAATGAACAAAAGTTTCGTTTCGCAAGGAAATTTCTGCTTCACGCTTATTTCATGCTTCATATCTTTTGACGTAGTTTCTATGTTACTTTTGTTTATTAACAGTTATCATTGACTTAACTTAATTCAAGTTATTTTTAAGGAGAAAAGCCTGCGCTATGGTGAGATGGTTTCACATAATCATATTGTTGAAAATATCTCAGAAAGTTACAAAGAACTTAAAAAAAATTATTTATTAATATTCTAAAGGTTTAGGAAACCAAAATTGAAAGTTTTTAATTAATTTCTACTTACATCATTTAATTAACTCGTCGTTTATCAATCAGCAATTTCAATTTCATTTTCAATAACTTCCATGTTTGAAGCTCATTATTTTCAAATCTTTTGTACTTTCTATAATCTTATGAAAGGGTGAAAATAGAATAATAAAAAATTAATTAGATCAAGCATGTGAGACTCTCACGTTAAACGTTCCTATGGTGAATCAAATGAAGTTTAATTGCATGTGACTCACGCTTCCTCCCACACAACAATTTACAATAGTTGTTATTCGCAACCACATCAATTATTAACAATGTTGAACAAAATACCGCAATCAAAGTTTGTGTTGTTGAAAATTATAAAAGCTTTTAACTCACATGCGAAGCTTTTCAGTATCGTTAAAAAGTTATCCAGTTGATTGTTAGACGCTTTTAAACTCTGTTGGAGGGACTACATGCGAGCATTGATGGGAAGGAAATATAGCGAAGGAGATAAGAACAAAAAACCTTTATGAATATCTCTCACATACACACATTCAAAAGCATCCTCGCAAAGCCTATAGAAAATATAAATCGTGCTGATATCTTTCTATTTCTATTTGAATCCCTGCCGTAACCATTTTTAGACACATTTAGGAATAAGTTCCGAATATCGGTTCGTGAAGAAAGCAAATATTGAAATGATTTATTGTTGTGAAAACCTTTTTGTGTTTCTGATTATATATTTAATGAAGGTGAATATCCTGTAACTCTATCGCCTTTAAGTTGGAATTGCTTTTTTACAAGCACACTATCATATTTTATGCTTAAAGAGTCTTGAGAGAAAATTGAAGTAGCAATAATCGTTATCGTCAATAGATTTCATAGATTAGATGCCAACAATCAGAAGCTGAACCAAATGACGACGATTTGAAACCAATAAGGAAGTTTAAATCTTTCCTTCGAGGCCCAATTCAATATTAATGTTTACAAACATGTTACCCAAGTGCTCTACATACTTAATGGTAGAGCTATGCAATAAAGTTCTCTCTTTCAAGCCCGATAGGCCTGACTGTGTTAAATGTCCGCAAGTTTTATCACAAGTTGCTTTGTATCCGGATGACTTTGACAGGAAATCAATGATCACGCAGTCAGTGTTGTTGAATACGGAGGCAAGCAGTGTTGTTATCTGGATAAATGCACGACTGTGTCTTTAGAAACAAATTGTGATCCTATTTGTTACGAGCCATGTGACGCAATATGCACAAAACGATGCTATATGAATCCACAATGTCCAGACAAGTGTGACAGAGTGAAAAAAGAACAATTCACAACAAAATATCGAATTGGATGTTAAATGATATAAAAAAGAAAAATCATGAGATGGCAACAGCTTGTCTGCTTAGAACACGCTTAACATTTGTTGGTGAAGTTGAAAACTATTATCAAGCAGTTAAATCGGCTCTCGGTGAACTTGACTTATCAGCTAACGTGACGATGCTGAATACGAATGGATTACAAGTTCAGAATGAAACTAAAATGCCTTAAATGACGAGGCAGAAAGTAATCAAAACGATTGCAAATGAAGGAAAACAAAAGTTATTTTTGTGAAGTTAAATTGCAACGATTTTTCTTCCAAAACGACGTGAAACAACGTTTTCCTATTAAAGCTGAATAATGTTAAAGTAAATTGTCACAATTCATGCAATATCATCGTGATAAGATTTTCATTCATTGCACTTCGTCATACTTGAAGGCGAGAATAAGTCATTTGCATAATTTTTTCATTTAGCTTTCTCTTTTTTTTTGAATATCATTTCATCTTTTATCTCTCATCTTAATTTTCCGGAAATACATTCAATTTTCATGGAAAGAAAGATGAGATTAAGAATCCGTAAAAGTCGTTATCACGGCTTTCGTCTTAAATTATAGCAGGTAAATAATGAACTAAGAGGGAAATCAAGAGGCTTTGATGACTTTTCTTGAATTAAGACTATATTAAAAGATGAGTGGGAGGGAGGACAAAAGGAATTTTATTTCCGGTACAAATTCTGCAGGTTGATGTTGGAAGAATCGTGAGAAATTCTTTTGGATTTTATTTTACTTCAGGCATGAAGGAAAAAAGAAAAAGTTAAGCTGAAATTCCGGAAAGTGAAAGATCGCTAAAAAGTCTAAGGAATTTCTGTCTCGAAGAAGAAGCGAGCATTAGTTAATCATTTCTAATTTATCAGATTCACTTTGAACGTGAAAATTTTATCAAAAATCGAGCGCAGAAATCTACAATGGATAATGAATAAAAATTATCTTCAAATTGATTGTGATTTCTGGATTGATTATCGTTAAAGCGATAAATCTTCATCATTTCGGGGTTTCGCCTAACAATTTGTTTTGTGTAATCATTTTCAATTAGTGGGAAAATGAGTTCATTAAGATATAAATATCGAGATAGTCAAAGAAAGGAAATTCCTTTGAAGAATCATTTTTTATTCCTTTTAACGCAAATATTTCATTTCAATTTCATTACCTTAGAGTGGCATTTCACAGTCGTTTAATTAATTATAAGATTGAACAATTGTTTGAATTTCCGTTCCCTCATTTTCACATGAAATCAGTTTTGTGCACATGAATGGACTGCGGGAATTGAAAAATGTTTACGCTTGAATAGCTTTAAGAAAAAATTCTTTTTCTGCTTTCGTCGAATGAGTTCAGTTGGAAAGAAAAGTGAACTAAAGTAGGAGATTCGATTGCAGAATGAATATTTGTTTATCTTTTTATCCTGGCACTCATCTATTCAAGTGGTGGGAGATTTCATTTAGCGTTTACTTGCATGTGCAATTCAATTCTTAACTAATCTACTTACTTTCTACAAGATTCAACAATGGTCTATAAACTTTCATGTTACAATCTTTTAAGCTTGCAAAGTAGATGCTATTTCCTTGAGCAAAGATGAAACGATAACATAAAGGCGAATCGGATAGCATTACTGAGTTCCAATGTCTCTTGAAGCGGAGGAAAAAGACGAAGATTTATTTAATCAGTTTAAGTTACAAGCGAACATCTTAAATTGAATGAAAAGCGAGAATGCAACTTTCAACCTCAGTTCAACTTGGATATCTACGGTCATAAATCAAGTTATGGTCATGCAACTGTAACTTTAAAGACTTTTGCCCGTATGATAAAATTGAAGTTTGAACACGTTTCAAGATAAATGATTTTAAATTGCATTAAATAAATTTAATTTCATTCATTTTTATATGATATGTTCGTAACGATATCTCTTGTTTTCCACATAACATACTGAACATAATGCAATTTTCTTTTATGAAAGAATGACGGAAATGCAATTGAATTTTTATGAAGTAAGCAAAATGACATTCAAAAATACGTCATGGAACATTAAAAGAATTGCATATGACAGAAATTTTCAGGATGTTAGCGGAATTGTAGATGGATTTATTTATTGTGGAAGAAATGAAATATTTTGCTAAGATAAGCATTGTCAACTTCAACATGACGTGATGATCTTTTCGTTATTGATTTACAAGCGGATTTATTTTCATGCTTATCATCTAAAAATCTCATAAAACGTGATTGAATCAATATTGCTTTACTGCACCACAAGTAACTCAACATGTTGTTCATAAAATGCCTTCAATCACTTGAAAAGCTTAGAAGCTTTTCATTAAAATATGAAATTTATTCACATCGTCTACTTTCCAGATACATGGCAATCATGAATCCACTCAAGCCGCGGATGGGAAAGCGAGCAACTCTTTGTATAGCTGTTTCGATATGGGTGAGTTTTATTCTCGTGCTTCACGTCATCCACGTACAATTCTTCCATTGTGTTTACAACCATAAATTTGTTATCGTCCGGGATTAATCGTAATAATCTTTTCTTCTTCTTTCTCGCCTATTTGCGTCGTATGATCAGATTTTTGGAATTATACTATCGTGTCCAAATTTTTTCTTTTTTACAACTTATATTATTGAGCTGGGCAACGACAATGTGAGGGTTGTTTGCTATGCTGAGTGGCCCGATGGTGCTACAAATCACAGTCTACAGGAATATGTGTGAGTATTAAATTCACTGCTTGCAATGTCGCACTATATAAAGAAAGGAAATGAACGAGAAATTTCAACGTTTGCTATTATGTCGATTATTTCCTTTTCTATAATGCTTAGTTATCGTCACATCTCGGTTTTACGATCGACTTTTTCTTCTTCGACAGATATAACGTAGTTTTTATGTTCCTAACATATTTTCTACCCATCGGTTCTATGACGTATACATATGCGAGAGTAGGACTTGAGCTTTGGGGATCACAGAGCATTGGAGAGTGTACGCAAAGACAATTAGATAATATTAAAAGTAAAAGAAAGGTAAGCGAAACGTGTTAATGTTTAAGACTTAAATAAGCCTTTGTGACGACACAAGAAAGCTTTGAAATTGAATTAACTGAGTTTGAGTAACTTCTGAGATCAATAAATTTCAACGATTCTTAAATCGATTTTTCATTTCAAAGAATTCAATTAATAGATGGTCACGTTCTTTAAGAACTTTCCGCATAATCGTGTAGATTTTCAAATATCTATTTATTGCATTCATCTGGTGACGACTCGTGCTACCTGACTGACTCTTCTTCAAATTAAGTTATAAATTACTCTTCGTTTGGAATGAGAACGAGCACAAGAAAAGAGCGAGCGCGTCTTCAATTTATGGAAAAATAAGCAGTTGAAATTTATTTTTGACTCCGTTGTGTTGAAGCTTGTCCGATGAGACAGTTTAGCATGTTTTTCGAATAAATCTAAAAATATTTCAACCGTATTCAAACAAAGTTAGGAGGATTCTTAAAAGGAAATGGTTTTTAAAGCAAACTTTCTGTTAAATATTAAAAAAGCTTTTCCATGAATGAATTCGAATGAATAAAACATCTTTTAAGCAAACGATTTCAAGAAATCATCCAAATCTTTAGTTCATTTAAGGTTCAGCAATTCATAATATTAAAAAGTATTTGAAATCTAACTATGATTTAATTAAAAAAATTCACGATTCTTTTTCGATGTCTATTCAAACTGATGTCGATTCATCCTTTTTCCAACTGAAATCACGTTCCAAGAGTCACGATTTAGAAAGAAAATCGGATTTTTCTACTTTTCACATTCACCTAAATAATTTTCCTTCTTATTTGTGAACTTCATTCGGACGCGTTCGACTTGAGTCAGCAAAATATAAATTTTTAATTGGTTTTCGCCTACGCCCTTGACAAGTTTCAGCGCGATTTTTTTTTTGGCCTTGTCCGAGATTTTTACGACCCTAAAATAAAATTTATTGCTTGATTCGCAGGTTGTGCTTATGATGATGATCGTAGTAATAATTTTCGCTGTTTGTTGGGCACCGCAGAATATTTATTTCCTGCTAACATCATATTACCCAAACATAACAACGACAGAGTATATCCAAGAAATTTATTTAGGCATCTACTGGCTGGCAATGAGTAACTCCATGTATAACCCAATCATTTACTGTTGGATGAACTCCAGGTGAGTTAAGTGTGAAAGGGTCTACTGTAACAAAAGAACTTTCTGCTTGTAAACAAGCCAAATCCCTTCAACAATTGTTGTTCAGCTCACATGTTAAAAGTTGAGGTATTTTGGGACAACAAAAAGTTTTCAGAGTCAACAAACATCGTGAAAGCAAATCCTTATATTTATCACATCTCACAGATTTTTTTCTCTCCTTTTTGTAAACTACTTCGTTGACACTTTCCCTCCATCCAACCCCGAAAATTTTATTTTTTCATGATTTTTATGGTGAATGCTTATTTAGAAGCCCAGAAGTGGAAGGAAAAACTTACGGTCAATTTAGATGGCAAACAAAGATGTCGTGTAGAAACTCGCTTTCTATAATCAACATGTTTTCGATTTAGTTTTTTTATTCGTTCATAAATATACATAATGAGATGCCTCCTTCTGTAGTGTGCTTCACTTAGTTATAGCGTTCCAAAACTAAAAGAAATTGAAGAAAATAACAACACAAAACTCATTTTTTGAATAAGTTTGTGGAATCTAAAATTCTGCTTTTGTTTGTCAACAATTCTCTGAATTATTTTCAACTCGATGAACATGTCGAGGAAGTGTTGTGTTGAAAGAAAAATAAATAAATAATGGAAAAGTTAGATTTTTCTAAACTTTATCATCGGATGGTTTTTGAAATAAAATTTTCATCAGATTTCATTCAATTTTTATGTTTCCCTCACAATAGTTAATATCATTGAATAACAAGAACAGAAATCGAATATAATTTTATTGAATTGGTATGAAAATTATCTAAAACATCTATTTTGAGTTTATCCACCCACATAAAAGTATAATAAATGTCAAACTTTATCACTGTTTTATGGTCATCGCTTTCAATGACCATTTGGGGACATTCAATTCAACAGCTTTTATCTTAACGAACATCATCGGTTCGTTTGTTACAACTCCATGACATAAATTATGCAAGAGCCGGAAAAGAGAAATGATAGTAATTAATGCTTGTTCACAACTTCTTGTTTGGTCATCCTCCTAATTTAGTAAATTTTCCAAACATGACCATTGAGTTTTCCTTTCTTAAAACTTTTTTTCTATCTCTATTTGCAATGATATCACGTTCCAATGCTTAACGGTATGAAAGGGAGAAAATCTTCTTTGTTATGTCCTCGGGACGAGAAAAACAATTTCGTCGGGTGACTTTTCTCTAACATATTTTCATGGATCTAAAGAACATTATCGAAGAAGACGAAGAGAGAAATTGTGTCAATGAAATCACTCAATGAGTCTACATCTATTTTCAGATTCCGGCGCGGCTTCAAGCAATTTTTCCGCTGTTGTCCGTTTGTTCATGTAGGACCGGAAGTTCTAACAAGACGGGAAGTCGTCACATCTAGATATTCATGCTCCGGTTCTCCAGACCACCACCGAATTGTGAGAAATGGTAAAAGTACGAACACAAAAGTTTCAATTTCGCAGCAGAATCTTTATCATTACATTTATTTCATAGATACGGAGCGCTCATTCCTATATTCCTGTTCAGGGTCGCCAAAAAGTCATCGTAAATCACATGGTGAGTAAGAAGAAATATTACAACAACGAAAATAAAAAATCTTTCGTTTTGAATTCGCATTAGATTGGAGATTTTTTTTTCATATTTTGGCGACAGAAAGTTTTATTATTTTCTTTAATTAATTCTACTTTAAATGTAGATCTTTTGTTATGTCTTCGATTGTTTACTTTCTGAGGGGTCATTAAATTATAAGTGAGACTATTAGATTGAGCACTTTAAGCATTCAAAATTCAACTATCATTGACATCACATGTATGATGTGAACACTCATCAAACAACAATGGAAATGAACAAAAAATGTAATTTTGTTACTACAAAAGACACGTAAAAGAAAGATTAATCAAGTTGAGTCCCTCGTGAAGAGTTGAACGAGTGGAGAAAGTGTAGACAAAGTTGTGATGGATTTGTTTGAAGTAAAAAAAGAAGAGATTTTTTAAGTTAATCCTTTTTCCTAAGATTATTTTTGTTGATTCAGTGGAGACTAAAAAATGAATTTCTGGCAAGCTAGGTAGGCAATAAAGTTTTTATATTGTGAGCAATATGAAAATACTTTTTGTCGCAATAATTTTCAATATTTCTGAGCTGTAAAAAATTATTTTTGCTATTGAGAATTTTTTTTCTATTTTTTTCTATCTACTTTCACGAAGAATATAAATTGATAAATTTTATAAAAATGAATACTTCAGTCGCCTTTTAATATTTCTCATACTTCTAAATATGATTTCGAAGCTGAATCATCACAAATAGGAAATTGAAATGTTAATAAAGCTTATCTGATTTAAATATCAAATTAACATCTCAAGAAATGTTTGTTAAGCTTAAAATGAAGAAATTCTTCAAGACCTTTCCCTTCTGTACAAATAACTAAGAAGACATAATAATAGAAATACTTTATATTGCTATAAAACTACACTCATGAACACGAGTTCTGAAACTTATGAGACCAATTTTATGAAAAGAAAAGTAATAAACCATCGTCGTCTAGTCAACTAATTTTTTTTCTTTTAACTTAAAATAATCTCATCCCTTCATAAATAACAATTTCGAACAGGAAAAATGGTTTTCATAATAAAGTTTTAGCATCATAAAAATGATTTTCTCGATCAAAGTATCGGCAGCATCATTTCCAATAATAATAAATTTCTTCGTCCTGAGTTCATCACCTATAAAATATCAATTTCAATGCTTATTTGCAGTTACCATAAAATTGCAATTCCAATTTTTTTTCTACATTTTATAGCAAGCTAGAACGTGTTTCACATCTTTTTTTTCATGAATTCATTTCAGGTTCTGTTCGAATTCCATTGCAAATGACAAAGTGCAATCATGGAACAAACTCAACTTATATCACCATGAATTCTTTTAATAATAACAATCTAACGGTGCCGAATGTCAATGAAGAGACCAATATTACAACTGATAATCTTCTTTTACAATCGTCGACATCACCGAACACAACACAACATTGGACGAAAAATTTAAATGGAAACAGTCAGCGGTCATCATCCGCATCTTGACGTGCTAACAAAACGAGTTTAAATCTTAACTTGAGCGATAATGGCAAAGCCACAAATCAAAACACAACGGACGACCTGACCCCTGTCAACACAAACAATGGCCAAAAGATATTGCAAAGTCCTTTTGACTGTCCTACGAGGTATCGTAAAACATGGATATAAATCAATTTAATGGGTTCCCACGCCTCACTGACTCGCTTTTTGACAGCCCACTTTTCAATTTTGAAAAGTGAAATTTGTAGATGAAAGTGTTTATGTAGCCAAAAAAGCATTGAGGTGACAAAGTACCGCTTCCAGTTCCATACGCACCGTTTATTGATGTTCACATAAATGACCAAAGCCATTAATAAAACAGAGCTCATATTCTGTTAAGTGTTTTAAGTCGATAACTGGATCTTGATATTGATACAAATAAATTTGTGTCGATAAAATCAATTGATTAAATGGAACTTTCTAGTGACGCTTTTCACATTTTGTTTAATAAATTCAATTCTTGTCATTTTTGACTCTTGATTAATCTTTCGTCGTCTCGATCCTTTGAGACATTCATCAGTTTACGCTTCAACTGCATCAAGTTGAATGAAACTTTTTGAAGAAGAACTTTCATGTCAAGAATATTTTATTTGGAAAAAGAATATCAGCAATTTGTTTTACAACGTGGGCGAGTGATGCAAATTGTTGTATATTGAATTACTGATTGTAATCAGTTGAAAGTCAATCACTGAGATGCAACAGTGAATGCAAATAGAATAAAATAAAATAAAAATCATTCGAAAGACAATATTTTCACTCGACAATTGAAAGTTTTTGTTCACGAAGAGAAAAATGTAAGCTTTGAAATGGAACCTTATAAGATTAAAGAGCTTAAATTTTAAAAGACATATTTAACCCATAAAAAGAAAAGCTTAATGGAGATAAAAATTTTATGAGACGAAAATTTAAAGCAGCAATAAATTGCTGTTAAGCATTCACCGAAGATAATCAGTTTAGTTTTCTTTCTTCTGAATCATTCATTTGTTCTTTTTTAGGGCTCGAAAAGTTTATTCATATCACTTGAATGATCTCAGGCGTTGGTCGAAGCTGATGTGAATTATTCAGAAGAAAAGAATTTTCTTGTTTATCTAGTACAGAAAGTTATCTCTAAGCTTACATTCCTATGTTAAACAGAAGAAGAAACATAAAAAAAAGCTTTAACATTTTGAGTTATAGAAAATTTCCTGTCTCAATATTTGCGACCTATGCATACATATTCACTCGTATATGTGTTTACTCCATTCCAAAGCTTATTATTTCGTAAAAGCTTCCACATATTAAGGAAATCTCATGTCTTCTCCTTTCTCTCTTATTCTTTTGTGTTCATACATGGAATGTTCTGTCGCATATCATCAAACACTCTTGATTTAAGATAAAAACTGAAAAAGTTTCACCCAATTGTTAGTTAAGAGAAAAAAGTCTATCTGAAAGGCAAATATTTATTTCATAGATAAAAAAAGCACACACACACACCCACACATAAAAGCATATTGTATGAAATAAAAGTAAGTTTCTATATTTTTGAAAAAAATATAATTTTTGTGAAAAGTCATGGAAAATTGTAAAATGTAGTGAAAAATTTGTTTCAAATAAAAATGGAAACTAAGGAAATAACTTGAATGGTTTTTGTTTTATTTCTCATTATTCAGGTGCTGTTGATTTTGTTACTTTCAAAAGTTTTATGACAATCTGTCGCATTAGATATTCATTGAATAAAATCATTCTGAAAACTCCTAGAAGCTATTTTGTCGTGTTCCCATGTGAAATTGACTGAGCATCATTCTAAAAACACATATTTACATTGATGTTTGACGAGCTTCAGTGGCATAAAATAAATATAAAAGTAACTTCTGTTTAAGAGACTCATAAATATTAAATAACGATACATAATCGCTATAAGAATAGAGCTGTGGAAATGTTTTTGAATTACCTGCAACCATGCCCAAAAGCAGCTTCGTTAGGTTTTCGCTTTTGCTTTTATTCTCGTAACTCACGATAAAAAACTTTTGAAAAATAAGAAAAACAAAATCAAATTTAATTCTTCCGCTTCTTTTGAATCATTTTCTTAACTTAAAGCCTCCTTAATACAGTCTAAAAAGCAACTCCCCCTGAAAAAATAAGAAATCATGTCTTGCAGCGATAACGAAAGCACGAATGATTCTTGAGTTGGATGGGTGCGCAATTTTTCGAATAAAAATGCGAATGAGTGGAATAAAGTTATCTGAAACTGTTTAAAAAAGTGTCACTGATAAGTTTTCTTAAGTTCCCGAGCGGCACAAAAGGCAATTTCTGAAGGAAAAGCCAAAGGGAGTACCAATGTAAAATCGCCACAGTGCAACCGTATGCCTCCGGCACGGCGAGTGTGTGCCGTTCGGGGTTGCTTTCGTCATAGAAACATTTTAGAACAATATGAATACCTATAAAGTTTTTAACTGAAAGTTATGGTGATATCTGGAACAGTAGCTCATTGTAAGACTTTTTTAAAGCGACCTTGTTATTTAACAACCACAAACATAATAAAGTTATGAAATATAAGAATGTGTACAATGCAGACATTTTACTCAAGAATATATTTGTTCTAAGAATTTTCGCATGGAACAAAGTATCGTTACATTTTCTAAGAATTTTTAAGTAAAATAAGCTTACTGAGCGACGTCAGGAATCATGTTTGAGAAAAACATCCAATTAAACTTTTATGGCTTCTTTCCTTCAGCTCATTATGAACTTTTATTATGGGAACCCTTGGTAACTATCCAATGGTTATTTTTTCAACGTAAGCAAATAACAAAGAAAAGTTTTCATCTACTGAACAATTGTTGAGTTCATAGTTATTAAAAGCTAGAGAAAAAATTTTTAAACCAACAATAAAATTTATTTAAACCTCAAAAGTTCTTCCGTGAATTCCAGTCAGGAATTTATTTTTCACAATTATTTATTAAATTCTTAAAATTTTTCAGAAATTTATTAAAACATCGGTGAGGATTAATATTCAAGTCTTCTTTTAAAAATAAACAAGTCGCAAATCATTGTAAACACATCGTTGAGGCAAGAATCAAAAACAGATATTTGCAAGGTTTCCGCCTGAAAAATGCTGAAGATATGCAAATAATATACTGATATTAACACTGTTCAATGTCAAGATTTTTCCTCAGAATATCCGCCTAAAAATATCCAATGCAGAGCTAAGGTAACAAAGATCATTGAACTTTCAACAAGTTCAAATAATATCTTACAAAAAATATGTTAAAAACAAATCTTTTTATAAATTTTATTATTTGATTCGATAAGCAAATATTTTGGGAAAAGTTATGATAAAAGATTATTGGAATTCAAAGAAAGTCTGTGAAATAAATATAAATATCAAAAAGGTTTATTGCTTGTCTCCTCTTTTAAGTTATGTAGACAGAAATTAATATACAATCGATGAATATTTTTGGATGTTTGTTCAAGTGAAAAAGTTGTCTGGATTCTAATCTCTTTAAACCATTCTTTAGATGTTTTTGACCACAACTTTGGAATCTATGAATGAAAATAACAGATAAGAGGCTTCATATCAAGAGATTTAATTTATTTTTATGAACTTCAATGCAAAAGCGTACTAAAAATCAACAACATCAAAACATGTTAATCGCTTTGTTTTGAATTTTAAAATTGATTGCAGACATTATAATTAAATCATAATTAAATTTAGGCAAGGGACAGACTATGAAAATGTATTTATTTCATTAACAAAGTTAATTAAATCTTCACTTTACAGATTATGACTTGTGATGTGGGTGGTCAGTGGAATATTTTTGGAAAGCTTTGAATTTCAAATGACGGTCGACGAAATATCCTTGTAGATATCATGTGTAAAAATGTTGTTGATGTACACCATGGATACGAATAAGAACACATCATAAACCAAAATATTATTTTCACTCAAATAAAAAAGCCCCATGTGGAAAAATCAAACCCGGCACGTTCGTATCAATTACCAAGCGGAAACTGTCAGAAGTCAGAATTAACTGTTGGGATCAAGAGTTTTACCCTCCATAACCTTCGAATTATTAACTAGAATTTCGACACCTTTTAGAAGCTTTTAAATCTTAAGGAATTTCTCAATGATATTTCTTTTTCTCCTTCATCAAAGTCAATATCAAAGGCATAAAGTTTCTTCTAGTTCTAAAGAAATATTTGTTACTTCATAACGATTGTAGAACTTCGAGACATGACAGCCAAACTGACCGTTGTCATAGATATTCATCGGAAGCTTCAGGACAATTACTTAACAATTTCCAAACTTCTGCCAGACAACTTTCTATTCAGCACGTAATCATTTTGAAAACGACTACGATGACTTTTCCTTTTGCGTTACAAATATTCAAAGGAGGAAATATTGTCAATTACTAACATTCATTTATTGATTTATATTATCTCAAACGATATATTTGAAACTAATGGTTCAATTAATCTTAACATGCTGGTTTATTATTGGTTTAAACGACAATCCAAAAAGGTAAATTATTTTATGTTATTCATGAATCATGAAAGTAAAGATAAAACTTTTCAACCTTTAAACCACAAAATGATATCACTGCACAGCGTGGAATTGCCGACTTTTTGATTTGGATGAATGATAATTGAACTCAAAGGTGCTTTTCTGAGCATAATTTTGTAATCTCCTGGCGAGCGCTTAGTTAACATTTTAATGAACCGTTCAGTTTATACCTTTTGGAGACCATCCTTCCATAGCTTTCTTTCTATTTATTAAACTCTAAAGCTTTAACGTTAAGTTTCATTGAACAAAAGATATTGAAGCAAAATATAGACACCTAACCCAAATAGAGCCCAAACACATTAAGTTTTACGCAACATTCTTGTCTCGTGTAGCGTAACGATAAGTTGTATCGACAGGATGACATTAAATTTTTTTAACACTGCTACAGTTAACATTGAGAACATTTTTTCCACTTTGAATCACCTAAAATATTTTCTCATCGTTAGTTTATGTTGAGGATATGTAGTGGAAATTTCTGTGTAAGTCAATTTGCAAGAATTTCTCGGTTTGTCGTCACTAACATTCATTGAGGTGTTTTTATTTTTTGAGGAGGGAGAAAAAATTCCCTTTTTCACGTGCACTTTTGGGAATAGGTGAGTGACTGCATGATTTGATTATATTGGGTGACTTATTTCCATGCACGTTTGTTACAAGGCTCAGATTAATCATTAAGCTTCTTTACATGTGTGTTAAATGATTATCTTCATGTTTATGGAAGGAAAATTTACCTTCCCATCTATTAACATAACGTTTGTGGTTGCATGTGACTTGATATGTTACAACCTCAAATGGTTATTCCTGTTTTGTATTGTCCAAAGTGTTACGCTCAATGAACTTTCATATCATATGTCACGAATATTAAGAATTATGATTCGTATCATGTCGTCAATTATTTACCAAATTTACTTTTATTCCGAAATCGTGTTTGCTTTTTTTCCAGTTTTTAGAGGGAAATGCTTGTATAATCAAACTACTTTGTAATTTATTTTAATTATAGTGGGCATTATGAATTGTAGAGCAATCTAATGAAAATTTTATGGAATCAAAGAAGATGGTCAAACAAATTTTAGTAGCACAAAATCATTTTAAAAGGTTCTCAACTTTCAATAAGCAGGTTAAATATTTGTGTTAGAAAATTATCTGATTGTAATTAAAAAGTCTTCTGTAAATCTTGAAGTTCGAACTTGCTGTTGCGTGTAAAGTTATAGTAATTTATGTTATAACTAAATATTTATTTCATCCACACAATATTTAGAAATTTTCTAAGTAGAAAATTAAAGCAAATAAAACTTTCTTAATTATCATTTTTAATAAATGTTTCAAATTTAAATTTGTTTTGAAATGACAAAGTTTTATGAATTTAATTAAACTGTGATTAAATTAACTTACAAGAAACATTGTCTAACTGAAAGATTAATTTTCTTGTATTCTCAATTAACAAACTTGTTCCTATAAAAGATTAAAGTTAAGTACATAGATATTGAAATCATTAAAGTTAAATAAACTCAGAGGGTTTCAGTAACACATTTAATTTACTTAAACTACATATGAACTTATAATCTGCGTAGTTTGTTACTCGGTGCGAAAGTTTGCAAACAATTCTGTTTCAATAGATTAAAAAGATTTTTTAAGCAATTCAGCTCACGCTCGTTCGCAAATTATTTTATGGAAATTCAATTTGTCACCAGTAATAGCTCAAGATGAGTAAATAACATTTAATGCTGTAACATCGTTCGTAACTCATTCTTTAATCTCCTTTACGACATTTTGTCACAAGTAAAACGCTTGTTGAAATTCAATATCCAAGGAAAATGTAAATTGGAAGAAAATTGTTTTATGAAAATTAAGTTTGATCTTAAACAAAGTTAAAATATGAAAAAGATGTTCAGAGATTCTCTGTGCTTATTGTGTTCGTTGCAAAATATTTCATTTATGATTGCTCCAATGAGGAAAATTATGAGATGAAGAAATTTTTTGATCACACAATCTGACATTGATAAAAAATTCTCTGAATCTCAAATGAAAATTGAAAATAAAAGACCAACTAATGCTGAATAAATTCACAAATTATTTAGCTAACTGCTCAGCTTTTAAAGAGAAACTTTCTAATCGACATAAATTTTATCAATTGTTTTTAAGATATAAAACTCATAAACGACCAGAAGTTGGTGAAGTTAGAAACTTTGATGGTATTTAAATATTTGCAAACCGAAGAAAAGATCTAATAAAAGTTGTCATAGTTATTCAACTCGTGATTCCGACGCAATTGATATAAACGGCAAGTTTTCAAATTGTTGGCAATTTAGTTTCAAACAAATTCCATCAATAAACCATAATTTTGTGCAAAGTAAAGTTTAATTTATTTTCAAATGAAATATTTTAGTTAATTGAAAATTAGGATGAGACGACAGAGAACAATATTTGATGTTGTTTTTTCGACTTTATTTAATCTTGATCATATTTAGTAGCAAAATTAGAGGTAGAAAGTTCAAATATTACCACAAGAAGATTAATTTTGCTTCCAAATAGATTAAATTATTCAAATTCCATGATGCAAACTTCCATCACAAAATTAACTTTGTCTTTTTTCAAATGGAAAACTTTTAAATCGAAGTTTGTCTGAACACTATAAAATACATTATTTAAATAATGTGAAAGCTTATCACATGAAAAAGTAAATAAATAAATCATAAAACAGTCTGAAGTGAAGCTTAAGTACGCTGATAAATTGAATGTCCCTTGTGAATGAAGCTGGAAACGATATCGATAACGTTGAGTGAAATTTCGAATTACATTCAACGACTGTTGAAGAAAACTTACATTTATCTTGATAAAAACTCTATCAACGTGATTGCACTCCACAAAAGTTGTTTGTGAAGCACACAAAAACTTCTGGTTATCTACGAAAACTTCACAATCACTTCAGTTTTCAATTGTTAAGGTAAATATTTTTCATAAGGGAGATCTCAAAATGGATGCAAGAATCTAAATTTTGATTATGTTTTCTGAAGTAAGGAGTAAAATACTTTTCTTAAATAAATAATTGGAAAATAAATTATGAATTATTCGTCCACAAAAAGCTTAAGACAATCCATAAACAAAGCTTAACTCTATGTTATAAATAAAACTGCACGCACATATGAATGAAAGCTTTCATTGTGAGATGTAAAGCTTGAAAAAGTGCTTTTAGCCCGAATTATAATCGTCATTACAATGAATCTAAAAATAACATGGTAAGTCTCAGTTCTCTGTTGATTCTTACGTAAAATCAAATGCAAAATTTTCATGTTTTTTACTTTTAAAGATGCGAATTTCATGAACGAAATCCTCAAAATTTACTTAAACTCAAAATGCTGAGAGATTATCAAATCTATCATAATTTCTTAAAGCTTTTTGAAGGAAAATGATGAATGTCATAACTCATAAGAACTAAAAGTAAGAAGTTTATTTATCTCGAAAATTAATTGAAAATGATTGCATCAATGTCAATGAAACTTTTGCACTTCCAATGATCTCAATCATAAATCAAAATCAATCCTTGCACAATCTTATTGGCAGTCACTGAACTTATTCACTTTATTCACCTAAGCACTCTGAGTGCATTAATCATTTTCTGGATAATAAAAGCTTACACATAGCATTATAAAAGTAATCAATTTTCTCTCGATTATTGCCAATGAGTTGTCTTAAAAATGATACCTTTGAAGTAAAAGATGGCAACGCAGATGGAGCTTAATTAACATTCAATTATAATTTAGCTAAGCACAAAACGAGACTTTCAAATTTCGTATTAAATTCAAAGCAATATAGAAATAGATATCTACTTTGTTTGATAAGATGTTTGAGAATGCAGCATTTCAGATGTTTAACAAAAAATAGTTTGTTACTGCACAGCTAAATCTCTTCGACGTTCATTTTTGTAAAAATAACAAGAAATATGAAATCGTCTCAAGATAGTCAGATTACATGTTTTCCTTGCTGCTAAAAATGAGAACTTTACATAATATACTTCAAGCACATACTTCCAACGTTTCGTCATTTACTTAAATGCATTGCAAACATGGAAACAAAGAAGGTGAAAAACTTTTAACCTCTTGTGACTGCAATTGTTCAAAAGAAGTTCTTTGAATTTTTAATTACTTTGAACTTCAATATTCTAACTTGAATACTGATGAATCATGCTTTCAAGTAATTGAGCTGGTTTTTGAAGAAATATTTTTATATGTATGCGATTCAATTTCGTTCTTGTTGCTATAAAAAAGAAGCTTTTGGATCTTTTATCCTTACGAGTGTTTCACAATTTTCTTGTTCAAATAAATAAAAACAACATTAATATTGAGAAAACAGCCTCAAGGGTAGACAACGCAGATTTCAATCGTGAACATTGAAGAATAGCGTGAGGAAAGCATCGCTTTCTGCTGCGCATTTTGAGGATATAAGCATAACACGTACTAAATTATTTTCTTATAGACTTCCGTAACAAAGGCGATAACCGAAGACAATAAACTTTCAAAGCAATCAAGGGAACTGGAAATTTCATCTTCTTTACCATAACTCGATGATTTGTTTGAAGTATTATTTGAGAAAAATTATTATTTGATGTGAAGTCTATTATGACAAAACTTATGAATTGTTCCAAATGCAAATTGACTCGTTTCGCGAAAAAAAGATTGAAATAATGAAAAAAATAATTTCCGCTTTCTGAGTGTTCTCGAAAAGTAGAATTATTAATAATTTCGAGGTGAAAAAACCCGCAACAAGACTCAGTAGCAGCGACATTGACGTCATGATTTTACGACAAATTCTCGACAGATTTCAACACTTATCAATTGCATTGCAGCTGCTACAAAGCAATTTGTTGAAAAAGGAAATCAGATGATGCTGTTATGATATCTTCAGAGTTATGAATTTGCACTCAAATAAAATATTTATCATTCGTCAACCGAAATATTATTGTGTAGGAGTAAAAAGTACGACACAATATTCATCAAAAGTTAAACAAGAAAAAGTTTTGTCATCGAAAAAGTTCATTCGGGATTTTAATTTATCTTCTTATACAAATATAAATTGAGTTCTTCGCCTTCGCATTTATTTATGTCTCAATGCAGCACACGCTTTTTAGTCTGATTTCCGGTGAGAATAACGTCAAAGTCATTACGCGAATGAATGAATGAAGACTTTGCTCCTTTAGTTGAGCAGTTGAGCATAAAACTTTTTATTATGTTGCTACATTTATTGATATTTATTAAGCATAATGAGGAAAACATTTTGTGGGAAAATAAATCTTATAAACTTGATTGTATTATCTAGAAAAAACCAGTTTAAGCGTTTTTTAAATTCAATTTTCTTAAATAATTGTTCCCAGTTATAATGAAAATCTCTCTTTTGCTATAATTTACCAGAAATATGAATCTTTTAACTTCCCACGTTGATTATCGCTCGTTGGCGTAAAATTACAACATCATTCAACGTTAAAAGAAGCTTTTCAAAAGGTTTTTCTTGAAAAGTGTTTATTAAATGTTGACATTGGTCATGATTTGACATTGTGGTATGTCTAACGATCTTTTAATTAATCAAATATTATGTGTAAGCACAGGAATTGCATGTTCTACTTTTTACTATTGCTAACCATTTTGTTACCAATTTGCCAACTGGTGTGGATGAAAAATGAAATCAGATTCATGAACGCATCATTAGCTTTTGGTGTCAAAGTTGAACATGATGGATGATGATTGGAATGAACTTAATTTTTAAAGGAAAAACTTCCATCTGTATCCAAAAATGTGTTTAAAAATAAACTGAAGGCTTTTGAAAAATGTGGAATGTCTGAAGGTTCATTTGATTAATAAATGTTTCGAGAGGTCGATTGACAGTTAATATTGTTAAACGATTTACAGGAAGACATGACGTTTAATTAAATTGGTATCAATTTCGCAGCATCATCTTGATCAAAACAACTCTTGAAAGATTTTATCGCTTTAATCACTTTATTATTATTCAAGTAGCCAGAGCATGATCCTTGGTGAGAATATGCAAGCTAAGCTTCATAAAATGTTTGAATTTATATGAGATGAACAAAACATTGCGTCATACTGCATGATTTTCCATGGCTTGTTCTAACAGAATGCTTCGTTGAACGAAAAGCTTACAATGCATTGAATGTGGCGTATATTTCACTAACATGCATAAATATAGTAAATTAAACCTCTATTGTCAGCATAGACAAGTTTGGAAATGTTGGTTTAATGATGGTTAGCACCTCATAATTCTAACAAAATTTGAAAATTGCAAGCTTCGTGTGGATATAAATTTATGGTTTTGTTCATTATTCGCTTCCACAGTAGAAACATTAATAAACTCTCGAATATTTCAATTACACATATTCGAATTTCAAAAAGCGCTTTCAATGTCGCCTTCACCATGTGAAAATAATTTGTCTCTGCGGGTGTTTGCTTAGGTCAATTGATTTGTAATTAACTACGATGATGGACTAAAATTCTATCAGCAACACATGCATCTAAATACGAACATTAAAGTAATTAAATTGATGATGAAATGGAAGAGAAAAAGGAGAAAGAGAATAAAAAAGCTTTGATGTGAAAACGAGGATTCAATTTATGAATTGATCTTCAAGGGTCATGGGTTAATTTTTTATATCAAGAAAATTGGCCTTCGATTTATATTTTGAACAAAATTTCAAGAAATAATACAATAGATAAATAGAACTTTTTAAAATTATTCTTTTGATGGTTTCTTTTGCTTTGTCTGCCAAATGCACAACAAATGCCGATAGAGATTTATGAAATAAAGTAAAACTGAAGTTTCTTAAAAGCTGCCAAAGTTTGTGACACTTTAATTGAACTCTTTTGTAAATAGCGACATTTAACATTGGATTTTACATAAACTTTTTTAAGTTTTGTAATAGAAATTGCAAAGGAAATTGAACAGATTGAAAAAGTTTTTCAACTTGTAAATTATTCAGTGACAGTTTCAAAATTGAAAATTTATGTCGCAAAAGTCTTTTAATTTAACAAATGAAAATCAAAATTTTGTGGTTTAATTTGAATGAAATGATTTATTTTCGATCACTGAGGTTTGTTGCTGCAAGATATTGAATAACAACATTTGAAACTTCAGTAGATTGAAAGCAGCTTTTGTGACTTGTGATTAAGTTTTTTTCAACGAAGTCTTCACCTTATCACGAACATTCATGCTTTCATTGATTTTCCTCACTAAAGAGAATTTATTTATGAACGGTTTTAAACACTCTTTTAAAAAACTTAACAAATGCGGCATTTTATTGAGAACTTTTACGTAAAGGAATATTTAATTGTAGAAAATTTAAGGCTTTCAGCAACAGACGGTGGCAGGCGATAATGTCAGAGAACAGCGAAACGTTAATTCTTTCAATTAAAAATGTTTTTCATTCCAAACTTGAATTTGTTGATAGAATTCTGACCTTGGGAAAGAAAACCCGACTTCATCACATGATATCAATCAAGAAAGTTACATCGTTAACTAACTTGACATTTTTGTTGAAGAACATTGTTGAACAGATGTCCTACTGTAACTTAATGAATCTGAAAACATTTTGTAAAGTTCTTTCTACAGTCTAAGCTTGTTCTTGTCATTGTTTAATAGCTTTTGAATGAGCTTCACGTCATTTATAAAAAAATCTTTCCTTATTTTTATTTTCTATTAAATTTCCCGAACTTTTGAACGGAAATTACTAAATACGTACATACGCGCTTTGTATCATTAAAGATAATTAAAATTATTTTATTGGATTAAATTTGAGTCTTAAAAGCTTCACATCATGAGAAACATTAAAGAGCCAATTACGGGAAGGAAGACGTGAAGCTTCTGCAAAAACTTTATTCCTTTGGAAATAGGAGAAAAAGAAAGTGGAGAAAGCTTCTTATCATTACATTAAAATTATGCAACAATTTCCCACTTTCTTCTTCCACACGTGGATCTACTTGTGATGAAATGTTCACAGGAAAAAAATAACTAAGTTTATTGTACTATTCGGATTGAGATATCATTAATCAGTTTATTCAACTTATACAAGTGTGTTTTTTAATAAATGATGTCATGTCGGTCAGACAAAGCTTGCTAAGGTGACAGATGATGTTGCAAAGCAACTTCATTTCAATTGATTTATGAAGTTTTCTGTTCACTTTTTCTTTCCGTTGAAAGAATGAAAGAACTAAACATATCTAAATGAAATATAAATAAATGATTTCAGCTGTTTTGTTAGAAGTAATGAAAGCATTTATTTAATAGTATTTAACACAGAGTCTGTGATATAATTTATCATCAAAGGCAACGTAACTTTTAAAAACTGTCAACGTATATGGATGGAAGATTTGACTGAAATCTATTTTTAGTTTTGCCATTTTAGGTTTTATATAACAGAATCAAATTACCTAATTAATATAAGAATGTATCGCTTTCCTTGACATCTTGTGTTTCATAAAGTTAATGAATAATGACATATTATACGATAACAACATTAGAGCTTTAATGAGTTTTATAAATAAATTTCCAGATTAAGTTTGTTGGAAAATCTTTTCGACTGGGAATTTTATCGCTTCGCATTAGATGTTTTGCCGCCTTGTATAAGGTTCAAGTTAAATTGAAATGACAGTTCGATAACAATCAACATGACAAAGTCTCGGCTTTCTAATGTCACTAGTTACGGCAGTGTTTTTGTTCGTTCTTCTCTTGCTTAAGTAATCGCAATGTCTTCCAAAATCCCAGATTGAAGCTTACGCGTTTCACGCTTCAAGATAATCTATAGAAAGCTAAAATAGACAGTGAAAATCTATGAGACAAGCGCTAGCTACACATTGCTGAATTATTCATTTTCAATTAAAACATCTTGAACATTTTTTTATAAAATTTTCAATGCATTACCTTCATTTCTAATCAACGACATCATGAAGCTTTTAATTCATTTCCCGTCTAATGATTTCCAGGAATGATTTTAATTTAATTCTTCATTGCATTTAGCCTTAAAAGCAATGAAAAATTCTTTCTGTTCTTAATTAAAGCATAGTAGAGTAGAAAGTTTTATTGGACATTGGCGTGACATTTAAATGACACGACTGCCTTTGACAAGGAGAATTTCTCGTTATGAAATATTTAAGATGGTAGTAAATTCTTGTTGGTAAACGAGAAGCACGCTTAATGATATTTTATGTGCAAAAACTTGTAGATAACAGCGATGACCTTGCCTCAGTCTGTACGCATTACAAGACACTCTGCACGCCACTACATTTCCCATCATAATTTATGATAAGAAATTTTCTTAGCTTTTATGATGCAATTACTCTAACTAACAAGTTATTAATGCCTTTTTTATGATGCTAATGAACATTATGCATTTCATTTTTATTTCATTCTGATATCATAATAAAATTTACGTCTATTCGATTATGAAACTTGTAGGCGGTTTATGTCAACTTCCGGTCTGTTGATAGCAAACATCTCATCCAATTATGTTGAATGTATTTGCAGAAGATACTTTCAGGTGATTGAATGATAAAAATGTTTGATATATGAAACTTTCTGAGACGATTTAGAATGAATCTTCGAAATCACTTTCTCAATTCTCGAAGTTTAACAAAAGAAGAATTTCAGGAGAAAAGTTGAAAAAGAAATTCAGAGCAATTAATAAGTTTCAATCATAGTTCGGAAATTTAATAATAGAACACTAGAATTTCATTAAAATGATGCTTCATTAAATAATAAGATCGAAGAAATAATCGATCCTTGATTTTTTATTAAACTTTCAATTAAGAAAAAAAAACTGAAGAAATTTGATTTTGTTCTGAGTCATCAACTTACAGAATTTCAAACAATGAAACGGAACAAAGATGAAATTATCCACAATGTAGATTAAATTTTATTGTTAGGAATCTGAGATACCTCTAAGATATCCAAATCATAAGAAAAGTATAAACATTTACATGAAAATTCTAAAGTTTCAATCTACATTCATTTTGAATAATTTCAGTCTGGATAAACTTTTTATGAACTTTTCATGAACAAATTTAAATGATTTCTAGCTGAATAACAAAACGAATGAAACTATCATCAAAAAATGAATATTTAAAGCTTTTCCTTTTAGAACAACATTTTACAAATAGGAAAGTTTCAAATTAAAGTGAGTGAAAACTGAACACGATAGAACATCATTATATTGAATTGGGTTGATACCATACATCATGTAATATTGGATATCTCATTTCGAAATCAATTTTGAAGCATGAAATGTTCTTATGATGAATATTGAAATCGTTGAAATTAAAAGAAGAAACCATGTAAAACTTCCTTTAAATAAATATCAAAGTTTCTATTGTAAGGAAGTTTATTTCCATACGAGTTTATTTAAAGGTTTCACAATGCTTAAAATCACTATGATTCTTCATGATGATTGTTTTGCACTACACAGACAATCTTAAAAGATTTTTTGCAATAAAACTTTTTCATTTCAGTGAAACTTGATGATTTTCAATTTTTTTAATCAAAACAAAAGTTTTCTTTGATAGAAAAAAGCAGAAAAATTTCTTTGAAATGGGAATGGCGAGGAAAAATATGTGAAAAACTTTATGCTTTTGAGAAAGTTTTATTTAGTTGCTGTATGGTTGTTGTTAAGTATGCATGAAATGAACGTGTGAGTTGGATGAACATTGAATGTTCTTATTTTATGTAGTTTCACAGTAAAGTTTCTCGAAGAAATTGAAGGAATAGTGTTAAGTGCTTCATAGATTTCAAACTCGAGTTTGAGGTGCTTAAAGTTGAATGAAATTTCTCTTGAGATCTCATTTAAATTGATTGAAAACTTTTCATTCTCTTATCTAACTACCATGAATTTGAAATGTGTTGGCGAGGAAAATTCTTTTCAGATAATTATTTCTAGGCTGTTGAACTCGCAGTGAAATATAAAAATGAAAGATTTTGCCTTGACTCCAACGTCTTGGAAATTATATTCGAGCGAATGCTAAACTTTTTTTTTTGTTAATTTCTTTGTAAAATTAGTTTCCTCAATTTTCATTTTTAATTTGTTTCATTCATCATCCATGAACCTTCCAATTTCATCGTGATTTTACACGGCAAACTAATTGACGAAGGTAACAATCATGAAAACTTTTTTCTGTATTAAGAAAACTTTTCACTTAATTTTTTTTTTGTGTAGTAACAAAATTTTCTTCAATTTTGTTGATTATAAAATTATAGAAAAATCATGAAATTTCTTAGCTTTATATTACAAACAGATGAAAAACAAGAGCCGAAAAGAAATTATGATATGCACATTAATAAAGCCATGGAAAATAATTTTCTTTTAAAATTAATTGCAGATGGAGACGTGACTCGAGATTATGTATCGAACGAAATTCAATTTCCAAGACACAAAATTTCACTTTCAATAAATTAAACATTTAGCGGATAAAAATTTTCCATATTAATCCAATAAAAAATATAAATGCAAATTATCGTTTATGATGTGGAAATCTGGAGCTAATTTTATTGTAAAATTTATAGGTAGGTAATGCGTATTTTTTCACAATTATTTCATTAACTAAATTTAACATTTCATATTTGCTAAGACAATTAAACAATAATTTCAATTTTCATTAAGAAAAATAAAATTTTCATTCAATTTCAGTTTTTAATCCGAGTTCAGCTAATCAACGTATTCAAACCACGTTTTGCTCGTACATTTCAATTTTTAACTGTTTTGTTCTCATGTTTGAAACAAAGATAAGTGCTAAAGATGTAAAATTGTTATTGTTTTTGAAGTGAATGAAACAAATTATCTGTCAACATGAAGTCTTATCTTTTTTTCTTCTTTTTAAAACTTGTCAAAATGATTTTAAAAAGACATTTTTCAAGAAAAAACAAACAATTGAAACTTTCTAAATGATGATTTTTGTAATTAAGACAAGAAAGATGTGATGCAAGCACGCCTTAAGTTTTCCTTCTTAAAACTGTTTTCAATTATTTATTTATTTTTCTGTGGATTTCTCGTAAAGTTACTTAATATCAAAGATTATTTATTTTTGTAACGTCTCCAATTCTTAACAAGCTATTTACATCTAGAACTTTATTGTGTCTTAGCCAATTTAGAACCATTTTGTAATAATTCTTACGTTTAATTGTCTAATTATTTATTTTATTTTATTCCTTTTGTGTATTTAAATTTCGTGGAGTAATTTGTTTTATGAAAACCCTTTTTAATTAAAAATAGAAATTGTCTAATGATAACATAAGAACTTTATGATTCAAGTTGAAATGAAATGATTTTGCTATTTCTGTTGCGATAATATTTTTATTTATTATCATTACAATGAAACTTAACTTGGAAAAGCGCTTCCCACTCAATGATTTATTTTCTCTTTGGAAACACTCGATGAAGGATGAAAATTAAAAAAAGAAATGGAAGATGATTTAAATTGCACGAATGATTTAACACTTTTATATCGTTAATGAAAATTGAATATCGATATGTCGAACAACCGAAAATAAAGTTAATGGACACATGTTTTAAGTTTCCAGTCATTCAGTCATCTCACATTCATTTTCATTACAATTCAGTGATAATATTTTAATTAGATAATGTATCGGTTATGCGAGAATATTGATTATATTAATTAACACAATTTAAAAACAGGGAAGTTTAATGTTCGTAGAAATTCATGTTAACGATTGCTTTCGTCGTGAAAAATGAAATTTAAATGCATTTTTTTTTACCACTAACAGACTTTCACAACATTCTAAAGGGGACGTTTATAATCCTTAGGGATCGTTCACAAATTACGTTACAATATGAACGACTAAAATGGGGGCAAGTTTAGGAATTTCATTGAATTTGTTTTGACATACAAAAACTGTTTTAACATTCAAATTTAATTGTTTGAATTAAATAATAATTGGAATATCAAAGAACTTTTAAAGGCAGCAAAAAATATTTGTTGAATGAGTGAATTAACAAGCAAATGTGACGTAACTTTTAAAATTTTGAAATGTGCCTAATATGTTATTTAAAAACATTTCAAGAAGAATTATTAAGTGGCAAGTGATAATTTTTTAGCACGTCGTTTCCAGAAGGGAATCGCTTAAAAGACTCGAACTTTTCTTATCCATCTCACCAGATTTTGGACTCGTCGTCGTCGCTGTGACAGCGCCTGCATTGGGAAAGTTTCCATAACTGGCATAGTTTGATGAATGTTTAATTTGTTCACTTAAACGACGAATGTTTAAAGTTAATTCGTCGTCTTTCTGTGACGATGTTGATGTTGATGTCGAGAAACTATGACGAGGTTGTAACAAGTTTGGATTTGAAACATTCAAAAATTGATTCTTCTTCTTCTGAGATTTTTCGTCATTGTTTTCGTCAGGAACAGCATGATAACCGAGTTTTGGTGAAATTGATGAAAGAAGATCTTTTGGTGACAAATTATTTGGTGATGACGGTGGATTTTTTATAGGATTTTCGTCTGCAATGAATGACGGTGATTTTGAACGTTGAAGACGTGGACGTGCAGTGCCAGATTTACTTTCGAAATGAAGCGACTTTGAATGTGTGCTACGATATGTCGCACACTTTTTATCTTTCGTTGACTTTCGACTCTCGTCATAAACCCACGGATCATCGTCGTTGAAATCCAAGTCGGGTCGACTCAATGACTTCACATCCATCAACTTCTTCATACGATTCTCACCTCGTTTCTTCACCTTTCCATTTGTTGCTTCCATTTTCGTCCATGGATCTGATGGAACGTAAACCAGACAACTCGTGCTTCGATTATTCTTTTGACTACTACGATCATCTAAACGTAGACTACCGAAAACGTCTTCCGCCAGATTGTTGTCGTTGATAAGACATTTCGGGTCCATTTTTATGCTTTTCTTGTGAATATTATCAGTTGGTGAAATCTTCACCGACATCATTTTATTGTGTTCATGTTCATGTTCACGTTCGTGTTGATGTTTAATCGGTGGACGTGGTGACAATGACTTTGTCGTTCTCAATTGTTTTGAATTCTTTGATTCTGTCATCGAATTGCTTTTTTCTAATGTTGTTCTTCTTCTTGATGAAGACATTGGAGATGATGGTGACGGCGGTGATTCAACTTTATTTGGACTTAAAAGTTGATTTTTCTTTAACTTACTTGACACTGGACTTTGCTCATTTAATTGACGATGATTTGGTGATTCATCATCACGACGTGGACTTGTTTGAGCATCTTTTAAAGTTTTTTTCAGCTTCATTTTAATATTTTTATTACATTGATCGCAATCATCATCTTCATCACTATCGTCATCGTTGTTACATTTCTTCACGATTTCAACTTCTTTACAATTGCAAGCAGGTTGCAATTTTAAATATCGACTTGGCGACTTGTTGTTGCTGTTTTGTTGCCAATTTCCTCCTTCACTTGAATAATGAATATTGCTCGTCGTACGTCTTCTTATCGTCGTATCTGAGCTTGTTAATGTTTGCTATAAAAGTTTCTCATTGATTTTCGGTGGCGATGGAGCCGGAGGCACTGAAGAATTAGTGCTGGAATTTTTTGCTAATGTTTTATCGTCAAGAAGTTGGGTATTTTCATTGGTTTTCGAAGTCGTCGCTCCACTCTTTGGCTGTTCTTGTGATTGTTGTCCTTGCTGTGTCTTTTGTTGTTGTGTTGATGGTGGTGGAGCTGAAGTCTTTGATTGTCAATTTACAAGCTCAACTGACACAAATTTCTTGAGCCGATCCAAATACTGATTGTACAGTTCAATATCATTATGTCCAGCACCTTCCACCCACAATGGTTCAACGGGCTTTGAACATTTTTCATAAATGCTTAGACCATGTGAGAAGTCAATGACTTCATCTTCCGTTCCATGAATGACAAGGGTTGGCGACGTGATTTTTGAAACTTTATCGATGCTTGGAAATACATCAAAGAACCATGTTCGTTTTGTATTAGGAAATGCGACACGCATTCCAGACATTAAAGCAGAATGAAGGACGACGGCACCAACTTCATATCGACTTGCGAGATCAACTGTTGGAACTGTTCCAATGCTTTGGCCATACAAGATTATATTTTCGGGGCTTATTCCATAACGTGTTCTAGAAATGATTAATAGTGAAATAATCTTGCGATGAACTTTACAAAAATCATTTAATTTACCTTAATAAATGCCAGGCTGCATCAATATCTGCGTACAGATTCTTCTCCGATGGTTTTCCTGTGCTAGCCCCGTAACCCGAATAATCGTAACTAAATATATTGCAGTTAATTCTAGAACCTAATCCTAAGTAGAAGCTGCTCATTTGTCCCAAATCGACTGCGTTGCCATGTGAGAAAAGCAGCGTGTATCTTGCATTTGTACAGCATTTCACAAAAATACAAGCAATACGATTGCCACGAGATGTTCTCGTGTAGAAAGATTCAATTGTGTCTTTATCGCGTTCTGAATATGGCCATTCAGCTTTCTCGTTCAGTTGAAGTTGAAATTTCGATTTAATCTCTTCGTTTGGGATCAAACTGTAGGTTGGCTCTGGTGGTAAGAAGGCGAGTTTCGCTGCTATCCGACTTGGACACGGTGGACAGCAGAATAGGCAGCAAAGTTCACTTATACTGAAATGCAATAAAATAATAAAGAAAACGTGTTTAAATTTTCTATTTTGATAATATGCGTTGAAAGAAAAGAATTCAATAGAATTTCAGTTCTATGACTCAGACATCCAAGTGCGCTTAACCATTGGTGGATACTTAGAACAACAACAAATCGTAAAGACACAAAGGCAACCACAATGTTCATATGAAACAAAGACGGAAAGAAAGAAATTGTGTTTCGTTTAAGTGGAACACTTTACAAATAAGAGTGAAAATTCAGAAATTTTGACAGAAATTGAACAAAACATTTCCTGTTGTTGAAAGGAAATCAATCAATCATAACACTAAATATCAATTCGCTTTGGTTGAAATAACTTTTCGATTTTTCATTTGAAAATTATTCACTCTCGATTTTTATGACAAAATTTGAATATTTACCTCAAACCTTGCATGTTTATCTGCTTCTTCAATCTATCTAGACGACCCTAGTGTGACTGTGAGTTATGTTAGATCGCTTACAAACTGTTTATAAATTGAGTTAGAAATTGAAATTATTAGACGAGGGGAAAAAATGTTTTTGATTGTTTAATTTTGGTTGGTAACTCTGGATGGTTAAAACGAAGTCGATTGTGAAACAAGTTTCAAATATTTCAAGCGTTAACTTTTGTTCAACTTTATTGCGACTACTGAGGAAGTATTGATAGAATTTCCTCTATTTTTCATTACTTACATTTGCGTTGTCATTGATGATTATGATTAAAGTCTAAAATATATGTGAATGGTAATAAAAAATTAAATTTATGAATCAAGATTGATTTAAAGGCACTTTATAAATAAAGTTATAACTTGTTGTCAACTTGTTTCATTTTTACAATTCACATAGTTGTATACCATTATAAACATTAAAAAAAATCACGAGTGATTAATTTTGTTGCAAAGTTATTCAATTTAATTGAATTTGTTGGAAATTCTCAGTTAACTTCATTTGTAATGGGTAACAAATCATCACTTCTTCTAAGAGAAGAAGAAATTGCACAGATTCAAGAGGAAACTGGATGTGAGTTAGAAAATTCTCGATAGAATTCATCGACCTTGAACGATTTTTCAGTTTTCTAAGTTTATACATCATCAGCGATAAAATCATGCTCTTGACAAGCCATTAAGTTTTATGACAAAAGTAGAGAGTATTGTTCTTATTTTCATTATCTTATCTCATATCTACATAATGGAAAAGTTTAAAGAAATGTAACTTGATTCAGTGAACTTTAATTGTTTACATTTTTATTCGTTACGCATTTTATCAACACTCCCAATCATTGTTATTATCTTTTATGATATAAAAACTTCACACTCAATGACGACCAATCAAGTCAATTAAAGTGATTTAATGTTTTTTCAGTCACACCAAAACAAATCGAGCGCTTGTACTCGCGTTTCACGTCATTGGATCGCAGTGATTGTGGAACTTTGTCACGTGAAGATTTTCTGAGAATTCCCGAGCTTGCCATTAACCCATTATGCGATAGAATCGTACATTCATTCATTGCCGATTCAAATGATGATCGTGTCAACTTTAGACAGTTTATGCAAGTGCTGGCACGTTTCAGAACTATAAAGAAAGGCAAGGAAAACAAGTTGAACAGTCGAGAAGAAAAACTAAGATGTAAGTTTATGAATATTTCATGCATTTACTTGACCTCATTATTTTTTGTTCTGTTCAAAAGTTGCATTTAAAATGTACGATCTTGACGATGATGAAACAATTTCACGCGATGAACTTTTAAATATTCTTCACATGATGGTCGGAGCTAACATTAGTCAAGATCAACTTAACAGCATTGCTGAACGAACAATTGTCGAGGCTGATCAAAGTGGATCTGGAAAAATCACTTTTGAAGATTTCTGCAAGGCTTTGGAAAGAACTGATGTTGAACAAAAGATGTCGATTAGATTCCTTAACTAAATTAATTGTAAAGGTTGCTTATTAACAATTCTATGAAAACAAAAAATGCTTTGCTAATATTATTCGTTACTTAATTAATTTAAATGAATTTTAATCATTCCCAATTTTGATTTTCTTTTTCTTCTGTCAAATATCGAATTTAAAAGTTTGTCAAAAAGTAAATAAAAATATTTATCTAAATAAAAGTTGTTCAATGTCTGAAGTTTATCATTGGCAGGGAATTGATCCAATAAGAAGTCATTATCAAAGCTGAGCTTTTGTACAGCAGACATTTATTAGATAGACTAAACTTTTGTTTCTTTTATAATCTCTTGAAGCTTGCTGATAAAAAATTGTTCAACCTTTGACGCATTTGACTCTTGAACCTATAAAAACTCAATCAATCAACGAAACAATTTTTAATGGTTTACTTTCACCATTTTATTAAAGAAAAAAATAAATTCACATGATAAATCTTTAATAACAATTAAAATTAAAATTAAGCTGTTGATGAAACTGCAAGTTTCTTAAGATGTTCCATGAATACTTGAAGTGACACATCGTCAGTGAGAACGGGAGCTCCACCATCCTATAATTAAAAGAAAATCATCGTTAATTGTCTAATTGAATAAAAAATTAATGAAAATGAGTCTCACCTGTCCACCATACCCATACATCGTATTGTGTGTTTGTGATGGATTAACTTTCGACAACAAGAATCTCGCTTGCGATCCACCTTGTTCAGTGTCAATATAACGAGGCATTGGGAATCTCGTGCTTAAAATTTCTTGAGCATCGTCAACAGGCGCTTGTAAAAGTTGCTTGAAATTTTCATATTCTTTCATTTCCTGATATTTCATCGCTCGCCATTGTGCGATTGTCTCACCATGGAAAATTAAAATCTGGAAGAAAGTGTCCATGAGAAGAATCTTGTCAGGTTGGATGCTTGATGTGTCAAGGAGAACAGGTTCTGGTGGTCCATTAAATGAGTAACTGTAGAGAATTGGTTGAATCATAATCAGAGATTGCGTCAAATCTTCTCGCATTAGCATGTGACGATAGAAAGTCGTTTCATCCGGTGAATTATTGAAAACTTGTAAGAATTGTGAGCGACGTAAGTGATACATAAATTGTGGGAATAAACTGAAGTTCTCCGCCAAACGGAAGCTATTTGGATCATCTTTATTATATTCCCCAAACTTCTGACAAAGTCGAATAAGTTGACGATCAATCCAACGAAGAACATCAGGACCGTCATCAGATTCAGCACGATAAACAACCATTCGTGCCATGATGACGGCAGCTGCTTCTTGATCGAAACCAGCAGAAATAAATGGCAAGTTTGCTGTCGCATCAGCCCAATTTCTAGCAACAGTTGTCACGCGAATTCTTCGCTGTCCACTTGCATGTTGATATTGAGTTATGAATTGAATGCAACCGCGACCACCTTGAGGAATTGGCGCTGAATGTTGATTCGCAACTTCAAAGAAAATCGCCATTGTTGAGTTCGGTGAAACTGTGCAAAGCTTCCATGACACAGTGTTTCCCATCCCAACTTCATTCTCCGACACTGAAGCATTTTTAATGTTCAAAGACACACAAGATCCAATTCCACCTTCGATTTTTAATTCTCGTGAACATTTCACTTCGAAAGTTCCATTGAATCCCATCTTCAAATCATTCTTCTGATCAACAGCGAAAACACGTTGATATGTTTGTTTGAATAAAGAAGAGTTGAATGAATCGCCCATCACCATATGACCTCCAGTTGAATTGCTGCATTGCTTCATTTCCAACAAACCAGTTTGATCCAAAGCGCATGAATAAATATCAACGCAATGTCCATTAGTTGCTGTTCTCAATGCCAAAGCTTCGAAATGTTTAACAGCCTTCTTCATGAACTTTGCGTTGTCTTTATGAATGTCATGGTGAGAACGAATTGGATGTTTGAGTTCATCATCGACAACTTGCCCTGGACCTGTCGAACATGGACCACCAGTGAAGAGAAGAATTCTTGCGCCAGTGTTGGGATAAGTGCACTCAAGAAGCCCTACGGCAATTGATAGAGCTGCTCCAGTCGCTCTCAATGGACGTTTTCCTTGTGGAACTGGCCACGGATCACGTTGCATCTCACCAAGCATATCAGTCAATGACATGTCACATTTATGCAATGGCTGAAGAAATCGATTTGCTGGTGGTTGTTGAGGTTGATTCGGAATACGCATTTGAGCTTGTTGCTGTTGTGGGTTTTGTCCCGCAGCTGGAACTCTTCCAATTCCAAGCATATCTTGAATTTGTTTCGCTGTCAAATCTTTTGAGCCACGAAAAACGTAACTTTTGGAACATCCTTCAGTGCCAAGCTCATGAACTTGCACCATTTTACCGAAAGTTATTAAACCAACCAAAGCATTTGGTGGTAACAAGCTTAATGACATTTGTAAAGAGTCTTTGAGTGCTGTAAGTTCTTCTTCATCTAAGCAAGTATCGACAACGAATAAAAAGACTGGAGGCATGCAAGGAGCTCTTGAGATTGTGTATTCGATTGTACTGAAGCCTGGAATTAATTCAGCTGGTTGATGTTGTTCGGATATCGCTGCGTATTGTGGTGGAAACTGAAGTAAAATAAGGAAAAGTTATTCAAATGCTGAAGTTCCACGTCAATTTGTAACTTACGGGATTTCGTTGAAAACAAAAATTGCACACCCACAATTTCGCTCGATAATCAACCTGACACATTGGATTAAGAATGGCACGACATGTTGTTCTTGTACATAAGACTGGTTCGTACATTATTGGTGGCAAGTCGGGACGTTCCTTGAAAGGTTGATAGAGACAAGCAAGTGGAACAACTAATTTCGTTGCATCAACCCTACTCGATGGCCAAACATTCCAGGTAAAGCGAACTCCATCTCTATCTTCATTTTGCTGAATAAATTCTTCGTATGTTGACATTTTTACTTAGAATTCGATTTTTACTAATTTCTGTGGAATGTAAAAAGTTCCACATCAGACGTTTTCACAAATCACCGATTTTTTTGGTAACTTTTAGGAAATAGAGAGAAAATGTGTAAACTATGAGTTTAATTACTTTACCTCTTCCTTAAATTTGTTATATTTCTCTGTTAATATCAGGGATTATTATTTATTTTATATTAAAATTATTTTTTTGACTTCAAGTCGATGATTTCCAGTCACTACTTAGACGGAAATGAATAAAAGCCTTCGCTAGCAAACTGATAAGGTTGAGTATTGCTTGCAACTTATTTTACAACAAGGGGTAGAAATTTGTTGTGTCCCTTTAGAAGCTACGCCGTTAAGACATCGGTGGATTTCAATTGTAAACAATGCAACCTCAAATAGCAATAAATTAAATATTCAAATAAGTAACGAGGCAATTAACTGTAACTAAATCAAAATGTAAGTAATTTCATCCTCTAATGAAAACAGCATTCATGTACTCATTAATATTATTTTTCATCGCTTCAGGAACCATCAAAATAAATATTATGACAATTTACATCCCAACTCTGTTATATTCAGATTGGTACCACATCATGATTTAATGATTCATTCGAAGACAAAGAAACCATGTAAACCAAGAGAGTTGATTAAAGGATCGTCATATCCAGTTCCGATATTTACGATTAATTATGAGAGAAAATTGAAAGATCCAGCAATGAATTTAGTGTGGAAGAAAAAAGATTTTGCTGAGGAAAAGCGAATATTCCACCATCGTATTAAAGATGAAAAATGTTTATCTGGTGAAATTAGTGAAGGAATGATCAAATACATAGAGCAAATGGAATCCGACCCTGCTCCTAATGTTGGAACTGAATACGACTGGCATTTTGCAGGAGGAAATTTAATTGACCTAACTGTACATGACAAAAATTATCTCGCACAGCCTTCAATGTGTAGTAACTTCGGTGTACGATTATTGTCACCAAAATCACATTTTATGTACACAAAGAATGACTTTGACAGTGATGATTATCCTTACGAGATTATTTCAGCAGATTCTCAATTTCTTGCAATTCGCCATAAAAAATCTGCCAACTTCATCACCAAAAGCTTGATATCAAAAGATCAAGAAAATCTTGAAATAAATAAAAGATTTGAATGGATTAATGAAATCAGCGCTGCAACTTTGCAAGGAAATTGTTTTTCAGCTGCTGATGTTGATAATTCTTTACTTCAATATGATATTTCAAGGCAAACAGTTAACTTTCATCTTAAGCTACCAAATAATAACAGCACAGAGAATTATTTTCCATTGTCACTTCATACTATTGACGAGAATATTCTCAGTTATTTAAACATTAATTCATTGAACCTCGTTGATTCACGTGATGAACAAATTTATCCGTTTTTCGATAAAACAAATTTTTATATGAATTGCGAAGAGCTTTGTTATCATAAAACATCACTTCAAAGCAACGTTCTCTTCGTTGCCAGCTCACATTTGCTTTATGGAATTGATCTCAGAAAACCGAAGAATGTTTTATTTTACTGGAGTCATCAGCTCGTATCACAACCAACAATGATGAAGTCAATAAAGTTCGATGATGCTGAAGTTCTTTGTCTCTCTAGTAACCTTCAAGGCGACTTAAAAGTTTTCAATTGCGAAAACATGGGCAAAGCAAAAAAATGGTCGATAAATCGACTGCCTGTGAAACCAAAAAATATCAAACAATCTTACAATAAATTAAGAGAAAAAGGAAAATTATTGTTGTCAGATCCAATCAAACATCGAACTGAACTTTGTACAACAGGAATTGCAATGACAGCGGGAAAAAATGACTCATTTATTGTACTTTTCCAACAAAATTCTCTCGGTGATGTTTTCAAAAGTTTCTTAATGACTGAGGAAGATGAATTTTCAAACGAGACGCGATTGGTGAAGAATTTTGAACATTGGGATAAAGCTTTGAGTATGCAAAAAGATCCCAATAAAGAATTGACATTAGATGAACGTTTTGATAATCCTGAATTAATGTTTACTGATGTTTATCGTGTTGATGAGATGAAAAATATTTTGAACAATGAAGATCTGGAAATTGATTACGAGAATAACTTTCAAATGAGAAGGAATGAAAGTTGGCGGATTGACTTGGAAGAAGCAAAAGAATTTAAAGACATTTTGTCGCAAATTCTTCTTAACGAATGGGACTTGGATGAAGTAAACGTTCAGCAAAATCCTTTCTCAGAAGCTTTGTCAACAAACATAATACATGAAGAAAAGGCAATAGATAAAGTAAGACGCTGGTTGGATGATGATGTTCATCTAGAAGGTGAAACAATGGACACTTCCGAGTTAATTGAAACTTTTCAAGAAGATTTAAATGAAGAAATCAAAGAAGAATTTAATCAAGAAAAAAATGTTCCAAAAACGAAAAAATTATCACAACGTGTTAAAGGATTTTAAAATAAATAATATAATTTTAGATAATTGTTTATTCATCTTCAATATCTGTGTTTGTTTCTTGCCATTGTGGATCGAGTGGATTGATTTCACAATCAACAAGATTTCTTTCTTCTAAATATTTTGAAAACTGTTCCGGTATTGACATGAATTTGCGACACTTAGCTCGAAGTTGTCTCCAAGTCTCTTGATCATAATTTTTGTGATCTTTGACCATTTTCTTGTAGTTCAAACCGTATTTGTCGATTAAATAACTTATGAACTTAACTTGTCCTTTAGGAAGTCGAAATTTACTTTCTCTTAGCTCTTTTGCATCTCTTTCGAGTTTTTCAACAACTTCATGTTTCGGAGCTAATTCTGTCTTAGATTCATTTTCATTTTCAGAGTCAGTCTGATCTTCTTCAACAAAACCATTTTGAAGTTTCTTCACAAATTTAATTCTGTCCCTTTTGCTGTTTGGCAATCCCAATGATTTATTCACATCAAAAGCCAATCCCATATCATCAATGTTAGTTGTTAATGTTCTTCTTTTATCCATAGCATTTTTTATTTCAGGACTGAAAAGAAATTAGACGTGAATGAAGAATATTTCAAAATTATAAAAATAGTTTACCATTTGATTTTTCCAGTACTTTTCAATTTCTTTTTTAAGTTTTTACGATTCTTATCGTAATTGTACTTTTTTTGACGACGTGTTTTCAGGTTTCTGACCATTTTAATTTGAAATTATCAAGAACTTTTAATAAAGTGTAAACAACGTGTTGTTTTAAAAACAAATCTCTCATAGGGGTATACAGATGGTGATATTTGAAATCCCATAATACGTTACGTCACTTAAATTGATAAATACATATTTGTGAATATACCTATCTGAATATCAACACAAAAAATTTGTTTACAAATATCTAGGTAATTGAATGTAATAGATTAAGTGAAAAACTGTGAATATAAAAACTTGAAACGAAAACACTGAAATTAATTTTACTGATCTTTGTTTTATTCATAAAAAATTGAAATTTTACGAGTTTTGACCATTTTACTTCATTAGAATCAAAAACTTTTCCCTCTTCCTCACTATTGTGTGTTTTAAGGTAAAACTTTCACAACAGAAAAAGTTTCATTTTTTTTTTTACATTTTTCTTGATGTGACTAAACCGAAAGAAAATTAATTTTTTTTCTTTTGCTTTTTAAAATCCTTTTACTTACGTCTTATAATTTGATTCAACTTTTTTATATCAATTTTCAATTCATATTTCTTTATTTAAATTGTATTTATTCAATGTAATAATTTAGCAAACAAAATTACTTTAATTTCTTTTGTATCTACACACAGTAATTCAATCGGTCCGAATTAGTTTTTATTCTTTTATTATTTTCTTTATAGATTCACTTTGAAAAATTCTAGTTTTTCCATTGTTTTGCATAAACTGTTAAAAAAATACCACTTACAAAAAGGAGAACATTTTCATGTGATCGTTTAATTTTATATTTTTGTATGATTTCTCATATTGTGGGGAATCGAGTGTGGATGGTGGGGAAGAGAAGACGAGAAGACTTGAAGATGAAAAATGGACAAAAATTGATGAAAGACTATTTACAATTTGAAGAAATTATAAAGATTTCTGTCTTGAGATTAATTTCACAATGCTAAAACTTTTTTTATTTAAAATTGCATGTTTTTTAAGTCGCTGTTTAAAAAATTAATCAAAGATGTGATTGAGTTCAAGTTCAGATTTTCCTTTGTCTTGTTGCTAATCAATATTTTTTTAAAACTTTTCTTAGTTTATTATTATGAACTTAAAACTTGATCAAATTCTTTTAATTTTTCTCACAGAAAGCGAATGAATTTTTAGTTTTTGACTCTCGGATACTTAACTTGATGATTTTTCTTCTAATTTAATTTCTTCATCTTTCTTTTTTACACTTAGCCACTTTTTTTATATCTTGGAAACAAAAGATTACCATTAATTATTTATTTTCTGTTTCACTCAAGTAGAAATGTACAATTTACAAGAGAATTACGTGGGAGGATTTTTCTTCGGGTTGATAACAAAATTGCTCTATTTTTTCTTTTCTTTAATTTTTAATCATGACAATTCATTAAACTTGTTAAATTGTTTATCTTTTTTTTTCTTTTTGATTTTAAATGAGGTCATTTAAGAGCTAGGACAACTTAAAAACTACAAATTAAAAGCTAAAGATCTTTTGCAATGCTTCTTCACCGAAGCATTAGCAGATCAAAGAAGAAGAATAATAATTATAATAATAATCTAATTAACTAAAGTCCTAAATCTTTAACAAAAAGAATCGTAATGTTATGTAAAAAAGGCTTAATTTCATTAATTTGTAATACACGTTAACAAAAAACACGTCGTGCGCGCAATCAGAATCATAATTAGAGGAAGTTTGGAGGCTGCTTGTTTCTTTCTTCAATCTTTTTGATCTAAACTTAATAAGAAAGAAAATATCTGTCGTTACAAAATCATTTAAAGATTTAAATATTTACAAAAGTGAATCTATCATAAATATGAATGTCATTGAAACAGAATGAAAGAATTCTTTTAAATTACGAGATAATCAACGATTACTTCCAGAAGCTTTTTTCTTAGCCCATTTAAAGAACGGTAAAACAAAATTAAAGTCTCCCAATGATACATACAACTACAAGCAAGCATTTAATTGTTTTTCTTTCTTTTTCTGTCAATTGAATTTCGAAATTTGAAAAGTTGCTTTTTATCAACTTTAATTAATCAAAAGTTTCTTTCTTTAATTACTATTACTTGTGAACATATTTTCTTCTTCTTCTTTTTATTCTTTGTTACGAAACGTAAAAAAGTCTTTCGACTTTAAATCACGTCAATCATCATATATTGTTCTTAATAATTATGCATTAATGATAATCAGTTTCACATTTTTCTTTTCTTCTATAAGAAAAATCTTGCACATTTGTGTATGTATGAATTTGTGTGGGTGTTTGTGTTGTGTTTATGTATCTGCTTAGATGTGTGAATGGTGTGATAGATCCTTTCATTATATTTTATCTTTCTACAATCAATATTAATTTTTTCAAACTGTGTCTCCTTTCTTCTTTATACAAAAGTTAAATATTATTTCTTGGAATTTCATCCCACAGTTTCATTCCTTAATTGAGCAAAGCCTCCATACTGTAACCGTGATGTTGAATAGGTTGATGAACGAGTGGTGGCGGAAGGGAAGATGCTTTTTGCATGGGTCAGTCGAGGATCACAACAGATTCGCTTGCTGGCGTGTTGACATTAAGTGGCAGGTTGTTTGATAGCGATGTTCTCCGCCATGGCTTTCGCGCTAGTCGACGGAGTTCTATTACTGATAAGGTTCGTCGTGATCGTCTGGAAAATTAAATTTATAATAAAAAATCAATTTTATTTCACATCATTATTATGTTTACTTGTTAGTTTCTGTTGGTCTGAAATAGTAATCGTCAGGTGCATCCATCCAGCTGATGACTTGCTTTCGACCTGAACCAGAACGTGACATTTGAGCGATTTTAGGCTTTCCATTAAGCTTTTGAAATTAAAGACAGAGAATGGTAAGGAAAATGTTTTCAAAACAAGGATATTCAATTATCTTCTTACATGAGTTCGGGGTAAAGGTTGACCAGCAGCTGTAGCTGCTTCAATCATAGCTGCATACTGTTCTGGTGATGGTCGATAAGAGGGCATAGGATCTTTATTGGGCCGCTTTGTAGGTGGCGGCGGAACAGCAGCTGCAATGGAATTTTTGGTCAATACACCATCGTTTGAAATATGGTTGTTTGACTTACGATCCATTCCATTCATTTCATAAGCACGTCGCTTCCCAGATGGTGGTGCTAATGGTGCTGAGATAGGAGTCGCTGTTACTGCTGCTGGTAATGGCGGTAATGTCGGAGGTGTTGCCATGTTTGATGGTGTGATGATAGTGCAACCAATTGTGTTTGGAATTACAAACTTTTCCGGCTCAACAACCTTATTAGGAATACGATCGTAGAGTAAACTGCCATCGGGTGCTTTTGGAGGCTTTGGAAAGGCGACTTTTTCTGGCTTTGGCATCAGCTCTTTGGGCGTCAACTTAAGCCATTCACAACCTGTTGTCGCTGGATTTCCTAAACGATTTGCTATCAATGTCACACTGCCGCGATCTTTCTTCTTGTATTTAAGAAAAGCTTTCATGTCAGGGATGTTAATGTTAGCAATTGCTGTTGCGACTGGGGAGAAATAAAAAAACATTAAAAAAATGTTATGAGAAATCAAATTGAATTAATTTTACATTCTGTCTTCACTGTTGTTAAACTAATTGCATAGCTTGGCTGTCTTGCAGCTTTCTTCGACTTAATCACATTTCGACATAGTTTACGTGATAATTTTGTCGTGACGGTGGTTTGAAGATAAAATGCTGAACGCGTCTTCATAATGGGTCGCGGTGAGTTTGATCGTATAGCGATGCCATGTGCTTGCGCAAAATGTCTCACAAGATGAGTCTTTAATTTGAATTCCTTTCCGCAATTGCTGATTGTGCATCTGTTAATAGAAAGTTTGGAAAATATGATTAATATTAAATATTTATGTGGAAATGTGTTTAACTAAAGAATTAATTTGACGATCATAATTAAACTATGTAATTACCTATGTACCGTCAATTTTCACTTTAGTTTTAAAAGTTTAAAGTTTAACAAAGATTTTCACCCCTCGTTTCAAAGAATCTTAATGATTCGTACCCTCCCATTATCCTTGTTAAAAACTTAAACTTTAAGTATTAAAAAAATTGTTTTTAGGGGTAGACAGTAAGATAAATATTATTCTCACTTGTTACTCTGCCTGTGCGCTAACCTTTCTTCATCTTCATAATCCGATGCTGGACGTTTCTTAATCGCATCGACATCATTATCAGCTAAACGTGATGCGACTTTAAGGCCACCATATTTCTTCCAGTAGTTCCAACACGATTGACATACGCGACAGTTCATATGCGATGGACCCCACGAGTACCACTGTGAAGATGTCGTTGTGAAACATGATTCACACGGCTTATTGCCATTTAGTGCCAAGATCTCGTTGTTTCCATTCGCTGTGCCGTTAAGAAGACTATTCTTATTGTTATTGTTGTTTGTTATAAGAGCCGGATTAGGTTTGGTGTAATTAGGAATGTAAACTTGTTTCAACTTCGATTCTGCTTCGACTGCTTTAACACGCTTTTGTTGAACATAACGATCAGTTGTCTTCCACATGTAATAGTATTCGACAATATTTTTCAAAGTTTTCCATGGGAGCTGTTGAATAGCAATTTAAATTTCAATTTAAGTTTTATTTAAATATTATTAAACAGAAATAAATCTTCATTGATTTTTACACAATGTTTCACTCACAAAGTCATTTCGAATGTCGTTGAAGTCTTTTCCATATTTGTCAAGTGCTTCTTCGAATAAATTCGCTTCTGATGCACTCCACTCTTCCATTTCATCGCGACACAAAACAGGACCACTTGACGGTACCAGTGAGCACATTGCTGTTTCAATTGAATAACTGTGCTTGTGAAGTGTGTCCATGGCGTGGAACTAAATGAAAAAGAAATTGATTAATGAAATAATTTCAGTTTTTAATTTTAAGTTACTTACCAGTGTTATATCACGACTAGCAGCGGCTGCTGACATGTGTAGGGACGGTTGTTTAACAGAACTGCTACAGTCTAGAGCCCGAGCAAATGTACCAACACTTCTCGACACCACCAAAAATTGATCGATCTTTCTATCGGTCAAGCTATGATGTGGTGTCCACACAAGTGTTTCCAGCTCTTCGAGATTTCTCTCATCTAATTCACCTTCTTTCAGTAGATGTTGCAGTTCTGTTTGATATCGACTACCTACACGTATTTCACCTTTGTCGGCTAAGAGAGTCTTTTGGGTTGGATCGAAAACGAGACAGTAGAAAAATGTATCCTGAAATAAAAGCCACAAAAAAAGGTAAACAAAAACAAATGAAAATTTATTGAAAATATATTTAAATTCTTTCTAAGAAAAGCGAGTGTTTCAATGGAATTTCAAACAGTACTGCGCACTCACGTCTTTATTTAAATAACTAAGCAGCGATTCCTCCTCGTTGAGCAGCGTCACCGAACATTTGCCTCGGATATGTGTGGCGGGCAGAGTTTCGACTTGACGCGATAGGAACAACTCACGATGTTTCATCTGGTGCTTTTGCTTGGTGCTCAGTTCTGATTTATCGGTGCCATTACTGGTGGCATTGTTGCGTTGTTCTTCTTCAAGGGCAGCTGAAAGAAAATAAAAACAAATAGAATAAATCATCGAGATTTAAAATATTCTTGGAATATTTTCATAGGTAGAAATTTCAGAAGTTTATTCTGGTAGATTCAAATTTTCCTTCATTTAAATAAACTTTTTCAGTATTAAGCTTCTTAAAGCTCTCCCTACGATATTTTTTAAACAGTTTCGAAGTTCAAGTTGAACAACATTTTGTTGGCTTGTTTTCAAGTTCATATTAACACCTCTGATCGTAATTGATAACCGATAATTGCAGTGTGATAAATCACTTTCAACTTAATTAATTATTTAATTGGCTGCAATTAAAAAAGAAAACGCTTTTCATTCTCGATTTCAATTTGTTGAGCTTTTCTGTTTAAAAACAAAAAATCGCACGAAATATTGTTGGTGCGAACCAGAGATAAAAATATTTACCAACCAAAAAAAAAACCACAGAAACATTAATGTGTGGCATCATGATGTTGCGAGATTTTATTCATTTTTTTTATGAATTTTATATATTTTAAAACAATCATTTAAATATCTGGAAGCCAATTGCGGGAAAAATTTCATTTGGGGCCAAAAAAAACTCGATGGTTATAGATATTTTTGAGGGTTGATGAATGAAATAAAATTCCCACGCCCACTTTCACTGATTAATCGCTGATGATGAAGTTTACACGACCCTTTTTTGGAGTGCAAACATTTTTTTATTCATGACATGATAGCATATCAAGTTTAAGCCGTGAGAAAGAAATTCTAAATTCTATAGAGTTTTTCCCTTTTTTCCATCAAATATCGAATATCGAACATGCGAATTAAAAATAAATTAAAATTTAAAACAATTTTTTTAAACGTCAAGCCAAAAACAGTGAAAATTTCACGTTAAAGAGGGGAAAGCATAGAAAAAACATTTAATTGCCGTTTACTTACTCAAAGCTTGCTTTCAATGACTGTTAATGAACTTTCCATCATCATTGAGGTGAAAATTGATTTAATTAACAATTCAAGATTTAGATTATGGATTCATTCATTGTCGTTATGGATAATTAATCTCAATTTCATAGAATAAGAATTTCTCGGTATTTAATGCCATTGACTTGCTTTAAAGCATTAAAAATGTGATGATATCTGCTTAGATTTAATATTTCCGTCTTATCGGTCATTAATTCATTAATTATTAATAGCTGACAATAATATTTTCAATATTTTCAACTGAAACATGACAACATTACCTTCTAGCAATAAATAATTATTTCATGAAACTGCTAAAATTCAATAAATTTGCCAACGGCCTGTTGTTGTTAGTTTTGATGCCACAATAAAAATTAGTCTTGTATGAGACTAATTATAACGCAAACATTTATTTAATTCGCTCATGAACCAAGCGAATATATCAAATATTGAGTAAAAATTACTTTCCAATATCATCTCGTGTTAAAATCGTAAATGCAGTGAAAATTGTGAATTAAAACTCACTTGGGGTTTCTCAAAATGTATTCATATTTAAATAGGTGCATAGTTCAAATACTAGAGAATAGTTTTCAGCATCATCTTTTGCCAACAATTATAAGTTTTGTTTTTTGATCTCGCACCACATTGGAAAAGCTTGAGCCAAGAATAAAATTTATTGTTTCTACATTTTAACTTTTATTTTTATTGCTTTATCGCAATTGCAGTTTGGTGCAGTGGAGAGGCCGCGAGCGATTGAAGCGATAAATTTTCCCTCTACACCCTGATGAAGTGCTTCTGTAGCTATTTTTTCTTCATTCCTCCTTTTCTTGTTGATGGTGAAGTGAAGCGCAAAAATGGGAAAATAAAAAAAACTAAATAAAGATACGACTCGAGTGCATACACAACAAACCAGATATGCAAAATTCATATGCAACCGATGTATATATTTTGTTATTGATATTATTCTAAAGCTTCTCTATTTACATCGTCATCGAAAGTAGTTTGAGGAACATTTGGCAGGGTGAACGAGAGAGGCAGATAGAGAGAAAGAAGGAGAGATGAAGAGAAAAGGAAAACTTAAAAATAATGAAAATTGCATCCGATCGAATGCGCTAAACCTGCATTTGTTTTGTATAATAGAAGTTTGGGGGGTATGAAGTGGGTGGATGAGCGATGGAAAGAAATTCTATGTGTGTGTGTGGATTTGTATGCTTGTAAAAAGACATGAACATGAAACGTTCAAATGTAAATGTTTTCCCAGGCGAATTTCGAGGAATAAAAAGAAATTGAAGATTTGAATATAATGTGATTCTTTTGATTGAAATAATTAAACCTTTTATGATTATTATATTTAGATAAAACAAATGTTATTTTAAGCTTTTTCATAGGCTTTGGTTATTTGATGAAAGCTTTCTTTTATTTTTGAACGGAATTCTCAAGGTATAAAATAGCTGAGTGAGTAGGTTGTGTTTGTTATATGTTCTAAATTAAATTAGGTTCCTATTTTGATGATATTTACAAGAAAATTCTGTTTTCGGAAAAGAAAAATTCAACAAAGCGGATAGAACATTTCACATTATTTTCCTATCTACCCACACTTTCCACCTCACCCCAATTCTTTATATGGCATTGTATTGATATTTCTTATTTCATCTCCTTATATTTGAATGGAAAAGCAAGAAATCTCACATCTCGTTTTCATTTCTTTTTAAAGTTCATGTCAAATGGGGGAAATGTTTGTAAATATTTGCTTTGCCACCATGTCATAGCATTGACGCATCCTTGAGAGAATATTAAGTGAAAATATATTGAAAATTAATAAAAAATAGAAATACTTCAAGTTGATCTCTTTTCAAGGATACTTTCGAAAATTCCTTTTTAAGCATGCAACTCGGATTTTGACTTTCTCTGTGTACCACTCGTTATCCTATGAGACAAGCTAACCGATACACTCATTTTAATGGAAATTTATTCTGCATGTATATACACATATTTTTTTTGTTTCTATTTCCACCCTCACTTACCCTCATTCCTTCACTCCCGCACCACCAAAATTTCCATCTCGGAAAATCATCTCGTCGAGAGGAAAGTTTTTTCAACTCTCACATACACCACCAACACACGCTTACGAAAGGTTTACTTGCTTTTCAACTCATCCTATGTTTTAATGTTTATTTTGCTGTCGAGTGGGCGGAGATGTGGATCGTCATGAACCTTAACATATTTAATAACTTCTTTTTTTTTCAATTTACAAAAATATTTACGAAAATATTTAATTGTATCATTGATAGCACTTAAATTTTATCATTATCCGTTTAATGCTCTAAGATGACAAGACTTTCGAATTCTTACTTGGCCATTTGTGGAAAATTCAAATGAAAAATTCTCAAACAAAACTCACACAAAATGGAGATTGAAAAACATTATACATCCAGCGACTGTGAAAAAATCGTTAAGTGTGGGTGGGATTTCCACCCACTCTCAACTTCAAGCCATCTTCACCGTCCTCGATACTTGTAGAAAAGGAAGGCAAAGTTCTATTTCGTCGCGTTACTTTTGGGAATCAGTCATTTCAAGGAGTGACTTTCGATATACATAAATTTTGATGCATGACATGTTGGGGGTTGAAGCGGTCAAAAGTCAAAACAAAACCGAAATATGAAATATAACTTAGCTTTATAACTTCAACTAAAGATTGTTCATTTCCTTGTGTAAAAGTTTTATGAAAATTTCTCATCATTGTCCTGGTAAAAACAATTAAATTATAATTTCTCTATAAGCATAAAATTCTATTAAAAAAAAGTAAAAATTCTTGCACCATAAACATTTACAAACTTCCTTACTCTTCGTTTTTAATAATCGAAAAACAAATAACTTTAATGAACTTTATGATTGCGACAATCTCACCGACCACAAAACATTGAAAGTCACGCCATTCAAACTTTTGCATGCCAAAAGGCAACTTCATCGTCCAGTAAACATAAAAAACAATATAATATCATCAATTCTGATACAAAAGTCGCGTTTTACAACGGCACAGCGAGCTGTTTACACCACATTAGCATAATATAAAAGAACCCTAGTTGGATAAACTAGAAACAAGTCAAATGGCTGCAAATCGATGACGATTACGTAATGTTGTGTGTACTTGGAAGTCAACAAGATTCTCAACGTGGTTCTTTTTAAATCACAACATGACGTCGATAGACGATGCCGATAGTTGTTGTTACCCTTAAGGGCGGTCTTTATGAAATGACAGAAAAAGTAACAATCGAATTGAGATTTTTAAAAAGATTTTTATTATAATAAGAAAACAACAGCAAGCAACATAATTCGTGGAGAAATGAATTGTCAGCAGACAGGTGAGTAAACGATTGCATTGATGACGAAGAACATTAGGTTTGATACAACTTTTATGCGACCACAATGTCAGCGAACAAATTGTTGGCAAATATGTAAATGACATTTAACAATGAAACACGTTGAAAAAAACATGAAATCGAATTTCAAAATGACACTTGTTGTCTCTTAATTCATTTTTTTTAGCTTCAAAAGTTTCAAAGTAATAAAATTAAAACCAATTAATTCAAATGAGGCATCAAAAGTGAAAGAAAAAAAATTCAAACAATTCTGTTGCGCAAAACTTGGCGAAAAGTATCAATAAAGAACCCAACAACAAACAAAAGTGTTTGCTTGTTGCCTTCCTGTTTCAAGCTTTTTTTTCCTGGCAAAAAGCTAATGGCTTCTGTTGATTATTTCTCATCTGAATCTCATGCTATTTTCTCATTGTGTCTGGTCCTTTATTTAGAAAAGGAAACAAATGGTAGCGCAATTTCAGAAAATATTTCATTCCTTTCTTACCCGAGAATTGTTCGAAAGAATGTAAAAATTTTAATATTCAGGAGATGACTCAGTGAGGGCTTTCAATTTCAGATGGAGTTTTTCATTTCAATTTCGGTTGTCGCAAACGCACTAAATTCTCATTTCATTTATGTTTTTGTTTCCATTTGCAAACGAGTTAAATACATATAGTGGAAAATTGATAAGAATGAAAACTTTTAGCATTTTCCACATATCGGAAAACAAAAACTTATACAATGAATGCATGTTATGTTATTTGATCGTTTTTGGGACAACTTTAAAGAAATGTTAAGAAATCAAAAACAACTTTAACTTCTAAAGAACAAAAATGATGTCCTAAAGCTTAAAATGTGGTTTGAGTTTGACTTGTCCTGGAAAAAACTTATCGATTTTTATTTCTTTATTTTGTACGCTTTTCCAGTACAAAAATTATCTGATGGCATTGTACAAATCAACAAATGCTTTTAACTAGAAAAATGAAATGAAAAAAACAGACAAACATTTTTTTCACTAAAATTTCCTTTTCTATCTTCCAATTTTGCTATGGATGAGAATTTTCATTTCATTGCTGTTGGTCTCACGCAAATATGTGTGAAATAGAGAATAGCGACGAGGTTATATTTATTTTATTATTTTTTTTTGGAGGCAAAGGACGAGAAAGAAAATTCACCCACACACACACGCAAAACACATCTCGCATTCTTTCACTCGGCGTCGGTTTTTCTCGGTGGAATTTAATAATTTTTCGAGGTCTGATAGAGAGTAGGAGAAGGAGTGAGTGAGTGGGAAAGAAAGAAAGTTAATTAGATGATGGTAGATCTCATATCGCCATAGTTAAGCACAGTAAACAACTCTTTATGTTTGGTTGAAGGTTGATATTATCTTTTGAAATGGGTGATTTTAAAATATTATACCGAAACACCCTGAAAATCCACCAATGTTGAAAAAAAAACAATATGAGAAAGCATTGTGAGCGTAGATGTTCTGAAAGTTCAATGGAGTGAGCGGAAAAAGGAGAAAGGAGGGAAAAAATGTTGAGATGAAAAATGGTGGAAATCTGTTATGGAAATGGTTAAAGTGTGAGTTTGTCTCCACTGAGTGAGGTTGGAATTGTTGATGTTAAGCGAAATGGTGGCAAAAAAAGCTTCCTTTTTTCTCTCTTTATGTATTTTTTCCAAAACCCAACTCGTCCTTTTTTATCCTAACTCGTTGCCCAGACTTCAAACTGATATTGTAATCTTTTATTCGACGTAAAAAGGAAATATTGAAGGATTTGTAATCAAATTAAGTTCAAGTAGGTGTTGTTATTTCAACACCTTATGAAACAAGAATGTGACGAGTTGCATCATCAATTAAATCATTTGATCTGCGAAGCCATATCAACTTTACCAAATGGAATTTTCGGCTCAGGTCTCATTTAGCAGGTTAAATTTCAATCCTATCCTAACTCACGTTTTCATGATTGAAACAAATCGAAGAAAAACTGTTTCCAAATAATCTATTTTTAAGCGGAAAAGCTTAAAAACAAATGACATATCGATTCTTCTTTTATGTATCAAATTTCACGCCTATTTTAACATTTAATGTAACCAGCAATGTCATATGATCTTCTTGCAAACTATTGATTCTACTTTAAGTATTACTCGCTTCCAATAATTCCTTAACGAACTTCTAATAAAGTTTTTCCAAGAATTTTTCTTCATTCTTTGCCATATCGATGCTTCATACTTGTTAACCAAATTTCATTTGTAGTTTTCCCATCTTCAGATCATGATACAATTATATTTACTTGAATATGTGTAGGTGGAAAATCTCAACAAATATTTTCTCATTTATTTGCAGCGCAGGGAAGTAGAAGGGAAAAAAATATCGATGACAAGAAAATCGCACAAAATGAAATCAGAAAGAAATTAAAGGATATTTAAAGAACTTTCAGATTGAGGAAACTGAAGTTCACCGAAGCCATGTGGTTGATCATTATGCGACTCTACGAGAATAGTATTGTTTTACAGAAGTTTTATATGTAACATCTCTACTCTCTTCCCACCTTCACTAACTTTATGTGGCGGTGTACAGCTCCAAAGTGTTTATTTCCCGGGATTTTCCACCCACATTTTCTACTCCGACACCATTTCACAAAATATGCAATAGGAAAATAACTTTTTTTATGCAATTGTATTCGATGTCGGTTAAAGTAGAAAGCATTTGAATACACCATGGGAAATGACGAACTCCAAAGTGACTCGTTCATCCATAGCAATAACAATTAGAAGCTTCTCATTAATCTTTATCGAAGGAAGTTATGATTCCATGTGTGCCCATCGTCAGAGGACATAATACACGAAGTTTTGTGGGAAAATTTAGGATTCAAGTCAACAGAAAAGATAGCTAAGGCTTAATCGATGTGTATATGTTGCGAATATGAAAGAAATTCATGAAAAATTGATCAACATGGAACTAGAATCTATGCGTATAACGAAGTTTATACGAAATATTGCATTTATTTACGTTTATCCCCAAACAATGTTTTTTCTATGTACGCTTTATGACCAAAGTTCCATTTCAAAAGCACCAGAACAGGGGATTTTCTGGCTGCAAATACATCTCCAAAACAAAACATCATCCCACCCCAATCATACTCTAATACACCTCCAATGTCTCTCCACGACATGTTTCCGAAAACTAGGAAATTTTGTGCAACCAAACTTTTGTTGTGTTCATCTCGATTCGCCTTTTGATACACATATGGTTCAGGCCACCTTTTTTCCCCAAAAATGGATAACACGTACGCACATGAAATTTTGCTGATGGAGACGACGAAGCGTGGGTGGTTAACATGAGAAGGACGAGTGAAAAATCGATAAATGAAAACTGTCTTTTTCAAATCTCTCTCTTTCTGCTATTTATTCGCCGAGCTCATGTCACATACCCACACAAATGTACACAAGTACATGAAGTTCTAGATACAACAAACAGAAAACAACCGCTTTTACTAATTGCAGAAAGCAATAGACTCAAAACTAAATCTAAATTTCAAATGAAAGTTGGAAAACAAATCTTTAGTCTTTGCAATTATGATTCAAATATTTAATTCATATTTATTGTGGAACTTTCACGTACAACATTGGATTCAAATATGATTTGTTGTTCAAAGGTTCTGATCTTAAATTAGTTATTGTTAAACTTCCAATGCATACTTTCGAATGTTATTTCAGAAGTAATTATGCAAAACCCAATTAAAATGAAATTTAAAACTGTTTCAAGTCATTTCTGTCAAATTCTGCATTTGTAATAAAAATAAATGAATTAACTTTCGTCATTCAAAGAGATTATTTATTGTTAAAAAATTCTCACTCATTTCATTACTTTTTATCATTTTACACTTTTCCTGCTACCGTTAAGTGTGTTAAGCGTGAAATGTTTACATTTTTATTGTGCTATAAATTATTTCGCAAATATCTTTTATTCTTCTTGATTATTGCGTTGAAATGATTCGATAAGATTAATTTTTATTCTTTTGAGACAGAATAAAAACCACAAACAAATGTAACTGGAACTTCTGATACTTCTCATCAATCTCAATCATTATGATAATAATTTATATCGTGGTCGGAAAAATTGATGAAATTTCAACAGTAAACTTGTTTCAAGTTATTTTACACAAGATTCTATTAGTCAGCGATTATTTCGATTGCTTCAACATTTCAGAATATTTGTTCAGTGTTTCCTCAACCGTGCAGTTTACGTTCAAATAAAACGTGCTTTTATGAGCTTCGAAATGCTTCTTTCAACATTTTTTTCTTTCTTATTTATAGCACGATGTTAAAATTATCTGATATATACCTTAAGTTCAACTGTGGGGTAAGTAAAAACAAAGAGACTATAAAGTCAATTAAGTTCTTTGAAAACAACAAATTAGTAATTTCTTTAATTTCACTACAAATCTCATTTAACAATGTATTGTTATTAATTTATGAATTAGGTATTTATTATTAGAAATTGCATATCTAATTTGAAGTAATGACAAATTAATAAGTTTGAACATTCTTCGATGTTTCGACGAATACAAAACAGAGACAGATAACAAGTTACTGTCGGTTATTAGCTTCAACCCTCACTGAAATTTCAATTTCCTGAATGCCAGTGACATCAACCAACATACGAGTTTGAGAATAGCGAAGTCTCCGAAACAACAAGGATGAAAATAATTACAGAATTTTATGTCAATTTCTGAATGTTAAGAAGGGGAAAATAAATTCAAATATCAACCAACTGGTCAACGACTAAGTAATATAATTCGCGCGTCAGTTCCAATAGTTTCAATTTCATTTCTTTTCTCTTCCACCATTAAAAATGTGTATTCTCTGCGTGTTATGAATAATTCATTAACGATGTTGAGACACCGGTTCGGATTCAATTCAATTGCGACTGTATTTGTTAAGTTACGATTTCTTAATGAAATATTTAATTATTTATTTTCTTTAACTTTTCATTTTAAGGTTTGTTTAAATAGTGAATGAAGTTTTCGATGTTCTGAGATAACAAAACAGATCGCACGAGGAAAGATAATTTACGTTAGTTCGTTGTTAGATGTCAGATGTTCTCAACCTTTTATCATCATGCAAAATAATTTCATTTCTTCGGTTTCAAATTATTCTCATAGCATTAAATAAAAAGTACCGCAACATAACAGTTATGCAGCGCTGTCCAAGGACAAAAACTATGTAGCATTAAACAAAAAACCAACACAAATGTATTAGAGAAATCATGTTAACTTGTCGATGTGTTTTCTTGATGTTTAACATTTCATGTTTTCTATCAGAATTAATATTGAATGTAACTTTACTTACATAATGCTAACATTTTTTTAATTAATTAATATTTAAAATGAAATCTCAATTAACACGATAATTATTATGTTAAATAACTTTTTTTGTTTCTGTTTGGATTTTATGCATTTTATGCAAGCAACAGAAGAGGAAAATATAAAACTCAATGAACATCTCAAATAAATGTTCTTCTTCAACTTAATCATCAACCTTACAAAGGTCTTTAACACGATCTCATAAAAAGAAATATAGAACTATAAAACTTCATTGAAAGTGTTTGTAAGTATCAAGATCAGTAGTGGTACAGTCACCGAAAATATTTCCCATCGCCTTCTTACACTTCCCATCCGCACATGGCTCTCCATTTAATATTCAATTCGGAAAAGAAAACTAGAAAAGAACAAACGGTTTTCTGCTTCGTTGTGCGCTTGCTTTTAATATACCAACAAGAAAAAAATGAGAATTTTTAAGAATATAAAAATGGTTTGTTTTAGCGTCTTGAATTTTTCTTTCCTTTTTTCCTTTGTTTTTTTTTTCTTGCCTGATTCGTTAAATTTCTTATAAGAGTAAGAACGATATTTTATTGAGAAGGCAATGTTATAACAAACCAACAACTTATCTTGGCATTGAAAAGTGTTTAAATGGCTGGGCTGTGACGTTGAAATTACAATTCTCATCGAATAGTGAACATTTAAATGTAGTTCAACCCGTCATTGGAATTGATCGCGATCGTAATAAACATGATTCGATAATTACCTATAGCTGGGTCTAGCACCGCTTGCGCTGCCTGTTCTTCACTCACAGGCGTTTTTAGCCACATTTTTTTCAGCTTCATTGCTACCGGTGAATCTGAGTCTTCGGCTGTTGCCACTAGAAATGTTACAAGAGATAAATCATATCGGTTTTTATGGGATTTTGTTTTCATACTTTTATACAAATCTAAAAGCAACGTAATTGATCGTTCTACAATACTTATTAAAAAAAATAAAGAAAAGAAAAAAGTAAAAAAAAGGAAAATAATCTGTAATCAAATCATCTACAGAACTCATTAAAATCATTTCTCCATGCACGAATGTGTTTTCGTTTATTCTTATTCGGGACGCTTTAATCATCATTTACGAGAATAGTCCAACAGACTTTTTAATGATGATCCATATCGTTTCAGACGATGTTCATTTTCGCTATCAACTATTAAAGTTGAACGAGCACCGAAAACAAGAAGCATAATAAATGGATGTATCTACAAAATATCGAAAAGATATCGGTCTAAGAAACAATACACACAGAGAGAGAGCTTTAAAAAGAGATTGAAAATAACGATGGGCGAGGGAGACGACGAAAGAAGAACATAAAAAGAAGTTAAGAAGAAGAAGTTTTCATTTCATTTCAAGAATCTCTCCTTATTTGCCATATACACAAAGCTGCGACGAAGCTACAATAACGATGAATATTTTCTTATTACATTTTTTCCCTTAAAAAAATCATTCTTCAGAGACTCAACGAGATCCTAAGTTTTTCCATCGAGTGATTTATGTTTTTTTAAGGAAAACATCGTAAGAGAGTTTTTTCCTTTGAGGTAAAGTTTCGTAAGTCTCAAGTAGTTTTCAAGATATTTACCAATGCTCACATTTGTAAAGTTGAAAGAACTCATGTAAATTCAAATTTAAAAACTTGCCATCTTTTCTAATTTTGTCTTTTTTTAATCAAGAAATAAAGTTTGGATACTTAAGGATTCATTTCAAACGGTGTTGTTGATGTTTTTTTTAACACCCACACATCTGTTTTCTCAGAATACGCAACATTTTATCAGGTGAATCTGTTTGTTGGGATGTAAGAAAACTTTTTTGACACTTTCAACATCTTATCCTTGTTGAAGTGAAAAAATAACATTTTCAAGTTCATAAACTCTTTTTACTAACATGACAGTGGTGGCAAATGTTCCCCTCAAACAATCTTAAATCTGACTTTCCTTCTCATGCGATTTTCGGTTTCCTTTAAACAACAACAATGCGAACTCTTTATTTTTTCGTAGAAACTTCTTCACATCAACAACAGACATCGATGACGAGGAATGTTGAAGAAGGCAAACATGTCAGTTAGAAAATTGAAGGCACAAGGACACATCGAAAGAAAAGCACCATTTCAAAGTCCTTGAACTATAAGTGTTGGAATTGAGATCGGAAATGCGAGAAGATGAAAAACATCCGAAGTTTCTAAGGAAACGAGATTATCATTGAAGCATCCTCTTTTCCAGGATAATCGAGAATTTTTTCTTTAAGCTAACTTTGTGAGTGCAATGATAACTTCTGTGACATGACACTTTTCTGTTAGATATCAGCAATGGAACAACAATAAATGAATGTTCAAAGAAATCAAAATTAAATCTGCATTAAACATATGTAAATACATACAGATGAGATGAACAAATGTTTATGCACATGAGTTGGTTGGATGTGAAGTCGAAAACGAATGAAATTATGGATATATTTATCTTTTCTATAAACTTCATTTGTACTAGATAGCATCAAATGGGTGAAAATGGGGAGTATGAAGGTGGAAAGTGATGACATGGAAAGAGGGAAAAAAGAATAACCTACACCTAGCAATAATACGAATATTTCTATATACAAAAAGCATTTCGAGGGTGGCATTTGCTGTTATAAAACGAACAGAAGTGTGGGATGCAAAGAGAAGGGCGTAAAAAAGTTTAGGTAGTAGCGGAATGAGGGGGCAATGGAAGAGCGAAACATCACAGAGCTGTGCGACGAAGATGATGAAAAAAAAAACCGTACACACGCTTTTGCTTGATATCACCACGAAAACAGAAAAAATAAGCCAACCCCGAGAATACATTTCTGGATTTCTGCTGCTCCGAATTGGGGATGTTTTTTGGGATTGAAAGTGGTATGAGCAGCGGCTTTTGTATGTGATGTGGTGTGGAATGGTTAGGTTACTATGGGAACCAAAGTGGGTGTTTATTTTCGACGGTGAAGTTTGGTTGGGGGGAGGTGAGAGTTTTAGATTCGTGGAGATTCATAGATGGTGGCAGCATCACAGTGGCTCTATAATCGCCGGATATATAAGTACCATCATATGTATCGTTTATTTTAAAATTAAAGGAATTTTCGGTGTGATGATGCATCATCGGAACATAAATCTACCCACACACACATCTCAACACCCATTCCAACTCCCGGATACTTGGTTGAAACTAAAGCTAAAACTGCATGAACATGATAACATTATTTTTAATCAAATATTGTGCTTTTGTGTTGGATATTATGTTTATTGTGTCCACCTCAGCTGCCATCTCAACGGGATTATCATGGAAACAAGTTTACATAGCAAAACACATCAAAAATAAACAATCACGACGCATATTAATTAAACTTCATATATGAAAAGTTTCCAAAACGCATCTTGATCGTTGCAGTTTAATTGATTAGGAGTTTTTAAGGATGTTTTATGATGAAATATTCTGCATCAAGCATAATTTTATTAAATTGAAAAGTTTCTAGCAAAGACAAAAGATTAACTTTAAGTTGGCTTCATGCAATTGTGAAAATGTATGAAATATTGATAACTCAGCAAAATGATTTTGAAAAGTATTTAAATAAAATTTCCTTACGACTCTATAGCTAATAATTACAGGAAATAATTCAAACATAATTAATTTTACTGCATTTCAATTCAGATTAATGAAAATTCCTTTGATGATATTGCACTTGTGATATTGACACATCTATCGAAGATCTTACAAACTCAAACGATTTTGTTACATTTGAAAGTTGAAAACATTACCTTGAGGGTAATTCAAACTTAATATCGTCATTTGATGTTTCAAAAGTAAACGTTAAATAACTTTGATAATAAACGCATTGAAAGTTCTAAGAATGAAACGAAAATGTCTGATTGGTTAGAAACTGTTTATATGAATTCTCCACATGTAATCGATAGCTTATAAGATCTAAAGCTATCAAATTTTAATTAGAAAACGATGTTCTAAACTTGAAGAAAACTTATATAAATCTTTACTCTATGTATGATCATAAACACATTCATCGATTTTCTTTGTATGAATGTGCAGTCTAAAATCATACAATAAACTGTGTACCACAAACGCTTTATTTAAGTAAGTCTTTAACCTTATTATGTTCTTCTTTTCTGATGTCTAAGTAGATAAGAAAGTTGCGACAATGCGTGGGATTTTCTCTTCCTTTAATATTTACTCAATTTGCTTTTGATGAATATTTCTATCATTTTTCTTCATTCTGTCTTCCCAAAACTCAGAGCATCGTTGGAAAGAAACAAAAATGAAAGCACAGAAAGCAACAAGAATCGTAGTAAGTGAAACTAAACAGTAAGAATTTAAAACCTTTCTCAAGGATTTTCGTCTTCCATTTAGGCTAAAAGATGCGAATCTTGAGTTCTTTTTTTGTCGTCAAGAGTCATTAATTTAAATATTTCAACACCTGAGTCGAGAAGGTTGCCAACCACACTATGCAAAGCTTTTTTTCATGTGATGTGATACGTTTTTTTGCATGATTGTCTCAGCATTAAAAAAATTTGTGGAAAGGCATTTGAGGGCTGTGAAAATTCATTCATACAATGAGTTGAAGGTAAAGGCACAATCTAAATGCTACTGAAATGACATCGTCCACCTTACATGAACATTCATAAGCTACTAATTAAAAGTAATGATAACTCAGGGAAATTTTTCATTCCACCGGACTTCCCTTCAGGATCCATTTGAAACTACTGTAATTCCCATTCACTTTAATTAAAAACATATTCTCGCTCTCTCTCTCCCACTCTGCCTTTTCTGATTACTTAACTGAATTCGATTCAATGCAACAAGAACAGTTGTTTTAAAAATAATTTTACAAAACAAGGCTTAAAAAAGAAGTCATCAAATGTATAATATTGAAGTTGAATCGAGTTTGGGTGCTACCCGATGATGGGTTTGGGAAGAATTTTTCATTTCAATGTTCCAAACGATATTACACAAATATTTTTTTTTATTTCCCATACTCTTAATCTGTCATTCCCTTACCATTCATCTTCCCACCCAACCTCCCATTGCCTGGGTCTTGTTCTCTTTCACAACGCTTTTTGTGTCGTCGTGGGTGGTGGAAAGTTGGTGGATGTTTTTTCGATTGCGGTATGAGTTAAAGTTTGGAGTGGGTTGATGCTTCGAGGAGGTGAAATATAAATGTACATCCTGAAAACTGAAGTTGTATGCAGATGTTGTGTTTACACATCCACACACATAAAGCCACCAGAAAAAGAAGAAATTTGCTGAAGAGAATAGCAGAAAAGTTTTGTATTTTATTTGAAAAAAAAGGGTGGAAAAGCAGTTCTATCGACCTCTTTATAAAATTAAAGAGTTTGAGGGGACGAAAATGAATTTTTCCATCGATATAAAAATAACTTTAAGAAATTCATGTTGAAGACTGGTGAAATTTGTATAAATTTAATTTTGTTATAATTAGCCGCAAATAAATTACATTATTTCTTAAATTAAGATTCGATTCTTTGAACTTCTAGCATTTCATCATGAAATTCATAAAATTCTTTCATTCACTTTGTTAAGCATCATAAGGAATTGAAGGGGATTGAAAGTATGAGGTGAAATTTATGTGCGCTTTGTATGGGCCGCACATTTAACATGAAGAAAGGGAGTCGAAAGCAAACTAATCGATATCCGGAATGTGGACTATTTTAAGGTTTTTTTATTTCCACCATATACTCATTCCGATACAGCTCTGGTCTTTCTTTTTTCTTTGTTGCTGTTATGTCGTGTACCATCTTTTGATGGTGACTGTACTTTTCGGTTGTTTTGTTTGTTAAAATGCTATTTTTGACGAAATTTCATTTAAAGCGAAAAATGTTTTATCATTGAAGATGAAGAAAGTGCGACAAAGTCACTTTCATTAGAATTATTCAAGAAATCACTGTTGAAATCAGACTAGATTTGAATGAGATATCCATTAACAGAACAACACTTAAGATGGGCTTGAAAATGTTATTTTAAGCATTTTAAATGTTTGTTTTCACAACCAACTATTCTTTCATTCATAGTTTGAAGAAGGGAAAAAATCAATTAACAGAAGGGAAACAAATATTTGTGGCACTTTTTTTCTTCGGCGATTATTGAGACCGAGAGTGAGTATGCGTTCATCGATCGGATTTATTTCGCTGGATTCAACCAACCACACACACACACAAACGTGATGTAATGTGAATTTTTCTTTTTAAGTCACAAGGGTTAATTTTAAATGATACATTAGAAACGATACACAAACATGGATGGAAATGATATTGAATGAAATAATTAGATATTGATTTTATTTCGTTAATTTTTTTAACTGTCATGAATATGATTTAAATAAATATTTAATAGCTACAGATTTGAGAGGATTATTATCAAAACCTTTTACACAAAATCTTAAAAAAGTTACTTTAATCATGCATAAAAAGAAAATTAAATCATTTGACTACTCACTCTGATGTTTATCAGCTAATTGTACTAATGGAGTCGGCAAGTCACGACGTCGATAGAAGCACATCACTTTCGCTTCTACGTTACCAGATGGCGTTTTATTTAACTCCTCTATACGCCTGATCTGATATGGTGACGATGATGATGTCTCAAAATACACGTAATCTGCATGAGTGAAGATTGCATCATTTAAACGATATTAATAAAAAATTATAATTTGGACATGTCATCCAAAACAATCTTCAGCTATCGGATCTAATGTCGTCGATTGATGATTACATAATCTGTTTACACCTTTTTTCGTGATCATGAACATTTCTTAACATTTCCTTAAAAAAGAACTTCGATCGATAAAAATTTAATCCAATTTAAACAATTTTTAATTTATTTTACAAGCGTTCTGATTATTGAAAAATATATTTTGAAATTTACAATCCGTTGAAAGGTTAAGATAGAAATGAAAGCAGTGCTCAAATAATTTCAAATAAAAACATTTATCTCAAGTAAATAAATACGGTCAAGAAAATTTAATAAATGAATTATTTTCCGTCTTAGATAATCATTACTGAGTATTTTAACTAATTTTACCAGACATATTTTACAAATATTTTATGCGGTATGAAATAGATTAACTCAGCAGTTAAAGTTTTTTCTTTATTATATTTAAACTATCTAATTTATTGAAAACATGGAAAGAGAATTTTTGATTCGCAAGACCTTCAGCAACAAAAGCCCCAAAAAATCAACAAATCTCATAACGATTCACATCAATACGCAAATAAGAAAATGATATTAAGCGAAGCATTGGTGTTAACGCAAAGTAATGTTTGCGATATCCACTGAACGCGGCAACAATTTAAGGCGTTAGCCACTTGTTTGCATCAATAATTAACATCTTACAAACTTGGAACATGAAAGCGACTATAAAAGTTCAATTTTTCTTTTGAATGTTTATTAAATAATTAAACAACGATACCTCGATTCTCTGTTAGATTGAGTATGAGTTTGACGAGTGACTTGTGAACGTTACTTACTGTTATGTAAAGCTTTATTGAATTCTGACCCACTCGTTTGCATTTTACAATTTTGTGATCATTATCTTAATGATAGATGGTCGAATGTCATTGACAGCTTAAGTTGAAATCGCCAACTAAATTGCCACATAACAGCCACTAACAAAAGCATAATTGTTTATATAATGTTGCGATTTAATACACAGAAAAAAAAACTTTTTTGAGAGGGAAATTTTTAAAATTGTAATTTCGCGCTACCTTTTTTGTGTGAGGGTGTAATATTCAGTTGAAAATTATTTATATTCAATATAATGAAAATATTGACGATTAATAATCCTCGAAAAATATTGAAACCGGAATAAATTAATTAACTTGTGATGTCATGAACAGATAATTCACTTATGAGAGAATGGGCACAATGATGTGGCAGCACGTTCACTTGTGGATTCTACTGTGGTGATGCGTTTGAGGTTTGTAGACGAAAAAGTTTCATCGCCTTTGGCCACAGGAAGTTCAAGGAAATCGATGTAAGGACAAGTTTCTTTTGAAATATTTAAAATCTTCAGATAACTGACTTTAGGATTTTCTTCGGTATAAGAAAACAAAAACCAATGAATATTTTACTGGTTGGGGTTTCAAGATTTTCTCTTTAGAATTAGGTAGATAAGGACAATTGAGATGATGAACTTTCTTACAAATATTGTTCATACGATCCAAGGCACTAACCTCTCATATCATTAAATAAATAGAGATGAAACCGGAAGTGGTTAATTAGAATCTAAATTTACGAATGAAACTGAGTGATTTTGTGTCGTTTCAATGATGAAGAAGTTCCTTAAATTTACCCTCACTTTCAAGTGCTTTCTGTTTATGGTTAAGTTTTGTATTGTTTCATTGATTATTTTTCTCTCAAACACCAACACAAATCATTCCAACAGGAAACAGAGAAATTTCAATAATGATTTAAAACAATTTTCTTCGCTTTTTTATCAGTGATGAACCTTATATGAAGTAAATTATTCCCATCAATGTGACATTCTTTAACAAGACAAGACACAATAAACATTTCTAATAAATAAATTTAAGTCATAATTATTTCATTTTCGCAACAGTTTTGTTTTTCTTACAGCGAACATGGAATTTTATTTATTGCTGGGAAAACATCGTTTCACAATCAAAATCCAACGAGTTGCTTTAATCGTTGAAGCTTAAAAGGCCAGTTAAATGTGCAGTGAAAGTCATTAAAAAGAGCATTTTAAGTTTTTTTTATTGTAAGTGGTAAGATTTAACAAACAGGGCAGAGGCGTTAATGCGTAAATATTTATTTCGTAATAAGATAAAGAATTCTTAAAGAAATTCTTATGAAACAGAAATCATTTTATTCTCTGAAATTTACCGAAAAGCTTGATAAGTTAGATCAATTAGAATTATACTATACTAAGTATTATGAAGTAAATGCTCTAGGTTTCAACTTTCTGTTTTCTTTTTTTCCTTCATTAATTCCATATTATCATGCATTGAATAATGTCATTATATTAATTAATAAAATCGAATCAATAATTAAGTGTAATGTTTGATCACGTGGATAACATAGTCAGACAACTGTGTGCACATAACAAGCTTAACAAACCTTCAACGAATTGAAAATAAAAGCATGTTGTTCCATAAAGAATATAAATCAAAACAAAGTCAGTGTAAAGCATATCAAGTGACGGTTTATCGCGACTCTGTCTGTGGTTAATGATCGTTAATCACCCGATACTTCCCCATTTTACAAACACCAAATATTTTTGTACGTCTTTTCAAACAAAAAGTCTTTTTATTCTCACTCTCATTTCTCTATTACTCATAAGTTTGTGCTTTCATATTTTTCATTTTCGTGGAAGTTTGAGAAAAAAATTAATTAAGCAACGAGTGTGCGTGCGCTTTACTCATACACACCTGTAAAGGCGTCGTTGACTTCAGTCAAGCGATAACGCTGAAACAACACATAACAATCATTTATGAGGCAATAGTAAAGCTAATAGAGAAATGCTTTTCATATTTTCACAACTTGAACTTTAATTTTTATAAAGAAATTTCTTTCTATACGTGTAGCTGTTATGAAAAAATAATTTTTGATTTCTTTCCGTGTAAATATTTTGACGCCGCGCGGACTTTATCGCTCGCATGGAACGAACAAACACCATTGCTATGAAGGAAGAAATTGCGCCATGAGAATGTAAAGGCAAGAGCGAGGCAGATGCAATAATAATCGCTTTTGTAAATGTGGAAGAAATTAAATTTCCGTTGAGCTTTTTTTTGCGATATGTTACAATGAAAAAGAAGAAGGTGATAGAAGTTTTGTCATTCAGGAATGAACAAAAGTTACTATTAGATCCTTGAGTAAAGGGTCGATGTTTGAAGTGAGATCTGGTTTAATATGAATGACCAAATTGTTTCTCTTTGAATGATTTTATGTGGAAAACGTTTCTTCGATTTATTGCGATAAGTATCTCAAATTCAAATCATTAAACGGATCTTGATAAGTCGATTACGACCACAATAAATAAAAAAGCATGCTTTTATATATTTTTATAACATTTTTATCAATTCCCTAATTCATCATCATCACAATTGAATTTATTCACCAAATATTATGATCACTCGACTCTAATCAAAGTCAACTTGCATTAATTAATCTAAATGAACTCATTGTGATTCGTGATTGGGAAAAAAAAATGGAACGTCATCAAAATAAGTCGTCACAATCAGTAGAAGTAGAAAAATAAAATAAAATAAAATGTGAATCAACGAACTCAGTGAGCGATTTCGATTTTTTCTCTTGTTGCAAAATAAACATTTTCATTTCATTTTTGTTGTATATAATAAAAATAGCCAAGAAATTGCAGTTAAATGTGTTTAGTGCTTTCTAATGCTACCACGCTCAATAATTGGTTCGTCTTTATGTGATTTGTTAAACTCATCTGTGAGAAGACAAAAAAAAAACAGAACAAAACGAAGCGATAATTTTTTCAAGCGCCTATGCTAGGAGTTTCTTTAAGTGTTCAGAACGACTTAACTATTATTTGTTGATCTTAGCAAGAATATCCCCATGCATGAAACTGATCTTCTTCTTCTTTTTAATCTCGTAAGTTTTCTTTTTCTCTCATTGCCATTTTATTTCGTCTTCTCTTCTGTTTTGTGTCTTTGAAATTATACATAGTCTCTTTACATATTTTTTTCCAAAGCCCGGAGAGCACTAACGACCGGCTATTTGTTTTTTTTTTCTTATACTTTTTTTTGTTCGATCTGACTGTTCGATTTCTTTATTTTTGTCTTTCTTCAGGATGACTTGAATAGCGTATTAAAGCGTGTGTAAGAAGTTCAAGACCGTTTATAGTCTAAGTCGATTTAGGTTGACTGAAGTTATCTGAGTAGTATGGAACGTGAATTGACCGTTTGTCTAGCAGTCTAACACTTAATAAATTGAGAAGCAATATGGTTGAAATGTTATGTAAGTTTGAGTTTTTTAATGGTTTTTCTTCTTTTTTCAACGAGATTTGATTCTGAAGTTTTAATTAGTACTCATAGGATCTTCTCGATTCATTTTGTTGGAATCATGTAATGAATAAAACGTTTATATTTTTACCACAAGAACTACACAAGTAAATAAAATTATCCAAGTCTCCCAACCAGTTCAAAGTCATCAATTTTACTCAGAACTTTGCAAAAAGATAAAATGAAGAAATGACATATGGACATTAAAACACATTTACAAGTGAATCGTCACGCTTCGTTAACTTGTAGGAAAGCGAGACAAAAATGAAAAAAAAACCATCAAAAGTCTCAGTAAGAGAATGTTCACTTAAAATTATAGAAAAATATTACAAGCTCGGATGGTAACATTGAATGAAAAAAAACAACAAATCCAACTTTCAAAATCTTGATTATATAATAAATATCGATAGCTTGAGTTTTTCATCAATCATATTTATTGAATGATCGTTTTAAGACTGAACTTAAGAGAGGCGCTATGAGAAGATCATAAGTAACACGAGAGTCAGTCGACAATTTAACAAATTTCAAGACTCCAATGACCTTCATACTTTGTTTCATGAATTTAAACAATAAAAAGCGTTTCGCTGATTTTTGTTTCACTATTCGCGCTTCTAATGAAATTCCGTATTCACACACAGCAAATGGAACAATGTATAGTCGAATCTCTTTTCTTTTTTCGGTTTATATTAGGCCACATCACCATCAGATTTCCAAGCACAACAACAATATACGAAATGCCGAAAAAAAAACAAAATAAAATAAAATAAAATCCAACTCTAAACTCCGACTACATTATGTGATCATTGACTTGATTCACATCTTTCTCGGGTTAAAAAGTTTCGAATATAATGTAATCGGTAAAATCGTGAAAGTAAAGAAAACGATGATGATATGTAAAGTGGCAGACGATTTGTACGACAGTATTTTGGCAATTAAATATAAATAGATGAAGAGGACTTAATGAGATTACACTTGATGTGAGATAATTTTTGATTTTAAAGAGATTCAAGCATGACATGACAATACTTTTCGTTTCTTTTTCATTTTCCGAACTTAAACAAAGAACAAATACTTATCCTCAAATATAAAAGCGTTATGAATATTTAATTCTTTTTCAGTATCTTTACTGTTTCATTTAAGAATCCGTTATTAAGCAAAGCTAATTAAAGCGTGAAGTTTCTTTATAGAAAAATTACTTTCCGTCTAAAACAAATCTCGAGCGATTCATGGAAGGAATTCAACAATTTTTCTAACTATCCACCTTGCTACATCACAAGTTTGAATTCTTTCATTCAATCATAAAATATTTTCAATAAATTATAATCACATAACTTTTCCTGGAGCTTTTCCATAGACATAAAACTACTCACTTTCTGGTTCAATGAGAATCTCGTTTCTTTCATTTATTCAGCTACATACACACAAATGCAAGCGTCGCAGTGTTTCCGAGACGAATCAAAGTCTAAACTCAACATGAAGTATGTAGACAAATACAATGACGATGTGGAGAATTGCGATACATGTTTTAACCGAAAAATATGTATAAATCGCTTGATTTCTTATCTCACATCCCTCAGTGCGATTCTTTCTTTACTTAAATTCCAATATCATCGTGTCATCAATGGCTTTGCCATTTACCTTCAACATTCATCACATTTTTTGTCGTTAACAAAAGTTAAATCTATTCAAATGCAAATAAATGCTATCACATCGTTGCACATCATAAAAGTATTTAACTCAAAATTCTGATATGATATTGCAATGAAGATTTAAATTCATATGTTAACAGAGCTTTGATATTTCTCATTCCTTACAAACGAGATAAGATAAAATTTCAAAGAATTTTACAGAAGCTAACTTCAACATCAGAAGCTTACACTTCAAGTTAATATTGTTGAATATAAAAATTATTAACGGATAAATGTTAAATCTAAAGAATAATAAAATAAAACTGAAGCATTATAACATGAACCATTACATTACGAATCGAACCGCAAACAATTTCATTCAAGTTTTGAGTTCGCTTGTTCGCAACTATTTTTCCATCGTATCAGCAGTAAGTGATTCAAATTGTTTCACTTTTTTTATGTACTTTTCACGATGTAACACACAATCAAAAATTAACAATTGTTTTTCTTCTGTCTTCTTATTCTCTCTGATTCGTTCACTCTGACCGAAATTTATACATATTTACAACAAAGTAAATGAGATTGTGTTGAGGAAATAAGAAGAGTGAAGTAAATATATAAAGCATGTATGACGATTTCGTTAATGATCATGGAAATGTTGAAAATATACAATGTGTCAACGATCGATGATAAGGGAAGCAGTAACGAATGTTTGTAATGTGTGCGGTGGCGTTGCGTCATTGAACACGACTAATATTTATTCATTTTTTCTTGAGAACTCGCATAGTTGAATTTAAATTCTTAAATAAAACAACAGAAAACGTTTTGATATATCTTCTAGAATCACAACGTATTTGTTCTCATGAAAATTTATCAAATCATTGAGTTTCAACGATTTTCTCGCTATTTATAGAAGCTTAATTATTTTGATTCGTGTTACTTAAATACGAATGACACAGAGTCGCATTTTTTGGAATTTTCATTCGCTTTATAAAACAAAGTGAGAGAAACGTAGAAAAGAAATCACCGAAACGAAGCACAACTACAGATAGAGGGATACAGAAAAGTTGACGGACCATTCGCGACACATTAAGCTGTGGAAATTATTTATAGATTATGTCGAAATAAGAAATTAAGTAAAATGCAATAGAAAGTGCAATTTATGTACAAAAAAGGAATTTTCCTTTCAATAATGTATTTAAAATTTTTAATAAGTATAAGCAGCATTTAATTGATGTGAATGAAAAAGAAAAAAACGTGAGTCAACAATTCAATTGAACTTGCTGTTGATAACAGTTTCTTTTAAATGTCGAAAATTTAGGGAGAGGGAGAGTGAGAGGCGACCAATGTACAGCCATACAGTTCTTACGAAATATCCATGAAAAAGAAAACAATGAACACACATAATTTCCAATCTGCCGTGTATAGAACACAAAACAGAAAAAAGAGAACATGGAAGACTCCGCATTTGCCATCCGAAAAGGCAGAAGAAGAAATATTTTTGAAAAAGAAGAGCGATGTGCTTCGGTTGTTCATCCATTTGGGACGAACTCGCAATCTACCAAACAATTTTTTTTTGATGGCCGGGAGAGGTTTTGTAGTCGTCGATTTGCATTTTACATGCGGAATGGATTTAACTTATTTTTAATTTTATTTCGATTTTACTAGTTTGTAATCAGAAAGATATTAGGTTAGTAAATAAACATTTCTTTAATGATAATCAACAATAATACATTTTCATGAGTTAAGTATCGATATATTGTAGCTTATAAGAAATTCATTCTTATTGCTTATCTTCAACTGTTTCTTCATTTTTTTTTTTGCTGTACATACAACATGTTTCATTTCTATCCCAGTTAAAAATGTTTAGTTGTGATATTCCAGTTCTTATACACTTATTTCGTCCCCGTGATTAATATGCACTTTACTAAACAAATAAATTCATTTCCATCGCAACAAACACGCAATCACTAGAGCGTTATTATAACTTTTTCATCGTCGTTGTCACATTTTCTTTTTTTTTCATAAGTAAGAATTAGTTTAAAATTTTTCATAACACTTGACTTTCATTTTTCTTTATAGATATTCATCGAACATTTCTCGTTTATATTTTTTATATATAAATTTCATACTTCATACTTATTATTGGGCTTTGCCTTCATTTCTTTAATTTCATGAATAATTTAATCACTTGATTTCTGGATGGTTTTTCTCTTCTCTACGCTCTGTGATATGTGTGTGCGTCGTCTTCACTTTTTTTCGCCTCCTTCCATTCCGGAAGGTTCACACACAAAATGTCTTCAATTCCCGCATCAGTTTTAATTAAATCTGCTGATAGTAAAAAGCACCGGTGATTGCATATTTGAGTATGCAACTGAATAATTAAATGCATAAATGAAAAAAAAATTCTTCAAATGTATAATTAGCATTCGATAATTGATGTATAACGGCATCATCACAAAACGAAAGAAAAAAATTATTATAATTATTTTAAATATTATTTTAATCCGATAGCTGAAGATTATGATGAATCTGATGTGTTACTCCTATTTTCAGACACAATTTGCATTACCTCCAACACGATACGTTGATTCCGAATACATTTTATTGTGTGTGGAATTTGCCATTATTAATTGGATCTTTTTTTCTTCTCTCCACTCTTTAATCACCTTTTTTTTCTTCTTTGCGCTTTCAAAACTTCAAAAGGGAAAATTTTTTAACCACTAAAAACACTTATTACAATCATATACATGGACGCCTTGATGTTATTCACATTCACACTGATTGTATCTCGCGATTGTACTAATTTTAAAAGAATTATATGCACTAAAACCTTCAATTTTTAATTTTTTTAAGTTTTCAATTCTTTCCGATTTTAGATACGCGAGACTGCTGCACTTACAATGAGGCATTTTACTTCAGACAAACATATGACATCCTGGAGTTCAACACTATCAAAAACTAAGCTCCATGGAGCTTAATTCCTTCCAAGTAATTCCACACTCTCCACCTGAAACTCGCCTCCCAGAAAGTTAGTTTCAGGTGGAGAGTGTACAATTTTCTTAGACGGGACTGCGATTTCTTAGACGGATTGACCGTTTTTGGTAACGCTTTGTATGGAAGGTCAAATCCACGCAAGTCAAAGTGCCGGGTAGTCCGACATCATTGACGCGTGTAATTCCCACGATCAAGGGGAATGTCAACTCAAATTTTTAAGTTCATTCAAGTTCCTAGATATGCATTAAAGTGTAGAAGTCTCTGACATTATTAGAAGTAAACATTAGAAGATTTCTTACATTTATAACATTTTTTATATTTTAAATCAAACTATTAAAATGGATAAAGCTGAAAAACTCAAAGCAGCACGTAAAAAGGTGAATTTTTATAATATTCATTAAAAGATAGAATAAATTACACAAAAACCTAAAATGATGATGTGGAATTTTTTTTTGTATAATTTTAGCTAAAAGAATTCCAGACACATAAGCATGACCCAAAAGATGTTAACACTGGATCCAACCTTGATAATACCCAAGCCGTCCAGGAACAACCAGCATTAATAACATTTGATAAGTTAGAAAATATTCAGCCTGTCGCTTCAACACAAGATTCAGTTCCCCAAATATCAAGTTATTTTGGTGGCGATAGTGGCAGCGCTTTTGACATTCCCCAACAGATAATGCAATCTGCAGAAGTGAAAGATATTCCCGTACCAACTTTTACTAACGAAGTTCCTTTTCAACAATTTAAAGAGCAGCAACTCGAAATGTCAACTCAACCTTTTGTAACTCCAACTGCATTTGCATCACCATTTGATTCAGAACAATTTCAGTCTTCAAAAAGTAAAATCAAGGATCTCCAAGATCAATTGGAGCAACAAAATTATCAAATGACACAATTGAAATCTGAATTGGATTTCCACCGGCAAACAGCGATAAATCTTCAAAGAAATAGTGAAGAGCTTAACAAACTTCGTCAAGAGACTCAATCACATGTAGATGTTGTTAAAGTTCTTGTATCCGAGAAAGCCAATCTTCTTGATTCGTTACAAAAATCGGAACTTGTTGTAAAAGCGAAAGCCGATGAAAATGACGAACTTCAGAACCGGCTGAATGTCTCACGACATCGTGTAAAACAGTTGGAATCAGAAATCAAAAACTATTCTGACAAATCGTTCCAAGATCCATCAGTGGAAACCAAAAAACTTGAAGAATTTGTTGCCGTTCGAGTAAAAGATTTAAAAGATTCCAATGAAAAGATTGAAGCTGAAAGAAACGAAATAAAATTATTGTTGAATCAGAAACGAATTGAATTAGAGAATCTTCAAAAGAATTTTGATCATCTTAATACAGAACTTCATCTTGCCAATGTAAAAATTGCACAATTAAGCGATGGTTCAACTCCTGTTGATAATTCAAATCAACAAATCAATTCATTGAATCAAGAAATTGCGATTAAACAACAACAGATAACCGAACTTTATTCAATCATTGACCAAGTAAATCGAGATAAAGAGGCAAGTGACAATCAATACCAAAACTACGTGTCACATCTTACACGAGAAATGGAAACCCTCAAAGAAAATTCAACTGAACTGAGTACCGAAAATGATTCGTTGGTGAAACGCGAACAAGAACTTCTACAACATGTTAGCGATCTTGAGCGACAAATTCAACAGCAAATACAAAAGCAAAAAACTTATGCTGAAGATCAGCAAGAAGAGTCGACTGGTCCATTACAAGAAGAACTTCAAAAGCTTTCTAGTCAAATCACGGCACTAACTGAGTCAAATGAAAGTCTTAAAGCACAAATGAGTAAAATTGAAGTTGAAAAATCAGAAATTGAACGCAAATTCCTTCTCAAAGAAGAAGAAATGAAAAATATGGAAGTAGAATTTGAGAATTTTAAAACAAATAAACCAAATCTTTCGAAATTAATGACCGACTTTGAAGATAAATCTGTTGCTGCTTCACGGGCATTATCACAAAATCAAGGACTTAAAGATCAACTTGATGAAATGCAACGCGCCTTTATAACAATGACAAACGACAAAATGGAATTAACAGACAAACTTCAATCAGAAATGCATCTTTGCAAGGAAATGAAAACACGATACGATTCGATGGAAGTTGAATTGCAAGCAACGAAGGATAAATGGCATTACAAAGAGGATGAAATGATCCGTCTGTCGCATGAGAATACAGAATTAGAAAAGAAAATCATGCAGCAGAATATAGAAATTGATCGATTGCGCCATTACGAGTCGAAAGAATATCACGGAACTGAAGGAATTCTCGAAACTGAACTTGAAAGTTCCAAACGATTAATTGAAAGTTTAACAAATAAAATTAATGTTTTGGAATCACAAGGAAATGTTGAAAATCATCATGATCATCATCATCATCATGAACATGGCCATGATCAGAAAGATCATCATCATCATCATCATCATCATGAAGAAAATAATCATCAACATTCTCACGAATCGAAAGATGATACAAAAAAACTTTTGGATGAAATCGAAATGTTAAAAATGGAGAAAAGTGAACTTCTCAAGGCTATGAATGATTTTCAAATGAACAGAAAAGTGACAACATCTGAAGAAATAGTTTCAGACGAGACAAAATTTTTAACAAATGGCGATGAAAATTCACCACGAATTGAAACAAATAATGATGAGAAGCAAACGAAAATTTCAGTGACACCATCGATAGCAACTGAAGAAGCACTTGAGAAGCTTCAATCGAGATTTCGACGAACAATGTTGGAAGTTGCTGAGTTGACAGAAGAAAAGCAGAGACTTGAACATGTCGTCACACAACTTCAATTCGAAACGGAAACAATCGGCGAATATATAACACTTTATCAATATCAACGAAGAATGTTGAAACAGAAAGAACATGAACGTGATATTCAGTTGAAGAACCTTGCAGCAGATCGCGAGAAAATGAACGAAAAATTATTGCAATTAAATGGTTTAATTGAGAAATTTGTTCTTCAACATGACAACAATATTGAGATGGGAAATGAAGCAACAAAGCTTCTTGAACATGAATCAGAACCAATTATCATCAATCCTGATAATCGTGATCATCAAACCAGTAAAAATTTGATGAAATTGAAGGAAGAACCTGCCGGGAAAATTCTTGAAATTCTCTCCGATATTAAAACCGTCAACGCAACATCGTACGAGCCAAATGTTGGTGTTGAGCATTGCTCGTGTTGTCTTGGAAAGCTTGAAACTGTTTAAATATTCTTATCAATATTCATTTTCAAATAAATCTTTATTTTCTGTATCCTTTTTTGCTTGTTTTTCTTCGACTTATTAAGACATGTTTTTTTTACTCGATGCTGATGAAATCAAAAGAAATGAAAGGAATGAAAAAAAAACCTAAATATATTTAAATTTCCTCTTGAAGAATAACACAAGATGCTAAGTGATGCCAGATGTTGGTGGTTATGGTTTCAATTCAATTTTATTTAATGAATTCGAGTAAGATCCTCAACAATTTTTATAATGTCATCGACTGTTGCTTCTTGTTTTTGTCCGTTGTTATCAATCTATGAAATAATATAAATTCTTTTTATATTTTTTAACATTCAATGATAAATCAAACTGACCTGTAATCCTGAAGCACATTCACGCATCTTTTCACGACTTAAATCAAGAAAACTTTCCACTAAATCTCCATCAATGAAACCTTCACACGGCTCAACTTTTTGATCTGTTCTGAAGCTTCTCCATGTTGCATGATCAATTTTTCCAACTGATTTAATCGTATGTGTTAATCGTTCTTCAAGATGTCGAAGGAAATCATAGAAATCTGGTGGAATTTGTGTCACAAGACCAATAGCTCCACTAACTGTACCATAAAGAACGCAACCTTGTGTCGGTGTTGTTCTTTCGCCAACATTTTGCATTGCTAGTGAACCATGGCGGAATACATTGATCATATCGCCAAGATGAAATTGCGCCACTTCAGGCATTTGTTGCCGTTCTTCGTCAGTCGTTGCAGCACTGGAATAAAGAAATTTTAATTTGATAAAAGCAATTAAATAGAAATTACTCCACTTACCTATCCTTTTGTCCAACAAATAAATTTGAGCCATTTTCAGCACCCAAGAAATTGTCATCATCAAGAATTTCTATTGCTGTCATCCAATTTGGCTCATAATCTCTTGCAATTTCTTCAAAGCTTCCTTCCATTTGTTTATACTGAAGTAATGTTATTGATCTCATCAAATCACCGACCAAAATGAAATCACCTACGGAGACAGAGGAAACGTCAATGTCACGACACACAATTGCAAGCATTTAACTCACCTTTTGTCTTCAAAAACAATGCAAGAACATTGTTAAAGTGACTACATTCAAGTCTCAAATCTTTGTCACTTGTCCATTCAAAAAGTCTTACAGTTGTGTTAATGCTAGCAAGAACTTTTCCATTGAATTCCACAAGTGAATAACAAGCGCCTTTAATTTCCTTCTCGGCTATTTGATGAAGTTTACCGTCACTAAAGTGAAATACAATTATTCGTCCAGCTTTTGGATCAGGTTCTTCAGGATTTACAATAGCCGTTCCAACAATATAATAAGTGTTTGGATCTTCGCCAAGTTTAGCTGACATAAGTGAAAGTGCATACTCGGTTTGCATAAATTGATGTGCATGAAGAACTTCAAAAGTATTTTGATCAACAATCAATAAATTATGAATTTCCATCTCTTGCCCATACTCCACACTGACAACACCAGCTGGTCGTGATAATGATGGGAGGTTACTTGATGTTGTTATGTTATTTGTTAGTGTAGATGCTGATGAACGTAAAGGCTTTAAACCCGATGAATCTTGAATATCTGTTCTTACAGTAATCACCCCAAATGTACTCGACGTTTCTTGGTAAGCAATTCGTCTCGGACTTTCACCCAATGTCACTGTTCGAATGTGAAGCTTTTGTATCTCGTCAATTGTTCCAAGAATAACAGAATTCTTTGTTGCCAAAGCAAGACTATCGGGATAAGCTTCAGCATTTAACGAGCACATGTGATTAACTTCTTTTAAATTGACATTGCTGAAGACGAGCTTATGATTCGATGAGTAAATGACAGTTGGACGATCAGAACAAGCAAACACATTTGTTGTTGATAGCGAACTGAATGTTTTCAAAATTGTTGGCTGCGTTCCCAACGTAACTTTCTTTTGATCTGTTAGCTTTCCTGAATCTTTATCCAATACAAAATAAAACATTGAACCATCACCCAAAGCACAAAGCAAATAGTTAATTCCTTCAAACTTTGCAACGAGAATTGATCGCGGAATAATTTCACCGCCAAGTTTCTCAGTGAAAATTCTTTCGAGCGTTGGAAGTTTTAATAAACAAACCGAAATGTCTGTCCATAATCCAACAGCGACAATATCTGATTTCGTTGCTCCATCGTCAAGTGGAGAAACATCCAAACATGCAATTTCATATTCCAATTGAATTGTTGATGTTTCAACGAGCTTTCCATCTTGAATCTCAATGTAAAATATGTCACATCCTGATGCACAAACAAGTTGCTCTTGATTACATGCAACAACACCAATTCGACGTGATTGTGGTGGACTCCATTCACTTACCATTGATTTATTATCGCATTTTATGAGACGTGCACTGGTTGGTGTGACTTGAATGATTTGTCCAAAGAAAACATTTGCACAATAAAATGTTTGTTGATCGCTTAAAAATCCATCGATTTCAGTTTCTTCAACTTCTTCGCCAGTCAATGTTAATATTCTCGTATGACCAACAAATGAAAGAACTAAAGTGTTGTCATACGAACTATCTTCGATTCCAACTTGAAGTGCCCACATTCCTTTTATCCCTGGCAAGTCAATACAAGCGTGCTCTTGAATCCCAATTCCATTTCTTATAATTCTTAACGTTCCATCTTTAAATGATCCTGAACATGTAATAATTTGTCCCTGTCCTTGTCGTTCCAAATCAACAACGCACATGTCAAGAATTGGACCAAGATTTGTGAATGTTTCCATTGGAACAACGTAAGCTCCATTTTCATCAGCAACAGTGTTCAACTTCACAAGTTGTGAATCACCATGACGTGAGCCTATGAAAAGAACGCCATTGTCCAGATAAGTTATACATTCGGGGATGGAAATTTCACCGAGAAGTTCAACTTTGAGATCTTTAACATACAAGTTTCCTTGAGCATTTGTTTCAGCCTCTAGGAATAACATGAATAAATTTCCCGACATGTTTCCAAGTAGATATCGTCGACCTTTTGTATCAACACGGGCGTAACATGTTATTGTACTTTGCTTTATTATTGGTGGTGCTGTTGCAACATAAGTCGATCCATCATGATAAACAATCGACTCCTGCCCAATTACGATTGCTCCACCAAGAGGAGTTGGTACTGGAATAAGCATCGTTGCTTCCGTTTCAACATTATCTTGCTTCCAACTCACTTTTACAAATTCTTTCTCACGTAAACTTATTTCATGTGTTTTAATGTGACGTCCATTTAAATCTTGATGAATAACAATAAGAGTTGGCGAATTGCAACCGTAAAGGAATTCTACATCTTGTACGTTTACATCTTCCATACGTAAACTGTATGCTTTTAATTCGCTGCTATCTTTTTCAAGTGGAATAATCTTGAAAAGTCCTTCATAAAGTCGCATTCCAATAACGCGAGCTTTTGGATCAATCACTGCCAGAATACCGGTCTCAGCTGGTTTACCTACTTTGTCACTTACATTTCCATGAGCTTTTGTTATTATTTCAAAATCATCACGCTCTTTATTGTATTTACATTCAAGAATCATCGCTTGATATGCCTGTGTAAGAATGAATATCAAATCCTTCTTTTCGTCCTGAAAATATTGTTGAAAAAGATTAAAAACATTCACAATGAACATTTTTATCACTAACCGCTGGTCGAAAAAGCTTCAGAACTGCAGTTTTTCCATATATTCCAACTTCTTTTATCGGTTTGAGTCCCTCGGGTGTTACAAGGAAAATCTCGAGGCGGGAATTTTTGGCTACAATTAAATTCAAATCCGTTTCAGATGTGAAATTTCCTGTAAATACATAAAAATTGAATAAACTTTATAGTAATCTGTGGATAATAAGCATGAACTGATACACATTTTAATGTTAATTAAATGTAACCAAACATTTATCTAAGCTTCATTTCTCAAGTATTCAAATAGCATCGCCTTACCTGTTACACATGCATTGACTGCTGTTGGCTTTTGAGCAGTCACAATATAATTGTGTGCCATTTTGTTATTTATTTCACACTTTAAACTATAATCAAATGTTTAAGTTTTTCTCTTTGAAAATTTTATTTGTATAGTTGGGGGTGTCAAAGTACTACCTTGATTTGAATTTTTGTCCGTTAAATTTTCTAAAAAATTTCAAATGGAGAATTAGGTAGATTATACAATTATGAGATTTGTTGTAAATCTGAAATAAATAAATAATAAAGAAGCTGAAGTAGAGTATTGCAGCAGGCTATTTGTTTCTGCAAGTAGAGTGTATAAATTTCATACGTAAGTACCTAGCTTGAAAATGAAGTATCAGATAAAGTCAATATAAAGTGTCCATATCAAAGTCCAAAGCAATTTAGCATAGAAAAAGATTTGTTTTTATTTTATTTGAAGTTTTTATTGAGTAAAAATATTCATAAAGTAAATTTTATGCATTTTTGTTAGATGTCTTCAGCTGATTTTTTCCACAATCCTAAAATAATTACATAAATTTGATTGCACACGAAAATAAATTGTTTAAATTTTCCATATTATTTTTTCACGGGAGTTTATCTGCTTTTTCTTTTATTTTGATTATAAATTGACTTTATTAAAATGGAATTTTTAAAATGTTTTGTTTCAAAGCCTGTAGAGAGCTTATCTTGTTTCTAAAATCGAGTAAGTGACAATTAAAAGATGATGATTGATAAGAATTCTGAAAATCATGTCTTAACTGTAACCAACTCCATGGAGTGTGTGCGTTAAATCATCGATTACATTTTTTTATACCGATATTATAAAATACTGCATAAAAGTAACTTATTTATCATGTCTTTTATAATCAACTAATCTTTTTTGCGCGCAAATTAATTTCATTCTTCCATAATCAAAAAAATCTTTGTGAATTTATCCACTTAGATATCTCCTTATTTCAAATGAGATTTAATTGAATAAAGTTAAGCGAACTGAATCTTATAATGTAAAATTTAAATTAACATTTATTGAGTTTTTCTTTACATAAAAAAAGAAAAATCTTAAAGAAAACCTTTATGAGGTCTCTGCTCATTATCTTCTCGTTATTCTTATCGATATAAATCTTATCTTCATTCTTTTTTGATTAAATTATGCTGAGAAGAAGTGAGAAATGAAACTTAAAATTAATAATTCAATTTTTTACACGACAAAGAAGTTTTAAGCTTACCGACTAATCATTTTAAGCCACAAAAAATCTTTTCCATTCATTTGTTTAAATGTTATCTGCTTAACCATTCATTTAAATAAATTTTACAGACTTGAAGAGTTTTTTCCGGCCTTCAACTAAAATTTTAGAGTTTTAATTTAATAAAATATTTGCCAAGTCACTCTGCAATGTTTTCTTCCATATTTTTAAGAATTGTATTGTGAATCTTTTCATTTAATTCATTCTTATATAAAAATACAATCATCTAAGGCTTATGCAATTTCGTTTTTGTGTAGATAATCATGTCGCGATTTATTTATATTTCTTGTAAATGGAATTTTCCCCTCAATCTATAATTTCATTAATCATTTCCCTGATTGATTCTGGTTTTGTTTTGTTGTGATTAAAAGTTCCTTATAAAAACTTTTACTGTGCTTACCAAATAAATGCAGTAGTAAAGTGCCAGAATAAATTAATTTAATTATTTTATTTAAATTTGAAAAATGCAAAAAATGTGTTATGTTTTTGGCACACTGAAGATTGAAAGGAGTCTACTAAGCTTAGGAATTCTTCTCAGGGAAAGAGTTTAAAGGTGAGAAAGTTTTAATAATATTTGTTAATTCAAATATCTCTTGAAGATGAAATAATTAAGTAAAATTTTTTGCCTTAAAATTTCATGTTAAAGTGAAATTTCTTTTATATCTTCACAATTAATGTCTCAAGTGACCGAGAGATTTTGTTATTTTTCAATCTAATTTTATAAAATCACAGAAAAATAACAAAATCTCAGGAGACCGTGAAGAAACGTTTAAATATTCTCAAAACCTTGTACGCCTTTAAACTCTTTCTTTAAAAATGCATTAAAATTGATTTGTTCATCCCCAAAAAGAAATATTCTTTTGAATGCTTTAAAGGCACATCGACACGAATATTTTGTAATTGATGACTTTCCACTGATCATTTGTCACATTTTGTTTTAATTGGAATGTCCATAGATGTAACATTACATGCAGGAAAAGCGCATTTCGTCTGTTAAAACTGCTTAATTTCGATAAATACTTGATTCTCTTTTTTTTTTCTTTGTCTTCATGTTTTTAGTGTATAAATCTTCAGTTAAGTTTGGTCAAAAAATCTTCTTAGATAATTTTTCTTTATATATCAAAATTTATGCAATTATTTTTCTGCTTTGTAAAAAAAGTTTTACTTTCCTTAAAATTTCGCGAAAAAACTTTATTTTCTTAATTATTTTTAATCTTGTTTTGTTTTTTGAAAAATTTGTCAGTCTGTAAATTTTTTTATAAGAGATGAAAAATTATTTTCATCTTTTTTTATCTTTAATTTAATTATTTATGAGATTCAATTAGATATCATATTCTTAGCTCAATAATTGTTCGTATCGCTTCATATCATGATTGTGAAGCAAGAGTATGTTGATTAAACTCTTTTATTCCATTCACTTGCCTCAGAATCATTTAAGCTTTCATACTTTTTAAAATTGTGAATCAATCAAAGCCCTTCCATTTGCTTTAATTTACCACATCTTGTTAATCACTATGTAAACAAATTACCAATCAAAAGCATTCCCTATGCGGACTCCAAGTACAATGAGTTTACAAAAAATTGACCCTTTTTTACTTTTTCGGTTTATAATTCGAGCGACACATACAAAACACATCGAAAAACTGCTTCATAATATTTTTGTTCATTATCTTTTTTAAGTTCGCACAATATATCAAAAATACATCTTTAAATATAAATCTTCCATCTTCATCCACATAAGAGACGGCTTAAGTAGATTTTAATCATAAATAGATTCATTTCTCATCATTATCTTAGCTTTTGGAAGCGATTTGTTCCAAAAAGAAAAATCTTTTTTTGTTATTTTGTATCTGGGATTTTGTAAATATTTCGAAAATATTTTCATGTTCTAAAATGTCAGACCCTAGAGGGTCGATGCGTCGATTAATGAGCACACAATCAAATAATTTTCGTCAAATGAAATTAAGAGAAAGAAAGTAGGAAATGGCTTGAATTTCCATAGATTTTCATTTCTGACATGTATGGAAAATGTGAAGACGGCTTAAATTTTCAAACGATTATTGTATGGAAATTTAAACCGTTTTCACAACTTCAACTTTTCCTTCTCTACATTTCAATCCACAAATTTCCATCTTTTCATCTTCAAATATGATCGAGTTTACATTTTCACGATGTCGCATCGATGCTAGGATCTGTTGTAAACCTCACTGATGCCACTTTTCATTATTTTATTAATCAGTTTTTCTCTCAATTTTAATTTATTTTCTGTTCACTTGATTCTCTCACAATAACTTACGTATTGTCATCCACTAAACACTCTTAATAATCATTCTGGTGTTTCATATGTTAATCGTCTAATGTTTAGATAAATTAAGTGGAACATCTAAAAGTAGAAAATAAATAATAAATAAAATCATTACACAAAAGTTTAATTTTATTCACCTGAAATTGGCTCATCTTTAGCTTTTGGAATTATACTGCCATCATTAATGGAATGATTTGTTAATGGAATCGGATTCCAAGGTGATGATGGTACGTATGGTGATAATGTGGGATGTGTGGCAGGGGGTGAGGAAATTGTCGAATTTCTTTGTCCATTTGAGTTCTTTTCATATCCTGAAACCGGAGATGATGATCCAGCTAATTGTGCTGTTGAAACAGGTGAAAGGGAAGCACCTGGATAGCCTGGAATTGCACCAGGATGCATTCCAGGAATCCTATAAGAAGCTGCAGCTGCAGCCATCATCGCAGGATTATAAAATGCTGGATGATAATAAGGTGGAACAGCCGTTGGTAAATAACTCAATGTTGGATACATGTAAGGATACATTTGTGCCGGATGGGGTACTGGAGGTGCTATCAAAGCTGAAGGACGAAGTAATGAATCAACATTTTCAGCCTTCATTGTCGATGATTTCTTACTTGAAATCTCCATTGTCGGTGAACTAAACTGTTGTCTTAATGCTGCCGTCTTCTTCGGCACTGTACGAATTCCACTCGTTCCACTACTTGTCGGTGTACTTCTACTACTTGCTGTTGATGTTCTTTCAACATTCGGTGACAGACTAGAGTCACGTGGCGTTCCAAAGCTTTGATGCGATGGTGACGATGCATAATGAGATGGCGAGTGTTGATGATGATAATTACCAGTAGTACGTAATCGATTATCAGCGTGAGGTGATGGTGATCCACGTATGTAATTAGGTGAATGATAACTTCCACTGAATGGTGATGATGATGCAGCTGTTGGTGTTGTGGTGGGACGATATTTATGAAATGCATGATGTTCTGGACTTGGACTTTGATTAGGTGATGAACTTTTCTGTTGCTGCTGCTGTTGTTGTTGCAATGGTGATTTTGGCGATGAATTCTGACTCAGACTTAATCTCTGTTGTTGATAGTGACTAGTGGATGTTGAGTCATTTGAATGTTCGTTAATACTGTAACAGCTTCCAGCTGCTGCTGATGTGCTTGAATTGTTGTTGTTATGTGCCAAGAGCGATGTAATACTATAACTGCTGATAGGACGTGATACGACAGGTGGTGTTGATTTATCTTGTTGTTGATTCTTTGTTGTTAAATTTCCATTTGACATTTGTGGTGAGATTGATGATGACGATGATGACGATGATGATAATGGAATTGTTGAATTATTACCATTTAACGACGCCTTTGGACGCGACCGTTTTGTATCTTCTAATGAAACTTTCTCCAATTCTCGAAGAATTCTCTTTCTAGGTGATACATGTTGATGTGGTTGTGTGCTGATTGAGTTAGCAATATGACTTGCTAGTGAGTAAGTTGAGGCAGATTGTGTGGCGTGATGACCATTTGTATTATTGTTATTGTTATTATTATTGTTGCTGCTGCTGTTGTTATTATTGTTACCATTAAGTGCTAACGTCGATGTCATCCTATCAGCAAGCTTTTTAAGAATGTTTTCAAGTGTACGATTTTCGTTGCTTTTTTCCTCATCTTGTTGATGTTTTTCGGTCGTTTTCTTCTCACTACTGTCACCATTTATTTTGTTGTCATCATCCGACTTTGAATGAGCATCATTTGAAATGTCATCACTTATTAAGTCATCTTTCTTTTCATCAATTTGTATAAATTTAACGTTTCCTCCTTTGTCTAATGGACGACGACGTTTTGATTGTGCAGTTTTTTGACATTCTTTTGATAAGCGAAGTCGTCCTGGACGATGAAAGAAGAGAACCATCTCTTTGGAAATATTGTTGCGCGGCTGTGTCTGTTTCCAGCAATGATCGCGCTGCCATGGTGATGATTGTATCGAACTGTTGTCATCAGAATCTAAAACAAAAATTTTGTATCGAGAAATGATTTTTAATAATCTTTTTTTGTTGAAATATCATAGAAAATTGCTTACAGCTTAATGATGTTGAACTTTCATGCTTACTGAATGTTGTGCTAGAGTTTGTCGAGATTGTGGGTGGCCAGAATGTTTTCCTTGGTACCGATATCCAACCTGTTTTTTCACCCTCACGGGCACGAGCAAGTTCCAAGATAAATTTTCCATCTGTAAAAACGTTTTATGATATTAATGATGCCTCCTCGAACCAACATTTGCTTGTGGAAATATCTGAAGACTGCAAGTTACACGAAATTACTCATAAATCCTACATTTTCTTTTGTGAAACATAAAAGAAAGAGCTGAAATGTTATTAATAATTCAAAATGATTTTTTTATTCCGATTTTTACCATTGAATCATTCGTCTGTTTATTTTTGTTTAATTCTCATATTGTCTTCAGGGGACCATTACGAGTACATTGCGCGTAAGACAATAAAACAATGAAAAATTTAAAAGCTAAAGATCAGTGGTGGAGTAAGGAGGAAATAGAGCAAAAATAAATGAAATAATTTATTCATAAACCAAACGCAATGCTTTCGATTATTTGCAATAAAATACAAATTTGGTGTTGATGTTTTCATTACTTAAACTTGTTAATGTAAAATAAGCTTCACCATAATAGTAAAAATAAAGCAAGTAGAGGTTTGAGGCTTCTATCAATGGTACCGATGTTGTTTTGCACATAACAATTATTTCTTTTTTTATATATTTTCGGTGATGTATCGCATTGCTCCCTTCACACATTGTACAATTTTAAATCTTTTTCTTTTTTTTTTTGCTTTCGGTATGGTTGAATGTTAAAGAAAAGTGTTTTTTCTCGTCGCGATCCGTTATTCGAATAAATTTAATAGAAAGAAACTTAAACTTTTACACATTCACATATATCTGGTGCCTTGCATATTTTTTTCAGAGGAAATCGTGAAAATCTTTCTCATTTAAAGAAATATTTTCAATTGTTACATGATTTTATAGAGCATGGAATTAAGGCGAATACGAAGAAGAGTAACAATAACAGACAATATGGGAAAAAGAAGGTGTAACGACACACAGCATACTAAGCATAATAAGCAAAACCCGTCCATGCTCTCTGAACCATCACCAAAATATTGCCTTGCTTCTTGTTATTAAAGCAAGATCTAAGAAAAGTTAGTTTACCATATCGTACGCCGAAAACAATCCATTATTCATTCGAACGATGAAAGATTCTTTACGTGAGATAAGATTCGCCTTCGTTCTGATGGATGGGAAAGCGGGACAAACCTGGGAAAACTCAACGAAGCAACTCAACAAAAAAAATGTCTAATCGTTCAAATAAACCAAAAAGTCCATCAATTAATTATATGAAAATATATTGCCGATTTAATCAATTTTTTACGAAGTTTTGCCTTGTTGGCGTAATCGGAAAGTGCACGATAATATTATTCAATATGTATATAAAAAAATGTAACGAAATTCAATGCTGCATCCGCTTAGTGTCAAATAAATTTTTAATTGTTTGTTGAGAATTTCGCGCGTTGGTGGCCAAGAAGTATAAAATATGTTACATTTAATCTTTTGCGCAATAACACTAACATTTCTCTATCTCTCTCTTTAATGCATTTTATGAGAATTAAAAAAGGAAATTGTGGATTGAAAACTTTAAATCGGCAAATGATCAAACATCATTCATCATAAAAAAAGAATCCAACATCCGGACAGAGCGAAATGGAAGTTTAGATAGAATGAGAATGAAGTGTATGGAAAGAAGGGAAAAAAAGAGGAAAAGAAACAAGTGGGAGAGACAGAGAGAACTCGAGAAAGAAAAGAAAAAAAATAAAACGAACGTCGAAAGGCACCACATACAAAAGAATGAAGATTTTCTTCTTGAAAATGATCCAGGCGGATGGACAAAAACAAGAATACGACTTAACATCTTGAAAGACCAACGCAATTGACATTTTATCAGCACTGCACTTTGTTGATAAGTTATTTACCTTTATAGAACTGCAATCGTCCACCCACTATTGATTTTGTGTCACGATCCACATTGGAATTGCCCAATTTTGATTGTTTTTGTTGCTGATGCTGGATGTTTATCAGAGACTCTCCATTCAAAATTCCATTCTTCAAATTCTCAACTTCTTTTGACATTTTTACACATTTTGTAAAAGTTGATTTTTTCACTTTATCTCCGACATTAAATTTTTCTTTTAATTTTTGCTTCATGTCATTTTTGTAAATCTTTTAAGATTAAAAAATCTTTCAAACTTTTTTTTTCTTATCCAACCTTGCGTTTTTCATTCAATTTTTGTGTGTAAAATATCACAATTTCTATGCCATCGCTAACTGTTTACCGAAGCACTAAGTCTCTGTTAATGCATTTAAACATTTTTCATCCATTTCTTAAGTTATTTAAATGTATAAAAAAAGGAATTAAAATAAGAAGTCGTTTTTGTAAGGTATATATCGCGGTATGAAACTAAGTGTAAGAGTAAAAAAATACTAAAGAACACAATGAAAAAGCGCTTTTTTAAATTTTAAAATATTGTTTCATTTATGAGATAGAAGTAAGACAAAAGTAACTCCATATGCTTTTGAGAACAGTTTTACATGAGAAACAAATATAATCCAGTGATATTCATCTATATAACATTATTTTTTAAAATAAACAATTTAAGTTAGAAAGGGTGTTAAGCCCACTTAGTGCTTGCAGAAATTTTAATGCAATAGATGTCGCTCACAATTTTTTGAAATGATCCGTTGGTTGCAGTAAATTTTTTTAACGACAATTACCTAATTGAATATTCAGAAAATGAATGTGATGATCCTACTACATAGACAATTGTCTCTTTAGCAGCTAAACATGGCTAATTTAAGTGGTTAATTAAATCTGTTAGATATTTTATTTGCTTTTGTTTTATAAGGAAAAATATGAAAAATAATGAAAAGTAAAAACTTCTAAATAATTATAAGGCTCATATTAATATTGTTAACGAAAATATAATGAGAAAATTAATAATGTAAACTTTCAAAAAACCACAAAAATAAATTGGATAAGACATATTAGATATTATAAAGACTGATAAACAACACAAATGATCTTATTTGTTTTCATGTTCAAGGCGATGTTGCATTTGAAGCTCAAATCGACGATTTAAACGAACTCCCACTAACATATTTTGTCGTTTTTTACGCTGATCAATAGAAGTTTGTTGAACTTGATTTCTTGACTTGTAGAGCGACATGTTTCTTTCTTGACGTTCTTCGACCTTTTTGCGATTCATTTCAGTAGAGTTGCTGCCATTTTCAGTTTCTTTTTTCTTTTCAGAGAAATAAGATATTGTGACATTTGCTGCAGCTGAGGTTGTCGTCTTGACATTTTCACTATTCGAACGTTGAAAACCTCTAACAACAGCAACACTCTTACAAAGGCTTGTCGAAGATCCAGCATTTTTTTCAATCGTATGTTTCATGTTCATTAAAGTTTTCTTCTTGATTGGTTCATCAGCATTTGCTGACAATGATCGCTTCAATGTTCGACTTGGAAACATTGACATATTTTCACTTGACAATGTGCCAGTCAAGGCTTTACGATTATTGAATGTTGGAATTTTCGACTTGAGAATCTTATGATCGGGTGTAGGCGTTACCAGCTTCTTGGCACGTTCTTCTCTACGTTTTGCATGATCAGCAATAGATTCCATTTTCTGGAACTGTTGCTCATGGATCGCCTTGAAATTCGGCATTTTAACGCGTGTTACTTGACGTTCAAGAACTTTTGCTGGCGTTCCAGTTGACATTGATCGCTTACGACGTGATGAATTAGCAGCCTTTATCATCATTGAATTCTCTTTCTCTTCAATGAATGAAGCAATCATTTTCTCATCAATTGTTCCGATTTCCATAAATTGTGGACTGTTAAACATGACCCGCTTTTGCATGAAAGATTCGCTATCAGCAACTGACATTGACCGCTTACGACGTGAACTCTTCAAAATACTTTTTTCTAATGGATCTGATGGAACTTTCAATTGCTTGTTAACACTTTCATTGACAGTTTTCTCATCTTTGAATTTTGTTGATATAATTTTGCTCAACAATCGAGCTGATGGTGTTGAACTTCTCGTTGCAATGCTCTTTGATTTATTCCCCAAAGGTGTACTAGTTCGTAAAGCAACGTTTTTAACCGGATTCGGAGCAGTAATAAAATCATCAATAATTGGACGTGAATCGTTGATTGAAGTGTCAACAACAGGACTGAATGTCGCATCTTTTTTCTGAGTTGGAGAAGTAGGTGGAGGTGATTCTGGAACAGAAATGATGCTTTCATCCATCAGTTGTGGTGTTTCATTCATTTTTTTCTTGGAATTTGGTGATAATTGAAAAACTTCTTCAATTTTTTCTTCTTTAACTGAAATTTTCTGTTCTGCTGTCTCAACGTCTTTTTTTTCTTCAGAATTTGTGAAGACATCATCACTTACTTTTATTTCTGGGACTTTTATCAAAGATGTTTCTACAGCTTTAACTTCACCAGTTGCTTCAGAAGTTTTTTCAATGACGTTTTCATCTGATGGATGTGTGGGAGCAACTGAAAATTCAGGAACCTCCACAACAGGAGTAAGAGGACGTTTTTCGTCTAATTTACCTTCATCTGCTTCTTCAGTTAAAGGATTCATTTCGATGATTGTGTTATCTCTAAATAATGAACTATTTTCCGACATTTCTATTGTGCTTTCAAGCTGTTGCTCTTGTGACTTTTCGAAGGATGATGATTCGTTTTGTTTTCGTTTTTTACCTCGTTTTTGTTTAGCAACTTTATTTTTTTTACCACGAGATGAGGAAGTAGATTCAGTTGAAACGTCTGAAATTTTCTCCAAACTTTCTTCAGTTTTTGTGTGCTGTAGAATGAAAATTTCATTCAATGTTCAATAAATATATTTTAAATATAACTTACAAAGTCTTCACTATTAGTTGCCCTCAATGATCCATCTTTAATAATCGATATAGATGATAGAGAATTTTCAGTCCGTTGATCATTCATCAATGTTAAAGGCTCAGAAACCGTTCGTTCAAGAACTTGTTTAGACCTATTAAGTTTTGCCATTGATCGTGGACCACGGACTTTCTTTTCAACTTCTTCAACAGGAGGCGTCTTAGGAGAGGATGAGTTTTCATTTTTTCTCAGACGCCGTGATCGTCGAGGAGTTATTGCTAGGAGATGAAAACAAAATATAAAATTTCGGGCGGTTTTGGTTTTATTTCAATAACTTACAACAGTTCTGTGAAGAGTCCATTTTTTTCAACTGAAAATGTTCTTCAATATAACTTCTTTATATATTTCAATGAATTTAAATCAGAAAATCTTTTAAAAACAGAATTAAAGGTCTTTTGTTTAATTTTAGTATCCTTTTGCTCGAACTTCAATTCAAAATTCAACCGTTTTTGTGACGTCATGAAGATCTACCAAAAATGTAGATATTGAAATTTTCCCCTCATTTTGTTCTGTCATTCGAATCTCAACCTTATCATCATAGCACTTAAACTTTATATTGCTTGAAATATTCTTTGTTGTGATTTTTTCATTTTTTGTTCAACATAAATTTTGTCTGACTTGTGGATAAAAATCCTTTAGATTTAAATGCAGTCAACTAATTATTTCAAAGGCCTTCTTAGCACAACAAATGGTTTTCTTAATGTCATAAGAAATGCGAGCAAGAAAACAGGAGGATCGACAAAAAACCCTGTGGATCCACATGGAAAGTAAGTTTCTACATAATTTATTTTTCTAAAATAAGAAATTTGATTATTAATATTAGACCGAAACATCGAGGATGGAAGAGACAAGATGGACATTGGGTTACGCGTGGAACTATTTTAGCACTTCAGACGAAACCTCGCTTTTTTCCTGGACTTAATGTAAATTTATGAAAACATTCGCAATGTTTATTTAATGAAATAACGATTCCCTACAATCAATTTCAGGCTGGTTGGGGTGTTAATGGAACGGTATATGCAATTACCGATGGTAAAGTCTATGTAACATGCGAGAAGACAGATATGAACTTCAGGAAGAACTGGATTCAAAGATTTTATGCCGGCCGAGAAGGCCATACGATTTATAAAAAATACTTCAATGTTGTGCCACTAAAACAACATCAAAGATTCCGACTTATCAGTGAGAACTAAAAATGAATGAATCGTTATTATAGAGACATAGGAATGAACAATAAATATAATCATTTTATTAAGTGATAAAAAATGTTAGTGAATCATATTTAGTAATTAGATAATCTTTAAAAATATTTGATTACAATCATTGCTAAGAAGAATGATAAGACAAGGAAAATGATGTCTCGTTCTGATATTGCGTAATCAGTTTTAGTGTTAGTGAAATTAGTCGAAATCTCTGCTTGTTCTTCAATTGGTTGTTCTGTTAACAAAGACGATTCTCTCAAATATTCAGCTTTCTGTGCTGAATTCAAATTTGTGACAGTTTTGTCATCTGCAATGACAGTCAAAATATCAGCAATTTTTCGTTGAGTTGCTTTAACTTCATTATTGAATGAATCTTCCAAATCATTTTCAGTGTTCTGAAAATATTTGACCATTTTCTCAATTTTGTTATTGGCTTCTTCTGTTCCGACAACTTTCAAGACCTTCATATGGTCGACGATGTAGAAAAGTTTTCCTTCCATCAGAGCCTGGAATTTTGGAAGTGTCAAAGGTGTCTCGGTGACAATGTTAATCGGTTCTTCTCCAATCTTAATTTCATCTGATGGAATTTCCTTCAGCCAAAAAACATTTTCACCTGGCACTAAAGTAAGTTGTGATGTCGAAGTTTCCCAAGGAAATTTCAGAATTATTTCCGAATCTGTCGACAATGTTTGTCCGTCACACAAATTATCGGACATGAACAAAGATGCGATTTGTTCTGCAATTATTTCATTTTCTTCTTCAGCTGGAATGTCGATAAGTTGAGATGTTGTTGTGTTGTTAATTTGTAATAAACTGCACAATGCTTTTGTGTCTGGCTGAGTTTCAGAAGTGAAAAATCTGACAGCTTGAGAATTAATAGTAAATTCACGATCTTTTAAGAATTCAACTAAACCAGCGGCAGCTTTTTCAGTTTCCTGTCGATCCCCAACTTGTCCGTCAGAAATTGTAAGCACTCGAATAGGTTTGTCGCTTTGGAATGTTTCAAACAATATCTGAATTTTTCGGATAGCTGGTGCCATGTTCGTTCCACCTTGAGCTCTGATCGGTAATGATTTCATTCTTTCAACAGTTACCGTATAAAGTTGACTCAAAGAATCGAAAGTAATTAAATGAATTGTTTGTAATTTCTTGTAAGAAAGCATCGATAAAGCCATTGGAATGATTTCATTTGTCAATCTACGTGCTGCATGACCCATCGATCCTGATCGGTCAAGAATTACAACAGTTTGAATCACATTTTGTTGTTCCGGCTTCTTTTTTAAATCCAATTCTATTTTTATGCTTCCAATGAAATCCTTTTCAGCTAAAGGATGTAAATGAAGTTCGTATTTGCTCATCACCGATGAATCGCCAGTTCCATTTACATCTTTGAACTCCATTTTCAATATTTTGCCTAAAATAATTTCAAAAGAGAAAGAAACTTTTATATCACGTTCATTATCAAGCACAGCAATCCTAAAGTCATTTTTCATCCTTTAATTCACGATTGATAAGAAAACATAGAAAAATTAAGAATCAAAAAATTTTTTTTCATTTCACCTGCTAAACTGGATTTATTGTCGCTATCAATCTATAAAATGTTAACCAATTTTTAATTCCAAGTTTGACAAGTTATCTCGATGCGATGAAAACTTAAACTGAAATGTGTACAAACATTTACTTGCAAGAATACTTTTTCCTTATCACAAGTTACGATTCGCTCAATTTGTTTTTTAAATTTGGATTTTAGTATTGGTAGCTGATTAAAATTTGTAAGTGCAATTTTAAATGAGTCTTGGCACTGAATGGACTAAGCATGAGATGACTAAGTCACATTTTTTGTTGGAAATAAGGTTTGGAATAGATTCTAGAATCTTCCAACTTTTTGTTATATAGTTTTGATCAGTATTTACCTGTTGTCTTCAAAATTGTGCTGTAATGTTCCAAATTATTTGATAAACGCGATAGAAAAATCTTTGAAAATATTTTGTAAATCTGTACTTCAACTGACAGTTATTTTTGAAATGGCCCGCGTTTATTCGCTTCTCTCGCTTCATTTCGATTGTTTACATGAAAATTTTTCACAGTGTATTGTGCAAGAGAAATGAAAATTGTGAATTTTTACGGTAAACAATCAAAAGATGACACTTAAAGGAGATGAATTCTTCTCAAAAGCTATACAAGCACTTGCTCGGTCGTTAGCACATCTTAATCCAACACCAGAAGACAAAGTAAGTTGTTAAAAATGAGATTTTTTTGAAATTTTCTCGATTATCGATTTGTCCTTGAAAAAAAATCTTTTTCAGTTCCAGCAGCTTTTACGGTATTGCCCACAAGAAAGCTCGGCTGGAGTCTTTTGCATTGATTCAAGAAGTTATGAAGCTATTGTTGCTCTTGGCTTATATTTTCTGGAAAGTGATTATCAATATGAGAGTTTAATCGTTCCTTACCTTATACGACTTCTCAAGGGATTACCGAAATCAATTCATAAAGACGAAGATCCAAAAGCTTTAGAAAAGAAAATTGACAGTGAGTATAACTTATTTCAAACTTTTTCATGAAAGATTAAAAAACTTTCTCATTTTCCAGAACTTCCTGGAACCGAAAAGTTTTCATTTTGCCTCAACACTCTTCTAAGTGACATCGCCGTTTTTTGTCCAGATCGACATGATGAAATCATCCAAACGCAAGTTGAAGTATTCGGAACGTTGACTAATATGATTGTTTCAAAAAATAGCGATAAGAATGTTTACACACCAACTTTATGCAAAGACATTGTTCCAATTTTTTTGGGATTGGCGAGATCGATTGGACGTTTTGCAACCAAAGAGCCACCATTGCTTTGTCGCATGTATCCAATTCCGGAGAAACCTGTTGTGAAAACATCAAATCTCGATCAGATCGTAGTGAACGATGCTCAGAAGTTTTCACCGAATTTTCGTCCAATTATTCCACGTTCAATGTCTGGAAGTTTGAACATCGAAGGTATAGAAGCTAAGAAAGGTTTAACAACTCCAACAGCTTCACCAAGAAAAAATGAACCTATGACAAATAAGAAGTTATTCAGTTACTATTCAGTTCCTTATGATCCCACAAGATATTTCTTCACGAAATTCGGATCAAGTTTTAATCAATTCCCCAACATGAGATCATTTGAAATTGATGGTGAGAGTGAATCGCAAAGTAAACATGAGAAAACTCAATTTCCTGTCAATCATCTTCAACAAATTTTTGCATTTTCAAAGAAACTTCTTGCAAAAGATGTGCTTGATTATCTGGATGAGAAAGCTGAAGACATTTTTGCTTTACTTCAGAACAAAACTTTCGGATATAAAAGTTTCTCTGAGACTATTAATTTAGTTATTGTGACATTGCTTCGGGAACTTTTACAAAATCAAACAGAATTATCAACACCATTCACGAAAGATATTCAAGAGTTTGTTAAGCAACTTTTCTTAAATGGTCAAACTGAAATCAACAACAAAGCACATGAAGATCATAAGAAAAGTGAAGTCGAAGGAAATATTGTGAATAAATATAAAATTAACATAATGGCAAATGCAGCGTGTGTTGATCTTCTGGTCTGGGCAATTCGTGATGAAACTGGTGAGTATTTTATAAATAAATTAAAATGTTAATTATCTACAGACACTCAATTCTTGCACAAAACGAATCACTTTCATTCTGAAATAGACATTTGAAACCAAAAACAAATTTATGGGGTTCGGATGGTGTTTTAACATTGTCGGAACGAAATGTAGTGTAAAAAACATTCTATAACTCAAATTTCTCTTATTCCAATAAGATTAAAATTATAACAATTTAAACAATGTTATAACAATTTACCGAACTCCCCAACACAAGAAAAAATGAAAAACCAAAACCTTCAATTTACAGTTGATGAGACTTTCGACATTTTGTCACTCCATCAGGATCTTTACAAGTTACTTCGATTAGGTGACTGATTGACTCTCTTATTGGTTGAGAAAGAAAAGCAATTTTCCATGTTTTTCATTTAAATTTTTTGAATCCTTTGAAAAAATAAAATTATTTAACAGAATTTGCTTCATAGCGTGCCACCAGTGTTGCTTTATTTTTAACAAAATATTTTTTTGTCTGTTCTTGTCTTTAGCTTCTGAGTGAAATTCCTGAAAGAAAAAGTTTTTTAAACGTTTCTTAGATTTTTAAAAGAATTTTTCTCTCCCACGACAGAGGCTGACAAACTCTGCAGTCGTTTACATCAAAAACTCAACACAAATATCGGTCACAAAATTATGTTAGATCATATGCCGCTACTGATGGTTTGCTTGGAGGGTTTAGGGAAACTTGCAAAGAAATTTCCAAGTATCGCTGGAACGTCAATATCATATTTAAGAGATTTTCTGGTCGATCCAAGTCCGATTCTCGCAAAGCTTCATAGTCAAGCAGTAATTCAACAAAAGAAACAAAAAGAAGTCGCACCCTATCGAATTGTTGGTAAGTTTTTCATGTTTTTCATTTCTTTGCTCATTCTTCATTTAAAAATTTTAATTTAACAGTTCAAAGTCCCGAACTTCGTTCCATCACCGATGAACAACAAAAGCCAATGGGCTTAACAAAATCACCAGTCTCAGCATTTGAAGCATTACGTGAAGCAGCAATTGAAAATCTTAGCATTGCATTACGTGCAGCTCATCCTACAGATCAATATTGCGTCCCAGCTTTAATCGCGAATGTTTCAAATCGGCTTTTTATTGCTGAAAAGAATGAAAGTGAATCAAATTTAGTCTCACTTAACATCATTGTTATGCTTGGACATGTTGCAGTTGCTTTGAAAGATACAGCAAAGACGACTCATAACATTCTTCAATTCTTCATTCAACGATTCTGTAAAGTTGCAAGCGAACAAAATGTTCTCATTGTTGATCAACTTGGTTGCATGATAATCAGCAAATGTGAACCAGAAATCTTTGATGAGATCATGAAAATGTTTTCACGCGTTACTGTTCAATCAGCTTCATTAGCTTACAGTTCAAATCCTGAACATCGAAAGCAATATCACAATGTATCTGATGCCGTTGTCAATGCTTTGGGAAATATCGCAGCAAACATTCAAGGGGAGTCAGAAATGCTTGAACTTTTGATTAAACTTCTCGAGCTCTTCGTTCAGATTGGATTGGAAGGTGAAAGAAGTTACGACAATGCGCCAGGTGCACAAAAAGCATCAAACAGTGCTGGTAATCTTGGGATGTTAATTCCTGTCATTGCCACAACTGTTCGTCGTTTACAACCAATTCGAACTCCCAAAACACGATTGCATAAATTATTTAAAGACTTCTGGATGTATTGTGTTGTTATGGGCTTCACAAATGCTCGTTTGTGGCCATCAGATTGGATTCAGGGAGTGCAACAAATAGCTGCAAAATCGCCACTTCTCATCTCACAAACACCACACAAATCTGAAATGCGCGAATTAAATTATTCATCAGCTATTCGTTCCGATAGTGTAAGTTTGAATGAACTTCGAAGTCAAATTCTGTTGCTTCTCGATCATCCACCAGCTGAAGTCACCGCTTACATCAATAAACTGACATTCGCTCAGTGCACTTACTTGTTGAGTGTTTATTGGTTGGAAACTTTACGTGTTGAGAATGCAATCGAGCCGAGCCTTGATCCAATCTTGAGTTATCTTTGTGATCCAGTTTTACAGAAAGATAAATGCGGAATGTGGCAATGTGTGAAATGCATTGGTGATCAAGTGTTTGAGAAATTCTTAACAGTTCTCGTTGAACAAGATTTAAAGCGTGAAAAAGTTTTAGAATCACAAGCACGAATGCTTCTCGTTTATTTCAATCACATTCATAAACAAATTCAACTTGTTGCTGATCAGTATTTATCACAATTAGTTGATAAATTTCCACATTTATTGTGGAATCGGAATGTTCTTTGGTGCATGCTTGACATTCTTCAAATGTTGGCATATTCATTAACATTTGATGCAAATCAACAAATTCCTATTCTTCAAGTTCCAATGACATCTTACACACTACAATTCATGGACAATTCGCCAGCAAGAGAGAATCGTTTCAAAGATTTCAGTGATCGTTGTCAAGGAATCTTCAATGAAGCAATGAAATGGGCGCCAAACTACACACGAAGTCATTTGCAACAATATCAAAGTTTAAGTCATGATACGCCATTCTCAAATCGTGAAGAAGCTTTAGCATTTGATTCTGTGATAAGATCATGGCTTTCAGATTGTGTTTCGGGTGTCAATCGACGATGTAATGGACGTGGAACGTCGAGATTTGTCTCAGTTTTATGTTTAAGAAGTAAGTACACTGGGGAAGTTGCTGGATTATTGTCAGTATTAGATGATGAAAGTAAACGCGGTTTATCAGATAAACTCACAAATGATATTTGGGAAGCAACGAAAGAAAAGAACGAAGTGAAACATAAAGGCGCTTTATGGAGAGGCACAGCTTATCTCATTCAAACGTTTGACAATTTAGAGTTGGGAAAGCTTCTTCATGCAATTGCGACGTCGCAAGTTGAATTATTCACTGAATCAGCTGTTGAGACAGCTGTTGAATGTTGGCAATGGATTCTTACAGCACGTGAAGATTTAGAATTGAGTTTCATTCGTGAAATGATTTCGGCATGGCAAATAACGTTCGAGAAGAAGATTGGATTGTTTTCAGCTGAAATGGAAGTGACAAGTCCGTTAGCAGCACATGAAGGTTGTCGTCTTGTGCCGAAGCCAATTAATGTCAAGCCACACATCATTTGGTTGGATCTTCTCACTGAAATGGTCGACACAGCGAAATATTGCAATCGTGATAAAGTTGAAATGTTGTGCATGCTTGTTCATCGTTGTCTTCCCATCGATAAACATTTGAAACAAAATCGTAACATTTCAACAGTTGGTTGTCGGTTTAAGCTTCTTCAATGTGGTTTGAGCTTGTTGCAAGGCAACACAATACCGAAAAGCATCGCAAGAAACATTCTTCGTGAAAGAATTTACTTCCACGCACTTGATTACTTTTGTGCAGCACCAATGTGTCCATCACAAAATCGTGAAGATCTTCTTGAAGATATAACAATTCTCATGACATTTTGGCAGACGATGAGATCAGAAAAGAAACATTTAATGACATCAGAAATGTCGGATTACGAACTTGCACCAAGTGCAACATCACAAAATCTTACAGTTGCAACGAAGCAATTTAATGCTGATTCAATATCAATGGCTGGGAGGGATGTCGCAAGATCAACAAGCAGTGGAGCTGCCGGATGGTACAACACAATTCCACATTCAACTTCGACATTATCGAAGCGTACAACAAGACAGAAACGAAATGCTGGGCAGAAAGATGCTTACGACAAAGATTATATGAAGAAAAGAAATTTAATTCTCGAATTACTTGCTGTCGAAATTGATTTTCTTGTCACTTGGTACAATCCATTGTCACTTCCAGAACTTCAGATAAATCCGAAAAGTGAAGAAGCTTTGGCTGGTTGGCGTGCACGTCCAATTAAAATCAACTTATGGAAAGATTACACGCAACTTGCATGGAGTTATAATCCAGCTTTGGCTGTCTTTCTACCACAAAGAATAACAAATGCTGAGATAATTGATGATGAAGTTTCTCGTTTAGTTATTGCCGATCCAATTGCTGTGTCGCATATTCCCGAAGCTCTTAAATATCTTGTGACGACAAAGAATCTTCTTTCTGATGCAACGCAATTAAATTTCATGTTGACATGGTCAAAGATTGAACCAATTCAAGCTTTGGCTTATTTCTCACGACAATATCCGACGCATCCATTAACAGCACAATATGCTGTGAAGACACTCGGTTCATATCCAGCTGAAGCTGTTCTTCCTTACATTCCCCAACTTGTTCAAGCTCTTCGTCATGATACGATGGGATATGTCACGGAATTCATTAAACACATTTCAAAACGTTCGCAAATTGTTGCACATCAATTAATTTGGAATATGCAAACGAATATGTACATGGATGAAGATATGCATCAAAAGGATCCAAATTTGTATGACATTCTCGATGCACTTGTCAATTCCATTATCGCTTCATTATCGGGACCGGCAAAGAAGTTTTATGAAAGAGAATTTGATTTCTTTGGCAAAATAACGGCTGTGTCGGGAGAGATTCGAAGTTTTCCGAAAGGACCGCAAAGGAAGAAAGCTTGTCTCGATGAGTTGAGAAAGATTGAAGTGCAACGTGGATGTTATTTGCCATCAAATCCTGAAGCGATGGTTCTTGACATTGACTACAATAGTGGAACGCCAATGCAGAGTGCAGCTAAAGCTCCATATTTAGCTAGATTTAAGATACAACGTTGTGGAATAACCGAACTTGAACAAATGGCAATGGATGTGTCGAACAATGCAAATAGTAGTGGCGGTGTTGGAAGTAAAACAACATCACCAACAAAACCGCAACTTTCACTTCATGTTGAAGGATGGCAAGCAGCAATCTTTAAAGTCGGCGATGATGTTCGTCAAGATATGTTGGCACTTCAAGTTATTTCAATTTTTAAGAATATTTTTCGGCAAGTTGGCTTGGATCTTTATTTATTTCCTTATCGTGTTGTTGCAACAGCACCTGGTTGTGGTGTGATTGAATGTGTGCCGAATGCAAAGTCAAGAGATCAATTGGGACGACAAACAGATACAGGACTTTATGAATATTTCTTGCACAATTATGGCGATGAAACGACGAAAGAATTTCAAATGGCGCGAAGTAATTTTGTGAAATCAATGGCGGCATATTCAGTGATTGGGTATTTGTTGCAGATAAAAGATCGTCATAATGGAAATATTATGATTGACACGGAAGGTCACATTATTCATATAGGTGAGTTGAATTAAATATTTAAATAAAAAGAATTACAAAAATATTTTCAATTCAGATTTTGGATTTATGTTTGAATCGTCACCGGGTGGAAATATTGGCTTTGAACCTGATATGAAGTTGACTGATGAAATGGTGATGATTATGGGTGGTAAAATGGAAGCAGCGCCTTTTAAATGGTTTTGTGAACTTTGCGTTCAAGCATTTCTTGCTGTCCGTCCATATCAAGATGCGATTGTGTCACTTGTGTCATTGATGCTTGACACGGGCCTTCCATGCTTCCGTGGTCAGACGATTACATTGCTAAAGCAAAGATTTGTTGCGAACAAGAACAGTAAAGATGCAGCTGCACATATGTTGGGCGTCATTAAGAATTCTTACCAGAATTTCAGAACAAGAACTTACGATTTAATTCAATTTTATCAAAATCAGATTCCATGTTAAATGCATTCACTTTTTTGTTTAAGTTTTATTCAACATACCTTAAAATTTATTATTTATTTTAACTCAATGTTAGATACCTAATTGTTATTCATTAAATAAAACAAGGAATAAAGGAATTTAATCGAAAAATGTTTTCCTTTTCATTGTTTTGCATCATTTACAGGAGTGATTGTTAATGTAGTTTCGGATTTAATCATTTTCATTTCTTCAGACTTCCCACAAAGAAAATCTTCGACATGTTGCAATAATTCTTGGTTTCTTGAAACATTTTTTGCTGGCAAATTTTCTTTAACTTTTTCTTTGAAATTGTAAAATGTGACAATTTGATCCTTGCATTCACGGCAGATTTGTTTGATATTATCCAGCTATAAATAATAAATCGTAGATGAGACTACTTAGTAACGAAAATCATTCAGAAACTCTTTTCCGTACTTTATTTTCGCAGAAAACATTCAGCATAGCATGTAAGAATTCAACAATTCCTGTTTTTAATTTCACGAAACTGCCTTTCACTTCTATCAGATCATCAGAATCACGATCTTCAGAACACAAATTACATTGCTCCATTGCGAATGTTATCAAACTTTAGAAGTAAACTTGTTGCAGACAAATTGGAGACAAAAATTCTTAGCAAAGAAATGCCGGTTGTTTGTAAACAAAATTCTGTCGGACAGACGGACATTGTTAAGTAAACTTTTGATTCTCTCAGTTTCTCCTTCCCCTCTTTTTCCCCTCATCACAGAAGGTCTCCGTTTTTGTTTACATTTGAACTTTTAATTAAAGTTTCTTATTTTCGTCATTTTAAATCAAAATTAATTAACATTAAAAGATTAAATTAAAATCACATTATGGCTGAATCAAATTGTCACAAGATTCTGATGAAAGCACTTGATTATGATGAAGCTGGTGATAAGGTAAAAGATTTTTCAGTTAAATAAACATAAGATGACTCACTGACGATGAATCAACGATAAAAACTTTTTAGGAGAAAGCCATCCAATATTACACAGAAGCTGTTGAAGTAATATTAAGTATAAGTGATAGGGAAAAGAGAGAGAAACTCAATAAGTTTGCAAAGCAAGCACTCGATCGTGCAGAAGAGTTGAAAGGTGTAAAAAACCCTTGTGCCGAGCCAGAAAAATCAACAGATCCAATTCAGCATGCATCAACAAGTTCATCTAAGGAATTATCACCAAGTCATTCGTTATCAGTCAATAAACCGACTTTAAAAACTATTTCAAAAGAATCCTACACATTGGAAGAGAAGAAAGTTCTTGAAAAAACTTCATTAATCAATTCCCGCATTTATGTTCCCTTCATGGCTGTTGACACCAAGGAACGTTTTGTTTTTCCGATTCCCTTCACAGACAAAGATGGAATGCTTGAACTAGCACCAAAACAAAAGAAAGAATTTCAAGAATGGGTGAGAATTAGCGACTTATGTGAACATCCAAGCATCATTATGGGATCACATGCAGACTTCTACAGCATCAAACAAACAGTCGTGTCTGATTGTTCGTTTGTTTCATCATTAACTGTTGCTGCACTTTATGAAAAGAAATTTAATAGAAGGATTTTAACGTCGATTATTTATCCGAGAAATTCGAAAGACGAACCAGTTTACAATCCAAGTGGAAAATATTCTGTGAAACTTCATGTGAATGGAATTGCACGTAAAGTTATCATCGATGATTATTTACCAGTTGGTCGATACAATCAACTTCTGTGCTCATATTCAAGTAACAAGTCGGAATTTTGGGTGTCATTGATGGAAAAAGCTTACATGAAGTTGATGGGCGGCTACGATTTTCCCGGGTCAAACAGTAACATTGATTGTTATGCTTTAACTGGTTGGATACCTGAACGAATAACATTGAGAAAAGATGATGACGATTTTAATAGCGACGCAGTATTTAATCGATTGAAAGAAGGTTCAGAAGCTGGACGTTGTTTGATCACTGTTGCAACTGGTGAACTTTCCGATGTTGAATGTGAGCGAACTGGACTTGTCTCGACACATGCTTTTGCTGTTTTAAAATTAGCTGAAGTAAATGGTGTGAAGCTGTTAAGATTAAAAAATCCGTGGTCTCATCTAAGATGGAAAGGAAATTATTCCGAACAAGATTTAGCGCATTGGACACCAGAACTTCAAAGTATTCTAAATTATGATCCAAAAGTGGCACAAACCATCGACAATGGAGTCTTTTGGATTGACTATCGTTCACTTTTAAACTTTTTTGATGTTTTTTATTTGAATTGGGATCCGGAATTGTTTAAGTTTACTTATTGTACTCATCAGTCATGGAATGCTGGAACTGGTCCAAGTAGAGACGCTTACAATGTTGGAGACAATCCTCAATTTTCTTTGAATGTTCCAGCGGGTCGTGGTTCAATTTATGTTCTTCTCACACGTCACATTACTTCAATTGATGATTTTCGTGAGAATAAAGAATACATAACGTTGCTTGTGTACAATCATAGAAATGGCAAACGTGTATATTATCCACATGATCCACCACCGTTTCTTGATGGAATAAGAATAAACAGTCCGCATTATCTGTGCAAGATACGATTGGATCCACAAACAGCTAGAAATTATACATTAATTGTGTCACAATATGAGAAGACAACGACGATCTTCTACACACTTCGAGCTTATTCTCGTGAGCCATTTGAGTTGAGGGAGATTAATAATAAATTTGCAACGAATACTCAATTGAATGGTGAATGGAGCATTGCGAACTCAACAGCAGGTGGATGTCAGAATCATAAAACATACAGAACAAATCCGCTTTATAAAATAACGATGCCGAATGATGGAAATTTAATTATTGAATTACGTGCACCGAAAGTTTTTCAAGTTGGTCTTGATTTGACGATAAGTTCATTGGAAGATCCAAATGTCACAGCGCCCTTTATCAATAAAACAACAGACAGTTTTAGAAGCGGTTTTTGTGTACTTGACATTGAGAATCTACCAGCTGGCGTGTACAATATCAGACCTTCAACTTTCCTCCCTAATCAAGAAGCACCATTTTTCTTAAAATTAAAGTCAACAACAAAACTACAAATTGAACAAGAACGCTAACGCCATTAAATATATTATATTAAGAAAATAACTCAATTACCTATATCATTTAAACACCACATGTGTAAAAGTTTATTTATATCGCTTTTTATCCTCAATAACGTTTATATTTTCTGAAATGTTAATAAAACTTTTAAACTTCAAGAAATGTTTACACAAAAAAAAAGAATTTATAAATTTTGTTTGGGTAGTTTTTATGTTTTGAGTATGAATCTTTTACTTCACTTTTTATCTGTTTAACTTTATCAGTCGAGACTGATGTGACAATCAACAAATTAACGGTTAATTTATTTTTGAATTATTTTTATAACATTGGTTTTTGCCCTATCAATAACAATTTTAAGCCCTGCAATGGTACACGAGGATTAGAGATTTTATTGTTTACAAAAATATCATCGAAAGAAGTTTTCGATTCAATAGTGAGGCAAGTGTTAAAATAAATTCTGATCAAATTATAGCAGTCATTGATGTTTTTGACAAAAGTTTCTAATCTTTCTTGTTGTTAATTTAAAAGTTCATAAATTCTTGTGAATAATTTCATTAAGTTTCATAATGGATTATGGTGGTTTTTGCGGCTCTTGTGATCTATGCTCTTATGCATATCAACCAAACTCTTGTAAATTTGTTTTCTTCCATCCTGAGTTTCATTTTAAAATCTTTTAATATTTAGTTAGCAAATACACTTGCTGTGAAAAGGAATACATAGTTCAATCAATGATTCAATCTGAAGCAAACTCTAAAGCAACTGGCTTTCGTAAGTTGCTAATGTTTAAACGATTCTCAATCATGAGTTAAACGCTCCATTATTCTTTTCGAAGGATCACTTGGAAGAAAAAATTCTTTTGATGCTTCAAATTCTAAAAAACCTCCCGTTCTTTATAAATCTCTCAAATGTACAGAACATAAACCTTCTCAAAAAAACATAACAAACTTCAAATCAATAAAAGAAGAAGACGAAAATTGTCAAGTTTTAAAATCAAAGAATTTGTCTGAGACATTTCGAAAGACTTTAATTCACCCTGATGATTGTACTTGTGTTGAGTGTTGTAAAACAAAAAATTCTTCATCGACTGGTACAAGTCGTCGTCATGGCAAATTTTATATTCTTGTTAATTTTGTTTTTCTTGTCTTTACAGCTGATTTCAGCAGTGAAATTGAATTAAAAAATACTCTGCTAAAGAAATCTTCAAAAAATTCAAACAGTTTAAAAATGTCGAAATCTTCGTCAGAACGAAATATGAAAAATTATCTTTATGATAATCCAGAATTGAAGATAAAACCGTCAATTGAAACAACAAACCTTGAAGAAGATCTTAATTCTGACTTAACTGATTGTTGGATACTTCAATGTCCTAAAAATGTCGATGTAAATGAATTATTAGGATGCAAACTAAGTAAGTCAGAGTCGTTCAAATGTAATGCTGAAAGTTTCACGACACCAAAAACTCTTGCACTAATAACTGAAGAGCGAGCTGCCGAATATCAATGCGTTTGCCCAAATCTTAAATTAGTAAGTTGAATGATACATTAATTAAAGAAAATTTTTGACCTTCTGAAATTTCAGTTCAATCCTATTGGAAAAATTGTTTTAACTGCAGCAAATGATTCTTTGAATGTAGAAAGTGATGTGGAGATCAAAAGCGAAAATAGTTGCAATGACAGCGACCAGGAATCAAAACCAATTCAACAAGTAAAGAAAACATCAAAGAAGATTAAAGACCAAGTCTTCACAATTGAAACCAAAATCACAGTTGAAGATTGTCAGCCTAGAAAGAAAAAAATTCAAGAGAAGAATCAGCCAGAAGAATGTTTAGATCAAATTCATAAAAAGAAAAAAATAAAAAAAGAAAAATGTTGATTTTTTTAGTTTAATAATTTAATTAATTTCCAATTTTAATGTAATTTATAACAAAGGAACAAATTAAGAAACATTTCCATACATTTTTTCAGCTCTGAACAATTTACAAAAATACATGAAATTATTTTCTAGGAACTCAATTTCTTTGATGTCAAACACAACGACGTAAAAAGAATGTTTGGTAATAAATTTTTTGAATTCTAGTGGAACAGCCATGAACCGATGAATTTCACTTTCATCTTGTGGGGATTCAAGAAAATCAACAAAATTAAACTTTATTAGTATTCGTCTTCGAAAAATGCAATGTTCGATAATTTCAATCTTTCTTTTCTTGTGACTTCCTTCATTTGTTTTAGCAAATTCGCTTGCTCTTGCGAGTCTTTTACTTTTTAAATTTCGAAGTTTTTCCAATAATCCTCCTGGTTTTGGAATTTTATTCATTGGCCGGTATTTTGGTTTCTGCTGATACACGTCGACAATATCATTGTTAATTGAAATCAAAAGTTGTCCTTCTTGTGACATGTTGAAAATTTCATCTCCTTCTGAAAAATCTTCAATGTCAGGCGAATAAATTTCTTTGTGAAGTTTTTCAACAATTTGTGACTGTTCGTCATCTTCAAAAAGCATTCTTGAAGCATTTTTGAAATCCTCAAAATTACAAGATAGATGGGGAAGAATTTCCTTTTTATCTTGTGACTCAAGGCCAAGGCCAGATTTGTTTTCATATTGAGTTGATGTTGTTAATGGAATGATGGGAGAATCTCTCGATGAAAATTGTCTCTTTCTTGGAATTTCAGGCACTTCCGAAGATGTCGATTCGTTTGAAATTTTTCTTTTGAAGTTATTTCTTATTTCCAGAATCAGTTCATCAGAAATAATTTTATCTTGATGTTTACGTCCATTGGACTTTCCATTTGAAGATGTATGAGACTTTGGCTTTCTTGATTTCGGTGTTTGAGGCTTTGATTTGCTAACATTTTTGAATGTATCATCGAATTTCGAAAAGTCATTCATTAGTGTAACTTTATCCTTTTTGGAAAACAAAATTCTTTGTTTTTCAGTTTATTTACGTTTTAAAAGATAGTAATGTAGGTTGCCGAATATAACGCACAATATGTTGATGAAATCATGAAGAAATTGAAAGGAAATAAATGATACTCAACAGAATTAAAATCAAATTCCAATAAACATCTTTGATCTTTTAAGAATATATGTAAAATCATTTAATAAGACCTTGAAATTTTCTCATATCATAAAACATGCAACTTTTTACGGATAAGACTTTAGGGTCGAAGCATCAGTTTTAAATTATAATCAGTTCAAATCAGTAAATGAACAAATTCAGACGAATCATCAAAAATTTATAATCATCTTGAAATATGAAATAAAAGAAGCTTTTGCCTTTTAATTAAATAGTAAAGACTGTGATAAATTAGATGGCTTTTCTGGAGGATACAGCGATAATATTAGTTTCTCAGGTGAGATCACAAATACCTAATAAGTAAATTGTTTTTCTTTCTAAAACTTTTATTTCTACGTCGTCAGATTTTATTCTTTTGCGGCGGCATCGTGTTTTTCGTGAAGCAGCTGTTCAAGAATTATGAGATTAAACATATAAGCATTCAGATGATCTTCTCCATTACTTTCGCTTTGAGTTTGACACTTTTCGAATTAATCATATTTGAGATCGCTGGAGTCTTGGAGACAACATCTCGATTCTTCCATTGGCGCTTATCACTTATAGCGATTCTTGTAATGGTGGTTGCTGTCATTCCTTATTACATTGCTCATTCGTTGATAAACAATATTCGAATCGGTAAGTTTTTAATTGAAGGGAATTTCTATATTTAACTTTTTAACAATTTCAGTGTCAAATCGATATTCAACTCCATTGACAATAGTGCTATGGCTTGGTTACCTTTACATCTTCTGGAGGATTGGTGATCCATTCCCACTTCTTTCTACATATAAAGGAATATTTACAATAGAACAAGGAGTATCGAGAATCGGTGTTGTCGGTGTGACTGTGATGGCAATTTTATCTGGCTTTGGTGCGGTAAACTTTCCATTCACCAACATGACTTACTTCATTCATCCTGTCACACCAAATGATGTTTACAGCACTGAAAGAAAACTAATGCAAACAATTGACATGATCCTTGCCAAGAAAAAGCGAATCGCCGTTGAAAGGAGAAATCGACAGAAACAACCAAACACTACGAGCTCGTTTTGGGGACTCATAAAGTCAGTTACAAACAGTTCTACAAATTCTGAAAGTAAGAGATTAGAAACTAATCAAAATTTCGTTAATTACATTTGTTTATCCTTCAGATATTGGACAACTAAGATTGGAAATCTCAGGCTTAGAGGAACTCGCACGTCAATTGTTTTTAGAAGTTCATGAAATGAAAAACATGCAGGAACGCCAAAGGTGGTCTCAAACACTTCAAGGCAAATATTTTAATGTTTTAGGACACTTTTTTAGTCTTTATTGTTTGTGGAAGATTTTTATCTGCACCATAAACATTGTTTTCGATCGTGTTGGGAAGAAAGACGTCGTGACCAGAGGAATTGAAATTGTCACTAATTGGTGTGGAATACATATTGACATTGCATTCTGGTCACAATATATTTCCTTCATTCTTGTGGGATGCATTGTTGTGACGTCAATTCGAGGCTTATTAATAACATTAACAAAATTTTTCTACAAAATTTCGTCGAGTAAATCATCAAATATCATCGTTTTGATACTGGCTCAACTCATGGGAATGTATTTCTGCTCATCAGTGTTGTTAATTAGAATGAATATGCCAGCGGAATATCGAGTAATTATCACAGAAGTCTTAAGTGGACTTCAATTTAATTTCTTTCATCGCTGGTTTGACGTTATTTTCCTATTATCAGCGTTGTCATCAATATTCCTTTTATTCATCATCAGAAAACCGCCAGTCATGGTTGACAATGACACTTCTTATGAAAGTAGCAACTAATTAGTTATGAATAATAAAATTTCTTAAGATTGAGAATATTATAAATGAATTGTTTTAATTAAACAATTATAATTTAAATATAGGGCCAATGATGAAGTGTTCACGTAAGAAAATAAAACCAAATTTTTAGCGTCAACTTTTTTCTTGATTTTAAATTAAATTATCATTTTTTTCCCACTTGATGTCATGATTTCCTAGCTCTAGAATGTTGCAGTTTTATTCTTAAATATTAAAACTACCTACATCTTATGGTTTGCAACAACGAGTGAATTTCAGACTTTAGAATGTTTTAAAAAAAT